ACTAATAAGCAAAAAGAGATCAAACTGAAAAAGGTCCTAAAATACTGTTTCTATATCTATCTATCTATCATCTATCTGTTACTGACCATTTTTTTTGGCTAATATGCTCCAAATCTCCCTTTTCTCTTTATAGTTTTGCCAAAATATGTTACAAGATATTTCAGTGACCTGAATTAACTTGTGTCTTACAAGATGTTTAAATGGGCTGCATCTTTTTTTCCTTCCATGTGTAGCTTCATTAACTTTGTGGGTAGCCTGGTGCTGATGTAAGGACTCCCTTGGCTTCGGATCAAAGCGGGCACAACTTTTTTTGTCTCTCCACTACAAAACTGGGGAGGGGAAGGGCTGTGTGCTGATTAAAGGCTCCCTTGGAGGGGAGATATTCCCACTGTTGTCCATAGTAATTCTTAACCATCCTGCTGCTGTTGGTGAACTAAAACAAACAAACCCAAACCCTTCTACATATTATTACATTGCTTTCCCCATGCTTGATCACCTGGGAGAAATGTCCTAGTGGGGAAATCCCACCAATACATGGAGTACCAATGATGTTTATTACATAACTCGCAAGGGCGAGTAGGGAGCAGGGGATATCCTATATTTCTTTGACAGGAAGGGGAGCGTGGGGTGAGAAATTTGGCAGTGGCAAAGACATGAGTTGGCCGATGTTGCATATACTTCCAGTAATAGGATATTTTTAAGTCTTACAGATTCACTCTATGCCTGAGTATGTTGGTTTGCATCCAGTGGAAATTACCTGCAGGAATGTCTACAAAGCTCGGTAGTGGAATAACACAATTTTTAGACCAGGGATAGGGAACCTGTGGCCCTGCAGATGTTGTTTGACTCCAACAACCACCATTCCCGGTTACTGGCCCTATTGGCTGGGGGAGTCCAAAAACATCTGGAGCGACAGAGGTTTCCCAAGCCCTGTTCCAGCAATTATATATAAAATAATTTAAGTTCCATTGAAGTTGATACAGTTTAAGGGAAATAAAATCTGTGCAGGATCGTGGCCTGTGCCTCCGGTATGCTGCCTATGAATGCTGTACTTGTCAGTGGGATTTAAAAAGCTAGAGAGAGACAGTTTCAAAACAACATATGAATGTCACTTTTTCATTTGATTAATTGGTACACTCAGCTTCTTAAAAGTCACATGTGAAAACACCCTTATATACGTACTACTTTGAGAAACCTCTTCCAATATAGAGCCCCCCCCCAAAAAAGCTACAAGAGTTAATTGTCACCATACTCTCTGTTTTGTTTTAATGACAAAAAAAACCCAAGGTAAATGAACATATTTACAACAGGATATGTTGTTTTTCCCAGCAGATGTTTCTTGAACTAATTGCTTTCTAAGTTGGTTGAAATATATTAATTGAGGTGTTTTCTTGGTATTCATGAACTGAACCCTTGCTCCTATTCTGCTTTTGGTTCTTACTTGTGCCTATGTGCCTCTATGGCCTATGTGGATGTTATCTCAGTAAAAAGTAAGAAATACTGGTATCTGATGCCAAAGTATTTCTCTATATCCTTCCAAGAGAGTTGGAATTTATTTTAGTAAATTTAGAACAAGGCCTAGTTTGCAGTCCTACAACACGCCCCTGGGAGAAAGTCATATTGAACTCAGTGGGTCTTGCTTTTGAGTTGGAATGCGTAGGACATAGTATATTAAAAAGCTTGGCATACAAAGCAATCTTTTAAGTAAGGCTTGGCCCATGTGGCCAAAGCAATAAATAAATGATGCTATAACAAGTTTTCATTATTATTATTATTATTATTATTATTATTATGCAGATACCTTTAACATTGCTTGGAATGTGGGCAGCACAGGGAATTATCAGGGAGCCTAGGAAATTGTGAGTCAAATTCCATTCCAAGCTGTTACCGTATTTTTTGCTCTATAAGACTCACTTTTTCCCTCCTAAAAAGTAAGGGGAAATGTGTGTGCGTCTTATGGAGCGAATGCAGGCTACGCAGCTATCCCAGAAGCCAGAACAGCAAGAGGGATTGCTGCTTTCACTGTGCAGTGATCCCTCTTGCTGTTCTGGCTTCTGAGATTCAGAATATTTTTTTCTTGTTTTCCTCCTCCAAAAACTAGGTGCGTCTTGTGGTCTGGTGCGTCTTATAGAGCGAAAAATACGGTAATTTACTCCTTTCCTTGGTGCCTTCCTAGATTAGGAACAGCACTCATTAAATAGAAAACCAGGCTAACTTTGGAGAAATCACTCTATTCCTTGAGATACAGTGTGTACAAAGAACATTGAAGCAACTATCTTTCCCCCTTTTATTTATTTATTGAAATAAGATATATGGTGCTACCTTGGCAATTCGTTTTGTATTACATTTCAGACAATATAGTATAAAAAGAAAAGAAGAGGCAAACTGAGTACAATTCTGTTCTCATTTCTGCTTAGACAAGCCTGTTGACTTAATGCTGGCGTCAGCAACATTGCATATGCAACCCCGAGAGCAGAATGTCATCTATCATGATATATTAAGGCAGTGCTTAGATGCCTTTAAAAGGGGATTAGACAAATCCACACAGAATGGACCTATCAATGGCTATTAGTCATGATGGCTATAGGGGTACATCCAGATTCAGAGGCATCAGGGAATGCAATTTGATGGTGGACCAACTGGGAGTGAGCATCTGATTGGTTGCTTTGGGAAGCAGCATGCTAGACTAGATAAACTTTTGGTCTGATCCAGACATTCCGGGCCATATCCAATGCTGCTGTTCCACTAGCACAGCAGATTTCCAAGTCTGCAAAAGATCATCCCCCTCCTCTCCCCTGCAGCCCCTCCAGAAGAACCCTCCAGAGCAGTTTTGGGGACAGGCAGAGAGAGGAGTGGAAGGGGAAATCCCACATGATCGGAACTCCCCCCCACCTCCACTGTTGGATACAACCTACGGTCTTTAAATCTTCCTCTGATTTAGGTTGCAATTGTATATTGGCTTACTTGGAAATAAGCCTCATTGAACTCAGTGAGGCTACTCCTGAGCAGGCATGTGCCACGTTGCACTGTTAATTTATAGCACAGTGCACTTCACTTTATTTCTTCAAAAAATGACATCTTTAGTCTGGAATAAATGGATTCAGATAGTGGAAGACAAGTTGCCGCTTAGTCAAATAGACACCAACATTTCTAGACAGTAAAGTGGTTGAATGTGATTTAGATATATGAGAAAAGCAAACATGTACTTAAGAAATACCAGATAAAATAGTTTCACACTGCACATTAGGCTTTGATTCAGAAAAAGTCAGTTGCGCTTAGGTCCTGTTGAGATCGATGAGGCTAGCTGCAAATAACAAGACCAATGGATTTCAAAGGTACTTAAGCACAATCAACTTTCTGTGGTACAGGGCCTAATTTTTCATTTTGGACATTTTTTTTATGCTGGAAATCAAACAGAAGCCAATTCCCATTTGTGAAGATGACCAGAGTCAATACAAAGAGACAGTAAAGATAAAACTAACGAGCTAAGTGCACTGCCACATTAATTTGAAATACATAGGTTATTTTTAAAATCTTCAGGTGTGCACTGTAGTTTTAGTCTTTCAGTTTCACTGTTTATTACTTTTGCCAAATACATTTTACAACAGCAGACCCCCCAAAAAAATCTCTTTTTAGGTTGAGATTGTAATCTGCTGCTTATTTTACTCACTCCACTGAAATCAAGTGTTTATGCCTCTTTTTAGCTCAGTTGTGCCCTCACTATTTTCCCCAACTAGCTCAAAAATATTTAGCCACCTAAAATGCACAGTCCTAGTTCATCCTATAGTTTTGTTCACAATAAGCATAAAATACTGGAACGGTTTCTTTGCTTTTCTGGGTTAAAAGCCAAAGTGTGCCATATCTTAAGATGTGTGTGCTTTACGTTCTTGTTCTTGCATTTATAGTTTCAGAAGCAATTTCAAGAAAGGTAACCAAAGGTTTAAAAATACATAGATTTAAAATGTGTCTTCATGGTTTGGAAACACTTGTGTAGAATTTCAAACTAGACACTTCCTCACAGATTAAGAGCCAAAAAGAAAAGAATGGGAAAAAATGAAAAAAATGAACACTTCAGTCTACAGCAAGGGGTCAGTACAGACCCATTAGAAACTGACAATTTGTGAAGAGCAGAAAGCTGCCTTAAATTAACTGAAGACACCTAAACCTGCTTTTGTTTTAACTGTGGCTCTTTGACCATGAAGGGGAAAGATGATCTGCAGTTACCTTCAGGGCTGACCCTATCATTAGGCAGGGTGAGGCAACAGCCTCAGGTGGCTGATGGTGAGAAGCAGCAAGGCCTTCTATTGGAGGTCAGAGAAGTGTGTGCCACACAGTCTTTCCTGCATCCCTTAAACTAGTTTGCTGCCCTAAGATGTTGGGGAGGATGCTATCCCATTGGCACCATTTGAGTAAGATTCAACTGATAGTCTACTCAACTTTTGCATGTAGAGTGGGAGATGGGCACCATCTTGTCCTTTGCCTCAGGCAGCAAAATGGCTTGGACTGGCTTTGGTGAGCTTCAGGTTTATGGAAGTGAGGTGAACGGGAAGAAGAAACCCTCTGCTTACTAGAACTAAATGTGAGCCTGTGAAAGGAACTGGAACTATGATGAGGGGCAGAATGAGATGACAGATGACGACAAGGACTAAGCATTGCTTGTTGGGATATGTGATTACAACAGCATGTTCTCATTTGCTGCTAGCACCTATAATCTACGAAGGCCTCTTTTCCTCTCACGTGATCTGGCTGCTATTGGTCCCTTGGCCGGTGGGCTGCGCTTTCGCCACCCCCAACCTATTAGAAAACGTTGATGTTTGTCCCGCCCCCGCCCCCACCACCACTACAACCCACAGAGTGCAAGAACTGCAAGCTTCAAAGTTTGGGATCTTGGCCTCCCCTACCCCCTTGTCCTGGGGTTAAGCCTCCCTACCCCCCAGAATAGTTCCCCTTTACACTTTGCTACCTTCATCTTCTTATTCCTCCCGGCGTAGGGGATCCAGTTACACGGTCAAGTCATCAGACCTGGCTCTGCTGCTGCTGGATTTACTAGCCCTGCTCAAGCGACGCGTGTCTATGAGCAGCGGTGGGTCGTGCATCTCCACCAAGGTGCAGGCAGCCGACATCGAGGACCCTTCCTCTTCACCCTCTCCATCCCACTTGCTGCCACTGCCCCCACTCAGGCTGGTACTCAGGCTGCTGCTGTTGGCGGCAGCCACAGGCGACAGAGAAGGTGGAGGCGGCGGGTGCTCTCTGGGCTCCCCTTGCTCCGGGTGAGGTTGTCGGAGGCTACTGGGGGTGGAGGAGGCCGCTGAGCTGGAGCCTGCGAGTTTCCTCTGCTGCTCGACGGCCAAATTGGCCCAGTTGTGCTCATCAGCCAGCGCTTGGCTACTGAAGTAGGAGTTGTTGACGGGCGAAGGTGAAGGGATAGACGACGTGGTTGCGACTGGGGTGGAGACTGCCGTGTGCCTGAGGGCTTTGTGCCTGTCCTCGCCGGCCAAAGGACCCCCTGGGTAGCCAGTCAGAGAGGTTGCAACAGAGGCCGGCTGTGGCCTGGAGGTAACGTCTGCGTAGTGTGGCAACCCAGCTTGTTGATAAACCAGCGGGGTGATGGTACGAGTTTCAGGCATGGTGATGGAGGTTGCGGTTGGTGGTGCTGCAGGTACCGGCAAGGCTGCGTGGGAGGCAGGTTTGGAGTCCTCCACTTCTGAGGCTGGCGTGAGGGGGGTGAAGGTGGCTGCTGCATGGCTGCGTCTACTGGTCATGCCCTGCTTGAATTTTTTCCATCCCAAGTGGTACATCTCAAACATGTTGAGGAGCAGAGAGAGGCAGGCCACCGCCAGCATGAAGATGATGAAGATGGTCTTCTCCGTGGGCCGCGAAATGAAACAATCTACAATGTTCGGGCAGGGCCAGCGGCCGCAACGGTAGAGTGGCTTCAACTCAAAACCGTAAAGGAAGTACTGGCCCAAGATAAAGGCTATTTCAAAGAGAGTTTTGAAGATAATGTTGAAAACGTAGGTGCGCAACAGGGCACCTGCCATGCGAATCCTGCCATGCTCATCGCGGACAGGTAGTTTCTCCTCTTTCTGCTTTGGCGGCTGCTTGTCGTTGCTGCCGCTGCTGTTCTCGCCGCTGCCCACTTCCACTTTTGATCCTTGCAGGAGGCGGCTTGCTTCCCTGCCGTTTCCGGTTTGCCTAATCTCTTCTTCCTTCTCTTTTTTCTTTTCCTCCATGCGCACAATGTGGAGCACGTGACCCAGGTAGATGAGGGTCGGGGTGGAGACAAAGATGATCTGCAGCACCCAGAAGCGGATGTGGGAGATGGGGAAGGCTTCGTCATAGCAGACGTTCTCACAACCAGGTTGCTGGGTGTTGCATGTAAAATCTGATTGTTCATCTCCCCAGACCTCCTCAGCAGCCGCCCCCAGCACCAAAATCCTGAAGATAAACAGTACCGTCAGCCAAACTTTGCCAATAACTGTGGAGTGCTCTTGCGCATTCTCTAATAGTCTCCCCAGAAAGTTCCAGTCACCCATTGTTTCAGCTCTCTAACCTACAATAAGAACATTATGGCAGCATTATTACCAAAAATAAAAATAAAAAATCCCTGAGAAACTGGTAAGCAATTCCCCCTCAAACCACACTCAGGCATTTCTGTGCAAGGCAGTCTTTTCACAATAATTCATTATTATAATCAATAAGAGTGGGAACATATAATCTAGGATATTAGGTTGAAAAACAATAAATTCATGATTTGTAGCTTTCAATTACAAAGGGACCATAGCACAGAAAATAGGTAAACATATAACGAAAGGCAAATTATCACTCATAGTAGCTCAGGAGGTGGGTGGTAGTTGGAAATCACTACGGCTGAACCTTCACATATAAAAACAACTCTGTAAAAATGCTTAACAAAAAAAAACACGTTTAAATATATATATTGAATTTGCAATTAGCTCACCATCGCTATCTAGTGTCACATTTGTATAGTGCACTTAAAACGTTATATTTGCAGCTGTACAGCTGAGTCCTATGTACACAGTAACTAATTTGGGCCTGGAGTGCACAGACAGACACATTTTATCAGAGTGATCTTAACAGCACGATTCTCAGCATCAAAGTATTTTAACTTGAGTGCATCTCCCCACCACCACCACCTGTAGTCAGTAGTACATTCCAGAAACATTTTTACCATGTGGTCAGCTGTATGTCTAGATGGAAGTCTTTTGGGAACTCAGGCTGGAGCTCTTCACAGAATTGCATCTTTGGACTTGCACATGAGCCCTTCAGGCCTCCCAATTAGGTCCTGGAACACATGAGCTAATTGTGGGCTATACTCAGAATGGTGTTTCGCTAACAGTAGGTTCTGTACTCAACTCAACAATTTGTTTCAAAAAGGGGCTGCAATAACAGGTTGCTGTGCAGAGCAGTGGTTTTATCAACCAGTGTGCTGTGGCACCCTGGGGTGCCTTGAATGGTGGTCAGGGGTGCTGTGGGCAACACTGTCCTCTGTCCCTCTTTCCTTCCCTCCCTCCTCTGATGCCCTCTTGCATCTCTGCCTCCCAAAGACTTGCACAGCTGTTTGTTGCAGCAGCCCTGGCTACAAGCTCCCCAGGCAAATGGTTCCTCTGGGGCTGGCCAGGGGGTGCTGGTTGCCAGGAGCTGAGGCGGCCTCGGAGTAAGCAAGCAAGCAGGCAAGGGAGCCTAGCCAGCCAGTCCACCAGCCCTTGTTGTTGGGAATGGACAGACAAGTCCCAGGGGCGGTGTGAGGATGCACCTCTATTTCGGGCATGGGGGGCAGCTCTGAGACCAGGGGTGGCAGCAGTGGCTGCCCAGAGGACTCTCAAGGAGAGGGGAGAGGAGGCTGAGGGAACACTTCATAAGGGAGGGTGTTTGGAAAGGGGTGAGGGGCTGCCAACTCTGCAGGCAAGGGGTGACATCACTGGGCTCCTGAGCCCCACAGGGGTGCCGCAGAAAGAATGTAGTTGGTCAAGGGAGCTCAAAAAAGTATGCCGCTTTCCAGAATACTCCATTCCACCAGCCCTATATTTCTGTTTCCCACCCCAACAGTCAGCTTTACATTGGTACTGAAAGTGTTGCATCCTTATTTAGCTGTTGAGGGGGGGGGTGTTTCTCTTCCCTCACTGCAGATTTAAGTTGGGTAGTGGGTTGTTGTTGTTGTTGTTGTTTGTAGTTCTGCAAACTTTCGTGTTCCTCCAATCCTCTTGCGTAGTTTTGGCTGCATGAGCTAAATGAGCTCACTATCAGTATACAGGATTACTATTGCAGCAAAAATGGTGATCAGCACAATATGTCTGTAAATCTTTAGATGATGCCCACTTCATTCCATCTGTGCATGAGTTATATCACAGATGTCTCAGACATAAAGGCTGCTCTTCTCTTGACAAGGAAAACACTTCATTTGCTTTCAGTTCCAATTTCCAGCAGTAGATATTCCTGCTTCCCTGTTGCCCCCCAAAGTCAGTCCCAAGTGCTGGGGGACCCAGTGCTGGTCAGAGCTGATGGGAGCTGCCATTGTAGGTTGGCAAGAACCTGCTTATGCAAAGGGACAATGGAGGACCTTCCTTTGCATAAGCTGCTCACCCAACAGCATATAGTAAATAATAGCACAAAACCGACACATAGATATGATGAGCCCATCCACATTTCTTTGTTACTCTATATGCTAGGAAACCGCTGACTAGCTTCAGCTTTTTTAAATGTATATTTATCTATCTATCACATTTGCACCTTATCCTTCCTTCACTGAGCACAGAGCAGGGTCCACAATGTTAGCCAGTTTTATCTTTGCCACAGTCTTGTGAAGTAAGCTGGACTGAGAGATAGTTAAGGTGCGCAAATGAGTTATCTGAGTAAGCAAGGATTTGAGCCTCGTCTTCCTAGTCCAATACTCTGTCCGTGTGTGTGCGTGCACTGTAAAAACACACACATGTGGAATCAATACACAGGGATCACCTGCTAACTGCTCAGATCTCCTGCTCTGACTGCAGCTAGCCGAAATGCTTTCCTTGTGGGAAGGTGTTAGTGCGCAAAACATCCAAGCCTAACTTCCAAACTTGTCAACCTGGTGCCCTCCAGTGTGATCCAAAACATTGGTGAATTGCTGGCACTCCTCTGCTTCTGTTTCAGCTGAACCATGATCACAAAACGGTCAGGTTTAAACAGGTGAAAGCCTATGTGGATATCACACCTGGAGGAGTTATATCGTAGCTGACTCTTGACAGTAGTCAGAGCAGCTTGAATTGTCAACTGATTAAATAGAAATACATTTATGTATTGCAGAATGCCATTGAGTGTTGAAGATCCTGAGAGGAATAGCTACAAGAAAGCTCATAGCTTGATAAGCAAAAACTACCACTTGTTGTTAATTTATCTATTTCATAAATGTATACACCGTCTGATTGTAATAAATAAATAAATTCTCAAAGCATTTTACAAAAAGACAAAATAATATTTTTTAAAAATACAAGACTTTAAAACATACAAAGAGTTAAAATACTAAAACATATTAAAATGCATATCAGGATTTCTAAGCATCTGGATAAGCTTGCCTAAACGAGAATGTTTTTAAGAGGGATGTTTTAAATATTTTCTTTTTTCATGACTCTGGAAATAGGGGGTTTTAAAATATTCCTCACTAAAGAGTGCATCAGAGGCAATATAAAAAAACCCAAACATAAACCAAGTTCCAGGCCCATCAGTTCTGCAGGCAATCCTGATTTGAAAGGTGTATTTGTATTAATTTCAGCAGAACACTGCTTCAACTATTTATTATTGTTAGAAGAGAAATCATATCAATCTCATTCAAAATACATAAACAGGAAAGAAAAGCCATTCTTGAGTTTCTTTATCATAGCATTTATCATAGAGAAGAGGAAGCTGGCTCAGAACAAACTGTGCTCCAGGAGTACTTCATATATTTACTTATTATAATCCCTAATATTTAATTGGAGAACTTAAAAAACCCCCTGCAATTAAAGCTTCACTTTAGGAATCAATTAGACAATCAAAGCTTTATTAATTTACATGTATCAAATGACAGTACTTTCTTTGGAAGAAGTCTACAACAATGTATATATTACTCATTTAAATGTTTAATAGCATTTAGTCAAATCAGGGTTTGTCTCCAAATACATTAAATTATTGTTTTGAGCTCTGAGATGAGCTTGAACGTATACCTCATACTAATGTTTAACAGCACAATCCTAACCATGTCTACTTAGAAGTAAGCCCTATTGAATTCTGCGGGGCTTACTCCTAGGTAAACGGGGTTAGGATTGCAGCATTCATGCCAGTGGCACAATCTGTATCGGTTCCATGACACTTGTTCAGTCATTATTCCCTCTCTATAACGTCCAGGAAGCAGGATCAGAAAACAGGCACAATCTGACCAAATGTTCTTCAGCATCCTCTCTCAGATCCCCTCCAGCAAATCTAACGGATTCCTCCTCCTCGAAAGGAACAAAGTGGTTCTTTTGGTAGAGACTGGCTTCAATTCAAAACGAATACTATATAGAGATTGGGAAAATATGTGACTCTGAAGATGCTTTTGGACTTCCTCGCCCCAGCCAGCATGGTGGCCAGGGGTAATGGGATTTGTAGTCCATCTATATCTGAAGGACCATAGGTCCTCCAGTTCTGGTGCAATGGAAATCTCAGGGCTTATAGGGGAAAGACCACCGGACAGCAGCGGCTAATTAGACCTCCTCCGTGTGCATCTTCTTGTAACAGTATCAAGAGTCTCTATGAAGTTAGAGATGGTGGATGACCCACTAACTCATTTCTAGAATTCAGCCTGTTTGTTCTCATGAGCCCCATGGTGAGAACTGCCACCAACACCTTCAGGGGCTTAGCTTCGGGAGGAGAAAGAAGCGTGCTGGTCCCAAGGTCCGAAATATTTAAATATATTTAGATTGTGGTTCAAACTCACAGGGGCAGCCTCCTCTGAAGTCCTGCCAAAGTGAAATTTAAACCAATCTAAACCGATTCGATTTTACTGACTCCACCAAACCAAATCATCTTACAGTATTTTAAAGTGGGCGGTGGATTCGGGTTGCTTAAGAGCCAAATTGTTAATAATCGAAACGTTATTAATTCATTTTGTTGTATTTAGCCAGAGACGATTGAAAACATCGATTCCCTGGCTCCCTCCAACCAGCGCCTCAAAAGTATACAAACTCGTCCTATCTTAATCCGGAATTAGAAAATCGGATTTCACAAATATTCCGCACCAAGGAGTATTCATGACACCGGGGAAAGTGGGCGGGGGAGCCTTAAAGGAGCCGGCAATGTAACTTACGCTGGGAAAGGAAACGCGCAAGTCACGCGCAGGCGGATCCACGCATGTTTACAGTACTTCAGAGTAAGTCCCACGGAATCAAGGGGCTCGAGGAGACAATCCCAAACACGCTCCTTTGCAAGAACGGCCACCGCTTCCGTGGAACTTGCTGCCAAGTAGATGCGTTTAGGATCGCACCCAATGATTTTGCACCTTGGCATCAGCATCTCGCGGTGCTCTGATTGTTTCGTTAGAGGGAAGATGAGCTGCATCCAACGCAGCTCATGACACCAGCCTAATGACCTCAGCTTTTGGATACTCTGAAATAAGCCCGACAGATATTTTTACTGGGGCTTTTTCACTTAGTAAAATGTGCGCAGGATTGTCCCGCAAGGCCCGCCAGGAATTACGTAAGCCCCAAGGACTTACCTCCCGAGGAACCGAGACCTCACGACTGGCTGAATTCCTGGCATTTCTCGGGCACCCCTGAGAACGTGGTTCCTGTTCCCACAAACATTGACACGCGGTTCCAAGACGTTCTCACGTTCCCCTACATTACACTGAACGCCGATCGGGTGCACATTTGGTTTGCAACTTCGGCTCATGGGAACAAGGCTTCTAAATTCTAATTGTTAATTATTATTTTTTAAATGTGCCGATTCTAATTACAAATTCGTTTCCTAGCGATACTTCAAACGCCTCCCGGTGGTTAAAAGGTCGGTTATAGACTTTCCCATTGCATTTTAGCAATAATTTTGGGGTGACACATAAAACTGGTTTGGGGTGGGGGGTGCGATCAGGCGGACGATAGGATTCTGGAGGAAAATTAACTTCTAGTGATCTCGGAATATTCCCTGCTATAAAAGTGCAAAGCAACTCATTTCCCCTGGCCAATCTGCTGAATTGTATAAAAGTGCAAAGCAACTCTATTTCCCCTGCCCGATCTGCTGAACTGTCCACGCAATCCTATATTTGTGTGCTCAGAAGCAAGACCTGCTGCGTTCAGTGATACTTATCCCGAAGTAAATGGGTCCAGGATTGCAGCGAAGCCCGGGAACCAGCAAAAACTCTGAACCACGATTTACCTCTACGGTGCCCTTTTCTTGCAAACTTGGAGCAACAGGACAAGCCTCGCTCCTCATCCTCCGGTCTACCTTTCACACGATCCGAAGAATCCACTACCGTGTTTGGGCTTCGAGTCTGCTCGGGTATCTCTGACCTTAGGAAGCCTCTTTCCGTGGCATCTTATCCTCTGCCAACTAGTCGCAAATAAGCGAAGCAAATTAATTAGCAGGGCTTAATCTGAGTTCATCCTGCAGAGGGTAGATTCCTGTTTCGTATATATTCATGCGATTTATTTCCTGGTGGACAATTCTATTGACTTATTTCCGAATTCATGTTGAGCAGGATTGAGCCCTAGGCGCCAGTACTACGGGCAACACCTTAAAGTAACGGAAACGTTTTACCGTCTGCCCTTGCACTGATAAACAACACGCCATCCTGAAGAGCATTCAACACGTCCACTAAATAAAAAGTGCACATTTTAAAGGAAACGGTAAGTCGCAGTTAAAAATCAGAATTCCATGCCAGACTTGAATTTAAAAATTATGGTGCACATTGTCTTCCTCTCCCCCCCTTAAATTAATAATAATAATAAATTAATTTACTACTACTACTAGTGTCCAGGCACAGAACAATAGAAGGACAAGACGCAGCTCCTTGCCTCGAGGAACTTAAAAATTCGAAATCTTACAAATTTCTACAGCGAGAAAAACAAGAAAAGGGGGGGGGTAAAGAAGGGCAACGGAGTGAATCACTGGTGACCTGGAAAACTCTTCTCACATGTTGCGTTTCGTTCGCTATATAATTTTAAGCAAGGCAAAAAAGGGGGAAAAAACTCGATATTCCCGAGGTTGTCATTATCACACCAAGGGGAAGTAAATTACACAACTTTGGACCAAAGCATCACTACTGCTATGCAACCCGCCGCCTGCCAGTATACGTGTGTGACAGATAAACACACACACACTGCCTTGTAACTATAGGAATTGTTTCTGAGACTGCAGTGTTACAAAAATGTCAATATTATCGGTGGGGTATTCATTTAGTCATGTACGATTTCTTAATCAAATAAGACACAGCAAAGCAAGCACCTGTCTTATCTAGCGGTTAAAGAAGGGACTGTCAGTGCAAAACACACACACACACACACACACACACACACACACACCCTAAAGCACTTAAGCGCTTGCAAACAAAACAAAGAAGAAACGAAGAGCAGCTTTAAGCAATCAAACGGGAAAAGGATAGAAATCAAATCCTTACCCACCCACCCCCATGAGCTACAGGAGAAGGCTGAACCGCGCCTGCCTTGGAGGCGACCCGAGCGCATCTCCTAACCCCAAAGCAGATGCAGCTCAAGCGGAGCTTCCAGCAGCAGAGCGTGCGCTCCCAGAGCTGCCACACACACACCATGCTCGCAACGGAGCCCCTTATTATAAGGGGCTGAGTATATATTTGCGCCCCCGAAAGCGGGACAGCACTTCCCCCCCCGCTTCCATTTGCAGCAGCAGAGAGAAGAAGTCCACGTTGCTAGTCCTCAAGGAGGTGGCCAGGCCAGGCTGCACTTCGGAACGGCCTTCGCTGCAGGGGAGGCTGTGGCGCGGAGCAGGTCCCGTCCCGTCCCTTCCCCGCCCCGGTCTCCCGCACCCGCGCGCGCCCTCCTTCTCCCCCTCTGCCCCCCGGCGCTTACCCCAAACTCTTGAGCGCAGCCGGCGGGCCAAGCTCACCAAAGTCCTTCTCGGCACATGGGAGTCAAAGGGCAGCCTGGCTCGAGGAGAGAGAGGAAGAAGAGCCAGAAGGGGAGGGAAGAAGGGGGAAAGGCAGAAGTCCTGTTATTCTCTCTCTCTCTTCCCCCCTCCCCTAAAAAATATTTAATAAGAAGAATAACGACGACAATAATAATAATAATAATGATAAAACAAAAAGGAACGCTTAAAAAAAGGGTGGGAAATCTGTCCGGTGTGGAAGTTTAATGGCGCTTGGTAACGTGGGGCTCCCAGAGAGAGGGAGAGAGACCAGGGTCTCCCCCTCAGCCATCGCCGCTGTCACGTCGGATGAGCAAGGCCTGGCTGAACCCGCCAAGTTAGCGCCGGGGGAGAGGCTGGGCCCCGACCAAGCCACGCCTCTCCGCCGGCCCAAGCGCGGCCCTGGTGGGCGCGGGGCGGGCGAGGCGTCGCTCGGCAGGGCTAGGCCTCGGAGGCTCCCGCCAAAGAGGAGCGGGCCCGCGGTTTCAGGGCTGCGTCTGGAGCAGGAGGCAAGGGAGGGCTAGGTTTCGTGTCTGTCAGGGGAAGGGATTCCGTGGTTTTAAGTTTTTCTGTAGGTTTATTTCATTTTATAGCATTTATTTATTGAGCTAGTTATTGCATTTCTGTGGGGTGTTTATGGAAGGGTGTGGGACCTCTGGTGTGGGGCACGTAGGGCACCTGCAAAGGTAGTTTGCCCACCTTTTGGTTCCCCCTCTGCCACTCGGCTGTCACCTGTGGCTCCTAGAAGCTGTCAGCATGTGACATTGGCCACACTCTGGAAAGCGGCTTTGGCTGGGTGGCTAAACCAGATCTCAAAACCCTCGGGGAGTTAGGGACTTCCCTGCGTGTGGCTTTGATGGATTGAGTGGATGAGACCAATGGTGTGTCAAGAAGGTGGTTTCTGCACATGCTGTAGAGGGAAGTGAGGAGCAGATGGGGCTCGTCCACCTGGGAATCCAAGGAGAAGGAAAACTCTGACCCTAAACCTCCGCTGCTTGTTGGGGAGAAGAAAAATCTAAGCAGCAAACCCTACGCAAATCCAGAGTGGAGTCCCTAAGGCGGTTGGATGGCACCTTGTACGCCTCCTTCTGGCAATTCCAGCAGCCAAGCTGGTGCCAAGCCTATTGTTCTGCTTTCCTTCAGACCACATCGGTGAGAATGAGACTTCACCCTTGGAGGCACACTCCATTGTCTCTCGAGACAGATGGATGTCAACAATACATTTCTATACCGCCCAATATCCAAGGATCATAGGGCGGTTTACGATCTAAAAGCACAAAAATATATAACACAGTAACAAACAATATTAATACTTACCCCTCGGTTTAAAAGGCCATAGACCAGGCACCCCCAAACTTAGTCCTCTAGATGTTTTGGGGCTACAACTCCCACCATCCCTAGCTAACAGGACCAGTGGTCAGGGATGATGGGAATTGTAGTCCCAAAACATCTGGAGAGCCAAGTTTGGGGATGCCTGCCATAGACTGTTTAATTAGCCAGAGGCATGGGAGAAGAGGGATGTTTTTCACCAGCACTTAAAGATATGCAGCAAAGGTGCCAGGCAAGCCTCCCTGGGGAGAGCATGCTGCTAGCGGGGAGCCACCACAGAAAAGACCTGTTAAGCAGTTCATTCCCAGGTAGGGATTAAATAACAAGTGAGGCCAATGATATGAGAATCAAGGCACGTCTTTATTTCTCTGTGGGCACTTCAGGAACTGGAGATCTCCCTGACCCCAACACAGCATAAAGTTTTCATATATGTTTCAAACAAAGAGCTTTAAGCTAAGCTAACTGATTATAATATGCTGCAACATGAGTCTGCATATTATACCCATCTCTAATTATAAACACTACACACTTGTCTAGTCTAGTTATTTGGCTTTTTTGTTACTTTTCCTTTCATTACACTTTGCTTCTTGCTATATCTCTTGGCAAGAGATATCTTTTATCCAACCTCTCCCATTCATCTTGTGAATGTCAAGTCATATAAACAGGGATATGCGTTCTACACACCCTGACTTCTTTTGCTTCCATAGAATTGTTACTTGTATGGGACCCCGAGGGTCATCTAGCCCAACCCCCTGCAATGCAATGTTAAATTTAGAGCACAGTTTCAAAACTATTCCTCCACAGCCCCATTCCCATGTTGCTACCCTCCGGACCTCTTGTGGAAGATGCACACCACACAAAGAAGGACCTCACTGGATGATCTCATGGTCCAGGTAGGTTCATATGGGGAGAGGCAGTCCTTGAGGTATTGTGATGCTGAGCCTTTTGGCATTATAGGTCAAAAACAGCACTTTGAATTGGGCCCAGAAACTAATATTCATCCAGTGCAGTCACTGTGTAAGCAGTGGGATTGAGAAAGCTAGAAGGGAAGTGTCTTAATCACTTATCTGAGTGCTCATTTGTTTTGGTCAGCCTTATCCAGAGTTCAATGTAGTGGCAACAGCTTTGCTGTGACCCACTTGTGGGTCCTGACCCACTGGTTGAAGACCTCTGATCTAGATGCTGCTAGATTGGGAGGCACAAATGACCCTGGATACATTCTACAGAGACATGTGCTCCCCTGACTGCTCCTGCTTCTGGGGAGTGTCCCTCGAGATAAGGTAAGAAGGCAGGAGCCAGATTCTCAACCCCTTCCCTGTCTCTGGTGGGGTTTTTTTGGTCACAAGGGCCTTTTGTATGTTGCTGGACAGTCCTCAATACATCACCTTCCACAGCATGCACTTTGATGAAATATCTCATTTTCGTCTTGTGGAATGAAGACCCAAAGGAGGGTTTAACTACAGTGGTGGTTTCTTTATGTAGGTGGGGAAAACCGTTAGTCAACATGAGGGTGTCTGGACAGGGTTGGGAAGGTGAGGAGAAGTGAATCAGAACCTTGCCAGAAGTAGTACTGAAGAGGGGAGTACGAGTCCCACCTCAATCCCAACTTTTTCCAGAGTGTATTGGGAGCCTAGCCATGGATGGCATCTGATGTCCAGCCTTGGGTGTGTTCTAGTAAGCCCCCTCTGTTCAGTGAGTCTTCATCCCTAGTGTGTTTGACACTGAAGCATATGGCTTTTGGAATTAATATAGATTGCGAATGGTGCTCATAAACAGCAGGTGGCAGTATGACAATTCAAAACACTTAGGCCGTTTTGTAAAAGTTGCAAAACTGTCAGAATCAGAAGCCAATAGCTGGAAGAGAAACATAGCCAGATGTTTAAAGAAGTGTGATGTTATAATTTTGAAATGGGAAAAGACTTGGTAAAACTACACGTGTTAATCTGTGGCCAAATAAATAAGTGAATAAGTAAGTAGGTTGTGGTTATGATTGATTTGGGTTGTCAGACTACCCCACCTACAAATTGCAAACAATTTCTTTTACAAATGCAGACAAAGTTCAACTGTTGAGAAAGACATAGAAAAGAATAATTTTTCCATATTATTAATTTTAGTGCAATAATTGTACACTTTTAACTCAACTGATTCTCTCTCCCCTCTTTTAAAATAATAGGATTGAGGGAGGGATATCACATTACCCATGCCTCACATAGTTTGGGGTGATACTTCATCAGTTTCACCCTAACACGGACAGCTATTGCAATTGTCAATACTGTCTTTTGGCTAGAAATAGTTAACAACGGTGCAAATTGATATTTGTGTAGCACATTGAAGGCATTTCACATGCATGAGGACCATGCGAAAGGATCATTTAAAAAAAGAATTGTTCAAGGCACACTATGTAGTTTTTGTGGATAAGTAAGCAGAGCATAGGCATAGCAAGTTTGGGTGGTTTCTGCAAGTTTACATAAGATGTTTGTACAGAATGAAATCTGATATTTGAAACAAGAGGTGGCAAGTGAGCTCAGTGCAACTCACTAAGGGCTGTGAGAATCTTGAGATTCAGTTTCCTTCTTTTTTTTAAAGCAACTTTCTATTCCTTGTGCTTGCGGCAGCAAGTGTAATGATTGCATGTTTGAAAGGTTCAAACAAAAAGTCCTGTTTCAAACGTCACAGATTCTAAGTGTCAATATATTCTTATCATGAATAAATGTTGTATCTGTTGTTGCACGCCACCCCAGTGGTGCGAGATTCCAGGGGTTCCAGCGTTCACCCAGGGATTGTGTTTCCTTTAGGAAATGAAACAGTGGAGACTGTGGTGTCTTTATGATATATGGTTTATTTACACATATATACAACCTGAGCCTATGATTGAGAGGTTCACAGCATCAGCACCCCAAGAGTCTTGTTTCTCCTATAGCCACAGCCTTGGGTTCAAACAGAAATCAACCACAGTACTTGGACCCTCTCTCTTTAGCGACTTGCAACCTTTTTTCCTATAGGTCACACCACCGCCAACCCTAAAGACTCTGCTTCAAACTCTCACGTTGTCTTCTAACTCATAGCTGGCCGCCACCCCTTTTTCTTAATGGCCCATCGTCTTTCCCTTTGTTCTTTCTTAATGGCTCATCTCCCGGGCGATTACTTCTAGAGAAAGCTGGCCTCGATCCAGGGGTTCAGGAGGCTTGATTAATTTCTAAAACTTACTGGGTGCAGGACTTTATGGGAGTCTTGCGCTTAGTTCTTGGCATCTCCAGTTTAAAATTACTTAGGGGGCAGGGAAGGGAAAGCCTAAGCACCTGGAGAACTTCTGCCCGACAGAGTAGATGATACAAGACTAAATGGAGCATTGGTCTGACTCTGTATAAAGGTCACAAGCCAAGTTCCAAGGTGTGTTCTGGTCACTCCTCTGATTGTAGGTCAGATTATGTGGGTATTTTGAGTGGGTGTTTTTGAGGGTATTGTTTAAGGCGGCATTTCAGCAGAATTTAGCTTACAGCAACTGAGGCAGCTCAAATATTTGGTTGCATGCCCTTGCCAGTTCCATTGATCCATATTTCCCCAGTACTTAACACCTGGTGTGCTATACATGCTGATCCAGAAAGTCCCTGGGAAGGTCACATAACTTCACAGTTTATGTGATGCTGAGGCAGTGAGGCAGGGTTAGTGGGTAAACATGCCTTATGATACCTTTTCTGTGCTTTAAATACTTAAAAAATGAAGGCAAAGCCCACTGATCCACCCACCACAGCAAATTTTTCCAGCCCCTCAAGACCTTGCTGGGGTGTACAAAGCCCAAAACTCTGAAGGGAATGTCAACTGCCCACTCCTCAGCCATCATTTGATGAGCAAAAGGCAGCATTGACCATACACCAGCTGAGCAGAGGGCCTGTGTGTGTGCATGTGAGAATATACTTGAGAGAGTATGGGGTGACCACATTTGTCTCTTGTAATAATGAGAGTGTTTAAGCAATTCGTTTGAACTATTTACAAAACTAGTGACCTATTTATAAATTTGAAATGTCCATATTTGCAGGTGTTTTTCACTGTTACATGTGGCACTATATTTTCCACTCACTTTTGGTATAAACATAGCGTACCCACAAACCCTTCAAGGAACAAAACTGAAGGCATGACAAATGTGATTTATTTATGAGTAAAGGATAATTAGAAAAAAAGTGTCATTCATACAAATAATATATTTTGTAATACTGACCATTGAATAGCAGAATGTTCTTTTTGGCAGTCAATCATTCAATTACACATTCAACAAGCAGAAGCATGAAACACACCAAAGTTCCTGTTTGTCATAGTTGGATTAAGGATGTTCTCAGGGAGACAGAATTACTTGTTCTAGCTAATCCTGATATATCTTTGTGCTTTCCTGAAACTGCTCATAATAGCAGTACAATAATTTCTTCCAAAACGGTGTCACTATATATATATATATATATTCAGAACTTTTTAAAGGACAGAATTGGCTTTCTTCCTACATCAAGTGAAAGGCACGTTTTAAATAGTAACAAAGTAGTGGCAGAACTCAACTATAGTTTCTCCACAATTTATTCACATAGGCAGCTCTTATGTGGTATGCCCAGTTCTATTGCCACCAGATTAATAAAAACCAAGAATATTATAGCACATTAAAGACTAACAGACTTTATCATACCACAGGTTTTCACAGACTGGAGTCCATTTCATCAGAGGCATGGAACTGTGTACATCTGAAGCACACTCTAGTCCACCAAAACTTATGCCGAGCGTGGTGATCAAAACTGTTACAGAGCAATTTGATGGCATTTACATCTTAACAAAGGGAAATGCATATTAAATATATGATTTTTAGAGCTTCAAGTCCCATTAAACCCTGGCAAGGATTATGTAAGGCAGTCAGGGTTTGCACAGCATGTTCAAGAGTGGCTGTTTGCAGACTTAACATGGCTAAACTGTGGTTTAGTGTGCTGTGTAAGAGCAAATGAGAAAAACTCTCCTGTATCAGACTAAAGGCTTATGTAGCCCTGCATCCTGTTTCTAGATACCTATGTGAAGCACACAAGTTGGGCCTGAGCATCATAGCCCTGTCCCACTGTTCCCCCACAAATGGTATTCAGAGGAGGCAGGCTGCCTCTGATTGTGGAAGTGAGTGAGCCTTGAGTTTGCTCTCCTCCTCTGGAAGGAAATTGGAAGCATTCAGTATTGTTTTCAACTAACCATGGTCTGTTGTTAAATTTAGACTGGGACAAACTGTGGTTGGTTTTAACTATGGTTTGTCTAAACATGCCAACTTCAAACCATGATTTATCTGAATAAACCAGGTTTGTAAATCATAGCTAAAACTAACTGCAGTAAGCTGAGGGGGTAAAGTAATTAGGGAAATAATTGTTACTTATCCTGAGTCCTGAGAATAAAAACACCTCATAAAGAATCATGATGTTTGAGGCTGTGCGCTCTTCTCACCCAAAGGAGCAAAAAAAAGAGCTGTTTAATAATCAAAATACTAGCTTTGTAACTAGATGTATTTGGGTATTATCAGCCTGTACTGACAAAAGAATTCCTGAATTGTGGGTTAAATAAGATGGACTCCCACTATTTAGAAGGTGTGTAATTTACTATAGTTTAATTAAAAACAGATGAGCTTTTAAGCAATGCAAAATAGGTACATGACATACAAACATCTAATGATTGGGCAGTGGTTTCTTGGTCTGAGACTTCTTCATGCAAGACTTTAGTATCAAATAAGACAACTCAAGTACATTTAGGAGCATGCAAATGCCTGACACAGCCAGCATGAAAATAGTAAATACAGTTTTCTCAGTGGGACGAGAAATAAAGCAATCTACTGTATTTGGGCAAGGAAAATCAGTGCATTTCACTACACGAGGCATACGGTACCCATCGTACATGTGATAAAATATGTACATGAAAGTCGCTTCGAAGATAATTCGGAAGAAGAGGCTGCTGGTGTATGTCCACCATAAAGGTCCTTCGATGTGGAACTTTTGGGTTTTCAGACTTTCAAGGTCAATTTTCTCCCCTTTTCGGTATTTCCGTTTCTTCTCGTGCCTTCTGTAGGCAACATGCATTGCCACCAGAAGGGCAGGGGTAGACACAAAGATAAGCTGGAGAGCCCAAAGTCTAATATGAGAAACTGGGAAATAATCATCATAGCAGGTATTTTTGCACCCAGGTTGTAGAGTGTTACAAGTGAAATCTGACTGTTCGTCTCCCCAGACATTTTCTGCAGCCACCACAAGGATCATGACACGGAAAATGAAGAGGACAGTGAGCCATATCTTCCCAATGCTGGTTGAGTGTTTGTTTACACCTCCTAAAATGGATTGGAGGGTTCCCCACATGGTGGCTTGTGCGTTCTTTAGCCTATTAAGATAAAGGAAAAGAAAAAGCCAAATGATTAATTATTCTATTCCTTCACAAATGAGGAGGTCCTCTGCTGCTAGTACAGACAAGTTATAAGCAGACAGGCAGAACATTCTGAAATGTTTTGGCTTCTTTCTCTCCCACCCATTCTGGAAAAGGAATGTTAAAACTTGATATACACCTATCCATTCAAAGGAGCACAGTGACATTAAAACACTGACATAATTAAAGGGGTGGTTAAACCAGAGTTCATTATGCAGAGACTTCTTTTGGCATGGGAGTATGTTGATGATATGCAGTGAATTTATACAACTAGGATTCACATATAAATGAAGCCCATATCTAAGCTCCAGCATATTCTTCTGTTCTGCCCTTATAGAAATATCCATTAAAGGAGGTGCTGTTAAAGGCTGGTTAGGTTATAATTAAACTAAAAACACTGGCATTTTTTCACTTTTCCAAATGCCATCCTATGGCAACTTTAGTTTACAAGATGACTTCAGATGTATGTACAGAAAGCCCGCTACTTGTGTGCATTTAACTTGTGTGCATGCAGGGGAAGAGAGGGGAAGGGTGTGGGAACACCTGTGGTCACTGCAACTCTTTCTTATTAAACTAAACTATGGTTTGACATTATATCTGAACTGGGTCAGAGGGAGAGGTGCAGCTATTTGGCAATGGAAGTTATTGTTAGCATTAAAAAAAAACCAATTTGTGGAGATGCTCCATTGTGGGAAACTTACACAAAGGTAATGGAGAAATACGTGTTCCAAGATACTACATTTTAATGGCATGAAAGAATCTTGCTGTAACTGCAATCGCTGTATCATCACTTATCAATGATTACCATTCCCTGCTTTTAGCGCAGATCTACACCACAGATGTAAACAGATTTAGTAATCATCCTCTGTCCTCAGAAAACCCAAGAAACTTAAGCTGTGGTGGGGAGTAGGGGGTGTCAAGATATGTAACAGTACCGTCAACAAACCTTGATTGCCAAGATTCCTTGACGGAAGAACCCCAAGCAGCAGCAGGAGAGGAGTAGCCAGAACAATGGCAAAACAGGTAAAACGTCTGCCACCAGCTCCCTGCTTTGCTTGGCTTTGCTTCCCCCTGAAGGAAGGTGAGAGGTGCCAGACCATCCCGGAAGACCCTGGACCCACTCACCATTGATTTGCAGGAAGCAACCTGCCTTCTGGGTGGGGTGAGCACCTTGAATTGGGCCCAGAAATGAACTGGTAACTAGTGGGGGAGTTGTTGACTCCATGTGAATTGTCATTTGGGCTAGGGAAGAGGGTTGAGTTTTTGTCTTACCTGCTGGTTAGTGGGTGGGAGTATTGCCTTGTTTTTTTGTTTCAATATTGCAAATGGTTTTTTATTGCTATGTAGGGGGCTGGTTTGTGGTTTTTGTTTTCCCATATGTTGAATGAAATATTAACATGTTATATGATTTCCCCCTTTTTTATCGTATGATGTATTTGCACGTCTTTTTCTTTAATATTAGTTGCTTGGAGACCTTTGGGTGACAGGCAACTAATCAGCTAAAATATTTATTAATCTGGGTTTTTTATATTAAAAAAACACAACCTGATATAATTTTATAGTTAGATATGCCTGTCAAACAACACCTTTGGGTTCATTTCTGGTGACCCTCAAATCTATTTTTTGTTGATATTGTTAATTAAGGTCAAACTCATTTTTAATCTTCATTTTCATTGGAGATGCCTACATGCTGGTTTTGGCAGTTCACATATAGAAATCAATCCAAATGAGTGTGTCCAATTATGCAGCTTTCCTATTCTAAGAGTGTGTTGGCATAGTACTATACAAACAAATAATGTGGTTTAGTAAAGCCTTAACAAGCAAGGCCAAGCTGACTTACAAGAAGACAACACTCCAACATGTTATAACATGACCCTTGACATGGTAGCTTTCATTACACCCACTAACCCTAAGAAAAAAGAGGATAGATTTTGCTGATGTAATGAGGAGTTGCAGAATCAAGATGAAAAGATAGATAAAATTATTTCTTTTCCTACTAATCACCCTCCTCCCTGTAGGATTTGATTTGAAAGCTGCTCGGATTCATTTCTTTAAAATAAATCATTTATATGTTTTCCAATAACCAAGGTCTTGGGTTTTCCTATAACCAAGTTCGATAAGAAACCACACCAAACTCTGTGACCACAAATCAAATACACTTCTGCTAACCATTAAACAAGATGAAGACTTTCACCCCTATTAATTCAATTCAAACAAAGCATTCAACCAAAAGAAAACAGGATAAATATCAAGTGTTTTGCTCTTCTGTTATATAGATCAGTGGTTCCTAATTGGTGGTCTGTGGACCCGAGTGAACCTGTGCCCCATTCACATAGCAAAAACTACCATAGAGGTATCAACATTTTCGAAGGAAGGGGGTCCATGTCTTGCCTTTGGAAAAACAGGGAGTCCACAGGACTTACCGGTAGCTAACTGGAAACCACTGATATTTTTTGCCAGTATTGCAAAATGTGAACTGACACAACAAATTCCATCTGTCGTGTAAGCCTAATGTGTAACTGATGTAGACTCTTAAGGTTGCATTCAACTAAGACAAGACTAAGTAGGGTAGACCCATTGAAAATAATGAACCTATGTTAATCATGCCCATTAATTTGAATGGCTCTGCTTTGAGTAGGGCTAACATTGGATAGAACTCTTACCTATGAAGATTAAGGTTGCAATCCTGTATAAATTCACATGAGATTAAACATCATGGAGCTCAATTGCTTTTTAGTGAAATGCATAGGATTGCATTGTAAAACAGCAGTCCTGCACATACTGGAAAATACTCATTTGACAGACATGGTCCTATGTATGTCTACTCAGAAGATACCTTTGAGTAAATCATTTTCTCAATTCATCTACTATTCTAGAAACCTTAAGGTGAAAGGTTAGGTATATTAATATTAATACTACTAATGAATATTGCATCTTAAAGGTGAAAAATTAATCGGGCAACTGCAGCATCCCTCATGCAGAATTCTGCATCTACATGGATCAGTGTGAGTGAAGGGGCAAATGGTTATCCAGGACTCCACATCAAATCCATTTCTTCCTCCACTGTATGGAGAGGTTATATTGCAGATATTAAATATGTCATTCTTTCTGCACAAACTGTTAGATATCATTTTAAAATTACATCCCTGTATAAAATACAAATGGTTAGCATATGGAAATCACGGAACATTTATCCATCTGCATCTCTCACCCTTTCTGTCTTCAGTGGTATTATTTCCACTGGAATAATATGGCGGGGGAAGATAATAGAAGAAAAACACATGTAAACATGAGGATAGAATGGCATATGAAATATTAATTAAAATTTCAACCACAGCTATGAGACTTTTTTAAACTAGAGAGATGTTTTATGTGTTTTGATTTCAGGGATCACTTTCTTGCCCCAGGAGGAAGAAAAAATGGGCGTTCCTAGTTCCGTGAGAATTTTACAGGCATTTTCATGACTTAATATTAAGGGAAGTTGTTGAAGCATGTTAACGCTTTAGTCACCCAAGAAAGAAATCACAGATTGTATTGAAGAGAACTATTGAGAAGTAATATATCCCAAACATTCACTGAATAGTGAATGAAAGCAGTTCTTAGTTACATCAACGTGAAATGATTTCAGTGGGCCACCTCTGAATATGACAAAGGTTTGGTTATCACACTTCATATTTAAGGTGCCACAGGATGTCTTGAAAAACTAGTCCTCCTTTTTTGTACTAAGGTCTCTTAGAAGATGAAAATAAGCATCTTACTGGACAAATCCTACCCTTTCCTCACATGTTGCGATTGTACCAGAAGACCGAAACTGTTATTTTAAAATCAACATTACAAAAATCCCTGAGTTACATGGCTTGACCATGTTGCTAACTTTGTATGATAATGTTTCACCATAATGGTGGGGCTGGACTTCACAGCTGGTTAGTAAAAGACAACATGTGGCTATTAACTCCCAGCCGTAAGTTGTAGACCTTGGCCTTAACATGATGATGGGTCTTTCAAGAGAAAGACCTCTTTTTCCTGGCAGAACCGAAGCACTGGGAACCCAGCGAAGAATCTGGACTACAGCCAACATCCTGCCAAAAGAAAGATCGTAACATCTTGTGCATCTCACAAAACCGAATGGGGGAAAAAAACATGTGTGGAGGGACTTGTTTCCCCAATTTTGTCTGTATTTCTACTTTATCTCTCACACACAAACAAACGCGCGGAGCCGTCAGACTTTCTCTTTGGCACCGCATGGTAGTCAGCCGCTCCTTTCACTTGAACCCCTCACAGAAATCCTGCAGAGCTGAAAAGGGACCTCCAGGGTCATGTAGTCCAACCCCCCGCAATGCAGGAATCCTGCCCACAGCGAGACCGACCCATTTCATACGTCCTATAAGCCTAGCAAGCCGAATACCCCAAAGTCCGGACTCTGCTGCCCTGCGAAACCTTCAGATTTCTCTTGATCTTTTAAAACGCGCGCACAGCGTTTTAACCCCATTCCCTCTCCACCCCATGGAAGTGCCAGGCGCGGACATTTCCATTCACATCGGCTGGAGGCTTCATCTCAACCTAAATCTTCCCTTCCCGCAAGGAGAGAGAAAGCATCGCCCCTGCAACAGCAGCAGCCCCATCACCTCGCTCAGCTCCTCGCGCGGGAGAAGAAACCGGTCCAGCTGCGTCCCCCCGCGGGGCTCCGTTCCGCTTGCTGGCGAGGTCCAGAGAGCGCCACTTGCTCGTAGGCTGCCTAGTTTCGTCGCCACCGCCGCCGCCTCGGCAGCTTTGAGGGAGGCTCCTTCCTGTTCCCGGGCAGATGCTCTTTAGCGACGCCTTCGGCAGGCGCGGCTGCAAGGAAAGAGGCGGGAAGAGCCCGTGCGGACAAGGCGGGGGGAGGCGCCACCGTCGAAGAAATGGTTGCGACGCGGCCCCTTCCCGCCCTCAGACGACGCCTCCGCAGTGCTTTCACTTCTTCCCCTTCGCTTCTTGCCAGGGCTGCTCGGTTGGCAACAGCAGCACGGCAGGTAGAAATTCAACATGTGGTGGGCACTGTCATTCAAATAGTGTTTTGTGCGCACCGTGTCGCGTGATTGATAATAATAATAATAAATTTTATTTATATCCCGTCCTCCCCAGCTTCCTCAGAGCAGCTAACAACCAATAATAAAAACAAGTTGATTAGAATACAATTTAAAAAACAAGATTAAAATACAACATTAAAACATTAGGATGCAGCCTCTTCACAGGAGGAGAAAGGAAAAAAGAAAGAGGGGGAGGGAATCAAATTGGCTCCAGGCCAAAGGCCAGGCGGAACAACTCTGTCTTACAGGCTCTGCGGAAAGAAATCAGATCCTGCAGGGCCCTGGTCTCATGAGGCAGAGCGTTCCACCAGATCGGAGCCAGTGTTGAGAAGGCCCTGGCTCTGGTTGAGGCTAATCTAACTTCCTTAGGGCCCGGGACCTGTAGGGTGTTGCTATTTATGGACCTTAAGGTCCTCCGTGGGGCATACCAGGAGATATGTGGGGCGGGGCTTACCTGACACCCCCCCTCAATATTTTTTTCACCCTGGGGGGTGTAATAATGGGGAAAGCATCTACTGATGAAATTCCACTGCCTCCCTGTCACTGTGCTATTACAACCACAGTGGTAAGAGGCAGATTTAGGGGAGCACAACCAGTTTGGGTGCCAAGGATGCCAACTTGAATAAAATATAGGGGGGCAGGTAAGCCCCACCACACACATGACACAGTGCACAAACATCACTAGAATGGCAATGTGCATCAACTGGCCTCCAATATTTTATTGGGGGGGGGAGAGAGAAGGGACCTCAGCTCCTAGGAGTCGGGCTGGGCGCGGATACTTTTGCGGGTGCCACCAGGGTTAGGATGCCACAGATATGCTTTAGAATGGAGCATGAGAGGTAGCGGGTGCTGAATCTTGGTGTTGCACAAGGTGCTGCTGAATTTTGAGACCCCAAGATCCACCGTTGTTAGGGTGGATCAGGAGTGGGAGACTTTTGGCCCTGAAGATGTTGCTGAACTACAACTGCCATTAGCTGGTTACAGGGGAAACCTCAGAATAGGTACAGAATAAATGCTGCTGTTGTTGTTGTTGTTGGCATAGGTGCCACTTTCCAAAATGGCAATGAGAGTGCACTGGACGCAAAGCAAACTGGAGTGTGTACACACCCTCAGACGTTGGGAGGAATTTAATCAAGGACAGGGTGGTGGCTCATGAGTCGAGATGGCTGCCGTCTGCTGTGCATACATTTAGGGAAATGGTAGCACGTGGAAAGAGACCTGAATGGCTAGCCAATGAGACAATAAGGATGTTTAACTTTTCATAGACAAGTATTGGCTTCAATTGGTGTGCAACATGAAAGAAAGCCTTCCATTGGCTGTCATATACAATCGATTTTTCTAGTCACATATGGGCACATACATTGTGTGTGTGACTCCAAGGCACATTTAAACCTAGCATGAGAAAATACCCAAACTCAGGTTCAGACAGATTTTAGGCTTTCAGGTTCCATTTTGTTTTGCTTTTTTTCTAGTATCTTAAGGCCCACTAACCAGAGCCACATGCCAGATAGAGGCTGGTGGAGCAGAACCAGATGTTAAATAGTGATTCAGGGGCAAAGCCTTCTGCACTCATACCAACATGACCTTAATATAAAAATATAAATCAACGCCTGAGTTACAGCAAATCTAATCTGGGGCTGGAGGAAGTTAGCATTTTTGTTACTGTCATTGTTAAAAACTGGGAGTCAGGAACCTTTGCTATTAACTACTGCAAAATATCCAGCAATTTACCAACAGAACTCAGTCCACCTTCTGTCCACCCCTCTTCTAAGTTAGTCCTTATGATACATGTTGCACATGGATGATGGCACCTAAATGCAACACACACACACCTTGTATCAATTAGATACAAGTTGATCACATCAATATTAAAGGGTTTTCTTGTCAATACACTTCAAAGCAATGTCGTTGAATGTGTGTGTTCACCAGTTTTGAAGCCATATTCAACTACAAGTCTGGTTAGCTTTTCCACATGGAATGTGGGCACTAGGGCAAAGTACACATTAGTGGACTAAAACACAGCAAGGTCATCCCCCCCATGTGTTTCAAGTCACATTTGCATATTGCTGTAACAGAGAAGGGGTAGATATATTTTCAATCAATGTGCGTTACCTGTTTGGTTTCCGCTTGCCTGCTGCAGCCACCCCACCAACTCTTATTCATGAAATTGTCATTTGTGCATGCTCTGCAATCTGTACATGTACAACAGCTGCTTCAAATGTGCACGTCTCATCTTAGCTGCATTGCAATGTGAAATGCGGCTTATGGGATTTTTGCCAAGTTGAACAGAAACTGAGAGAATAATAGAGAGCTTCAAACGAAAGAGGCTGAAGCTGTGTTTTCGTTTCTGGATTCCTTAACCCCCTCAACTGCACAAAATTGGGGGCTTTTGTGTCTCCTTGGTACCCTGGCTGAAGCATGGGGGAAAAGTTCCTGGGTAAGTAATGGTGAGTCCTGACACACATTACACCTCTGAAGCGCCTCCCTCTCTTTCAATGTTAAATGAAGCTTTCTGGTTAAAAGGCTATAGTTGTCTCTATACTTAAAGTGTCGTTCCTCACATGGTGTTCTGTTCAATATTATTCTGTGCCAAGCAATGAGGCACTCTACTGACACTGTCCTGATATCCTGCAGGAAATAAGTGAACAAAAAACCTCCAGCTAATAGGCAAAAACAAACAATGCTCATTTGTATCCTCCCTGCCACTGTCTCTTTCCAAAACAATAAGGATGCCACACCATCACCAGTCTCGCTTGCCTGAAGTGAGACCTCCAATCTTATCTCAAAAATGAAAGATTCCTAGCAAGTCCTGTGGAAGAAGGGGCTCCTGTCTGAGAAGAAATTGCCTTAAGGATGCTTTCTGTTATTATTCACTGGCAAAGAAGCCCTCTAGGATGTGCCCTTGTCAGGAAAGAATGAACATTACCACCACCACTATGGCCCATTGATGTGCTTTAGCACGATAAACTACACTGTTTGGTAAGACTCGAGTTCATTCCCCATCTACCACCAGTGTTTACAGCAAGAACACTGCAACTTAATTTTAAAATAGTAAAAGTAAATACAGTATGCATTTCAGTGCTATGCAGCTTTAGAGCAAGTGGATTAAAAAAATGGAATTTCATTATTTATTGGTGGATGAAAGGGTCAAAGTGCATTTATAAGAATTACTCAACTTTTCTGGCTCATTTGCTCCTAGTGTAGGGTATAGTTAGATTAAATCCAATTTTGTGCCTTTTCATTCTACTAATTTTTGATCCCCCATTGACTGGGTGCCACCTTCCTGTTGTGGTATGTTTTCAGAGTAAACAAACAAAGGCAACTAATGCAAACATGATAATGAGGCTTAACTATTAGGCATTTGCATTTTTAAATGCATCCCCTCTGAGCACTGCTTCCCAAGTTACCAAATCCATAAATGGAAGTCATATTCATGTATGAAACTATAAAATTCATGGGCATGGGTGTGCACAGCACATTTCATTAAGGTGTGCACCCATAGATGATGATAATGATGATGGTGATGATTTATTTCAGTGAAGGAAGGCGGGGGAATGATGAGACAAACAAATAAGGACAAGGAAGAAGTAAAGGGGCAGAAAGCTAACAAAACAACCACAATAAGAGGGTAAAGAAGCCAAAACGAAATATTTTTCCTGCAGAGCTGACCTGAGGCATGGAAGACCCAGAGGGCCAAGGGTGGGGTGGCTCCTTCTCTTCCTTGCTTGAGCAACAGCAAAAACAGGTCCTCACTTTTATTGAAACCATTTTTATTAATAATAGGCATGCATGTTTTTAAGTCTCACAATAAAACCCCACTAGTAACCAAAGGGTGCAGTGAGACTTGCAAATTGTGCTTTGTGCCTGCAATGTAGGCAACCTTTTGAGGGGTAAGTAATCGAGCAATGCATGCCAGCAGGAAGAGACTGCAGATTCTGAATATTGACATTATGAATCCAAAAAGTGTCTTCAGGGCAATTCCCATAACTTAGTTATTCCACCTATTTATTCATCACATTTGCCTGCAGATATGAGCAGCAGTTGGGACGCGGTCAGAAGGTCAGCGGTTCGAATCCCCATGAGCTCCCATTGCTTGGGCCCTGTTCCTGCCAACCTAGCAGTTTGAAAGCACGTCAAAGTGCAAGTAGATAAATAGGTACCCCTCCGGCAGGAAGGTAAACAGCATTTCCGTGTGCTGCTCTGGTTTGCCAGAAGCGGCTTAGTCATGCTGGCCACATGATCCAGAAGCTGTACACCCGCTCCCTCGGCCAATAAAGCGAGATGAGCGCCGCAACCCCAGAATCGGTCACGACTGGACCTGATGGTCAGGGGTCCCTTTACCTTTTATGAGCAGCATTGTTTTTGCTTTTTAAATTATCGGGCAACAGAGAAATAGAATCTTGAAGTTCAGTTTGTAAGTGTGTTTGTAATTCCACAAGTCCCATGTGGCTAACCTAAGGAGGGTCTGTCATGTAGCCTTCTTAAGTGATTAACATAAAACTTGAGTATTTGCAAATAAGATAATATAAAATTGATTTTGTAATTGTAAGGCTACTTATAATAATTGGGGGAAACAAGGTTTGAGGGAAAACATCCTTTCTCTACTTAAAATGTTTTGTGATTAAGAAATTCTATTTGCAGTGCATCAAGTTTTTCAGTAGTATACTTTACTTTTATTTACAAGTCATCATTCTTCCTCGTACCTGATGACATATTTTCTTCTCTTGCGTAATTATGGCATTATTGCACATTCCTTCTATGGGATTGTGGTTCTGATTCATCAAGGCACTTAAGTGCAGATGGATACATACTGTGATTTCCCTCAAATAAGAATACGTGCACTGACATGTTTTTGAAATGTGTCTGTGAGCCAATATTCTCTGCATTTAGCGCACCTACATTGGTATATTATGCAAATATACTGTCTAATAAAGCCAGTAATAGAATAGTTTTCCAGAGCTTAGTCAGTAGAGCATGAGACTCTTAATCTAAGGGTCATGGGTTTGAGCCCCATGTTGGGCAAAAAGATTCCTGCATTGCAGGGGGTTAGACCAGATGACCCCTGTGGTCCTCTCCAACTCTACAATTCTATGGTGTGGGAGCATACAGGGATGCTGTTGAACTCCAAGTTGGGAGGCACTCATGCAGAGGTCGAGTTGAATGAATTGGTTCTTCTGAACTGAACCAGTAGGTTTTTCTTGAACTGTTGTAATCACACAGATCACAGGGACTGTGTTTATGGGTTCCATGCAGAGGGACCAACTGGTTCAATAGCATCCCTGGATGCATCAGTCCTAGCTGCAAGCTCTATGATTGGCTGGTGCAGCATGTGATTGAGGGGCCACTGGCTAGTGATTCCAAGAAATGTTCTTTATGCAGTGCTACCTCGCTTTACGAACTTAATCCGTTGGGAAAGTCCATTCTTAAACCAAAGTGTTCTTAAACCCAGGCGTGCTTTCTATAGAAAGTAATGGAAAATGGATTAATCCGTTCCAGACGATGAAAAACAATCCCTAAAACAGCAATTTAACATGATTTTTTCTATCTAACGAGACCACTGATCCATAAAATGAAGGCAATAATCAAAGTACTGTACTATAAAATAAGTAAGACAGTATTGTAGATGATAAAAATTAAAATTAATTTTTTTCTCATGAGCACTGATGATAGTCATTGTTTGGATGGGGGGGGGGCTTTTATCTATTTCTGCAGTCACACAATCAACCAGTAGCTGAACTGAGTTCCACACAGTCACAACAAGTCACAAGCCACCGTCACAAGTCAGTCCCATAAAACAAAGAACAAGTCACAGTCAAAAAAATGAAAAAGCCACACAAACAAAAACACAAAAATTAGCAAAAACAAAAGCTCCAAGTGCCACCTCTGTGTTGCATGGGTGCTTGGGACTCAACAGCTGACAGACTCAACAGGAAGCCTATAATTGGCAGATGAGGACTCAATTTACAAATGGAACACACTCAACAGGAAGCGAAACATGTCCTGCTTCAAAGGCAAAGTTCACAAACCAAAACACCTACTTCCAGGTTTGCAGCGTTCTTATTCCAAGTTGTTCATAAACTAAGCTGTTCTTAAACCAAGGTACCACTGTACTGAGCAAAGTGTCTTCAGGCTGATTATAAGGGATCAAGTGGTAAACCTGGGTTCGTGTGGACTCTTCATGCCCCAAATGTTGTCCTTATCCAATTGGACCAATGTGTGGGAAAGACAGCCCCAAGTTGCTTTTCATGCTCTTTACTTACCAGGATTGGCAGGCTTCCAGGAAAACATTACTTAGCAATGAAGGGTGGTAAGTGGAGCAATTATGTCCCCAACCATCCTGGTACTCTGCTTCTCCCCTCCCCTCCAAACCTGCAAATTAAAAATGGGGACATGTCCCTTTTGCATCACAGATTAATTATAAAAAGTACGTTCAATATTCACAGAATCACAAGTTTCTCCTGTTTAAGTGTCACCATGTGTGTCAGCTTCTGAGCATGTGTTTTAGGAAATTAGAAGGGAGGCTTGCTGGGGATGGGTGGGGGCTAGCTGCAAAGCTAAATGGTGGCATAATTTTATGTCACTGAGCATGACCAGGGTGATGGTGTAGCTTTGAGGCATAACTATAGGCTTTGGAACTGCAGAAATTTCACACACCAGGAATGGTAATGATTCAAGGAATTTGAGGCTCCAAATCAAGTTGGCACATTGAGATCTAAAAGAACAAATCACAGGGGGTTGAACATAAGATTACCCTTCCAACTCTACAGTTCTATGATTCTATGATCCACCTCAGTAGGGCCACTCATCAAGGCTGCCCCCTGTCGCCGCTGCTTTTCACAGAGAAGTCGCTCTTACACATTGGATTAGCCACACTTGACAAACCTTAATAGAGACTCTGACAATGCAGAGAGAAAGGGAGAACTCAGCCTTGCCAGTGAATGGGTGACTACGTGAGAGACATGGTGCAAACCCTTTGTGTTTGTTTCAACATACTAATTAATGTGACTGTTTCCCGAACGTAGGTTGGTCAGGCAAAATAGGTTACTTTCTTAGCTGCGTCACAGTACAGTATTTTCTCTGTGCTCGGTTAGCATCCTTCCTTGACTTGCATCACCTCTAGGATTACAGTGGTACCTCAGGTTACATACGCTTCAGGTTAAATACGCTTCAGGTTACAGACTCCGCTAACCCAGAAATAGTGCTTCAGGTTAAGAACTTTGCTTCAGGATGAGAACAGAAATCGTGCTCTGGCGGCGCGGCAGCAGCAGGAGGCCCCATTAGCTAAAGTGGTGCTTCAGGTTAAGAACAGTTTCAGGTTAAGTACGGAACTCCGGAACGAATTAAGTACTTAACCCGAGGTACCACTGTATTGAGCAGTGACAGCATTGTACTCTAGATGGTGTTTTTGAGTAGATTTCCACCCCCTTTGAACCAAACTACACATTATGTCGGCTACTATATGTGCTTCTAAGTGCATAATTAGTATTAAGCAATATGGGTGTACTTACGCTGAAACCAACTGGCTGCGCTGGAATAACACCACAAAATGTTCACAAGCATTTCTGTTACCCAGACAAAGCTGCAAAGTTAAACTGTTGAAATAGAGGTTCAGTGCTGTCCCCTGTGGTTCTAAGATCTGTGTGTTATCTGTGTTATCTCCCAAAATATATCTTCCAAAAGTTTCTTTTGGGAATTATAGGGACAGAACTACCTAAATTGTATAGAAATTTATTTATGCATGCTACTACAGCAGCAAGAATGCTACTTATCCAAATATGGAAAGAAGCAGAAGTCCCAGTAAAGGAAGAATGGATACAAAAACTCATGGAATTTGCAGAAATGGCAAAATTTACTGGAAGTATAAGAAATCAAGATACCAACCTTTTTTTTTTTAATAAAAGAATGGAAATGGTTTATTGAATATTTACAGATAAATGATAAACAGATAAAAACATTATCAGGATTATTGTAATAACCTGCAGTTTCACAAGAGTATATTTTTACAGTAGATAATCAAATGAGCAAGTGAAATGAATTTGGATATGCAGAAGATATTTTTTAAAAATTAAGGAACCACAGAAAGGGGGGAAGGAAGTAAAATTTTGAATTGGTAAATTGGTTGTAAAACTAATGAAATGTATAAACTTGAAAAGTATAAATAAAAACTTTAAAAAGTGAAAAAAACCTCTGTGTTACCAGCATAACAGGTGATTTTTATGAATGTCCCCTGCTGAAAATGTAATGATAATCACCTGTCCTTTTCTGCATTTCCTTTCCTTCTGACCTCGCAATTCCCTACTCACCCAACTTAGGATAACACTTCATGCATCTGATGGAGCGAAGTTAATGAATGCCATAATAAATTGGTTACTTGAGCTTCTGATAAAGTCCAGGCAGGTGTCTGCTTGTGCAATAATGCTTTGTGTTCATCACCTCCTCCATGCAGAACCCTGCATGTTTCCCCAAATCTTCTCTGGAGGCTTTGGGGGACCCTCCAGTGGAGATTTTGTGGGTGCTTGGGGTGGCTGGAGGTGACAGAAGAGGAACAAGGCACCCATTGCACAAATGGGCGAACTTCCTTGTATGCCACCTCCGGTCTTTAAGATGCCCCAAGTCTCTTTGTTATCATAATGTTTGCAACCCAAGGAATGCTGTTAGCCTAGAAACAATGTGGCTGAAGGACAGGTGAGGATTAGACAACAGATAGAAAAACAAGAATGTGTATGACTAACACTGGCTATTGCTCTATGTATTTTGCATTTATTGGTGAAAAGAGTATGCTTAATTTGATGAAGTGACATATGCTAAACAAAAGTAACTGAGACCTCTACAGTTTAAGAAAAGCCACTAGTTTAACCACCATATGCAAACTGGAGAAGTAAAAATAAGTTAGTTTATTCAACTAAAAGCCAAGCAATTCTCATCTTGCGAAGGAATTAACTAAAAAGAAGTTAGGTGCTTTTTATTTTTCTGTAACAATGTATGGACCTAGTGTGAACTTTCTGTAGAGATGTAGACCTCTTTTTTGCCTCTTCGCTTTATGTTGACGAAAGAAGCAGAATTAAAAGTTGCATTTGATGGTTCATAATTGCTGTTCATTTTCTAGCACTTAATTTTGCAATGTCCTGCAGCATTTTATGGAGGGCGAGGGATGCTACATAAACATTTTACCTGTTTGTGTGTTTTTAAAGTCTCTGAAAGACCTTAATTACTGACTGGTGCTGAATAAGGGACTGGTGAGTCACAGGCACAGTGGATGATATTTGTATTGCAAAACTGGTCAAGCCCAGTGAAGCCTGGGCCAGAGCCCAGAGATGTGCCAACTTTTGATCCAAGAACAGCAATTGAATCCAGTGCTTAGCCCTTAAATGTAATAGCAGCATTTTTTCATTATCTCCATGTTTTATTTATTTGAAAGGTCAAGACTCGGGTCACGTTGCGCATATGATAGGTGGAAAATGGCAGCCTTTAAGCTTACTAATCAAAAACACTGAATAGGCAACACGTGAGGTGCAAGGTTCCTTTATTAATTTAAACAGCACATAACAATTGGGGTCCAGGATACTTCAAGGACTTCCTGATCCCTCATATCCCTGCCCAACAACAGAGGGTTTTTTTGGTGGGGAAGTGACTGTTAGTTGTCCCCCATAGATGTACAGTATGGTTCATATCCACCAGGAGCCATGTGTTTGGCACTGCAGGCTCAATTTAACGGATCTTCCAGCAAAGGTCAGTTAAGCTCCCTCCCTAATGAACCTAATGGCACCTACTGAAAACATTAAAAATAAAATAAAAATCCAGCAGGCATTTTAAATGAAGTATGATTTTATAGTTTAAACTGATTTTGACCTTTTGTACCGAACCCTTGTAAACCACTTAGAGACTATTATAGTTAAAGCAGTATATAAATTGTGCAAATATTATTATTATTATTATTATTATTATTAACAGAATGGCAGGTCACATACATACCATCTTTCACTGAACGCTTTATCTAACAGTGTTTTTTATCTAACAGTGTTTTTTCTGGTTGGTAATTCATTTAAACTTGAAACCAAGGGGCAAAGGCCAGCAACCGCAGTTCACGCCTGCATAAGTCAAGACACAGGTCAAGGGATTTTCAACCTCCTCCTTTTTTGAATAGCAGCCAAAGCCTGCTTTGTGCATCTCGGCTGCTCAAGTAGAGCTTCCATCGCCATTCACATGGGGGAAGAATTAAAGAGCCTATTGCGGTTGCCCTAGTTTTGCAGAGAAAATGCATAATAGATGGGATTGCTGGGATAAACTGTTACGTAAAGGGCAAATAACAAGAGTCTGGGGAGTGAATGGAGCTCTGGGGCGCCAGCTGGCTAACCAAAGTTATTCCTTGGAAGAGATCTATATCTCAGCAACTTGTACACTCAGTCTTTGGCAAACCCTTGTTGAAACTGAAGCCCACATTAAAGACAGCAGGAAATCACCTGTCATTAAGGTGAAGTCTAGTCTTCACAACGGATTGGGGTGTTAAGTAAACACGCATTCCAGAGGTCAGATAATTAAATACCTTCCATGGTGTAACAAGTTCTTCAGAGTTTGCAACATCTCTCTTTGACTTCGCTGGAAAACCAACTCCTGTCGATTGTCTAGCTACATGGTCTTGCATTACTGACTCTGGAGTGCAATTCTGCTTCCTGGGAACTGGAAAAAGCCCCACCTGATGTGTTGATGTCTGATAGTTACAGGAAGCCTCTGGTGCATGACTGTGTCTTCTCTGGGGCAAAAAAACCCCAGATTTATAGGATGATGCAAGAGAGGGCAGGAGGAGTTCATTCCTTCATAGAGTTGCTAAAGCTCTCTGTAATACATAGCATCTGGAAGAGAAGCACTGTTGCCAAAGAGCTTGTGCCAGTCCAGATCTGTGCCCAGGATGATGACGAGGATTAGTTTAATTTACTACCCACCCTTCAGCCTAAGGTCCCAGGGCGGGTTACATCAATTTAAAATGCAACATTAAAAAGAGTTTAAAACAAACTTACAATCACAAAAATAGGGTGGGTCCTAGTAATGTGCATCTTAGGTGTCAAAAGCCAGGGTAAGGAGGTGCGTCTTCAGCATTCACCAAAAGCTGTGGAGTTAAGTTGGAGTTTTTGTGCTGCTGAGGATGCCGTAGTGAAATGCTTGGATTGCAATAGTCTGATTCACTGGCATCCCTAAAAGTATATCTGCCCAAAGCATCCACTTCAATTTTCCACAATCTTGTTGGGTAGATCCTTTCCTTGAACTGCTTATAGGGTCATGACCAGGAACCAACTGAGATATGGGCCTGGTAACCTGGGATATTGCTTCTTTGCCAAAGGATTTCTCTTCATCCTTTCTACCACCTTCTCCAGCAGTCTCCTTGAAGGACACTAGTTCAGTGGGAGAGCATCTTCTTTGCATGCAGAAGGTCCCAGGTTTGATCCCAGACATCTCTAGGTAGGGCTGAGAGAGACCCCTATCCTGGAGAACTCCTATTAATCAGCATCAACAAAACATTTTATTTTTTATTTTTCATAAAACCTTTGCAAAGATAACTACCTAGGAAAGGAGAGTGTGAATCACCTCATCTCCTCAGCTTCTTGTTCCTTTACGTTCATTGGGTTCATTCACTCCAAGTGTGTCAGCATAGTTGAGCTAGATCAACCAATGGCCTGACTCAGTAGTGTGTGAGGCAGCTTCTTATCGTTACAGATCTGGGGTGACCAAGTTTGGATGTGCAAGGGCACTAATCACTCCTAGAACTAGTGAATGTTAGAAATTAATAAACGGTAGAATTTGAATAATATTTGGAGTATTAAAGGGAAGACGCCAGATGTCAGATTTGAAATACAGGCTGAACCAGTTCTGCTGTTCAGGAGATCACTGATAGTGATGCCATTAAGGAGAACTAAATGCCATGGAATCATAGAATTGTGAGTAGGAAGGGACCTTGAGGGTGCAGGAATGGCAGACCATTAAAGGACAATTGACCAGGTAGGTGCTGTCCTTCCTCCAGCTGTGTGTTAGTTAGCAGAAGAAATAGCAAAGTTTGAGAGGTTACAGGAGGCGTGATATCACACAGGAGAAATGTCCTTTTGAAAAACAAGAGGTCTGGATAAGGGGTGTGTGTGTGAGCAGACGGTGGGGAGGAGCTCCTTGGAGCAAGGGTTCCTGGGAAGGAGAAAGCATGTGGGCAGAACTCCATGCAGGTGAAGGCAGAACTATCTTGGCAGGCTGGGACAGAGGCATGGAGATAGCGTTGAGGATGCCTCGGGCTCAAGTGTTGCGCTGCTGTGGGGAGCAAGCCCCTCTTGAGATGCAATGCCCCGAACTCTCTCCAAAGCAGACCTAGGTGTAAATATGTGTACAATAAGCCACATTTCTTAAAGACACCATCCTCCACTGTGCCCAGTCTTCCCCACCCTGGCTACCTGAGGTTGCTTGCAGAAGGAGCTCTTCTACCACAAACCAGTTAATCAGATCTAATCTTTGTGTGTATTGGTTTGCAATGATAGTTCTTCCACATCATCCTGGTTGTTGTTTTTTTGTTTTTGTTTATTAGCCCTGGATATCCATTGCAACTCCTCCACCTGACCTCCATACCTCTGGGCAGATCTTGACAGAAGGGATCTGCACTGTGGAGTGTTTTCCTTGTCACTCCCTGTTCTCCACTAGCTTTGCCCATTCCCAGGCATATAGGTTTTCTGTGTCTCTATGTATGCACCTCTTTTTTTATTTAATAATAATAATAAATATCAGGATGTGCACAAGCGTGCAATAGCTAACATTCCCAGTCTGATTCACTCAGTAATCAGGTCTCACATTGAGCGAAATGGAGGATTGCACCTTTTTTTTGAGGAGGGTATCATTTTTTGTTTGGTTTAGGTTCCCCCCTCCCTCATAGAATAAACCCCTGTCTGGGAGAACCCTGTGACCCTTTCTTTAAAGAAAAGGGAAGGTGTGGAAGGACAGTTGATCACACATCTTGTCTGGAGCAATGGTGACAATCCTGGGTAGCATTGTCATCTTTCACAGGGCGGCTGTATGCATGTCTGGACATCATTGCTTAGCTAATTGTCATGGGTGTCATTAGTAACTGAGAGTTAATGAGTGTACAGTGCACTGGTGATGCAAAGCTAGGCTGAGGAGATGCAAGTGAGGGATTTGGGCAATTGTTCAATGGGGGGAAAATACTGCGTTGTGATATATCAATCCATTCCTGCTGAAATCCCCTCTTTTAATGCAATTATTAAAAAGCTAAAGGAGCTTTTTAACACCCTGATGCATCTGGTATCAGCATGAGCCAAATGAACATTTAGTTTAGTTTTTATGTAATGATCAAAAATATTTATTGAATAGTCCCCCAAGTGGTTAAATTATCAGTTTCCCTTAAAAGTTCACCTCATTGGGCTTTGGATAAGGAATTGCTAATGTCCTGCCACATTTCACACACTGAGGCACTGGCATGCTGTTCCCCCCCTCCCAAAATAGTGAACCCATATTTCATTGTATTGTCCCTTCTAGTAGCCGTTCCTTCTCTTTGCTTCCCATCAAAGAGGTTTTTCCTCTTCAGAAAAGCCTGTATTTGATTCTGAGCAAGTGGGCAAGACAGCACCACTATTATATTTGCATTTTGTTTCTACCAAACAGCATCCATGTGGCATCCAAAAAGATTCAACTTGCCCTCATCTTCTGACTCTTCTCTCACTTTTCTTTCCTTCCTTCCTTCCTTCCTTCCTTTATTTTTGCAATATTTAGGGAGGCATGGGTGGGTTTCCTCTGCACAGGGACTGAGCTATTGTGAAATAAAGACATCCTTGTGAGCAATTGTCCTCATGATGATCACCTCACTTCTATGGGGGAAAATAGAGTTTTGTGTTCAGAACCTATTTCTTTGCAGAGGACATGTATTAAGGACACTGGCTTTTTATTTAAATTAACAATTTCGTTAATTTTCACTCCCTCCCCCCCTGTAACAGAATACAGGACTTCACCCACATTCTTGGAAGCTAGTGCTTCTCTGTGGAAAAAGCTATTGTCAAAGCTGCATTTGAATCAACATTGTGAACAAACTGGATTAGTCCATTTCTCCTTCCTGTTGTCTTTTCTTCTTTTGCGGGGGGATCAAGTGGCTTGTTTTTAAAACTTGTATGATCAGTCCACTATGCAAACAAATATATAGTATGGGATATCATCCAATTAAAAAACACCTTACTCAAATAAGCATATGAATCTGAGGCTGCAGTTCTATACACTCTTCCCTAGAAACTTGCCCCAGGACTTAATACTAATACTTAATACTGCATGCAAGACTGGGCAGTTCAAGAGTGCAATATGGAGCTGCCCTAGTTATCAGGCCTGCCACCATTACACAGCAGTAGTAAGAATAGCTCAGGATCTCACAGAATCGGTGCCACCTTCAGAATGTCCTTTTTCAAGGTTTTCCACTGGCTACCACTGGCAAACATCCCATTCGCCTACATGCTGAGCAGGTGGAAAGGAGAGTGCCACACCAACCAAGTGTAGCCAGAGTGAGGCCAACTTAACCAAGAGAGATGGGAGCAGGGACAACTCTGCCTGATCCAGCCACCTGACCCAAAGTCCACCACTGGGGCAGGTGGCTGGATTTTGGGCTTTCAAATTTCAGTGGTGCCCTGTGCAATGGCCAACATTCAACGCCCTCCTAGCTCTCTCCTTCCATTCTAAGTCATTGTTGAGGAGCCCCCACCTCTCAGCTCAGCACCCTCTGCCTGTCCCCAGCCCAAATTCATTGTTCTGTACTCCAGTAAATTGGCAAACTATGAAAATAATAGCTCTGAAGGAGGGAGATTCTTTGTTTTAAAACATTAACAAACCATTAGAAACAAGGGTCAAATTTCAGACAATATACCGTCAGGAGCAACCGTAGGGGCCGAGGGCTGTATGGAGACTATGGTGTGTGTGTGTGAAGACTTTGAGCCTTTGATTCCTCCATTGTCCTGATCCAAATCGCCCCCATTACACCTGCTATGGTTGCTCCACAAGGAGTGCTTCCATTAGCACCAATGAAGGAAGCAAGGTGTTCACATTCTGCGCTAGGATTTCATAGGAAGAATTAGTCAAATGCCTCTGCTAAGTTGACATTTGCCACCCACAGGTGATGATGAGCGATGACGCTGTGATCTCAGAAGAGAGATGAGCAAATGCCTCTTCCAAGAAAGAATCTGTTGCCTGAGCATCTTTTTTTAAAATCGATTTATAAAACTGATTGAATTTTTTATAAAGGTACTCAGGGCAGTGGATGGTCGATTCAAAAACAAATAAATTGCAGCTACTGTTTTGCTCTCACTTGTTGTTAACGACCTTGTAAGAAATACTGTTCAAGCTACCAGGATGACTTGCAGTTGCACAGCAAAGCACTAGATGACAGCAGAGAGGCTTCTGTTGATGTCCCTGGCTGCCAAAGCAGCTGGCGAAACAGCAACTACAGATGATGGCATTCCCGTTTCCAGCTGCACTAAGGGAGTTCACTGTCCTGATGACATTACTTGGCGATAGTCTGCTGTTATTAGGATGAAAAGTGGGTGAGGCAATCTGGGATGGTAGGCTGAGTCACAGGCGGTGGAGGTTCTGGTGAAAACCATTTAAGGTGCCAGAGTCCTGAAAGAGAGAGAGGCTAATTAAATTAATTAGTTTTTGTTTCTTTAAAAGCAAATAAATCAGTGCTCATATTGTACCAAGGGCTCAAGGTGGGCTAGACGGCTAAGGGCGTATCTGGATTTGTTTCTGCCCCAGATCAAATGCAATATAGGGCTGCTGTACAGGTTTGACCTCTTAAATGTAGACGGGTACATCACAGGATGACACAGTGCCATTATCACAAATCATAATGCAGCTCAGATGCTGACTCAATCATTATATTCACTGGCAGTGCGGATAGAGCAAGCTGGTCACATGTGATATGAAAACAGCTATCAGGCCTTGCGTTTACTCTTGGCAGGATTGGAACCAGGTTGTTTAAAGTTTTTTGTTGTTGTTTTTGCTCATTAATACTTCAATTGGACACAGGACTTCTTCATCTTAGGTAGCCTTTCGCAGCAACACTATTGTGGCCTGTCAGTCAGCCAATAAAATTAAGTCTTGCTTCTGATGCCCATCTGCCCAGGGGTGCAAAAAAATAATAATTAAAAAATGGGGATTGTCAAGTACTTGGCTGACTCACAACTTGTGGTAGGCACAGCAGTGCAATTTAGAATTTGGACTTAATGGTCTTATTTGGGAGGCTTGCTCTTTATATGGCAAAGTGTGTTACTTCACTCACTTCCACGTGTGGTTAGTTGGCCCTGCAGAGCCACAGGGCTTTCTTGCTCAGTAGGCGGCGTGGGATGATGGGCTTCCTTCCCAAAGTCTTGCCCCAATGGCATCACGGAATGGATGGGCTGCGTTCAGCTTAGGAGGTCATGATGTGCATTCCCCGCCTTATGTATCGGATTAATCCCAGCCACTATGATTCTTGTGCATCTGTGTGTGGCTGACAGCAGGAAGCAGGTGAGGACTCACTGTTAAAGTAGTTACTGCCAACAGGGATGGGCAAATCTCTCAGTTTCGGCTTTTCTCGGGTTCTCGTTTTCCCAATCTTAATTCAGTTCTCCACATCTCTACATCTGTTGGTGATTAAAAAGAGAGATCCTCGTGAAAATTCATTGTTTTAGTGCAAATTTATCCCAATAAACACATTTTTAATATGTGATTTTGCCAGCAAACACGTATTTCCCTTAATATTTGTATTTCCCCCAATAAAATGCATTTTGTATGTTATTTTTCACTAATATATGCATCTTTATGCACACTTTAGTTACCGGTATATGCATTGTTGTACGCATTTCTTGACTGGAGAACTGTTTTGCAGAATTCAGACATGCGTGACGTTTGAAGAACGGTTGCATTTCAGTTTGCGCATGGTTTCAGAAAGTATGAGTTAGGTGAATTTTCCTTTACATGTGAGCTGAATCAAATTCTGCCTCCGCCCCATCCTGACCTTCCAGTGTATTTGCTGTCAATGTCATTGCTGCCCTGGGCTCCCTTGGGAAGAAAGGTGGCATATAAATTTAATAATAAATAAATAAAAACACAGTGGCAACCTCATGCCTGCCAGCTTCCTGACTAGTCCCTCTATTAGCTTTGTTTCACGTACAGTCCATTGTGAGGACATACAACTGCTTTGGACTGGTACAGTTAGGACTCCTGGCATCAGATGCCCATCACATGTGCAGGCAACTCTTGAAACATGTCTGTTTCTCAAGAACAAAGAGAAACATGGCTCCTAACAGACCAAGCTCTTCATTATTATGATGGGCCAGTATGCAGAAACACCAAGGAGAAATCCACAAATCCAGCCAACTGATCTTTTATCCTTGGTGGAGATGAACCTTTCCCTTACTTCTATCGTAGGTGGACTTTGTCAGGAGAGGAAGCAGAGGTTGCAGCACTCCTGGGATTATTGACTTGCAAGACCGGCTGAGAGTTGCTTGCGTGTAATTTTGATGGGTGTGGGAATAATTTGCCTTGACTGTCCTGTCTTGACAGAAGGGAATCAGAAAGAAAAGTCTAAGCTTTCCAAATTTTCTCGCAGGGAGTTTCCTTAACGTCATGAGAGAAGTTGGCTGGGCAGCTCCAAAGGCAATCTAGGTCATAGTCAAATGGCAGCTTCCAGTTTGATGCCGAGGTGGAACACAGCTGGAAACTGTTGGGGGAAAATGCAATAACATCCCCCTCCCTGGCACCTGCAGAAAAATCAGCTGTGTGGCTACATGTTTCAGTGGGGCTGTGGGTGTGATCCCTATTTGTAAAGCTGATTGTTTGCTTTAGGAATTAGTGGTCGATGTTCCTTCAGTGAGAGGTAACGAATGCTGGAGATGTTTGCCTGAATGAGCAATGCACCTGCAGGCTTACAGCTGAGATCTGTGGGGGTGCTGGCTAAAAAGAAGGTAGTGTGTAGCCCGGGGCACAACAGATGATAATTCCCACCCCTTGCAACTGGCTAAAAGCCAGTGTGGTGTTCAAGTTAGTGCTGTGTAGTGGTTGGAGAGTTGGACTAGGACCGGGGAGACCATTTGCCTGGGAAGCTCACGGTATGATCTTGGACCAATCACTCCCTCTCAGGGCTTGAGCCTAGAATGTATGGGGCCAAGTGGTTTTCCGCTTGTCCCATTTTCAGGAGTAAGATGGCAGTAAATCACATCGTTCAAGTCAGAGCTAACTATGAGCAAAAACACAGTGTGCCCTGCATTGCAGGGGGTTGGGCCCCTTCCAACTTTATGATTCTGTGATTCTAGCCTACATTCTTGCTATTGCTCTTTTGATTTAGTCTTATATATGACCTTGAGTGGTGTGTGAGCTCTCACAGAGCGAGGGGAATGTAATTAACCAAGATTAACTGAACTTGGTTTTTATTTCATGCACAGGTTCCAACACATCATGGTGCTCAAAGGAAGTATCTTTTTTTAAAAAAATTCTTATTACTTCACATCATGTTCTTTGGTTTGGCCCAGGGAAAGAAAACAAATTCAGAACTTGAGCTGTGGCTCAAAATAAGCCTTGGGGAAGATATATTCCTTCCTCATAAGCGTATTATGTGGCTTAACTTGTTGAAACAATGTGTGACTAAAGTAAAAACCTTAACAGTGAGAATTGTGCTATACGTTGTATGCACCACATGCTCATTCTTGTTTGCTGGCTACAAGTAATATTTGTATGTGTGTGTTTTACAGAAGATATTGGCACAGTCCACATGAACAGAGCTAATAAAGAGAATTGCAGCCCTTCTGTGGAAGCAGAAAAAGTGTAGAATATGGTAGTCAATACAGAATGCAAGCTGCCCAAAACTCTCAGTTTCCATGTTCAAAAGCATGTTTCTTGCTCTTATGGCTTTGGCTTGAAAGTGCGCAATCAATGGCTGCTGAAATTTCAGGGGTCAGAGATTAAACCCAATAACATTTTCAGCAGCTGGGGTGGGGGGGCAGAAGTTCAGTAGGTTGGCTTCTTCCATCTCAGTGACATTTTAATGTTCAGCGACAGCATCGTGGTTCCACTGTGGTTCAAGTGGAGCCAACCTTTGTTTCAGGGGCTCCAATTGTCCTCAAATGTTTCTCTGAGCTTTAAAAACAAAACAAAACACCACTCAGTTTTTTCCTCCTGACATAATATTCCATCTATGCATTGGTAGCTTGCAGCTCTGCCTAACTAGCTGTCTCTACCCACAGAAGAGGTAGCCTTTCTGAAGAAGCTCTGGGGTTCAGCATCTTGTCTAGCAATTTCAAGCACCAGAGAACACTAGTCCACCATGGCCAAGCTGCAGACTCAGAGGCTTCTCATTTCCTCCCACTGCATAGATACCAATGGCCTCCTCTGCTTTCCGCCTCATGGTAGCCATACTCTGTAGCAATAACACTCCTCTGCAAACTATGGTTAATGCAGGGATGGGGAGCCCATAGTGCTGCAGCGTGGTCCCAGTTTGATTGTGACATCTGAACCAAGCCTACATTTTCCAAATAGCATTGTTGTCAGTGACTCGTCTCCAGCTCTCCGTCAATATCTGCCAATCTACAAGTTGCATAATGTCCACAACCTTTGCACCAGGCACAAAAGGCTTCATGTGGGCAACATGCTGACCCCAACCCAAGCCCTTCATGATCCTCATTATCAAATCTTCCAGCAAATCCTGCTTTCTCCCCAACTCCCAAGGTGTGTTATCAGAAATGGGTGTTTTAGGGATCATTCTCCTCTGGCAGGCAAACAGCCCCTTGCTTCTCTCCTGTGGTGCAATGGGCCAGTGTATTGGTGGTTTGAGCTCACCCAGGGATAGCCGTAGGCAGAATTCATGGATTGCAGGAGGCTGGACTAGATAACCCTCAGGGTCCCTTCCAACTCTACAATTCTAGAATTAGAATATTGAAGCCAGAAGCTAAGTGTATGAAGCACACACGTATTAGATGACTTCTGTCTTACCATCAGTGGTAAACACTGGCTGGCCCCCGTATCATGCTGATTTCTAGCTTCATGAGGTTTTTTTGTATGTTGTGTTGTTTATTTTTCAATATGGTGCTTTGCTTCAACATTTAAGGTTACTGTAGTGAGGTACAGGAAAGGGGTTAGGGTCATCTTACCTTTACCATGCTAGCTGAATTTGCACAGGTGCCTAAGTGTGCGTGTTTACCTTTTTACTGTTTACCTTTGTCTTGAATCTTTGCCATCGGGGCTGTGACACTTCATTGCTGTGGCTGCTTGAACTCACACAGCCAAGGCTCTTATAGAAAGTGTCTCTAAATATGTAACGGTGGCTGGTTCCCCTCAGCTCCTGTTGCAGTGATGCCATGGCTGGTTCACCTATGAAGCAGAGTGTAGTAGCCGCCTGAGTTGGTGGAATCTCATGGGATGGTGTGTGGTCGTCCCCCCATGGGTGCCCCACCCCCACCGTCATGTGGCAACAGCAGCTTCTGGCGAGATGTCACAAGAGTTCTGCGCAACCCCAGTAAGTGAGACTTTGGTAGTGGGGTAGCAGGGCTGGAATCTTCCCGTTTCTCCTCAGGTGGCGAAATGGGATAAGTCAGGGGTCAGCAAACTTTTTCAGCAGGGGGCTGGTCCCTCAGACCTTGGGGGGGGGGGGCAGACTATATTTTTTTGGGGGGAATGAACGAATTCCTATGCCCCACAAATAACCCAGAGATGCATTTTAAATAAAAGCACACATTCTACTCATGTAAAAACACGCTGATTCCCGGCCTGTCCGCGGGCTGGATTTAGAAGGTAATTGGGCTGGATCCAGCCCCCCGGCCTTAGTTTGCCTACCCGTGGGATAAGCTGCCCCTGATTAATGCTGTTGATAAATTAGAGGACCTTGCTGATTAGCTCAAAGGCCAATCAGGTCTTCCAGACGAGATGAATGCTGTGGAATGCACAATACTAAAGCTACAGCCTATTAAAGGAGATTCAAAGCAATTTCACATCCACTGCAAGTTCCAAGCCTGCCCCACCTTAAACTTGGTGAATTCCACACTTTTATCTTCAAATCTTTTCTATCATTTGGTATCTCCCAGAATACAGCCGAATGTGGGGTTGTTTTTTACTTAGCCACTAACATTTTTTAAAACTGCATGCAAAATATTAAACACATACCAAGTTAAATATATTTTTTCCTTTATTTGAAACACTTTGTTCTAAAAATTTGCTCATACTGGTTCAGAGAAATTTCTTCACATTATTTTCAGCCAGTTAACCTCCCTTTCCCTACTACTGTCATTTCCAGTCTACAGGTTTTCATTTATTTATTTAAAAAAAACAATACTCCTTGAAATCTTCTGCAGTGTACGAAACCAAAGTGTCTTTGTTATTCAGATATGACTATATCATTCATGGATTATAGTACAAATAAATTTAAAACTGGTAGTATGTAAAATAGAGTATTCATAGAATTATTTACAGCATGTAGTCATATGCTTAGAAATGATTCACTTCCAGCAGCGTGAAGACATCGGCCGTCATGCTAGCTTTCAACAAAATATTAAAAAGAGACGCTACTCATTCATACATGTTAATACCAAGGAACATGGAATATCAGACCATATAAAAATACTTTAATTTAGATGCAAGCTCACAATTAAAACTGCTACCACAGTAGTAAAGTGTCTCATAATACTAATAGTATCTAGTCTGGAAGGCCGCTATTTCTTTCCCTTTGGCTTTAGGATGAGTCTCAGCAAGAAGTTACTAACAAGTATTACTTTCTAATGAAATCAAAGCTGACTTGGTACAGATATGCATAATACGATGTAATCTCTTTAATTTCCATTACTCTTTACATTCCTATGTTGTTATTGACCCTTTTAAAAAAAGACACCACGTGCCTAATTCCAACATGTTGTAATACTCATGTTTCCCCACTTAATTTATTGCTTAGTTAAATCTAACCAATATCACAGGCAACTATGAATGTGGCTATTCATTTATTTTGCATGAATCGCATGTTAGGCTTGTGGCCACCTTAGCTGCTTGGAAATCCTGTGACTGTGTTCTGGCAGCTGTCAGATATAAGCTCATTCATTTCGTTTTGTTTGCTTTCTTCTTTGTTCTCATGGTTAGTGTGATTTTTTGGTTTCCCTGCTCTTCTGGACCTTTTGACACAAACCTTCAGCAGCAAATAGGAGAGCTCGGCCACATTCAGCAGAATGCAAATGCCGGACACTGAAATCATGAAAATGGTAAAGACGGTCTTTTCAGTGGGGCGAGAAACAAAGCAGTCCACTACGTTGGGACACGGCCAGGCGCTGCATTTCAGTAGCCGAGGCATGTGATATCCCTGGTACATATAGTAAAACACATACATGAAAGAAGCTTCGAAAATCAGCCTGAACAAGATGCTGGCAGTGTATGTCCACCACAAGGGACCTTCGATGTGAAATTTCTGTTTCTTTATTTCTTCTATGTCCTTATATTCACAGCTTTTATCTCCCTTTCGGAACTTCTTTTTCCTTTCGTGCCGCCTGTATGCGACATGCATTGCCACCAAGAGGGCAGGGGTGGAGACAAAGATGAGCTGGAGGGCCCAGAGTCTGATGTGGGAAATGGGGAAAAAATGATCATAGCAGACGTTTTTGCATCCTGGTTGCAGCGTATTGCACACAAAATCATCTTGCTCATCACCCCAGACTTCCTCCGCTGCAACAACAAGGATCATAATACGGAAGATGAACAGGACAGTCAACCAAATCTTTCCAATACTGGTAGAATGTTGGTTTACACCTCCTAAAATGCCCTGCAGCGTTCCCCAGTCCATGTTATCGTTTGAGTCTTTGGACCTATTATGACAAGGAGAGGATGTAAAAAAAAAGAAGGATTGAGTTATAAAATACAACACATTAAACATAAGCTGCTCCGACACGTATCATGGAAAAAAATATTTATTAACTGAAGAATGATTTAAAAAGCAAATGAATCTTCTACTAAATTAAAAGTCCCAAAATAATGTGTGCCCAGAAAATAATTCTAATTCAGCTTCTTAGATAAATACTAGTTCTGCTATAAAATATGAATGAGGCTGCTATCCTATACAAACTGACTTGAGAGTAACTCCCATGGAACTCTGCGGAACTTTTTTTAGTGAACAAACAATGGATTGTGCTGTTAGTAGCATCCCATTAATGTGCATATATGGTGGGTTTTCATGATATTCTGCATCTGTTTCTTAAAACGGGCAGTTTTTGCATTTCATTACTAGGCTACATGTTCCAACTAGGCATAGCCAGAACTTGTACAGCAACTGGCACCAATAGGGAAATTTATTCCCACTGCAAACAACATCTACAAACAACCACAGTAGGAGAGGAAAGGTTAAAACCCCCCTTCAGGCTTGCTGCAATCCTGATCATTACATGCCCATGCCCCGCCAAAGCTGTTTAAAACCTGAACATTAAATGCAAAGATGCATTTAATGTTACGTCTAGTTTGGCCCCAAAGCTCTAAGAAGCATGACTCACTGTACTCCAAGCAAGGCACAGAAGCATTATTGAATTTGTAATAGGAATGGAGAGGAAATACTTAAACTCGCTAGAGAGCTTGATTTCCACACATTATCCCACTTACTTCACATCAAATTGCTATGAATTATCTGCTTAATATTCTGTTGAGAACCAATTCCACCCTCAATGGAACAAAGCAACAGCAAAACACACACCACTGCATCAAGGGGCTTAAACTACCTTTTTAACCAGGTAAATGAACATATTAGTGAGGTATGACAAGAAGTCAAGAGTGATATACTACGTAGTCATACTAACGGCGCATTGAAATAAATGCATAAGTCTTGAACAGATATCACTCTAGGAGTCTTACTGCTTTCTTTAAGCCAGAAGCAGTGCACAAAGAATCTTGGGGGGGGGGGAGAGAGACTAAATTTTCTGTGCAATTTAGATTCACCAGAAAAAGATTTATCTTTTTTACATATCCCTGCTCCAAGGGAAATGCCTCGTTCTGGCAACAGTGCATTGCAGTGATTCAAAGCTAAACTACTGGCCTTCGATTGGTGAGTAGGGTCACAGCCTGTTCTAGCGTGGGTTGCAACAGCAGCACTTCACAATATAAATACATGGTAGAAAGTTTAAAAAAAATGCATGTTTGGATTAAAGATGGATCCTGGGTTTGAAAAGTTTGAAGACTACTGACCTAAACTATATACTAAACTGTTACATACTAAGCTTGGATCCTAGAACAATAGACAGGTAGGGTCCTAGAATGCAACAACTGATTGGCCTGCAGGAGAAGACCAATCAGGCTCCAGGAGGGAAGCAGAATCAGCCAATCAGATGGGACTCATTGTGTAAATAATGTATATAAAAGCCTGAGGTTTGGGGGGAAACTCAATCACTGTTTTACAAGCTGCAATAAAGAGCTTGAAATCACTGCAGGACTCCGAGTATATTTCATAAATTATATGTACTAACATAAAATTTAACATTCAATTCAAGATACCAAGCAAGTAATACATTATCTACAATGAGTGATTTCACACAAAATGTATTGTTGTCCTAGGTGCTTCCAGGCATGGAAAATTTAGCAACATTCAATCATTGATCTTCTACTTAAATCTGGAAGAGGACTATCAATTATGCTGCCAGACTTCAAACACACTATAGTCAACTGGGCAATCTCCCTTTCCCCAGCTCCACTGTGTGTGTGGAAAGGGTTAAATGCCCCTCTCCCTTCACTGCACAATCCTCCCATTGCAACTGATATCAAAGCAATGCTATTTGGAAATGGAAGCGCCAACAGAATAGAGTTGGCTCTAAAGAGAAGAGACAGAACGTAGAGAAGGAAACGTCTAGAGCAATCTATCCATGCCATAATGAACCAAGCAGTAGTACAAGAGGCCTTCTGCAACTATTCCATTAAAGTGTTTGTTTTTTAAGTTTAGAAATTCTGAGCTCTAGTGGGAAAACCTGAAGCTGAACAGGGAAAACATAACTTCAAGAAGGATGTACTGCTTATGTTGTGAAGATGCCCTGTAAAGAGTGAACGGAACATGGTCATTCCACAGTAAGTTCAGTCTTCCACAGTAAGAAGCACTCCTAGTTTCTTATGACTTAATAAAGATCAACTCTTTACATAATAGGTTTCTGCTGGTTAGGAAGGCAACTTCCAAAACAGGAAGAATTTGTTTCAATGGATGAGCAGTAGTCTTTCTTTTTTTAAAAGCACAACATTATGTATGAAGAAAGAGAAAAGGCAATCAAAAACTCATGTTTTGAACTGGGAATGATATATTTGATTTTGGATTGAGATAAAACCTTTTCTGGAGGAAACTGGCATTCATCCTGCATTCATCAAATTAGTGGAAATAACCTTCATAAAGAAAAGATATGATGAATGATTTCCACCTTATAATTTTTAAGTCATCCTGTAGGGCTGTTCCATTTCAAAGGTTCAGAGGAAGCAACACAAGTGAAAGTGAGCAACAGAATAACATTCCATTGATCTCTCTACCTGACTTAACCATGGGATAAAAGAGGCCATCACAAAGCGGTAGGTCTTACAGTGCTTTTGAAAGCTGCCAATGCTTAACTTATGATTCTATTTGTGGTCCAAAATAGTTGAATCCAGACCTTGGGTTTATGTTCTGTTCCATTCATTTCTGCATAATTAATTTCTGCATGATTATTTTTGTTTCAAATCACATTTTGTTTACAGATGGGATAGTGTAACATTATATGCAGGATGCAGTTAATTCTGATCCATGTATGTGTCATGGATACAACCTTTCATAACCCTGACTCAAGCTATGAGCACTGGGCAGGAAACAAGCTCAGCCACTTGCAAGCAAATTTGTGTGTCACACCCTTTTACCCAAGAAAGCACCAAAAATATTTTCTGCTCTGCTGGTTGAACATAATACAGCACTGCTGTTTAGAGTTAGAAGCTGCTAGACAGAGTCAAAATCTTAGATAACCAGGATTACTTAAGGGATCAAAGAAACTGAAGGCACTGTCTTGCCTTACAAAGTTTACAATATCTCTAGCTAATCTAGAAGATTAACTAAGCACCAAGTTTAGAAACATGTTATATTTCTTGCTTACAACAGGGATAAAATAGTTATATCTGAGTATCAGTTCTGAGCTGTGCTTAGATCCATTTATATATCACGTGGTACTATGGGTACACCAGGGCTTGACCAACGTTTGCTCAGTAAACACATGAAGTGTGAAAGGGCATTTGTTCCCAACTACACAGTGGGCAGGTGACAGGAAGCTACACCCAAATATGACCACATATATATATATATATATATATATATATATATATATATATATATGTTCACTGTATCGCCTCAAGTTGTGGGACATGCTTCTTCCCTTCACATTCTACATGATTACCACAGAAGTCATTGGTCAAACATCAGTACGGTGGTACCTCGGGTTACATGCGCTTCAGGTTACATACGCTTCAGGTTACAGACTCTGCTAACCCAGAAATAGTGCTTCAGGTTAAGAACTTTGCTTCAGGATGAGAACAGAAATTGTGCTCCGGCGGTGCGGCAGCAGCAGGAGGCCCTGTTAGCTAAAGTGGTGCTTCTGGTTAAGGACAGTTTCAGGTTAAGAATGGACCTCCGGAACGAATTAAGTACTTAACCCGAGGTACCACTGTATATGAAGCTCAAAAATACACCTTAATAACACAAAAGTTAGTGGCATTTCTACAAGACATCATGTTAGAACCTGGCCACCGATATCATGAATTTCTGTTGAGCCCAGATTTGTGCTTCATTTCTTTATTAGTCTTATTGCTTTATTAAGCAATACTTAATATCTACTTGGGAGACAAGAAAGATCCAAAGGTCTGCTTCCACACTATAGGAAGAGCTGTAAAGAATATGCTGCATTCAGTGCTGGCCCAATAAAACTTGCTGCCCAAAGCAGAGCCCAAATGGTTCCCTACCACTGGTATCTACACTGCATCCTATGAGCCAAATACAGCTGGCTGGGTTTGCATCCCAGCTGACGACATGCATTAGGAACAAATAACTTTATGTCTGTCTGAGCCAGTATAAAGTTTTGGAGCAAGGTTTGTAATATGCTTGGATATGTCATCAATAAGGACCACTCAACTAATCCAAATAATATGATCAATATAACACTAAGGATGTAGGAGGGCATCACAGGGTTCTTAGGAAGGACTGGATCAGCTCCTACATTGACAGCTCCAACGACCAACTCAGCTGACATTGGTTTTGTAATGCTGGAAGATGCCAAAGGAATCCAAAGGATCCAAAACTCTCCTAGACACTTGTCAAGTCACCAGAGGGGGAAATTAGACATACGTCTGTCTTCCCATTCCTTCCCACCAGAAACAATGGGAAAGAGAATGTGCTTGTATGTGTATGTGTGTGCGCATACACAGTTGAAAGCCCTGCTGGCAAGAGCCCAACAGAGCTTTAGATAAGGCACTAGGATCACCCTCCCCCAGTCTTTAGAACAGCAGCCTGAAGTTGTAATCCTATACACACTTATCTGGGTGTAAGCCCTATTGAAAATTATGGGACTTCTGAATAGACAGCTATCTGTCAGCCTCAGAAAGAAGTCTGTTGCCTTCTAGAGGCACTTCCCCACAACAGTCTATTGTGGACTTGGGCATGCAAGTTTTTCTTCAGTGTCCAAGCAACACCACCACCATCAAAATACCTGTAGAAATGGTAAATCCAGACTCAGAAAATAATACAGGAGAGTATTTTGGTGAGGAATACCATTTCTTGCATGCATGAGCAGCGAGCACACAGTTCACATTAAACTTCTGTCCGGAAAAGCCCCTTTGTCTAGCTAGTGCAGAATATGGTATGGTTGCATATAATACAAAAATTTCTCATTAAAGATTGAATGGCTTCTTCAAAGAGTTAGTATCACATGTTAAAAGTCAATCCGCTTCAGTTTAAATTGTAGTATAATCATCTTAAAAGTACCCTCTTCAGCAGTAAAAGTGGCTGGAAGAACTGAATAAAGCAGCAACCAGCAACAGCACCTGTGGATAAATACATGGTTCATCATATTGCAGTTGCAGAAGACCGTGGTTGAGTTTTGTTTAGAAAACCTCCAAGCACCATCTCATATGGTAGTCAATAATGTAAGGACCAAATATAGGTAAAGGTAAAGGGACCATTAGGTCCAGTCATGGCCGACTCTGGGGTTGCGGAGCTCATCTCGCTTTATTGGCCAAGGGAGCCGGTGTACAGCTTCCAGGTCATGTGGCCAGCATGACTAAGCCACTTCTGGCAAACCAGAGCAGTGCAAGGAAACGCCGTTTACCTTCCCGCCGGAGCGGTACCTATTCATCTACTTACACTTTGACGTGCTTTCGAACTGCTAGGTTGGCAGGAGTGGGGACCGAGGAACGGGATCTCACCTCGTTGCGGGGATTCAAACCGCTGACCTTCTGATCAGCAAGTCCTAGGCTCTGTGGTTTAACCCACAGTGCCACCCGCATCCCATAAGGACCAAATATAGTGCTCCTTAAAATAACAAGTGAATAGTGGTCCTTCATACGACAGACCTACAGAATCACTGATATAAAGTTGACTCATAATGAAACTGAGAAGTTGTGGGATACAGACTGCTCACAGAATTTTAAACATACCCCTTCCTGGTTTTTACTAGCAAATACAGTGGTACCTCGGGTTACATACGCTTCGGGTTACACTCTGCTAATCCAGAAATAGTGCTTCAGGTTAAGAACTTTGCTTCAGGATGAGAACAGAAATCGTGCTCTGGTGGTGCAGCAGCAGCAGGAGGCCCCATTAGCTAAAGTGGTGCTTCAGGTTAAGAACAGTTTCAGGTTAAGAACGGACCTCCGGAACGAATTAAGTGCTTAACCCGAGGTACCATTGTAAGTACAAGTCGTTTTATTATGGTCAATGATCAGTATCAAGACAAAAACACCAGTTACAAAACTTAAAAGCTCAAAACAAGATAAAATGATATAAAATCGCATATACATAAAAAAGCAGATCTTGGTGGTCATTTATCTGTCAGAAAGAAAACCCTTCTATTTATCTTCTGTACCATGAAAATAAATAAAAACATTATTAAAAAGAAAAAGAAAGGAAACCCTGGCCTAGAATTGTCCACTAGTCAGTATTTTATATTATATATTATACTAATCCAGGATGCTACTAGCAAATAAAATATTAACTCGTCAGTCTGTCAAATGACTGCCTTTACCTCTCAATTTGACTTCAACTCAGTGTATCAGATGGCTACCAGAAATCATCACAATTACAATATGCTACCTTGATTCACACATAATGCTAAGCCATTGTGCAGTTTATTCCAATGTTCAAAGGCAATACAGGACACTAAGCATGGTTTGTTCACTTGCAACAAATCACAATGTGAAACCATGGTTTGTTGTTCACTTCCAGACCATGGTTTCTTTTAGGAATGGTTTGGTGTTGACCAAACCAAACAGCCTTGTCCAAATTCAATAACCTTGGTTAGCTTTGCAAATATGCTAGCTTTGTTATACATAATAAAACAAAAACATACCAATAACCCTCCACCCACAAATATTTAAAAGACTGTAGAATGTTAATCAGAGAAAGGCCTGGTTACAGAGAAAAATTGTCATTTGGTGCATAAAGATGTGTAATCAAGGCGCAAGCCAAGCCTCCCTGGGGAGAACATTCCACAAATGGGGAGCCACTGCAGAAAAGGCCCATTCTTGTGCTTCTACCCTCCAGACCTCTTGTGGAGGAGGCACACAAAGAAGGACCTCAAATGACTGCAAGATCCAGGTCAGCTCATTTGGGGAGAGGTGGTCTCTTTGGGGAGAGCATAGATTTTTAAGTGATCAGCAGCATGGGATTTTTCAAATTGTGCTTGCTATGCTGGTTTTCTCTCTATGTGTATTCTACTTTTTTATTATTATTTTCACATACCTTGAAAGTAGGCGCAACTTAAGATGCCTTTGAACAGTAATGTGGAGATAGTGGGTGGTGAAACCTGATGCATGATGAACAATGGCATTCAGATTGTTATCTGTTTTCAGTAACGGGGGTGGGGTGGGGGGTGGGCGGAATACATAGCCTGTTTGCAACAGATTTTGGCTAGACTGTAAGAAGCCCACTGGGTGAGGGACACACACACACACAGAGAGAGAGAGAGAGAGAGAGAAATGGAGCCATTTGAAAACACCAGACCCTTGGACTACTGATTAACTAAGATTGCTGAGAGAAAACAGCATTTTACTTTCTAGGTTAAGTTAAAACGTGCAAGGTACATGCACTTAAGAAATCTCCTTGTTAAATGTTTACCATTGAAGAAGTCATTCAATGTGGATTTCAGTACCTGGAGAATCTCTCAAGTACACTTGTGAGATTACAGATGGCATTCATACAACAGATAGATGAGAAATTCTAGATGACATCCATCCCCCAGAAAATTGTGGTTTCTCAGCTACTACAGAAGAGGTACATGTCCGCCTACTAACACAAATCCAAGTGAGATATTGTTACTTCTAGAAATGCCCTTTTTTGCTGTCCTTGGTGCCCCTTGCTATAGGAAGAGCAGCACCACACATTTAAAGCACATAACTTCTCCAAAGAAACCTGGGAACTTTTAACTTTTAATGTCTTTTAATGTTGCTGGGAATCGTTGCTCGGAGGGGGGAAACTGCAGATCCTAGGATTCTTTGGGGAAATTAATGTGCTTTATTTTTTATTATTAAAATTTGTATACCACCCTTCATCCAAAGATCACAAGGCAGTAATTCTTGTATCTATAAATACTAACAAAATATCCACTATGTTTCAGGTGCCATGGTGGTGGGTAGTTTGTATGTTTTAGGGATATCTGAGCTGCTACCATGCATCTCTATTTGCAACCTCTTTGAACCTTTAACAGTTTGCCAGATATAAATCACTGCACAATTAAAAAACAACAGCATATGGTCAAGAAGACTGTCAAAGCTTGATTCTGATGCAGCATCTCAGAAACTAAGAAACTTTTAGAGCCTGCCATTCATCTTAAATCCCAGAGCATTTTATTTTATAATTCACTATTTAATGTAATGTAACTTATTGTTCTTAAATGCTATGTCACAATTCACATTAAAGAATGGTAAAATGTTTCTTAAAATTCTTCCTAGCCTTGCACAACAAAATAACTTATTTGAAGCATATTGGACCTGGCTTCTGAGACAGCTCAGAGTCTTTCCCTTTGCTAAAGTTGTAGATACTCCATATGATTTAGCCATGGAAACTGGACTTATTCATACCCTATTGAATTGTGAGGTTAAGGGCTGACACTGCAACCTTACATTCATTGCCTAGATAAAGGAAGCCATGGTAGTTGCCAAGTGGTTGATATTCCAGTCATGGAAGGCCAAAATTCAGCCTGGCATGGAGATACAGGTCATGGATATAGTAGACATTCTGGCAAAGGTGTAAATGGAAATAAACAGACCTGAAATTTTTAAAGAGATCTGGTTCATACCTTGAACATTTGACCACTTTAATTTGCCCCTGGACCAACAAACATATTGGTAAATGTTCCTTATCCATCCTTTAATTTTTATCCTTTGCATGATGAATAGGAAAAGTGAAGAAAGAAAGAGAGAGGCAAAAATATTGGGCTAGGAACAGAGGAAGCTGTGTTTAAGTCCATTTAGTTCAATATTGTCTGGGTTGATGGGCAGCAGTTCTTCAGAGTTTCAGAAAGAAGTCTTTTCTTGCCATACCTGGAGCTGCCAGAGATTGAAACTGGGACTTTATGTATGTAAAGCATTTGCTGTGCCATAAGCTAGGGTCTTTCCCTGCTTCGTATTCTAAAGATTTTCAAAGGATACTTTTCAAAATGTTAACTTAGGGCCCACTGAAATAAATATTAAAAGTTATTATTCCAGTGATTTCAATAGCACCTGTGACTAATAGTATTCTGTGTGTATGGTGGATGATTGCCCCATCCACATCAGAATGCTCAACCTGGATTAAATTGGTTAGATTTTTTTTGTAAGATTAGGCAATGGTTCCCATCCAGGGACACTACTAACAAGTAGTGTCCCTGGATGGGAACCAATGACTAGTTGCCCATTACAGCAAATTTTGTAGAAATAGGCAGGGGAAAATATCTATAAGATGGGCAGGTAACAGATTAATTTGAGCAAGTTATGTTAGTGTTTGTGCAAAAGCGTGCAATTACTCAGAACTCTTTTTCTAATTCTGAAGTCAGACATACCCAACTTAGCAATTCCTTTATTGTTCTATGTTCTGTGATATCCAAATGGAAAATTGTACAATAATGCCTTAGCTACTAGTCTCTCAGGGCAAAACTATATGTTATCTGGGCAAATGTGTTACTTGACCAGAGGTCACTGGAAGCAGTAGGACTAGAGCTATAACTGTTTCCATTTCCAGACAATGCATGTATTTTTGTAAACTAAGAAATCTTTAATAAAAAACAATAAACAACCCATAACTGTTTCCATTTACTACATCACACTACTGATGCAGTTGCATTTTGTAGCTTAAAATTTTAAGTATTTAAGATCTATCAACTGCCTTTCTACAAAGAAAACATGATACTATTTTATTCTTGTTATCTGTATCACTTCCATTAATCACAGTGACCAAGAAACACACACACTTTTAATTTACTGATCAATAATGTGTTGGAGCATAGGTTATGTTGGACCTGTGACAGAAACTCCCAGAAAGGAATCTAATGATTTTACAAACTAAAGTCTGTTTCATCTTCATGTGAGGCTTTTGTAAAAAAACAAAACCAGACTAGGTGTGTCACAAATTAACTTTAATTACTTCTGCCTTTATTTATTTTGCTGGATGGTTTGGGTATGTCATATACAGCTAGAAGAACTACACATTTACGGTAATTGGCTGCAAGTTAACAACAGAATAAGGAAATCCCCATGACTGCCCAATGTGATGTGCACTCCTTGCGATACTAGGCAGGAGAATACGGCAAAAGCTTTTATACTCTATAGAGAACCCTATGCAGAACTCTTAAACGTAAATGAGTACATTGCCAAGCCATCTGAACAGGTGGTGGAAGGAAGAAAAGCAGAGAGGGAGCCAGTTAAGATTTATAGAAAAGTTTTGCAGAACACCCCATTGCTCTTTACTTCAGTGAAGAAAGTTAATTAAATAAATAAATATCTACAATAACTGTACTCCACACATATACCAAAATTGGGTTAAGATGCTGAACAGCATCTTTCTGCTGGAGCCACCAATAGAACATTTCTGAACATTTAGCTCTCCAGAAGTTGCTGAACTACAGTTCCTATTATCCTTAGCCTTTGAGCATGCTTGGTGGGGCTGATGGGAGTTTTAGTTCAACAACATCTGGAGTGCCAAATATTATCCACACTTGGATTGGAATCACAATTACACCACCAAAACAGATAGATAGAGCTGTCAGTATGTTTGAAGGAAGTGATTTATTTATATTTGTATCTCATAATTTCTCTAATAATCTCAAAGCAATATTTTAAACAAGAACCCAGACAGGCTTGCGCTTTTTGCTGCTTTTCTGGATCAGAGCTAATGATCTGCCAAAAACTGATCAATGAGGCAGGGGCTATAGAGAGATTTGAATTCATATCTTTCCAAGTCCAAAAGTTTACATATGTTATATATGTAGCATGCTATCAAATGTATCAAAATCACATGGGATATAGGATAGGATATGTATCATAGGAATATGGAATAACCATACCTACATGAAGCGAAGGGAGCAATACACCATTGTAAAAGGTAATTACATTATGAGGACCAAACAGAACTGAAGTAGTGGCCACAGAATCAGATGAAATTAGTGGGCAGGGTAGAAGAGTGGAAAAGAAATATGAAATAACTATTCACAACAAAACTTGCCAGATCTGTTTCTGAAGTGATGAAAAAGTAAATTAGATGCTTTTGAGCCTAGTAATCTTAAGGTGCTATTAGATGTGTAAGTGCATTCTTGGCAAAGTCAACAGAAGTACCATTTGAGGACTAGGCAGTCCAATTTCCAAACAGTAACGACTTTAGTCTTACAATGGATATCTGAAGGAGGCATTAAGAACTCAGTTTTATAACTTTGATTAGATGATTTGTCCAAGATCTCATCATTGTATGTGATAGAAGAAAACAATACACATAGACTGATTTCCATTCTTGTGCCTCTTCAAAAAAAGAAAAGAGAAATCTGATTATCTGCTAACCTATTTTTGCTCATAAACTCATTGTATTGTCTTTCCCTACAATTGCCATATTGATCAGCCTGGTGAGAGACCAGAAGTAAACAATGTAAAACGCAAAAGAGCAATTGAATAAATAGATTCTACAGTAAGGCATCTTCCTGAACACCATGTTTACCAAACGTGTTGCGCAAGTTGATTACAAACTAGCCCATTTATTCTGTGAAGAGGCATATGGGACTCATCGCTCTCTTTATCCCGAAACTTCACAACTAAAGTAACTACCCAGTGAGGAAGTCCCACTAAGACTAAATGGAGTGGAAATCTGGAAAGGAGATGCATGAAAGGGGATTATTTCTTTCACCAAAACCCTCAGAGAGTTAAAAAATAAAAATAAAAAATCACACACACACCCCAAAAGTGTGTGCATGGGGGAGTCTTGTGGCATCTTAAAAATTATTGTGGCCGGAACTTTCAAAGGCAAATCCTCTCTTTAATTACTCTCTTTCCTATTTGCTTGCTATGACAGACTCCTTCAGGATTATTTTTTTTTTTTAACAAAGGAGGAAATGCTTTATAAAAGAACTTGTGCTGAATAGCACCAAGTTCCATCTTGTCTACATGAAGCCAACAGCCAACAGCCTCCGACCATGGAGCTCCTTGGATGCCATGAATATGCGTTGCTCTCTCTTCACCTCCCTTCCCACCCCGCCTATACAAGTTAAACCCGGCTTTACCAAGTCCCACATAGGGCTCAGGCTTTCGGCTTCCCCTCCGAAAAACCCAGCACGCAACAAAACAGCAAATATTCCCCTTCTGAGCATGTGCAGAGGGCGCTTTCCCTAGTCCGTTTGGGATTAGGGGTAGGTAGCGCCTGCAGACTTTTAGGCTTAGCCATCCCACTGGAGGTTGTGAACCATTCTGTGATCTTCGGGAGAAGGGCGGCATACGAATTCCACTAAATAATTTCATTTTTAATGAAGAGTATGGCGGCGGCTCGAGAGGGTCGCCCGGCTCCCCGGGGTTGGCGGCAGGCGCGCAAAGTCTCTCTCACCTGTCAGCGTCTGAGGGAAATCAAAGCCCCTGAGCGCCTCGCCGAGCGCACCATGGGCTGGAAAAGGGCGGGAAAAGCGGGCTTCGCCGGCGACGGGCTCCCCCCTCGGCGCTTCGGTGGGCGTCCGCGTCTCCTTCACTCTGGGGCCAGGCGGCAACGGCAACGACGGCGGCAGCTCGCGGTCTCTTTCTCTCCCCCTGAGAGCGTCAAAAAGTTCTTCCCTGTTGCTTCGCCGGCGGCTTTTAACCGCGCCCCCTACCTGCCTCCCGCCCTCCTTCCCTTGACGTGCCGGGACAAGAGGAGGAGGAGGCGAGGCCTCGTCCTCAGGGAGGCGGGAAAAGGGCGCGAGGGAAGGCGAAGGAGAAGTAGAGAGAGGAGCGAGAGGAGCCTCTCTCAGGGTCGAGAGGCGACGCCGAGTGGAGGGAGCCGGGCGAGGCCTCCCTCAGCCCCGGCGCCCTTCAGGTGTTCCTGGACGGCGGTTCCCGTCACCCCCGACCGCGATGGTGCATGGCGGGCACCCGGTTGGGGAAGTCAGCGCTCTCGACACACACACACACCTTTTTTTTGTTTTTGTTTTTGCTGGGGCAAAATCGGCTATTTAATGGTAGAACCTCCAACTACATACCAAAAGCATCCAAACTACAGCAGCGGGTAGAGTTAGGACATTTTATTAGAGCCACCTGAACGTCCCAAGAGGGCTTCAACCGAGTTCAGGTAATAAATGCAGGTGTGGTGGAAAACTACACGCAGAGCTGGTCTGACCATGCATGAATTAGCTATATTTGTATATCACTTTCCAGGATACAATGCTCTGGGGAACTTCTGCCCCTTCCCAGCCAGAGTTGAGCACATTTGAATCCCACAGATTTCAGCAGGAGAGATCATAATAATCTTGTTTTTAATTATCCATGTGGTGCTTTTATATTGTATTTTTATGCTGTGAACCACCCTGAGATCTACAGATGAAGGGCGGAACACAAATTATAATAATATAATATTATAATATAATATAATATAATATAATAAATATAATAGTTGGAAGGAACCATGAGGATTATCTATTCCAATCCCATACAGTGCCAGAATACGTAGCTGTCCAATACAGGGATCAAACTTGCAACCTTTGCATTTATCAGCACCATGTTCTAACCGACAGATCTATCCAGATCTGACCCAAGTCTATGCACAACTCCATCCCATAGCAAGACATGCTTAATTTGGTGGGAACAGGATTAATTATTAATTAATTTGCTTAATTAATTTCAGACATTTGATTGGCTATTGAAAATACCTCTTGAAAACTTTGCAAATCATGTCACCACTAGACAGGCACGAACTTTGAAGAAAGGGTGTGCAAGATCAAGTGTTGGGATAGTGGAAAGAGTGCTTGTGTCATACATAACACTCCTTTTCTGCAAGGATTAGGAAGGAGAGGCAGGGCATTCTGGAAGCACTTGTGAAAGCTGGCTCTCCAAGTTCATATTTCTTCATTCATGCGGGGGAAAGTGCTGTCTCCTCTCACAAATTGTGGAGCAATTATTATGCCTCATAATAAAATGGATGAAATCTGACATGCTCCCCAATTCCAAACAGGGCTATTCTGTGCCAAAGTTATTAAGTGCAAGGATACGGAGAGGGCTACCTTGAAAGCAGATAATCTGCTGAATGGTGGTTTAAGTTGAAACACATCTGCATCAGGCAATAAGATATGCTGTTGCTATTGCTAACACATGCCAAAAAACCATTTGAAGATAAGCTAAGTTTTCTGTGAATCTACCTCACAGGAATAACTAATGTGATTTTAAATATAATTGATATCCATATCTTCGTGAGATTTTTGAAACGAATACAGCTTGCTTGAAATAAATGCAGCTAACTTCAGGTAGTAAGCATTCAGCCTATTGGTTAAAAAGAGAGTTGAACACCTCTCCATTCTTTGCTATCATTGATATTGCACAGATGCAAAGGAGAAGTAACTTTATTGATTTAAATATTTATTAAATTTCTATACTGCCCTTCATCCGAAGATCACAGGGCTGTTCGCAACATCAAAATATAAGACAAGAAGACAAAATACATAAGAAAAACAAAACAAACACATCTGTACACCATTTATTTTCTAAATCACCTAGTTTGCCTTTTGAGTGACTCGAAAAACAATCGATCTTGTATATGACATCAAAGTTTGATTTGTTGCTGAAACACTGTATATTTTGATAAATAGAAGATACAACTGCTTGATCCTTGGATCTTAGAGCACTTGCAGACTCACTATTTTTGAGTGGGATTCAATCAATCAGGTTGGCAACAAGATTAGATTTGTTACAATAAGGAAAGAGATAGGAAAATGCACTGGAAAGTGTGGGGAAACACATACTTTTAACGCAATGTCATCGAACCTCCCCACAAACAAATCAGAATGAATTCTCATTAAATAGCAAACAGCATCCAATTTCCCTCTAAACAAATCAGAATGAGTGCTCAATAAACATGTTGGCAGGGACCACATTTAATGCTGCAGTCAGCATGTTTCACAGATAACTCTTCAAACTCAACTTTATCACCTGAAGTCAGCAAGCATTCCCCCCTCCCCAAGTATATTTTTGTTTCAAGGTTAGTTTATCCAGTTTTCAGATCTCACAACTGAATTGCTTAGGAAATATTTTGTTTGTTAGAAATAAATTACTATCTGTTTGGCTTTAAAATTCTGGCTTTCCTGTATGCTATATCATTCAATGAATAACTGATATATATTTCTCAACGTGGGATAGCTCTGTTATCCCAGGTTGGGATAGATTAAGAGCATGAGATTGCCAGGGGTTGGACTAGATGATCCTCACGGTCCCTTCCAACTCTACAATCCTTTGATTCTATGATTCTCTCCCTTTAGGCATCTCCATTTATCTTATGCTGTCCACCTGTACACAGCTTGGTTTAGTATTTCAGCTTGTCAAACAACAGCGAATGAGCAACACCCGTATTGTTCCTCTGACTCTGGAAAAGGTACATGTGTTTTTACTTGTTAAAATTATTGGCAAAAGCAGATAGCCAAATGAACCAAACTAGATGGTTCCTTTTTCCTAGCTACTTTCAGACAAGACTTTTGCAAGTGATAAAAGCACTGAATCAGCATACATAGACCTCTCAATGCGAAGAACTGTTCAGACTCTCATGCTGCTTGTTGCACTGCTGATCTATACATAATAGCAGGTTCAGCACAGCAACTATGCAAAACCACAAATTGCAAACTGATGCCTCTTGATTGAGGTATGTTTCATCACCAACACATGCACTTTTTTTCACTTACTCCTGCTGTTTCTGGAGGAACAACTGTTTTGAATAACTCCTACAGAACTAATGGACTAAACCAGGCATAGGCAAACTCGGCCCTCCAGATGCTTTGGGACTACAACTCCCATCATCCCTGACCACTGGTCATGTTAGCTAGGGATGATGGGAGTTGTAGTCCCAAAACATCTGGAAGGCTGAGTTTGCCTATGCCTGGAATAAACAATTTAGTTTTTTGCATATCTCAGAAACTCTCAAGAATTATTAGAATCTTTTAGTTAGCTGAAAATGCTATCTGCCTATATCTGTGCACCCAGTAAAAGCATGCAATGCTTTCTGTAAAGTTTTCTCTTTCTGTAGAGATTTCCTAAACCTCCAGTGCCAAGGTATATACATATGCCGCAAGGGATGCCATATTTTAAAATTTTGGTCTGAATTTTGTGGTCAGGTAATTTTAAGCATAGTTTAACAAACTTTACATTGATTGACTGATATGTAGATGCCAGAGAGAGGGGTGAAGGAACTGTTTTACGAAACTAGGAATGGTTATATATTCAGATGTATTGCTTTACTTTATATGTGAATGGGGAACCTATGGCCCTCCATATGTTGTTAGACTACAGTTCCCATCAGCCCTGAACGCTGGTCATGCTGAGTAGGGTTTATGGGAGTTGGGAGTCCATATTTGGAGGACAAAGCTTTCCCATTCCTGCTTTAAATGCATCACCAGTAGACTTTTAATTTGCCTTTAAATATCAATAAGGAACAAGTATCTGCTTCAGTAAATGTGATATTATTTCATTCTTAATGGCCAACGGCAGCCATGTAATGGGAATATGTGTCTAGTTTAATATTCATTTGCTGTTCGTGGATGGCTATGGGATCAATCTCAATCTCATGAGATCAATAAACCAGCTTGCTTGAGAATTAGATGTCATTCGTTAGCTACAAATAGTTTTTGTGTTTTTTTAATGATGAAGCTTTAAATTACAACTCAGAGTTCCTCCTATTTACTTCTTTCTGGAAGAGGTCAGCATTCTAGACTAAGTCACACTAGTAGCTGTAATGTCAAACATGCCCACTTGATGTTTGCCTCCAAAGGTCATTCTTGAAATAAGTTACAAGAAGATAAATCTTCTTGTAAATAAGAACACTTACTAAAATCTTGTATTAGTTTGATAAGAGATAAATTCCAGTTGATTAATGTGGAATGCAGAGCATCTGGTGTTAATTCTTATTTTTATAATAGTATTATAGCATATTGCAAGGGTACAAGTGGGACCTGCAACAAATGGTTGCAGTGCATTACTCAGCCTAAAATGAGAGTTCCTGTTCAGTGTTCAAGCTGCCCATCCCTTCCAAGCAGGATATTCCACTTCTCCCTATTCCATTTTCCTTTTCCAACTGTCATGCTGCATTCCATGACTACTGAACCCCTAAGGGAATTTTACTACTGTAGTGTTGTTGTTTTTTAAGAGTCTTTGTATTTCTGAAAACCCAGAGTTCCCCTAAGCATGCTGATTTTCCTCTTGTTTTCCAATGGCCTTGCTGCCAGTGTTCCAATTTAAGCTCTATTATGAGAGCACAATATTTCAACACAGTTAGCCTTTGATGTACATGGCAAGACACACACTTGCTAAAGCAGGAAAAGAAAAACTCACTTGAGCCCTAAAATTACACCCACAGAGTCATTTCCTTTTCTGCATAATTACCACATGACAATATGAAGTGTCACAGAGGTCTCCTGTAGGTTATTCGTTAGCTATTCTAGCTCAGGCAGTAGGATCCTTAAGTTTTAAGATCTATATTAGAAGGAACAAGGGTGTCCAAACAGAGCAGTGGTGTGTTTGGGGTTGCTTCATTGAAGTGAAAACCTGAGGTGGAAGAGTCCACATGTAAGGTGAAATAGAATGTTGCCCATGTGGCAGTAACTCAGTGACTTAAGATTTCATCTGTTATGGTCAATTCATATTTTTCTTTTTTATTTAGTGAAATGTTTAGACCACTAAACATCAAAATATCCAAGCAGTTTACATTGTGCATTGCAATAATCCAGTCTTGAGGTATGAAATGCATGAATCACTATAGCTAAATTATCCCAGTCTGGGATCAGTTGTAGCTGATGTACCAGCTGAAGCTGGCAGATGACACGCTTAGCCACTGTGGTCACTTCCAGTGACAAAAATTAATATAAGAGCATGCCCCAGGCTGCAAACCTTTTCCTTCAGAGGAAATGTGACCCCACCCAGAAGTGGTAAATCTTCTAGATTCCTTGTGGTGTATTCAGTTCTTACATTGCTGTGAACAGCAGCAGCAGCTATCATCATCACCACCACCACCCAGTCTTCACCAGCAGATCCCAGGATGGGTTACAACAATTTAAAAACAGGTAAAACTGAGGATAACTGAGAGTTTTGTGTGTACCATCTTATGTGACAGAGCTTCAGAGGTCATTTTGTATCAGTTTGGCCAGAGCCCCCTAAAATGCTCAGGGTGGGTGAAAAGCTGTCTGATAAAAGTTTATTTATTTAAAGAAGCTCCTTGCAGGGTCATCTGAGATGTCAAAGCAGGCATAATGGCACAGCAGCCTACAGGAGCCTGAACAATTTTTCTGCAGGCTTCTGCTTGGAAACAAGAAAAACCAGTTGCTCATAACTTGATTCTCTGAGAAGGGTTGTGCATCAGGCCAAAAGGGATGAGTGTGGTTCCATAGCGGAATGACCTGTTTGAAGCTGAAAACATTTTATTCCCTTTGCATGCCTGCTTGCTCATCTTTGTGAAAGTCATGTATACTTCTATGGACAATTCACATAGAACTGGAACCAACAAAACCAATGACTGCAACCAGTGATAACTGCTGAGTGTTATATACTGATTCCTGTTGAATCCAGAAAGAATCCTCAGCCAGCTGCACTGGGCTTCCTTCATAATTATACCATTCTATACCATCCTGTCTGATCCTCCCATCCCATATGATTCTAGCTTGTGACTCTGGATAACATTTGTCTTCCCAATCCTGAGCTAGGGATGAGAAAGGAAATGTTTTGGTTTATTTTCAGATATATTTGCATCTGCATGCTGGTTATTAAGGTACACAAAATGGCTTAACATCCTTGCTCCTCCTCCCACTTTAATAAGCTCATAGCTTCTCTTAAGTCTCTCAAGTGTCCTGACTGCAACTATCACCCATGAATGAATGGAAAGTTTTATGGGAGAGATAAGGCTGCAGCTGAGCATTATAAACGAAGCTGTCAGTTGTAGCATTAGTCCAGAACTTGGAATATCCCAGCTGATTTATCTTATGTATCTTTCAATCCATCCCTTTGTTCTCCAGTTTACATAGCAACCCAGTGTGGCTGGGGGAGGGAAAATTTGAGACACAGAAAGCACCAAATCCAGAGCTATATAGAGGTCACACGCTGGGTGGGTTTCCATGACTTTTAAAAAAGCCCCTCCTATTGGTTCCATTAGGGTAGGGTGGGGAGATACTAATGCTAGCTCCAGGAACAATGTACTTCTTCCCACTACACCTCGCCCCCATTCTGGGGGCACATCAGGGAAATAGGAGGACAATTTTCTGTCATGCCTCTCCTTGGCCCCCTTGTTTTCAGAGCAAGATGTCCTTTATGTGGCATCTAGGAGAGGGAGTTCTGCAAAATCCTGTGATCCTGAATCACTCTCCCAGGATCCATAGGATTGTGCTTATTGGTTTAATTTCTGTCGGTTAAATTAAACCAGTTTGCTTCTAGTTGCCTCTAATACCCACTAACTGTCAGTTTAATACACTGCTCCTTGTCAGATATTTTGTTATGAGTCATTGTTGTATTTCTGTACAAAAACCAGGCCTGAATCCCAACTGCAAGGAAAATCTTAAATTACACACTTGACATTTATATACATATTTTTTTATTGCTGTTTGTATTGTTAGTGGTATCTAAGAACAATATCATAATAAACGATATTTATTAACGCTTCCTTTAAATTTCATTCGTGCTTCCAGTAACTTCCAAAATGCTTCATCAGTGCAATCATCTCCTAACTATAGACTACCATACATTCACCCGATTTCATTATTTGCTCTCTTTTTTCCATTCATATGCTGTTATCTTCCCTTTTGCCATCAGCTGCACTATGGTTTTTTCTGTTGTTATCTAAGGAAAGAAAATAAATTCTCAAATAGCCCATCCAACACTACCCTTTATGAATACTATTTATTAATGAATACATTGAGTCAGATGGACAAGTAATATTTGTTCACATGTTGCAGTGCAAATTAGCTACAGTGGTACCTTGTGTTACATACGCTTCAGGTTACAGACTCCGCTAACCCAGAAATAGTACCTCGGGTTAAGAACTTTGCTTCAGGATGAGAACAGAAATCGTGCTCCGGCGGCGCAGCAGCAGTAGGAGGCCCCATTAGCTAAAGTGATGCTTCAGGTTAAGAACAGTTTCAGGTTAAGAACGGACCTCTGGAATGAATTAAGTACTTAACCCGAGGTACCACTGTACTTGCCAATTGGCATCTCTCTGTAGTGGGTTTTTATTTTATTTTTTTTTGTTCCTTTTTCGAGTTAGTGCTACTGTAAGCTGCTATCCTGAAACAACATTTCTTACACTTTCTTATGCTTTACCAAGTTTGTTTCTTGTTACCTAGTGGCCATTGGAGACGTTTCCATTGCTGAGCAAAGCTAAATACTAATATCATTGCATTGATGCCAGTTGATGTAACTGGTCATTACCCACTTTTAACACCCAGTCTCTTTCCTGTATATAGTATGGATTAGCAAGAACTTCCCAGTTCTGTAACCTGTGGTTATTCATACCTACACTATGTGATTATTCATTACTGTTTATTCATGTCTATGTTGTTGCTTCATAATGGAGATTATGTTATTTCCAAATTGTTATTTCAATGTTACTTTTTTTAAAAAATAAATAAATCACATTCGCTAACTTTCTTCAAAACATTAGAAATCATTTCCTATCAATATAGACCAGTAGCATGTCTTGCTTTAATTTAACTTCTATGTGAGAGGTGGCTAACCTTCTTTGGCTGAGGGCTGCATTGCCAAACAGCCACCCCATCAAGGGTCACATGCCAGTGGTTGTCATGGCCAGTGTATGCACATATGTGTGCATACAGACCATGCACACATACATTCACCACATATGCATTCACACAGCACTTTCTCTCTATTCCCCCCCCATAAACACACCACACATAGTACTAGGTTGAATACAACCTATGTGTGTGACTAAGAAGAACGTTCCATCAGTGGAAGCATGACTGCTTGCCCAATGGAATGACCCCACCACACTGTTCTGGGGATTCTTCCAACCTTTTAGAGCAGATTAGGGAGGATGTCCCATTGCATTAGAGGGAATCCTTGCACTGGCTTCTCTTAGTGCGCGGAATTCCTTTAATATGACTCATACACTCAGATATGCCTGCAGACACACACAACCAGAATTTGCAGCCCTCAACTAAAGTGTTCCACAAATGACAAAGCCTCCTTGGATCTGACATCTCATAAGTTGATCTCCTCTATAGCTTCGGTCAGAGGAGCTACCAGAAGTGCTGCAGGCTGCCTCATGCTGTACAATAGGTGAGATAGTAGTAGTAGGATTGCACTTGTTTACACTACTAGCCATGCCAGCAGCCTCAGAACCAGGGAGAAGGGGAAATGTTCAGTTGTGTATTCACTGCTTCTGCCTGCAACAGTGAAGGTGCACTTGGGTTGGGTGGAGGAGAAATGAAATGGTCAGTGCTGCTGCTTGCAGGTGCAGCACCCCTTGCATGTACCTTATCCCTGGGGGCAGCTGCCAGTATGATGTACATACCTCATGATGACCAAACATAATAGTGGTAATAATAGGGATAGGATGTGGTGATGACGATGGTAACATGATGAAAATGATTGTTAAATATATATGGTGTGATGCTTTGCTGCCTATAACAGTGAATGTTTGTTGACACACAATGGCACTCAGGCAGGCACTAAGAAAGTAAGAATTTAATAATACTAGTAATAATAAGAGTACTAAATAAGGCAGACTGTGCTTGGCTTCCAATACAAAATTACCCTATTTTTCGCTCTATAAGACGCACCAGACCACAAGACGCAGCTAGTTTTTGGAGGAGGAAAACAAGAAAAAAAATATTCTGAACCTCAGAAGCCAGAACAGTAAGAGGGATCACTGCGCAGTGAAAGCAGCAATCCCTCTTTCTGTTCTGGCTTCTGTGATAGCTGCGCAGCCTGCATTCGCTCCATAAGACGCACACACATTTCCCCTTACTTTTTAGGAGGGAAAAAGTGAGTCTTATAGAGCAAAAAATACGGTACTTAGGTTTGATGAAGGGATGTGTTGGGTAACAGCCACAACACATACAGAAAGAGGCACTAAGAAATAACTAGTTGAATAATAAGAACCACTTTATAATTACTTGTATAAAATAATTAAAAAGTCACCAGGACTACACACATATAGTGAACTAAAAGCAAACTATTTTGCTAAAGAAAAGAGACGATCCATTGACTTGCCTAGTAATAAGAATAAGCAAGCAATCAGCAACCCTTACACTCAAATTCAGTCACAAAGGAACTCCCTCCTTCTCCTCACACTGGTGTTCCCATTATATGAAAAAAATAATCACACTTTTGTCAGACATAATGCAGCATATATATTTTTTAAAGACCGAGTCCATAAGGTCCTTAGGATGGGATCCCTACTTTAACCCAGGGCATCTCGTGCAGATCCCACATGGAGAACCCCCAAATCCCTCTGAGGCAACCTGCCCCAGTTCAAGATTCATTTGAATCCAAAGCATATGTCTAGCTCCTGAAATCTTTATATTCTTTGCAAGACTAGACATGACTAGGTGTTTGATTGTCAAGTTGCTAAATCACAATTCATACCTCTTTCAAGATAAGATCCCTTTGAACAATTCTTTCCAACATCACTGCAATAGATCTGCTAGTGCGGGCAGCTCCTAAATGTTGAATATTTCCTGATTTAGGCAATTAACTTGAAATAAGAAAGCAAAATACAAAGTGTATCTTATTTATATGTTCATTCAGTGGTATCTGTTTATCTTATATGTTCTATTTCATAGAAGAAACCTTTGGTAATTTTTTGCACATAAAGAATCCTGTTTAAAATTGTCACAGCCATAGGAGCCAACTGCTAGGGGCCAGAGGGGCTTCACTGCCCCAATACATTATTTGAGGGGGCAGTGCCATTCAAATGGTATGCGTGCACTGCATCATGTGATTTATTATGGCAGACGGGGCTTACCTGCCGCTCCTATATTTTATTCAAGTTCACAGCCATCTTGTTCCATCTCAAAGAGGAGTGGCAGGACAGGCAAGCCCAATAATACGAGTGAAGTCTAGTGATAAAGTCCAGTCCAGTCAGCCAGGCAAAAGATTGCTTGCTGGTCAAGACCCTGGATAATTCCCTTTGGGCACTGTTGGCTAGAGAGCTGTTGCCTCAACAGTATACTGAGGTCTTGTGAAGATTGGTTGGCTAGATATTTCCTATTACCCTTCCCCACCCCTTTGTTGAGGAGCTGCCTATTCCTTTAAAACACAGTTACCCTGCTCTCTAACCAGGGTTAGACCAAGGATATATTGCTGCATCAACAGCCTATAAAGCACTGCCAACTCCATCTTAACATGGGGCTGCAATCTTGTTTGCACTCATCAACTGATTTTACTATTAAAATCGTTCAGCCTGGACACTGAGATCCAGCACCAAGAGCATTCTGGTGGTTCCCACACTGTGAGAAGTGAAGCTAAGGGAACTAGGCAGATGGCCTTCTTGGTAGTGGCACCCTCCCTGTGGAATACCCTCCCTTCAAATGTCAAGCAGATGCGTAATTACATAACATTTAGGAAACACCTGAAGGCAGCCCTGAAGGAAGCTTTTTAAGGTTTAATGCTTTATTATGTTTTTATATATGCTGGAAGCTGCCCAGAGTGGCTGGGGCAACCCAGTCAGATGGGTGTGGTACAAATCATCAACAACAACAACAAAACAACAATATGGGAATTTAGAGGCATGCTTCTTCTGAACTGGGGTGGGACAAACAGGGAGGGCTGTTTACCTACATATCCCAATAACTTGGAGCATTTGGCTGGCCATTGCATCAGAAGTTTTGATCCAGCATTGCTATCATGCTATGATATGTTATGTAACTACAATTTCATGTTTAACATGTTTTCAATATGAAATTCTCCAAATGCATTTAAATAATTTTTTTTTAATTGAATGAAGGCCTTTTGAGGTCTTTGCTTGGAGAGCAGTTTTATTTTATTGCAACTGAAGGGTTTCCTTTTCTTGGCAATTTATGTCTCCCTGGTTAAATATTACTAGATAAGTAAATGTTTCCATTTTCAGATTTGCTTCATAGTATACTTTTGTACTCAAGATCCGTGTACTTTAGGGATCACAGAACCTTGGGACTCCAAAAAAAAACCCCCAGCACACAATAAAGTGTAACCTTAGTTGGACAGACTGATGTTAACCAACTTTTCTATTCTAAATACAAGAAAGAGACTAGGCAAACAATCAGAGGACTTGATAGCTGCAGTCTTCAGTCTTTTCAGATCCAGGAACCATCTTTAACCCAAACATTCCTTAATTTTTTACCATTTATTTGTACAATGGTAGTACTGCTGTTGCAATTCACCAGTTCAAAATGAATGGTTTAGAGTATGATAATGTTCACACAGAATTTAACCAAACTCTAAACTCCACAGATCTTTCCAAATACTAAACTTTTTGTATGTTCAACTCTTAGCTTTCAGAATTTGACTTGTATTTCAGTTATAACGTACTCACATGGATAATTTATTACATTTCTGGAACTTTATCTCAGAAATCCAGACTAATCTCAGGTATTATAAGGGGCCTTTGGGAATTGTACTTTATGTCTGCAAAGTGTTATTATAAGCCACAATAAGATTAGGCTTGGAATAGTGAAAACACATGAGAATATAACATCCTCATATTGATATTGTTGCATGCCACCCCGATCTCTGAGTGGTGTGAGACCTCAGGGGTTCCAGGCTCTTACCCAAGGTTTTGGGTAAGAGTTGCCTTTGGAATGAGGCACAGCGGAGACTGTGGTGTCTTTATGATATATGGTTTATTTACACATATACACAACCTGAGGCTATGATGGAGGGGTTCACAGGGTCTTGCTTCCCTCAAAACCACAGCCTTGGATTCAAACAGAAATCAAACATCACTCTGACTCTCTGGCTTCCCAGCCTGTTGCTTCCAGCTTTTATCTCACCTCACTCAACTCTCCACTCTAGTGTTTGTCTTTCTAACTACCAGCCAGTTTAGGGAGGGGGCCCACCCATTTGTCCTCTAGTGCTGAGCCACTCCCTTTGGTTCTTAAGGGCCCATAACCTAGGCTATCATCCCACCAGAACTGAAATCCTTGCTTACATTTAAAGACTTGCTGGATCCATATGATAAAGAACAAATACATGTTCTTGTTTCAAGATAGATATCTGTCTTAGGATGTACTTCCAACAGTATTTTCAAACACAAGGGCTTCCAGTTGGGGCATTATGCCCTATTCCCCCTCCTGGCCTTCTACGTGCCTTTTATTTTCATTAGGTATAAAATTAGATTTTAAATACCAGGGTGGAAGAAAAAGAGATCTGTCTCTTGTAATGTGTGTAACCTTTGCCCTTCTTTCCTTCTTGAACCCTGCCTGCTTCATCCTTGTGTTATGTCTTGTCAAATCCAGTTTGTGTAGCTTTCAGATGGGATTACATTCAGTTTACCTCTTCCTTCCTTATAGAAATACTTTGAGAATTGCAAGGATTTCTTTACAACAAGATATAATTGTCAATCAATGAAATAAAGATATAAAAGATACACAACAACAGAAGAATAAATAAGGAAAATTTCAAACCAAAAGGATACTTAAGAAAAAGTTTCAAAAACCATTATAGTTTTCCACCTAGTCATATAAAATTGAAGATTATATCACTGCTAGAAACTATGTTTCTACACGACAAGTCTTAAACCTACACTCACGCACAACATTTTAAGTATAAATAAAATATCTTCCAGTTAATATGACTGTTAATATTCTTGCAGCTGTTGCTGTAAGTAGCCGCTTTGTTCTGTATACTTCATACAGTATCACTTACTGTAGATAAACATAAGCCACAGCAGCAAATATCTTGGATAAAAGTATATTTAGTATTAACAGTTCATTCGTCTTGGGAAGCATGAAAATCATATTGAATGAAAATACTCTATAATAAAATTATGGTGGACATAATCCAGTCAAAAAAGCTTTTAAAATTATTTAGTGGTACACAAATGTTTACTGGCTTTGCTTGGATCATGTTTGTTATGTGTGACATATATACATATTTCTCTCTATACAGCAAATATTATAAAGTCTATAGAATCCTTATGATTCAATAACCTACATGGATGTCACTTCAGTATTGGAAATTAACATACAAGCTGGAACTATTTTGTTGCATATACAGGTAGTAGAAAGCAGCAGCCGGCTGTAGCTTCCCTATGTTTGCAGACTCAGCAAGTAAGCATTTATACTCATCACATCTGAAAGAGTTCCTAGAGTCTGGACTCAGAAGTGAAGAAAGATATAGCATTCTTTCCATCAGAGACATCCAAGCACAAGACATGCTAAATGACAAGAAAGCTAACAATGGCACTCTCTTCAGTTCTTTCTTACATGAATGACTGGCCTATGAAAATAAGTTCTATCATCCATCTGATAGTCATAAGGGAAGGGGACATGGCTGCATTACTGAGCAGAGCAGAAGTCTGGCAACCTGGGTGGGGATATTTCTGAGATGTCAACACCTTGCATAATCCTCATGGCTTTAATTCTGTGTAATGGAGTTGGGATAGATTTTGAACGTTTCACATGCTTCCGTAGAAGTTTAGTGTGAAGCTCAGAATCTGCTTTCAGTAAAGCTGTGGCTTAAGAATTGTAATGTTAATGTAAACTCTTTTGGAGCAGTTGTTAAGGAGCCATTAGAAGTACTGTTTAGGCTTTTCATGACTAATCTCCTAAATGCTGCTGAAGATTATGTATCCTCCTTAGTAAATGATATATATATGACACAAAACTTTTAAGAAACAACTGTCAGATTAGTTGGCTTTAGTATGCTATCAAGCCCTTGAGGGGAAAAGGCTGCAAAGGCTCTACAAAGCTATAAACTACACAGTATACTGAGGGTTGCTTTTTCTGTCTCTTTAAAGAGCTTCAGATCCCTAACAGAGCCCCAATGTGCAGGTATTTTCTCTCAATCAGTGCTTCTTACCACAGCAAGGGAGGAAGTTGTGAATATGAAACAGCAGCTTAGTTTTCAAAGAAGAGTTCAATCTCTATATCTGTTAATTATGCACCTCTGTTTTATGTAGTGTGCCATCTGCTGACTGAAAAGATAATAGTTTAGTTTCCTACTGCCTCTACTACTGCTGTCATTAATTAGAAGCATGTAAAGATATTCTGGGACAAGAAGCTACACTTAGAACTGGATATGGAACAACTGATTGGTTCAAAATTGGGAAAGGAGTACGGCAAGGCTGTATATTGTCTCCCTGCTTATTCAACTTATATGCAGAATTCATCATGCGAAAGGCTGGGCTGGAAGATCACTGGAAGAAATATCAACAACCTCAGATATGCAGATGACACAACCTTGATGGCAGAAAGTGAGGAAGAATTAAAGAACCTTTTAATGAGGGTGAAAGAGGAGAGTGCAAAATATGGTCTGAAGCTCAACATCAAAAAAACGAAGATCATGGCCACTGGTCCCATCACCTCCTGGCAAATAGAAGGGGAAGAAATGGAGGCAGTGAGAGATTTTACTTTCTTGGGCTCCCTGATCACTGCAGATGGTGACAGCAGTCACGAAATTAAAAGACGCCTTCTCCTTGGGAGAAAGGCGATGGCAAACCTAGACAGCATCTTAAAAAGCAGAGACATCACCTTGCCAACAAAGGTCCGTATAGTTAAAGCCATGGTTTTCCCAGTAGTGATGTATGGAAGTGAGAGCTGGACCATAAAGAAGGCTGATCGCCGAAGAATTGATGCTTTTGAATTATGGTGCTGGAGGAGACTCCTGAGAGTCCCATGGACTTCAAGAAGATCAAACGCATCCATTCTTAAGGAAATTAGCCCTGGGTGCTCACTGGAAGGACAGATCGTGAAGCTGAGGCTCCAATACTTTGGCCACCTCATGAGAAGAGAAGACTCCTGGAAAAGACCCTGATGTTGGGAAAGATGGAGGGCACAAGGAGAAGGGGACGACAGAGGACGAGATGGTTAGACAGTGTTCTCGAAGCTACAAACATGAGTCTGACCAGACTGCGGGAGGCAGTGGAAGACAGGAGTGCCTGGCGTGCTCTGGTCCATGGGGTCACGAAGAGTCGGACACGACTAAACGACTAAACAACAACAAAAGATATTCTGAGTACTGTTCCCCTGCCAAACTGACCCACAATCTTACCTCGCTCTTTCTACTTTAAACTATGAATTATATTTATATAATTCAAACAAGGATTAACTACATCTTTTTATCTATCTTTTTTTAAAAGCTGGTTTGGAATAAGCCAGTAATCAGCTTCAGCTTTGGGGCTTATACATAATGGCCACTGAATGTTCAAAATTCAGTCGAGAAAGTCACATTCCTTGAAACAGGTTGAGTATTATGCATATTGACAAGAAAATGTAGTTGAGATATTTATTTTTCTTATTTGGAGAACATGCATAAGAAAAAATGATATTTATTTTTCACTAATATATGTATTTGTATGCACACTTATCCATTTTGTATACTTTTTTATTGAAATGCACTGCAAAAATTTTAGAGAAGGTTTTGAAGATAGTTACATTTCAGTTCACACACTGTATTGTTATAGGAAGTGCTATTTAGGTATGTTCACATTAAAATGTGAACTGAACCAAATTTCTTCCCCATTCCTACTGGAGTTAAGTCTCATTGACTTTAATTTCTTAGAATCATAGCATTATAGAGTGGGAAGGGGTCCCAAGGATCATCTAGTCCAACCCTTTGAAATGAAGACATCTCAACTAAAGCATCCATAACTGATGGCCATCCAACCTCTGCTTAAGACCCCCCAAGGAAGAAGAGTCCACCACCTCCTGAGGGAGCTCCACTGTCAAACAGCTCTTCCTGATGTTTAGCCGGAATCTCCTTTCTTGTAACTGCTTTGTCCTAGTCATGTAATGATTCCTCTCCCACACTGATGGACCTGTTCAAATAAAACATCCCTCCCCCAGATTCTATCCAAATTAAGGGAGGATTGAGAGTGGATCTTGGGTTTGCAGGTTTTTCTTTCCTGCTCCTCCCTTTCCCACACTTCATCCGCCCAGGAAGAAGTTGCCAGGGAAATGGGTGGATCTTGCAAGTGGGAACTTTCATTCACAGCACACCCTGTCCAGTTAGTATTCCAACTCTATTCCAACTCATTAGAATTCTATGATTTTGTGACTGAAACTCTGGGGAACTCTGTGAGTCAGTGAAAACAATACTAAGCTATATGGACTAATAGTCTTACTCTGTATGAGGCAGCTTTTTATCTTCCAAAAACTATGGTGCCAGAGGAGGCTTTAAATTGAGAACAGAACCAACATGTGGACAGAATGTAGTTCTTGAGCAAGGAAATTCAGAAGTGAGAGCTATTGTTCACCTCCAGGTGGTGCATTGTTTTGCACTTTTCCTGTCATTGTTTATACACACAAACACACACTGATTGATTGTAATAAAACCTCTAAATGGTTTACTAAAAATATTAAAATTATCAGCAGTAAAAACAGTTAGTTGTGCTCTTTAGCTTACACAAACCAAGTAAGGTAATAAATAAACATAACAGACCAAGAAAGGACCAGTTATGTATGTATAGCCCCACAAACTCAGACATCAAATCATTGACTGGAAATAAAGGGACAGTTAAGTCCAGTCGCGAACGACTCTGGGGTTGCAGTGCTCATCTCGGTTTACAGGCCGAGGAAGCCGGCATTTGTCCGCTCCGCAGACAGTTTTACCGGGTCATGTGGCCAGCATGACTAATCCGCTTCTGGTGCAATGGAACACCGACATCAGAGCAGTGCACAGAAATGCTGTTTACCTGGAAATCCTGACCATCATTTCACTGTACCATATTTATTCTTACCAAGCTAAGGCAAACCTTAAAAATATTATAGTTCTTCTGAATAATTATTGCACAAATAAAGTAGTGGAATCTGAAATCCAGTTTTATTAATGAAATCAAATAAGTTATTTCACGGGGTTTTTTCCTAGTCTGCGTCTGCACTGGATTTAAAGTAGTTTTAATTGCTTTTATAAAAATGAAATCTACTTACATGCATTTTACTGTTGCTATTTTATTGTTAAGTTGCTTTAAGATTGTTCATAGGAAGTGATTCACAAAATAGAAATAAATAAAAATTATATCCCATTCAGTCATGCTTGCCAATTCTAGAATATGAGTTTTAACTTACTGGCTTTTGAACTTAAACATTACATTTGGAAAATACTCAGAACTGGTAAAAATTAATAGGATTTATAATCCTGTCTTTATATTAACATACTGTATGTACGGTAATAATACTTAGCCAGATATAAATTACAGTGGTACCTTGGTTTGCAACTGCTTTGGATTATAACCACATCAAACCCAGAAGTGCGTGTTCCTTTTTTTAGATTACAACCCATTTTGGGGGGGAAGCCCCATTGGTGAAAGCGCGCCTTGGGTTACAACCTGTTTTGGTTTACAACCGGACCTCTGGAACGGATTATGGTTGTAAACCAAGGTACCACTGTATATGCTTCTTTATCTGGTTTTTAATGTCCTTGCAATTATGTTCCTGTAATAAATGCGTATTTTGGTTAAATTATTGAAGTTCTGTTCTGACTTGTTGTGTAGTCATTGTCATTGGGCTTAAAATATTAAAGCAGAACTTTCAGGGAGTAGGCTGGGAGAAGTTGGACATCACTATGTCAAAGGGGCATACAGCCATAGCAAAATAAGACAATACAAAAATGTTGGGGACAAGCAACCAAGCAAAATTCAAAGCGATGTTGCTGGCGTAATGACATTTAAAACACCCTAAGACAATAATACAGAGATTTGGTTGCCAGCGCCAAAAAACTAGTATGCGGATATAAATAAAGCATAAAATGGCCCCAAAATAGGCTCAGCACATTGAGTTAAAAAGGTAATAAAAGAATTAAACAGGTCCAGGACTAGGGCACACTACCCTGTCAGAGTAGCCCTGAGTTTCAGAGCCTGCACTGTGAAGATTGCCACCCCACGTGAAATTTGGGGATTTGCGTCCACAAGAAGTGCTTTCAGACAGTCTTCCTTAGATGCAATGGAGGACGGGATCAAGAGGAGGAGCTTGGGTCTTATTGGATCATAAATAGGGCAGTAGAAAAAGAAATGTATGAAGTCCTCTACTTCATTCATTGTGCATGGACATAGACGCTGAGTAATAGGGGTCTTAGAGTAGGTCCCCTGCAGGAAGGCCGTGGGTATAGAATGAAAACGGGCCATTGTAAACGCTCTTCTCAAATTGGGCTCCGTCAGGTCTATCAAGTAGTTGGCAAGTGATCTTACCACTTTCACTTTAGGGAGCCACATGGAGAGGCGAGCTGAGGTGGACTGTGCCCGGTCCATGGCCTCATCTCTTATAAGAATCCAGGCCCGGATTTTATGTTGGTCCCAAGATGACAACGTGTCGAATTCTGGGAGGGAGTAGCGTACAGTAATAGACTCCATGGCCTTGGACCATTTGTTGGAGTGAGAACAAGTTAAAAAGGCTTGCCTGGCTAGTAGGGAACCTGGGGCATTGGTTAATTTGCAATAAAAACTAATAATTCTAATGTGGGCTCTCGCAACAATGGAGGGAAGGCCCAGTTCTGTTCTTAACTGAGCAGCAACCGAGCCCTTGGGGAGACCCAGTATCTTTCGTGCAAAAGAGTTTTGTAGAATCTCCAGCCGTTGTAGTGTTTTTAAATTCCACCCCCAGATTTCAACCCCATACAGTAACATCGGGAGGACTTTGCTAATAAATGCTTTTCTGATTGGTGGAACCAACTGGCCGCCTTTTGCATAGAAGAATTTCTCCAAGGCTTTGATGGTTCTGCGGGCAGCCAGGATGGTCATATTTAGGTGAGCTGACCAGCTAAGCCCATGCTGAAAAGTGATTCCCAAATACTTGAAAGCTGAGCAATATTCAATAGAGTGGCCCTCAAAGTTCCAGAATGACTTCCGAGTTTTCGTGCCAAAAGTAAGAATTTTGGTTTTGGCGAAATTGATTTTGAGGGAATTGGTATCACAATATGTCATGAGCCCTCTGAGCATGTTGTTTAAGCCCTGCTTGGTTAAAGACAGTATCACCATGTCGTCCGCATAGAGTAATATGGGGATCTTAAGCTGTTGTAGAGAGGGGGCAGATTGATTTAGGGCCTGCATAGTTGTAACGATGTCGTTGATATAGAAATTGAATAGAAAAGGGGCCAAGAGGCAGCCCTGTTTGACCCCTTTATTCAGAGGGAAAGAATCAGAAAGAGCTCCCAGGGGCCGAATTTTACTCTGGCCGATATGTCATTATGAATTTCCATAAGAAGAAGGAGGAGTCTCTTATCTATGTTGGTGTAACTAAGCTTCTGCCATAGCCTATCTCTGGGAATGGAGTCAAAAGCGGAGGTCAGGTCCACAAAAGCCGCGTGTAGTTTGCAGTTAAACCTGTTTAGGTATTTATCAATCAGGGTAAATAGAACAAGACATTGGCCAGATGTACTGTGACCTTTACGGAAGCCAGCCTGTTCCGAGTGGAATAGCTTTGTTTCTTCTGCCCACTCGATTAATTTCTCTAGCAAGAATCTAGAGTAAACCTTGTATGATATGTCTAGCAGGCTGATGGGTCGATAGTTACGCGGATCTTGTGGGTCCCCCTTTTATGTATTGGGATGACTATGCTCTGTTTCCAATTTGGCGGGATCTTAAGAGTGGCATTAATAGTGGTAAAGAGAGATGCAAAAATAGGGCCCACCACATCTGGTTCAATAAGAATACCTCGGGTGGAATCATATCCTCCCCGGGATTTATCCCCTGATAACATGCTAATTAGTTGAACACATCTCTGGGGAGACTGGCTCCCAGGTGGGCAAGGCAGATGCAGGAAGAGCGGAAACTGCGAGCACGTCGGAATCTGGGTCGGAATACAGCTGAGCAAAGTGAGAGTGCCAACTGGCTGCTGTGATGTTATTAACGATGAATGAGGGGGGTCTTAAACCTGCATTAATTAAATTCCAGAATTTCTTGTCGTCACGGGTTTTAATGGCCTCTGACAATGCCGTCCAGCGTTCTTTCGCAAAGATCAATTTCTTATGTTGGAGCAACTTCTTGTAGTAAGAACGGAATTGGGCTAACTCCCTGATTTTGCTCTGGGTGCTGTCTGATTTCATATCAGACTGAAGAAATCTAAGCCTACTTCTGCACTGTTTACATTCTTGGTCGAACCAAGTTTGATTCTTCCAGGTTAGACTCGCACGGGAGGGTTTCGTAAGTGTTGGGAGCAAGTAGGCTAGAATTTGTTGGAAACTTGAGAAATGATAGGAAGAGAGGTGTTTTGTTTCTTGCCAAATCTCAGAAGACTCCTGGTGATGTATTTAGTAGCTACTATTTTATAATAAGTAGGGACTGATGGCAGAATTTCCCTTTTAGATTTGAAGTACCAGTACAGTGGTACCTCTAGTTACGAACTTAATTCATTCCAGAGATCCGTTCTTAACCTGAAACTATTCTTAACTAGAGGCGTGCTTTTGCTAATGGGGCCTTTTGCTGCTGCTGCACCGCCGGCACACAACTTCTGTTCTCATCCTGGGGCAAAGTTCTCAACTCGAGGTAACTCTTCCAGGTTGGTGGAATTTGTAACCTGAAGCATTTGTAACCTGAGGCGTTTGTAACTCGAGGTACCACTGTACTAAAAAAGAAGTGTAGATTTGGTCCATAAGCAGGAACTTTTTAAAGCAGGAACTTGCCAGAACTCAGTTCCAGCACCTCTCATTGCCATTATAAGAGAACAAGGGAGGTGTTTATGGTAAGTTCAGGCACCTCTTTTTCTAGAAAAATAGCACTGGATAGGTAGGAGTTACTATATTAGCACAATTTTGATTTTGTGTCATATATCCACTAAGACACACAGAACTTGCTTGTCAGTTAAATTAAAGGTGTTGTTCAGTGAACAGAATTCTATTATTTGCTCTGGAAGCTGTAGATTGGCTGTAAAAGTTGAGAACATATGGGAGCTGGAATAGCTCAGTTGGTAAGAGCATGAGACTCTTAATCTCAAGGTTGTGGGTTTGAGCCCACATTGGGCAAAATATTTCTGCATTTGTAGGTATCTACAATTCTGTGATTCTGTGATTATGTTCTAAGAGACAGGAAGCACAAGTTTCATTCTCTTACTTTCTGATCCATGTTTTTCTTTTCCAATGTCTAAATCTGTAGTCAGATTATCAAGATCTCAAACTAGAGAGAGAGGGAGAGAGAAATTCTCCATCGCAGATGTTTTGATTTTCACATCAGGTGTTTCAAAGAATGAGGAATATGAAACATGAGTCACTTGTATTTCCTGTCACCACCTCTGCATGTCATGCATCTGAAGCTATTCAAGGTCACACAAAAAAACCTCTTCTTAGTTATGGACTCAGCAGTAAGTCTTGGATAAATTGTTATTTCTCAATTTCAGATCTGCATCTGTAAAATGGGAATAATAGTGGCCTCTTTCTCAGGAGTAATCAAGAGAAAGATAATAAAACTGTTTCCACACAGCAAAAGATCTCTGTTATTAATTAGAAATTTGTTATAATAAAGTCAGTGAGACATAACCATTTAAATCCATGTAGTTCACTTTAATTAGTTATTTGTGTTGATACACCAGACCATAAAGACCAGGTGCAAGCCTTACCATGTTTACTCAGAAACAAGTCCTATTTAATTCAATGGGGCTTACTCCCAGGTTTAGGATTGTCAGCATAAACAATACTGTAACAAATAATAACTTGCCATTTCAAATCTGAAGCTTTCTGCTTTATGAACAGTATATAGCTCTACTTGTATTATCTAAGAAAAGAAATGATGTTTTAAAATTGCTTGTTGCCTAAAACTGGTTATACTGGAAATCAGTGTTAGAAACTGAGATATCAAAGCCAGGAGCTAAATGGCACCTTAAACCTAGGTTATGGGCACAATAACAGAATGTCTAGGTGCACTTTTTTATAAGAAGAATACAACGCTGAAAATAAATGAACTGCAGCTAAAATACTATGTTCATTTTTCACATGGTCTAGTCCTTCCCCTGCCCACCCTCCTAATATTCTTAAGAGGGTCTCTTCTCCAGTCTTCAGAGAGTAGCTGGAAGTGGGGAAGCAGAAAAAGGTCCCCCTTTCCTCCCACTCTGCAGTTTTAATCTGAAGTCTTAGGCGCAGTACTGCGCCCAGAGCTCAGAAACTTCTCGCACTAATGAAATTCCGCAGCAAAATGCGCCTATTTTGAAACTATTCAACCCACACATGTGGGCACCTGGAGGCATAAATTACAATTAATGTATCCTCTCCTACCCATTAAAACCCATCCCATCGCTTGTGTGTCACTAATGCATGGATAACTGGTGAAATCCACTGTCTCAAGGTAGGGTTGCAAAGCTGGTGCATCAGCCTATGCTGACGCAAGGCAATCCTGGCCACAGCTGAGCCTCCCAGTTAGCAGTGTGTCCAGGAGCACACCCAAGCAGTTATTGTAGTGGAATCCATCCAAGACTAGCTGTAATACTTCGCGCTTTAAATTGCCACAAGATCCTCATGATAGTTTTGCTGCAACAGACTAACATGGCTAATGGAATGTTTCCCTTGATACTATTCTGCTGTTTGTTTTCATTACTTAATTTTGTTACTTGATTTCCGATCAGGACTCTTGATCTATAGACGATGTTGTAAAATGCCAATGCTGTGCACTGTTTTCATGATGCCAAATACAGTGGTACCTCTGGTTACAAACTTAATTCGTTCTGGAGGTCCGTTCTTAACCTGAAACCGTTCTTAAGCTTAGGTACCACTTTAGCTAATGGGGCCTCCCACTGCTGGTGCGTGATTTCTGTTCTCATCCTGAGGTAAAGTTCTTAACCCGAGGTACTACTTCTGGGTTAGCCGGAGTCTGTAACCTGAAGTGTTTGTAACCCGATGTGTTTGTAATCTGAGGTACTACTGTATATAGGACCCATGAGGAGAGTGTGGGAATATTATAGTTCTCTTTGAGATTTTCCTGACAATAATTACCATAATCCTAGCATAAAGATAAGGAGAGTTTGTTGAGCAAAGGTTATGTGCATTATAGGGCTACCCTGTAAGGACAGCAGAAGGCAAATAATGTGTGCACTGCTTCAAGAGGCAAGTGTAACAGTGAGTCAAGCGTGGAATCCACAAACATATGAAAAAACGCTGTGAAAATGCTTTTTTAAAAAATCGTTTTGAAAAATACACTGAATTTTGCATAGCTCTCCATCTAGTTTCACACTTGTATATTGCAATTTACAACATATTTAAAACATTTTATTTGCAGCTGTATAGCTAAGTCCACTATTTGTTCTCCGTGTTTCATGTTGCTGGCTCGGCATACTGGGTGGCTGTCATTTGGAGGAATGTATATACCTCTTTCTGCCTATCCTCAAAAGAGGCAGCATTGCAACCCAACTGTGCCCTCGTTCACCCCACTGAACTTCCTTAGAAACTAGTCTTGTAACTTGGTCCTTACAAAGAGGGCATGCTGAGCAAGATTTGAGAGACACAAAAAAGTCCCGGGTTGCAGTCGTACACTGACACAGGAGTAAGATCTACTGAACTCATTGGGACTTAACATCTGACTAGACAGGTAGAGGACTGTACTGTTGGTTTTATTACCGCCTTTTCTACAGCTGCTGCTTCCAGATTATTATTCACCTTTCTTGACAACAAGCTAGTAGGAGAGTAGACAGCCCACCACCCTAAAAGTTATACTCACCAGTAACTACAGTGAAACCAAAGAAACCTGCACAGGGACCAAACCCTGCAACATATCCAAATACCTACTCAAGCAATACTGTTACAGGACCTAATGATATTGTGCCTGGCATCATGGCTTATTCACCTGCTCATTCCAATATGATATGTGATATCATCTACTAGAGATGCCTCTCTACACAGAAGAACAAACGGCTACAAATCTTGACACCAGAAACAGCAGTAGCCAGAAACCATTATGAGAACATGTCAACATGCAGGGATATAACTGTCAAAGGAATTTCCAAGAGAGACTCCAGTGTGCAACCACTGAATTACTACAGAGGAATCTTTGTTCAGGATCAGGCTTCACTTCCTCTTCTGTCTTCCTGAGAGACCAGAGAAGCCCTGTTTATCACGGGGTGGGGAGGGATTACAGATTTCTAATCCCATGTACCAATACCAGGATATTTGTCTACTATGAGGCATGGCTGGCATAGTGGAGTGGGTGTCTCTTGGCTGCCATTCTGACAATGGCATTGCTGCTGCTTACCTGGGTGATGCGGAAATGCGGCTGGGTGTTGGCAAGGGCAGGGCTCCGTGGGTGCAAAAATTGAGCCAACTGCTGCTACCCTACCTAATCTCTGCACCATCCAGGTGAGTAAAAAGGTAGAAGGTAAAGGACCCCTGGGTGGTTAAGTCCAGTCAAAGGTGACTATGGGGTTGTGACTCATCTCGCTTTCAGGCCAAGGGAGCCAGCGTTTGTTCACAGACAGCTTTCCGGGTCATGTAGCCAGCATGACTAAACCGCTTCTGGCGCAACGGAATATTGTGACAGAAACCAGAGCGCACCGAAACGCCGTGTACCTTACTGTCACAGCGGTACCTATTTATCTACTTTTGTAGATGGCATGCTTTTGAAACTGCTAGGTTGGCAGCAGCTAGGACAGAGGAACAGGAGCTCACACCGTCGGGATTCGAACCGCCAACCTTCCGATCAGCAAACCCAAGAGGCTCAGTGGTTTAGACCACAGTGCCACCTGCGCCCCTTTCATATCCAGGTGAGTGGCAGTGACAGCACTGTCAGAAGTGCAGCTCCACAGCAGCACCGATCTCAACAGCCACTCCTGGTTATCACCAACACTGCCTTAGGAAGTCTAGACATTTTGCTGCTATGTAATTATGTACCGTAATTATCACTGCCTGTTCTTTTTGCCTTTCTCTACTCTTTGACCTCTCCGTTCCACTATTATAGACTTCATGCATTTGATTAAGCAGACTCTGTTATTAAAACGATTGTTAGCCTTTAAGGTGCTTCATTGTTTTTCTTGCATTTAGGCTGATTGATATTTTGGGATTTCTTTGATGGATATATTATTTTAAATTTTGTATTAGGGATAAGTGGAAAAGCTAGGCATATCCGTTGTCATTTTAAAAGGAAAAAATCCAAAGGAAAAAGACTGTGGTGGTAGTTTAACTACTTATACAATTGTGTTGACACAGTCCCATGAACTGCATTCCAAGCATTATACCTGAATCTTTTCCAGAGTGTATAGTTGCATAATGGTACTTTTCCACAGTTCCATATGTTTGAAAACCCCTACATGGGAATTGTAGAGGGGGGAAAAAACACTAGCTGGTGTAATATGTGCAAAGGTGCATCGTTTTGTAGAATATCAGCCTCTTTGAACAATAGGCCAATTTATTTAGAAGCAGAAGTCAGGCCTCTAAAATCTGTACATCATTAACTGGTGAGGGTATGATAAGGTAGAACCACTGGGTTAGATCCATACCATGTTATTTGAACTTGGGTTTCACTGAAATCAATGTGAAACATTTGCATTTACATGGGAAAATGCTGAGTAGACATGATTAGGATTGCACTGTTGGCCACAGTCCTACTGATTTCAATGGGAAAGTTTGAAAACAAATGACTTTCCCTGGTGAAAGTCATTTATTTAGATAATTTATATGCAGTACCACCTTTTGCACAAGTCATACAGGTAAATAGATAATATGCATAAAATAATAGTATCCTTTAAAAATACTTAACAAATTATTAAAGAACCAAGGATTAAAAACCTAGCTATAAAAACACCTAGCACCTTTAGCTATAAAAACACCTAGCTAGGTGCTATAAAAACACCTAGCACCTTTAGAGAAGACAGACAACTAACAAATAAATCCCTACATGCAGGTTGCACATCCCTGCATTGTCAAATTGTCAAAGCAGTCCACTTAACCATTGTTGGCAATATTCATAAGACAAGATGCTATAGCCAAAGGGCATCAGGGAGCAAATAGTTTGTCTATTTGCCCAAACTCAAACCATCTATGGTTTACTGAAACAAGGTAACTTCGAACCTTGGTTTATAAAGTTGCTTGTTTCAATTAACCATAGTTAGGATTAAACAGTTCAGCGTTCATATGTAGCCCTAAACTGTGGTTAATCAAAATGGAAAGAAAAACTTCCAATTTCTGCACAGCCACACTAGAGGAGCAGAAGGGAGTGAAATCACATGAGCCCAAGGCTCATCTAGCCTCATTCCTGGAACAATAAAGTTTATCACCACATTCAATAGCAGCCAGTAAGCCTGCTTTGGAGATACTGACCGGGTTCCGGCACTCCCCACTCCTGCTCCCATCTAGACTGAATCAAGTTATTTTACATCCAAATATTCGCACTTGCCATTGTGGCATTCCGTGAGCAGACCAAGACTATTTTGTTACATTGGGCCTTCTGTTGTTAATTATGTCGTGTTCGTGCTAGTTTGCCATTTTCTTGCAATCAGTTCTCATGATTTAAAATTATTGTTGCTGTGTTCGAGTTGTGTGGTTGTAAACCACTTTGAAATCAGTCAGCGAAAGGTGACGTAGAAACTTTGAAAATGAAATAAATTGGCAACGTATTATGAAATTGGTAAAGTAATATATAAAGCAGTTTATATACAAAAGCATTATTAAATAGTTATTGATAAAGTTTCAAGAACGGCTCGTAGAATACCCTAGGCTTTTTAAACAATTACTAAAGTCACTTGAAAAATATATTCTTTCAAGAAAATCTCTTTGCAAACTTGTCTTTAAGCTGTCCCAAAGCTGTGGTGGTGGTGGTGGTGGTGGTGGTTTTCTTATGCAAGGATATTAACATAGCTATCCCTCTGGAACGTGTTGCAAATTTGTGATGCAAAAAACCCTAATTATCAAAGGAGATTATAATTATATACCCTTTCATTTCAGATACATAGAAAATAATGAATTATGACAACCAGGATAGTATGTGTTGCTGTAGTCTTAGATGACTGCTTATATAAACCTCATTCATTTACAATTACATCGTAAATACAAATCCCTGATGAAAGTCAACGTGTGCCTGCAAGCTACTTGGACTAGTAGAACTGGTGCGGTCAAAACACATCACCAGTGATGGTTCCATAGCAGATTTTCCCAACCCCAGTGCCTCAACAGATGTACCGTCAAGTACTTCAGCTGGAAACATTGTGAGGTTCAAACCAAAATCCTGTAGGACTAAATATGTAAATTCTCCACATACATAGAAATGGATACTGCTAGGTTTCAAACGTGAAACATTTATTGTGGCTTCCTTATACCATGCATCACATTCCACATTATGACTTTAAAAATTGGCTCTCTTGCATGAAGCACATCAGCCCAATTCGACTCAGCAATTTAAGACCCTTGTGGTTCCTTCCAACGCTACAATTCTAAGTCAATAGTATAAAGGTTTAGAAGTCTCCCTTGAAGAAAAGCTATATATACCGATTCATCTTCAGAGCAGTCCTACCTCATAGATGATCTTTTCTCATGCACCTCAGCCCCAGCGAGGAGGTCTCAAGGCACAACTTCACGGTCTTCTCAAAGAGATGGTGCAGCAGTAAACCAGGCTTCTCCTCCCAGGACTCTGCTTAATGAGGGGAGGATGAAGCAGTTATGGAAATCACCTATGAATGCAGCACTTATCACCCACTATCAGATGCTGCACCCACAAGGGATTACATGAAAGCCCACCAGAAGCCAGGCTCCTCTGTTGGATGTCATATAACAGGTTTTCAGCTAATCTGCCTAGCTCCAATACAAAGCACTAACATTCACCTACTTATAGGGATGCTTCACGTAATTAATGTCCAAATAATAATTGAATTGCTCTTCAACTGCTTTACTCCTCCTCTGATACGGTTTAGTTCCACTCATGGTAATTTGCAACATGATTTAGCAGAAGACTTTAAGTGGGTCTGCCACATTAGCAGAAGACTGCAGCTACATTCTCAGCAATCTCAATGAATATACATTTACTCCTGAGAATAGCAATTTTTAGCAGCATAAATCAAAGCCACTACAGCTAAAACTAAAATATTCCTCAGAATTCCAGGACAGCCATGAACTTACTTTTAATGGCCCTGGCAATCACCATTTAACTTCTACGATTTATAATTATGGTAACTTCTTAACACAGGGGTTCTACCACTGAGTTAAAGAGAATCTTGTCCAAGCTTAATCTTAGGGACAGGTAGAATATAAATTTAAATATGTAAATATTAATTCATGTACTGGTTAAAACAAATTGTCCATTCTTGCATACCACTTTTTTCGTGGGGCTACCTTTGAAAGTGACCCGGAAACTACAACTAATCCAGAATGTGGTAGCTAGACTGGTGACTGGGAGCGGCCACCGAGAACACATAACACCGGTTCTGAAAGACCTACATTGGCTCCAAATACATTTCCCAGCACAATGCAAAGTGTTGGTGCTGACCTTTAAAGCCCTAAATGGCCTCGGCCCAGTATACCTGAAGGAGTGTCTCCACCCCCATCGTTCAACCCAGACACTGAGGTCCAGCTCCGAGGGCCTTCTGGCGGTTCCCTTACTGCGAAAAGTGAGGTTACAGGGAACCAGGCAGAGGGCCTTCTCAGTAGTGGCGCCTGCCCTGTGGAACGCTCTCCCATCAGAGGTCAAGGAGATGAGTAATTATATAACATTGAGGAAGCACCTGAAGGCAGCCCTGTTTAGGAAAGTTTTTAATGTTTGATGCTTTACAGTGGTACCTCGCAAGACGAATGCCTCGCAAGACAAAAAACTCGCTAGACGAAAGGGTTTTTTGTTTTTTGAGCTGCTTCGCAAGACGATTTTCGCTATGGGCTTGCTTCGCAAGACGGAAACGTCTTGCAAGTTTGTTTCCTTTTCTTAACACCGTTAATACAGTTGCGACTTGACTTCGAGGAGCAACTCATAGAACGCGGTGTGGTAGCCTTTTTTGAGGTTTTTAAAGACTTTGGTGATTTTTGAAGCTTTTCCAAAACTTTCCCGACACCGTGCTTCGCAAGACGAAAAAAATCGCAAGATGACAAAACTCGTGGAACAAATTAATTTCGTCTTGCGAGGCACCACTGTATTGTATTTTTAATATTTTGTTGGAAGCTGCCCAGAGCAGCTGGGGAAACCTAGTGATATGGGCGGGGTATAAATAATAAATTATTATTATTATTATTATTATTATTAGCATAATTTCAAAATTATTTACACAAAATTAAAATGAACATTAACAGCAAGATTCTCAAACTGCATTAAAACCATAGTGTGATGTTGTGGTGTTGGAATTAGATAGTCACTTTTGCCTTTTTATGATAAGCACAAGATGAAGTACATAAACAATTGAATTCTCTGTAAGGTTCCACAGTGTTATAGACTGAAATACATTTACCACTAGCTGCAAAAACTTTCCCGTCCAAGCTAGCTACACTGGCGTCAGTAACTATCATTCAATGAATCCCTGTTCAGACCTGTACAGATAACAGCATGTGGTAACTTCAAAAGTAAACTTCACAGTGGGATGATGCATTATCTGAATCTACCCTAGCTTATCTCAAGCTCAAATTTAATACTGGCATTAAAATAACCCACAAACATAACAGAGATTTCATTACATATGTTTATTGACAAGCAAAGTGAAGATATTTACCAGTGTTAAGAGAGCTTCAATATTTCAGAACAGAAGCAAGTTAGAACAAAATGACTTTTAAAAAGCCACACTCATATTTAATAAAATTAATGTTATGGCAATTATTTAGAAGTTGTATTATAATTTCACCATGTGGTTTAAATAAAGAAAAGAAGTTCTCTTTCTGTTAAATTTGCCAATGAGGTTTTGAACATCATGTAGCTATTAGCATAATGGAATCTATCAGTCAGTATAGCTCATCCCCGTCAACAAAATAGCCCTGAACACCATGCAGTCATTAACAGACAATTGAAAAGTCATCATCATAAAATGGCAGCACAAAAACAACATCACCAGTAACCAAAAATAAAACGATTATACAGGGCTGTGATAATTAATCCAAGCTGAAACTCAACTAAACAAGATGGTCTTTACAGGACTACAGTCTAGAAGAAGCTAGGGTAGTCTCCCAAAGGCGGGAAATCCAGCTGACAAAACCCTCTACCCAGCACCTGCCATCCAAACGGAGGACAAGGAACTCCTCTGAGCAGAGTCACCCCTGCTGAAGTTTCTTCTGTATCTATAATCCTCTTAAAACTTCACATTAAGACTAGGGCTAGGCGATATCTGATTTTCAACACTGTAATATATCACCAGCTAAACATTATGATATATTGATATATCACAATGTCTGAAATAAGGATGGAGCTATGCAGAGGCATTTGTTGGCTTCACAGTTTTTCCTGCACCATTATTTTTGCATAGTATGTGTGCGCATGCACACACACATCATGATTCACTATATATTGCCCGGTCAAAAATTATAAAGCCAGTATCACAGTACAGTGGTACCTAGGGTTACATACGCTTCAGGTTACAGACTCCGCTAACCCAGAAATAGTGCTTCAGGTTAAGAACTTTGCTTCAGGATAAGAACAGAAATCGTGCTCCGGCGGCGCAGTGGCAGCAGGAGGCCCCATTAGCTAAAGTGGTGCTTCAGGTTAAGAACAGTTTCAGGTTAAGAACGAACCTCCGGAACGAATTAAGTACTTAACCTGAGGTACTACTGTATGGACTTCAAACTGGCTTTGGATGATATACTGATATATCACCCAGCCCTAGTTAAGACATGGAGGAAAACTGAGCAGCTTGCCCCATGTTGTGTATAAGTTATGCTACAGGAGGACCCTAGGAGGTATCAACTACACTCCCCACCTGTGAAGGCATCTGTCAAGGTTACTGGTTCATTCCGTGTGGTATATAAAATATTGATATTTGTCCCATGGCCTAAGGCTTTCATTCTCACAAAAAGGCAGTTAGTTGGTTAGCAATGATGAAAACAAGGTCATCAGTTTAACTGCAGAAATATTTTAAATCTGATATGAATTGTTGCCAATAAGAATTCTTATACTTCATAAGACTAAAAAGGGAAAAACTGATTTAAAAAATGCTTTTCTCATATATATATTTGTATATTGAATATGGTACAGTAATCTGTGGCTGAGGCATTGGTTGGTTCTGCCTTCATAGTGGAGAGACATGCTTTGCAACCAAATGACTCCAGATCCAACCCTTGGTATCTCCAGGTAGATAAGACTCCTGTTTGAATTCCTAGAAAGCCAGTGCCACTCAGTGTGGACAATACTAGATGGACCAATGATCTGATTTGACATGACGAAGCTTTCTTGATTGGTTCAACAACCAACACATAGTTGCATAGCTTTTACACAGACTAGTACAAGAAATGTGTCTGCAATGGTATTTGAAACTGGAATCACTGTAGAGAACTGAACTAAACAGAAGGAACTGATTCAGGTAATATAGTCAACACAGTAGCCCAAAGGGTTATTTTTGAATGAGCTTCTTTTATCAATGAGCTGTATAGAACCCTGTTGAGAAAACTGTTTAGCTACCAAGCCATCAACATCATATGGGTCCTGAATTTAGTACTCAAGGCTTCAGACAACACATCTGGAACAAATAATATAACCTATGGCATTGTAAACTGCATTTGTTTACTTGATTTTAGGAAAAGCTTTTTTAATCCCTAAAGTCACGTTGCAATTGGAAGAACAGTCAACAGAACCAGGTTAAAAACATCATCTTCGAGTCAATATTATATGTTCCTGTGTAGATTTATTGCCATCATAGACACCATACCAAAGTCTATGATGCAAAGTTCATAATGTTAAAGGCCCTTTAACATTAATGAAACAGACTTGTCTCCAAATGAATTTGCTTATAATCTCAAATGATCATAAATCAGGGTGTGATGCCTAGTACTCCACAGAGCAGAATGCAGCCCAAAGGAACAACCAGTCATTATTTTTGTCCCAGCTTAATCTTATATTCCCCAAAATGCAAGCTCAAACACATCTTGGGCTAAATTAACCACAAAGTATGATTATAACAAGCATAATTTTAAATGAATAACATCAGTGTTCTGTACTATTAATATTTAAGGGAGTGCTGATAAGAAGCCATCCCAGAATAAAATTACTAAAATTACATAATAATTAGTAATTTCGGTAATACAGGATGTTACTTAAAATGAAGGAAGTCTTGCATTGAAGGTACAATTTACAATCAAATATGCAGTCCCACTGAAATCCATGCACCTGCCCCAAGGGTTTAGGATTGTAGCTTTAGATAAAAAATATTCCAGCCTTAATTAACTTGACTACAGTGATGTGGATTGACCAACTCTGGCATTTGCAACTGAGTCTTCCATGCTTTTAACATCTGCTTGTGGAAGATATGCATGTGCCCATTCAAATACCAATCCAATGATGACTGCCCCTTTGGTTTAAAGATTATGCGTATCGTCAGATTTAATTTCCTTTTTCAGTTTAGCCAGGCGTGCAAGACATTCATCTCGCCAGTGTCTTCTGGCATTAAGGTGTTCAGGGTCAGCTGGGGTCTTTTCACACATTGCCTGGTAAGAAAAGGTTAAAAAAAATACAAGTCACAAATAGGAGAACTACAGTCATACCTCGGGTTACAGATGCTTCAGGTTGTACACTGCGCCGAACCCAGAAGTACTGGAATGGGTTACTTTCAGGTTTTGGCACATGCGCAGAAGCGCTAAATCATGCATGTGCAGAAGTGCTGAATCATGACCTGCATATGCGCAGACGCAGCACTGCAGGTTGTGAACGCTGCGGGTTGCGGACGTGCCTCCCACACGGATCACGTTCGCAACCCAAGCATCCACTGTACAAGTAGGACCTGTAACAAAATCTTGCATTGTGTCCTTCTACCTAAAAGAAGTGCAAAGCAATTTCAATTTGTTGTGGAAGCAAAGGTCCTTTCCATTCAACCAGTATATAGCACAACAAATGGTGAATCCAGGTATCTCCCATCCATCTAGTTAGGGCTACAGTTTTGGAGATATCACATTAACGTTACTCCTCGAGAAAGAAGTTTGTACAGGAATCATAATGTGTAGACTAATTTTAAAGTGGTTTTTTAAAATACACATCAGACAGTGTAATCAAAGTGGGATGCAACCATGGTTTATCCTGTTTATTCTTATCTGGTCCTGAACAATGCCATTGCGTTTTTTTATTTTAATTTTTTATTTATGGTTTTCGGTTATATACATTTCAATAGTTTTGCAGTCATTTAAACATTTCAAAACTTGACTTCCTTCCTCCTATTTCTGCAGTTCCTTAAATTTATTTTTATCATTTCCTGCATATTTTAACTTAACTTATTCTTTTATTAATCTGCTTTAATTGTATACTCTTATGAAACTGCAGGTTATTACAATAATCCTGCCAATTTGTCATGCCACTGCATTTTTAAGCAACATAAAAGATTCCTGGTCCTTGGCCCTGTAGGCGTAAGCACATGCTGGGCATTTGACCTCCTTTTTGTCTCCTCACAGACATTGTAAAGCAATTTGTCTGTTTAGATGTCATTTTGAGTGTATCCTTAGAGAGGTAACTTACGTAAGGTGAAATACTTAAGCCTCTGCTTTTGTCAGGCATAAAGACAAGAATGGGCCTTGAAAGTCAAGAGAGACACTGGTGCCAGTAAGATAAGAATGAGACAGGCTGTTCTGGGAAGATTATACATTAAAGGAACTGAGTGGAAAGAATGAAATGACTAGCAAGAAGAGGTTCAGCTTTGTATCATGGAAGCATTTTTGCCCAATGTGTAAGAGTGCTCCAGATAATGACAACCAGTTTGTTGAATTAATGAGGTGACCCAAATATTCCAAAGTTGAGCACTTCAACTTACCTCTGATGAAAAGACAGTCTTAGGTCCTTTGGGCATGTATAGTGGTTCCTCCACCCCCTCCCCCTTAGATCAAACTGTCATTGCCTTTGGTGACAGCCATATTGCCTTCTTATTTTGCATGTGGTTAATGTAATGATGTAGGGCGTATAAGAGGTAAAGCTGGCGTATAACAGGTAATGGTGGTGCGTATGCGCAATTCATTCTGTATGCTACACTGCAGAAGTGCCACCCAAAGTGGTAGCAGGCCATGAGCAATTGTTCACTGAGTCATATGCCTGCAGTTCATGCAAACTGGGCCCAGGTTGACTCTGCTGATCTCAACAGCCATTAATTTATACAGTATCGGAATTCATTGTTCATTAAACTTCCAAACAAAAGCCAACTGATGTGTAAACTGTACCAAAAATGGGTAAGAGCTGTTTCCTAAAAACAACTAAGATATTAAATGCAGGCTGTAAGTTTGATGGATGTCATGTTACTCCAATTTGCACATGTACCTGATTGATTTTCTGTTCTGTTTTCCCTGCAAAATCCGGTATTGGCCCAAAGGTTTTCAAGACACGTATCATACCTTCACGGTATCTGTCACAATAGTTCAGCATTCCTGAAATACAATTGGAGATCTCTTGTTGGTCTTTCCTAAACAGAGAATTCTACATATACAAAGAACCATAAAACCAACAGAATTTCAGACCTGAGAAGAATTTCAAACTTGAGAAGTGCAAATCATGTAGTCAAAAAGAAAATATTTACAAGATGTCTGAAGTAGCTGGTGGTTGTTACTTCACATAGATCCATTGAAACCAATTGATCTGCTCTGATTATATTAATGGATATCACCCACTGATATTTACTCCATCTCTTGAGTGATTCAAACTTGGAAGCGTTAGCTATGAAATAATCCTGCTGTCATGAATACTACAGAAATATACAGAGATTATGATGGGGGAGCTGCCTGAAGCATAGTATCCAATACAGTTTCCCCTACTTGTTTTGCAGGTGATTTTTTTTTATAAAGTAATTCAGAAAGCTTGAAAACAAGCGTATAATGTTACCACATAATGTGGAACCTCAAAAGATTAGGCACCCACACAGGAGGTACTTTGTGTTAAGATAATACTGTGATAGGTAAATGAGAAAATGTCTCTAGAAGCACTGTATTGCTGGCAGGTTTTTTTCACTAAAAGGATCTGATAGTGTTTCTTTCTCTTTTTAAGTGCTGCTATGCCAAAATTTTAAAATGCCCAGCTCTGGTATAAGAACTCACTGGACCCAAAATCAGCATTCACCATTATCATATTAAGTCAATTAGATATCCTTATAGTACTTCTCTTGTTAAAAAATGTTAAGGGCTTCCTTTCTGTCTGTCAGCATTCAGTTCTCATGTTTCTCCCTCTCTCTGTGTTCTCACTGACTTGCTGTTGGCACTTGTTCTCTAATCACAAGGCTACTGGCACAGTGCCCTACAGTCAGTTCCCTTCCCATCTATGAAGGATTGTCATTGCAGAGCAAAGACTCCTACGACCCTACTCAGAAGCAAGCCCCAGTAGTGCATATTCACAACATATTCACAACAACATCCTTGGGAGGAGCAGCTAAAGGCATTCATTTCCCAAATAGTGAAGTCCATTGGATAGCCTATAGGTTTATGGGTTGTTGTTTTTTTAAATTCGGACCCTTCAAAAATGAATCAGGTTCTCCCTTCCAGAACAAATGGAACAACCCAACAAGTTCCATTTGTGTAGTATCCCCAAAGGTTGAGAATAAGGGACTGGTATTATTTTCTTTTCTCAGTCAAGCCAGTGAAGTAACTCTTGTCTTTTTGTTCCTGGATCTGCAGCTGGAGATGTTTAGCACATGAAATGTACCAAATGGACTAGAACAGTCTGGCACAATTTTTGATGGAACAGACCAGACCAGACACAGCTCACCACAGGCTGAATTAACTTTGTTTTTGTTTTCTACCTAGAAATGCAAAAGTGTGTGTGTATGTGTGTGTATGAGACAGCATGTGAGTAGAGCTCCTTGCACGTCACAATACAGAACTGGAAGTTTATTGTTGTTTTGGTGGATCATATATTGTGTAGACCTAGTCTTAGGGTGCTTCTATGTGATGACACTCTGAATTGGAACACTAGTCACCCACAAGCTGCGTGTAAAAAAACATTTTTACCAGGCCTGAATTGGGGATAAAGCTACATGCCAAAGCAGGAATCCTTTATCTAAACCCGATGCTCCTCTTTAATGAAGTACCTCATGTTGCCAATTCTTATCATTCATCATGGTGATGTTTGGAACAGCTTTTACAAATGGCTTGGAACATCCTGATACTGAAGATTACGGTGTAAAGAACAGGATTTAGGTCTTAGATCTGACCTGTTAAACTGATATTCACAACAACTCCATATCATGAAACATTTGCCTTGGAAACTCCCATGTTTAAATCTAAGTGGAACAAATGACATACCTTCTGCATTCAGATGCATGGTTTCCAGGGGTCCAATAAAAGCGTACCGCATTCCCAAGCCATCAGACATTACAAGGTCCAGATCATCAGAAGATATTACTCCATCCTGCATGGCGAGAACATTATGAATGTTGAAGAACTTCACAAATTCTACTTCTTTGCTTAATCACTAATCCCAGGGATGGGGAATATATTGAAAACAGAAGGTTTTGTTTTTTTAAGTAAACAAATCTGTTACTATTCTTAAATGAACCATATATATTATATACATGTATTACATCACATACTATATTCTCTACTGTTAGCTACAGAGTTACCTTCCTATAATATTATTATTACTGTATCATTATTTATAATATAGTATCAGTGTGCTTTGTCTCTTTTATGGCAGTGGTGTGGAAGCATTGGCCCTCTAGTACAACTTTATCAGCCCTAGCCAACAATTAAAACATCTAAAAACTAATAACGGGAGCATCACACAGGTTTTCTAAGAGGTAGTATATTTGGTGGAGAGCAAAGAGTCTTTGGAAGAAGCAAGAGAATCTTGGATAGTGGTGGGCTGAGCTGGAGAAGTAAAGGTCATGTATTGGGATAGAAGAACAAGGTCATGGAAGGCTTTGAAAGTAAGGACAAGGAATGGCGAGGAAGTCAGTGTTTGGATTTAAGCGTAGGCAACTCATGATCGGGACGTGGGTGGCGCTGTGGTCTAAACCACTGAGCTTAGTGCTTGCCGATCGGAAGGTTGGCGGTTCGAATCCCCACGACGGAGTGAGCTCCCATTGCTCGGTCCCAGCTCCTGCCAACCTAGCAGTTCAAAAGCATGTCAGAGTGCAAGTAGATAAATAGGTACTGGTCCGGTGGGAAGGTAAACGGCATTTCCGTGCACTGCTCCGGTTTCGCCACATGACCCAGAAAAACGGTCTGCGGACAAACGCTGGCTCCCTTGGCCAGTAAAGCGAGATGAGCGCCGCAACCCCAGAGTCGTTCGCGACTGGACTTAACTGTCAGGGGTCCTTTACCTTTACCTTAACTCATGATCAGTCTAATGACAAAGATTGATGATTTGGGTGGAAGAGTACCAGAGACCAAGGTGAGACAATGGAAAACCACAGGACAAAACTCCTGTAGTTTAGGTGAGAGATAACCAGGACATGGAGCAGTTTTTTGCTACGGGGATGAAAAGGAAGAGCCATATTTTTACAATGTTGTGAAGCAACATGACTTGGGCATGGGCTGAACATGGGGAACAAAGGAGATGAGTAAAAAATGAAATCAAGGCTATATGCCTGTTCAACAGGCTTAATGTTAACACTATCAAAGGATAAGCAAAGTATACAGAGAGAGAAGGCGGCTTGGGATGGAAGAAGTTCAGGCTTAGATACAGTAAACAGTTTAATTTAAACTTGACATGGTAACAAAGCATCTGCACAGAAATATATGAGAAAAGCAGCAGGAGATGTGGGATTAGAGTGAGAGGGAGAGATAGAGCTGGCTATCATCTGCGCATAGGTGGTACCAAAAGCCATGAGATTGAATGAGGAAACATGGGGTTAGCATGTACCAACGCAGAGGGGGAAAATGAGCAAAAGCTGGAGATGATTTAAAAAATACATTCACTTATCTTCTATTTATTTATTTTTAGAACAGTGGGATATTGGCATGTTTGAAGAAGCGGGAGAGAGGGGCTGATTATGTGGAAGAGAGGAAGGATAACAACAGGAGAGATCCCACAAGGAAGCAAGTGAGGATGGGATCACAGGGGACATATGGAGGGGCAAGAAGACACTAGGGTAGTTAACTTATCAACTGAGATATGGGGGGGGGGGAGAGGAAAGGCAGGTTTTTAAATGTTTATTATGTTTTTATATATGTTTGAAGTTACCCAGATGGCTGAGGCAACCAAGTCAGTTGGGCAGGGTACGAATATTTTATGATGATGATGATGATGATGATGACGATGACATAGACAGCAGAGAGGGGGAAGAGACCAGAGTGAACAGCTTTGGATATCAAACTGTATACTTTTGATTATTTGAATATTTGACTTTTTAGAATAAACGAGCATTTAAATTTGATGCTGGCAGCTACAACCAAAAAGAACAATTCTTTTCAAAAGACTTAGCAGCATAAACCATTATGAAGCTGCTCTGTACATTGTATGTAAGTAATGACTTTCCAGTTTATGCAAGGCACATTAGTGCAATCCTGCAGGGTGGGGCAGGGCACAGATTATGAGTAGAAGAGAGCAGAATTTCAGAAGAAATGTTAAGCGTTCTCATCCCACTTTCACTTCTTTTGAACAATTATGGTTTCCACTACAGTACAACTTTTGCTTTTGCTTTAAAAGTGCCTTTTAAAATGGAATTCTCCCAGGTGTGCGTCTTCATGGTTGGAACAAGATGACTGAATACAGACAATGCAGGTGCCACACAACTGCTATGAGAAGCTGCTTGCATCATGTAGCCAATTTGCATGGCTTCAACATGCCAACGCTTTCAGGAAACTCCCAAATCTCCTATGTGGCATCTGTCACAAAGTGCTGTTCAAAGCTCAGTTAAATCTACAGGGTACATTTCCAAGAAATAGCAGCACACCCTAAAAACAGGTTAGGACAAGTGCATCCTCTTGGCTGTTCCACAGGTTACTGAAATTTTCTATAAGGCTATCCCTAACATATTTACAAAGCTGGGGTTTCCCCCATTTTTAAAATAAAACTTAGATTAGAATACATATTCTTAGCTAAGAAAGTCACATTCCATCGTGGTATACTGAAGTTTCTGTAGCATAACTAAGAAAATTATGGAAAGGCAGACCTCATTTCCAGAGGGCTACAGATACACAGCTCTGTCCCTGTTTAGTTGGTAATGTAGATCTGTAACACTCATAGCAGAAACCACAATCCTGCATCACCAGTTGAACTGGCACATAACTGCACGTTCAGTGAATTGTGCTGTTTGGGGTCATTTTGTGATTCTGAAGAAACAGAGCTATGGTAGACATTTTTCTAGAAGTTATATAAAAAAGATACACAGCAATATAGGTCCCTGCAGAAATACCATCCAGAAAAAATGATGCCAATGGCCAATCTGACATACCGCCATACATATATACTCTCCAGATCATTCCATTAAAATGCATCTTAAAAACCAAAAGCAGTGTTGAAAGAAGTCCTTAACAGGAGTTTGGTGAATTCCATTCATTGGCAATTTTCTCAGTTTCTTTGTAGCTTGCAGATATCAGGAACTCTACAGCACAAAATCTATTTTCCCTTCTCCGGGATACTTACTATATAAGTTGTCAGGGACTTGAGCAGGCCAATTTAATTTCTTTCTCTGTCCTCCATTTCCTTTTATTTTCTCCTTTGACTGACACACAAAAACACTGGATGTCTCAACTATAGATTCAACTGATAGACCCACACTTGACTTAATGTTTCTTTAGACTCTACTCCTCATCCCTAACACCCACCCACACCCACGGTTCAGATGCCATAATATTTTTGTAAGCTCTCATCTGGATGTTGTTTTTCAAATTAACATACTTGTGTACTTCTGTGTACCTAGGGAATCCACAAAGTATGTACAAGTTGCTCCTTTATTTCTGGGTAAAATAAAATAAATAATGACAAAACATGATGTCAAGATATTAAAATTTGCTGTACGGTATTACTATCCTTCAAAATGTCTCCCCCCGCAACAGAATAAGGCCTTTATTTAAAAAGTGATTAGAAATCTGTAAATAGCTGGCATGTCTATAGCTAGAAGGCCATCGACAAGTTCAAATTTCACATTCCCTTAGTAAGTCAGATCAGATGTTCAATTGACACACAAATAATTTTGTCCCTACTGCCAAAAGAGTGTCTTTTAAAGACTACCCGTTGTTCTTTGTGCTTTTAGGAGTTCTTTACAGTCTTACAACATACAATTACAAATCTTTTGACTAATTCCCTTAGGAAGCAACCCTGCTCACTTTTAAGCCGGGTAAGCAGCAGTGAAGAAAGTAGCTGCTGTCCTAATGGTGCCTTCCAAAGGTCTCTCTGGGGGCAACAAAATAAAGGAAGAAAAATAAGCTACTCAGTTCCACACATTACAAAAGCACCATGAGCAACTTCTGCTTCTCCTTTTGCCATTGCTGCTGCAATGCGGCAAGTGGGAGTTATGGATCTCCTCCCCTGCAAGATCACTGGGGTCACAGGTCACGCTGTGGTGACTAGTTGCACGTCCCACATTACAGCAAAAGCAGACTTGGCTTGATTTTTCTTTGAAGTGTCGAAAGCATCTCCCACCCCATAGCACAATCTGTTTTCAAAATGAGTTTAAAAACTCAAACAGAAGATGAACCTGTAAAAGCAATTGCTTTATGGGCTTCTTTGGTTTCCTTCCCTAGAACTAATATGGTAAAACTCCATGAATGGATTATTCTGTCAGCGTGTTGTATTCATACTATTTTAAGTGGGAATGAAATAATGTTTAGGCAATGGAGATTGGATGCAACGTATTTTAATAATCCTGAGTTGGTAAATAGTATTAGTAAAGAGTTAAAATATATTTCTCAAAGGAACCAGAGGTCTCTTAGCCTACTATATGGGATGCAGCGAAGGCATATATAAGAGGTATAACTGTATTTTAAAAAGGTGTCAGAAATAAAATGAATATTCCACAAGAAACTCAACTAAAAACTAAGATTAGCACTTAACAATAACTGCACAAACGAAACAGAAGTGTGCAAGGAGGTGAACAATTGAAGAGTACAAGACAACAGCTTGAATAAATGCAAGTTCAGAAGTGGGGGAGATCTTTAATGTTTCTTAGACAAAAACATTTTGAATTTGGTAACAAGCCATCTAAAATGCTAGCAAAGTTATTAGGACAGGCTCTGGCAGAATAAGTGGGTGAGACCATTAGTGGGTCCAACAGTCAAGAAGGCAGTTTCTGGAAGTGAGGGGCAGATAGGGCTCATCAACCTGGGAAGGTTGCCCATCTAGGAGAAGGAAAACTCAGTTCCTACACCTCTGTTGCCTTGTGGCTATACTCATCCACGAGAAAGGCTTCAGGAGTAAACTCCAAGGAAAAATCCTGGGGGACATCTTCAGGAGAAGAAAAGGTTAAGAAGTAAACCCTACACAAATTTGGAGTGGAGCCCCTAAGATGGTTGGATGGTGCCTTGTACGCCTCCTTCTGGCAACTCCTGCAGCCAAGCTGGTGCCCAATGTATTGCTCTGCTTTCCTTTGGACCACATCAGTGAGGCTGGGGGTGGGAGTCTTGTCCTCTGGTGCTGTCCAGGACTTCCGTACCCAGTTCTCAGGCTTGCGCCTTGGGGAGGTCACTTCAGTGCTGCAAATGCAGCAGTTTGATTTCATCCCCAGAGGCACACTCCATTGCCTCTCGAGACAGGCAAATGCCAACAAGTTGGCATCCACACATTGTTACTAATGAACTTATGAAATGGAAAAATTCCTGCAGAAAAATAAAGCGCTAGAAACTTTTCCAACCCACATCACTGATTGAAAACACATATGCAGTTTAACCCCAAGACCCCATGTGAAGCAACACATACAAGAATGAGGGTGGGGTGGGTAACTTTTGGCTGTCCATATGTTGTTGGGCTCCTCCAACTCCCATCTTCCCTGACCACTGGCGACGATAAGAGTTGGAGTCCAACACCATAGTCAGGGCCACACCTGATCTATGATATCAAGAGAAAGATATAGAAAACCGTGCATAACAATGCTTCCTTGCCATCACACATTGTTTACAGTTACACACAAAGGAAAAACGATAATGGCCTTCACCATTGAAACTCAAGACAAAGAGAGGAGACTGAGAAATTGCCTTTTTGCGCAAGGAGGTCATAACTAGTATCAAGAGAATATGTAACTGTGGGAAATGCTACAAGCAATGTCACTACAAGGCATAATGAACTAGACTCCAAAAAAGCAGCAGCAGGAGAAATTTGTCTTTTATTCCCTTGTATCAAATGATTATCAAAAGTTGAGAGATGTGATTCTTGAAAGCTGAGCTTACTGCTGCTTAAAGGATTACTTTCATAGTTGTTTCACTGAGCACAAATGTTAGAAAGTATTCCCAGAGCCTTCTGAATGCAACAGGAAACGAAGGGAAACAACATGAAAATCAATATTTCTCTCGCTGACCTTTTCACCTTGTTCTTCTGGGCTTGAATGAAAATGGCATTGTTTTGGAGTGTTCCTCATATTACTGTGCAACTTAGCTTGCGTCTCTCTCTTTTTTTTAGCATTGACTAATTATCAGTTAATGTTATTGCACAGGGGTTGTTAAAAAAATAATTAAAATATTTTGGAATATTAAATAATTTAAAATAATAAGTTTCTGATCCTATTTATTAAAAGTAAGCTCCACTGAGCTCAACGAGACTGATCTCCAGACTAAGTAGTACAATGCAGTCTACTGGAAGCACATTCAAGTCAGTTAAAGAATAAAAATCATACATACACCAACAAGTCTCCATGCTTCACTAATGATTGCATACTGGAGTCGGTTCAGAGCAAAACCATCTATCTCTTTTGTCAACCGAACCGGAGATTGCCCAATCTTCTTCATCAGAGCATAGGTTTTCTCAACTGTAGAAGGTTCAGTTTCTGGGTGGGGAACCAATTCAACCAGAGGAACATAATATGGTGGGTTTACCTTTACACAAAACATATTTAGAAAGAAAAGAAACATATTTATGAACATACCATTACACTCAGTTAACATAATTTGTGACCCTTGCATTTCAGGGGGTGGACAAGATAACCCTTGAGGTTCCCTTCCAATTCTATGAAAACCAGTACTGACATTAGGCAAGCCCTCTGATAGTACTATTAGATCAGGGGGTCAGCAAGGTTTATCTTGCCTGGGCTAGATCAGTTCCGCGGAGATCCCTCTCCCTGCGCAGATGGGACTTCCGGCACCATGGAAGCACGTCCCCACGCCACGCTGTACCAGTGGCTCAGTTCGGGGGCGGCTCGGGGGCCAGTCAAACCACCTCCATGACCCCTGTATTAGATGATAATATGGGCACACCCACCATCATTCTACTCGCGGACAGACGCGTATTTGCATGGCACTGGAAAATAATTAAATCATTCAATTCAAACCTGGAAATGGTAAGGGAGAGCTAGAGAGTCCTTGTGGCTTGCAAGGGAGACCCTTCCCAGAGCCTGAAGAGGCACCAGTAAGGGCGGAAGAAGCCCTGAAGAGACTGGAGGTGCAGCGGAGCTTTGTTTATGCTGCTCAGCCTCCCCGCCTAGCAGCTGATGTGCAGGGTAGCGCAACAGCCACTTTCCTGCACATGCGCCAGTCTCCTGGCAGCCCCAGAGCTTCAATTCTAGTTGTGGTTTTTTTTGGATACGGAATTTTTTTGATATGGATTGATGAGAGAGCGACAGAGGGGCAGTTTAAAGGGTGTTTAGAGGATGCTCCCCATTTTACGTGATTTCACTTATGTGTGCGGGGGCCCAGAACACAATCCTTGCGTACGTGGGGAGTCACCTGTAACATATCATCAGTGTGGATGGCACTTGACAGAGTACAAGGGGATAGGCACCTTCCCTGATAAGCTTACAACCTAAAATGTATCACATGGAAAATAGTTGAGGGTGAGAGGGAAGGGTTTAACAGGAGAACAGGATGTGGTTGGTTCAGTTGCACATGCCTAGGTTGGCTATGATCCAACTTAAAGTGAGACATGGGAACCAAAAGCTTGTGCCACAGGTTTCAGGGAAATGTAGGAGCTGAGTGTTGAATTCACAGAGGGAAGACCAAGTTGTTTCTTGTCTTTCCCAAGCCCAGTTTGGGTGCATGTCTTGACAACGGACACTGACAAAAACGAACCAAGGTCTTTTAAAACTTGGAAAGGCACTGACTGAACCTGGGAGCTTCTGGATGTAAAGCAGATTGCTTTGCCACTAAGCCTACCCATCCCATGAAGAATATGATCTGCCTCCATGACCAGAATGGGGCTCGGGTGGTGCTGTGGTCTAAACCACAGAGCCTAGGGCTTGCCAATCAGAAGGTCAGCACTTTGAATCCCTGCGACGGGGTGAGCTCCCGTTGCTCAGTCCCTGCTCCTGCCAACCTAGCAGTTCAAAAGCACGTCAAAGCGCAAGTAGATAAATAGGTACCGCTCTGGCAGGAAGGTAAACAGCGTTTCCGTGCGCTGCTCTGGTTCGCCAGAAGCGGCTTAGTGATGCTGGCCACATGACCCGGAAGCTGTACGCCGGCTCCCTCGGCCAATAAAGTGAGATGAGCATCGCAACCCCAGAGTCGCCCGCGACTGGGCCTAATGGTCAGGGGTCCCTTTACCTTTACCATGACCAGAGGCAGCAGTGCTTCTGAATATCAGTTGCTAGAAACCACAGAAGAGTAAGGAGAGTGCTTTTGTGCTCTGGTCCTGCTCGTGGGTTTCCCACAGACATCTGATTGAATCAAGGAAGGGACACCAAGGATCATCTAGTCCTGTGTTGTAGGAATCTCAACTAGACCATACATTACCAGACGCTGAACTAGATGATCCAGCAGGCTCTTCTTACATTCTTAAAGCTTCTGATGGCTGTATTACAATACTAGAAGCAGCTGATGGCCATCACAAGCAGATGAGGACCACTGAGGTCTTGTTGTGCTTGTGGGTTTCCCTCTGGCATCTGCCTGGCCACTTCAAGCAGCATAATGCTGAGCTAGATAGGACTTTGCTCTGATCCGGACTGGCTTTTCTAATGTAAATGTTAATTGTGATATACTGGTATATCACCATGTTGAAAACCAGGTATTGCCCAGCTCTACTGATTACTGTATTTATACCACTCTTCCCAGGGTAGCTTGCAAAACTGTGCATTCATAGAATAAATGCAACATATCAAAGTGGCATCCCTTTGAAAAACTTGCATATAAATGAGTAAGAACTGTACTTACGACATGCAAGCCGAACACACAAATTTAGGCTTCAACACAATAAATTACTGAAGGATCTTGGTGTACTTACAGGATGTGCCACGATACACTGCTTAACGTGCTTTAGCCCGGTGAACAACTTTGTAGGCATAAGACAAGAGGTTGAGCTGCCTAGTATTACATCATTACTGACAATAAGGTCTAACTGGCCAAAAATCTTCTTTTTCAGTTCTAGGTTCTCAGGCGTACACTCCTAGAACACAAAAAAAGTTGAAATCTTTTTAAAAAACACCTATTACATTCATTTCACAAACTCTTTAGAAATAAACTAAGAAGTCGTTTTGAAAAGTGGCAGACAAACATCTGCTTACTGCTTTATAAATCGAAACAACTTACAACTTTCCACTGTCAAGCTAACACTTTATGGATCTTTAGGATCAACATTTCCAGATGCTGTGCTTAAGGAAAAGTGATTGCACCAGATACAAGACCTAGTAAAATCACAATATTTTTTACAACGCGGTATCCTTTTATTAGCTTTGTAAAAACAAGTCTTCGATAACTTGCCTATCATCAAAACAGGTTTTTCATCTCATGCAAGTACTATCTAGGTTGAAAATAATACCCATGTCTGTGCATTTAAATGCCCCAATGATGATGGAATATTTATTTAATACATTTATAAAGCATTTTTTGAGATTAACTATTTTCTACTTATTTGTGAAAAGCTTATCTCTTATAATTTGTAACATTTTATTTTATCTTGTTCAGTGATCCTGATTACATAATGTAAAAAACGATGTGCAAACTTCCATCTGGAGTAAAACACATTTCCCATGAGGCCAATAATTCCTCAAAGTTTTACAATGCCAATTTTATAAAGTATACCAGTTAACTGAGAAATCACTGCGCTTGTGGCAGATGTTATATGCTCCAGATTTTGGGGCTTGGGGAAGAAGCTTGCACAGGATGGAATTTTACTGACCTTTTAAAGTCAACAACCACTGCCGTTCTGAGTGATAGAACAGGGCCATTTTTGAACATCAGAACCAACTATAATGCATCCTTTTATTGGTGCAAAACAAGGCTTTGCTCGTAATTCCTGGATCGGTTCAGTCTGCAAGGTGGGTTACCTTTAAATATTTTCCTTTAGCAAAGTCGCAAGGCTAGAACTCTGTAGATACTTGTTCAAACTAATAAAAGAGCAGCAGTGAATAGTTTTATTGTGAGATTCTCCACCTGAAACCCAAAGCTTTCTTTCAGATCAGATGATAGTCACAGAGGTGAAGCTCAACACTCTTGGAAACTCAAACCTACAATGATTATGCAAGGCTTCTGAATAGACCATTTGCTGAGGGCTTCTTTGATAGTGGCACAATTGTATTCAATTTGTTGGACTGGTGCAATAAAAGTTTCTGTCCTTGTCAAGCATGGATTTGTTTTCTTAGCTAGGGAGACTGACTCCCTGAAGAATAGAAGGAAAATTTAGCTCTAAACCAGCTATTAATCCAGGGCTTCATCACTTGCGACCAACTACAGAGCTTCTCAAACTATTCAGATCACCCTGAGAAAAAGATCAAACATGAAATGGATAGGCCTAGTACTGAAAAGCCAGCTCACCTCAGTACAAGTCCACCTGAGTGAATTTTAAAAGGACATTGTATATTCCTGTGCCCATTTCTGTTTTGCTGAGGATCACACAGCTCAGATGCACCAAAACAGTAGAGCCTTATTTGAAAACTTTAACACTTGAAAAAAAGGCTATTGCTGTAACCTGAATTTCAACTTAATTGACCCTTGTAAAAGCCCGATTAGGACATGCCAAATTGTTGGCTTTAACAACAATTCACTGTTGAGACTTCCTCCTTACGTGTTTTTAAAAAATGCATGCCCTAGGTTTACAATGTAAATGCAGACAATTGTGGTTAAAAGCCATAGGCACACACTGTCCCTGAAAGTACCAGAACAGCATCATGAGAGAATTCCCAGTTAACTCAACGAACACTTGAACTGTTGTGAATTACTCTGATATTATGTGCCCAACACCAAGAAAGTCAACTTTTCCAGTCCTCAAGTATGTTTTGTACTGTACCTAAATGGAGCAATTTTACAATATGTAATTTTGAGGTACTCACTACACATGAGCTGAATCTTTTTACTTATTTATTTAAAGTGTCTTCTTAAAAGGGAGAAAAGGCTGAGATCCGGGAGAAGGAACTCACCAGTTCAAAATCAGAGGTGGCTACGCACATTTATATAAAGGTGAAACCAAGCTTTATTTAACATCTGTCAAAGACCCAATTTGACACCCCCATGTGCATGTGCATTTGTGTACACATAAACATATACACACACACACACACACAGAGGGGGGGGGCTGGGAGCCTCAATGGCATCCCTCTGGAGGCTTCACCCCGGCAAAAAAGACAACTACCCCCCCCCCCAGCTAGGACACTGTATAAGGTATGTCTATGGTGTGAATTAGGGATGCGGGTGGCACTGTGGGTTAAACCACAGAGCCTAGGGCTTGCCAATCAGAAGGTTGGCAGTTCGAATCCCCGTGACGGGGTGAGCTCCTGTTGCTCAGTCCCTGCTCCTGCCAACCTAGCAGTTCGAAAGCACATCAAAGTGCAAGTTGATAAATAGGTACCGCCCCGGCGGGAAGGTAAACGGCGTTTCCGTGCGCTGCTCTGGTTCGCCAGAAGAGGCTTAGTCATGCTGGCCACATGACCCAGAAGCTGTACGCCGGCTCCCTCGGCCAATAAAGCGAGATGAGCGCTGCAACCCCAGAGTCATGAGACTGGACCTAATGGTGTGAATTGGCCCCATTCTCAAGACAATCAGACTTGCAATTGTGGCCAGCTTCTACAATCCCAACAGCCCTTCACAGTAAGAGGCATTCTCCCTCACTGAATGTTCAGCCCTAGGAGGGTAAAGGCTAGAAATATCTAATACTGCAAAGCCTATGTTTGTAATACTGAGACTCTTAAGTTGAAGTCATGCCCTGGATTTTCAGAAAGTTCTGTCCCCAATTACAGAGCCACTTTTTGGTACTTCAAAGACCCAATTTGCAATGAATAACACACCATCTGCACTATATATGTAAAAGCAGGTATCATATCACTTTAAACAGTTATGTTGTTGTTGTTGTTTAGTCGTGTCTGACTCTTTGTGACCCCATGGACCAGAGCACGCCAGGCACTCCTGTCTTCCACTGCCTCCTGCAGTTTGGTCAAACTCATGCTGGTAGCTTCGAGAACACTGTCCAACCATCTCGTCCTCTGCTGTCCCCTTCTCCTTGTGCCCTCCATCTTTCCCAACATCAGGGACTTTTCCAGGGAGTCTTCTCTTCTCATGAGGTGGCCAAAGTATTGGAGCCTCAGCTTCAGGATCTGTCCTTCCAGTGAGCACTCAGGGCTGATTTCCTTAAGAATGGAGAGATTTGATCTTCTTGCAGTCCATGGGACTCTCAAGAATCTCCTCCAGCACCATAATTCAAAAGCATCAATTCTTCGGCGATCAGCCTTCTTTATGGTCCAGCTCTCACTTCCATACATCACTACTGGGAAAACCATAGCTTTAACTATACGGACCTTTGTTGGCAAGGTGATGTCTCTGCTTTTTAAGATGCTTCATGGATCAAGGCAGTGATCCATGAAGGGGTAAACAGTTATGGCTTCCCCCAGAAGAATCCTGGGAAGTCTACTTTGTTAAGGGTGCTGAGAGTATCGTGCAGATGGGGCTAGCAAGCAGTAAGAATTAAGTGGGACTGCCTGCAGCCAACAGGACATCTATTTGTTATGTTGACACTGAACTTCTTTACATCACAACATTAAGAATTGTGTGTTATGCTACGGTAGGTATTTTGTTTGTAAAAATGTCATTTAGAAACATACTACACTCGCAGAGTGAATGACGATTATATCTTTGGCATAGCAGGCAAGTACTGACCTGTATTCAGATCCATTTCAGGGCATTTTTGTTTGTACTGCACATAATTTTACATGAGCAGCAGTGAAAAGTAATATAAGGAAAATGTTAGAAGTAGGTAGTTGCACTCAGAGCAGATAGCAGATGGATTGCATAAGGGTTCTTTAGAACCCCTGAAGCTTATTTATTTATGAAGTATTTTCATATTGCCATCTCATAAGATATCAGGGCAGCCTGTACAACATAAAAAACCGTTAAAAAAAACTAAAAAATTATCATTAAACTGAATGGTTAATCAAAACGTTTTAAACAGCTGCATAGGCCTGCCGGCCTAAAAAGTGTCTTCAAGAGGTGCCTGAAAGTCAAAAGCAAATATTCCTGCCAAATCCCTGCTGAAAGAGTGTTCTTCACAGTGCAAATATGAAAGGGAAAAGAATTGGAGCTGCCGGGAGGGACTAACCGTTGGTTAAGAAATGACGAAACAAAGCTTGCATAAGTGAATTTCAGTTTGCTCAGCATCAGAGTGCGCACCATTTCTGCAGTAGGGCAGGCAAGTGCTGGCAAGTACAGCAGATGTACTAATTCTCTGATTTAACTGGTATTATGGAGAACATGAAGTGCAGGAGTTCTCCTTCAAACAATTCATCTTACGAGAAGTAACAAGGGAAGACCCTAGAGTAGGGGTGAGGTGCAGGGTCTGAATTTGGCCCTCCAGGCCTTCCTACCTGGCCCTTGGGACTCTCCCTGGGTTATCTCCCTCCCCAGCCCTACTCCACGCTCTCTGTGTATTTTGCATGGTTGGAATGTGTCCATGAACTAAAATAACATCAGCTTTCCTGGATGGAAAGATAACATATCTTATATTCTCATTCTCACATTGAGGTGGCCTTATGACTGAAAAAGCCCACCCCCCATGACAGCCTCCCTCATCCCATGGGAACACTTGCAGTTATAAGTTAAGACAGTGTGTATACCATGCCCCTAACAGTGTGAACAGGACAGACGAGAAACGAGAACCACAATTACCCAGCCCTGTTAATTCAACTGCTGCCTTAAATAATGGGATGAAGGATTTTGAAGGAAGTAGAGGGGAATATTCACTCCCTTCTTGCACTACTAGCAACACTCCATTCAGGCTGCTCAGATTATTAAAAGCAGGGGGAGGAAAGAAAGAGAGCCCCTCCTTATAATATGTCAAAAGTGTCTTATGGAGAGGGTGGCAAGAGATTCTTCCTCACCCAGGCCTGCTACTACTTTAACTGGCCTGGATTGAACATGACTTGGAACAAACATGCGATCGTGCCACTTCCAAGAGAGGTCACAGTTCTTTCCTCCTTCACCAGTCGCTGTGCTGTTGCACACTCTGCTGAACTAAGTCGTGACTTGGCATGTCGTTCAGATTCCAGCCTAACTGCAGGCTGTAGCCAAGCTTTGTCGCATGGGATACAGCCGAGTTAGGCAGATTTACTTCTACATTTGATCCATGTTAACCACAAAACCTTTGAAAAAGTTTTTTTATTTTTTATTTTTTTATTTTATTTTATGTGTAACAACATTTCTTACAATAATGAGATTGGTCATGCCTGATTGAGACTATATACTTCCGTTGCCCAATTTTTATCAGATTTCTATTGGTGTTAATAAAGTCAACCCTGAATACAGATAATAATCACTCCAGTAACTATGTAGCTATACTTTACTTACTGAATAACTCGGAGCCTTTACTAATTGTGGTGAATTATCTTCTAACAAAAGACAAAGTCCAAAAATACAACAAAAATACAAAATAGGACTTTCGAGAATCACAACCTCACATTGGAGGAATGAGAGTGAGTGAGCAGACATTCATATCACTTTGTAAAATTGAGAGGCTGCAGATAACCAAATATTACACCTATGTGTTCCTCTCCTGTTCAATTGTAGGGCTTATGGGATAGAAGCCAATGATATTTGAAGAGGGTATTTATAGGTTTTTGGAAAGATGGCTCTCAAGAAAAATATCCCATTTCTCATTTCCCCAAGGCAACATTGTTATGACCATTGTATAAAATTAACAGAATTATGGCATCAAGTAGCCCATTCTTTAACAACCAAGACCAATGGTGTTTAAAAAGAGAATGAGGGCACTTCCAGGCAACTTGTTTTGAGCATTGACTCCAATCTGATTGCTGGAAGGCTAAACAACATTATGTCAAAGTGAGTATTATCCTGCACTTCCCACTGAATTGTCCAGCTTTGGCACAAAAAGTCCAATCCTTTAAAGAACCTGGTCTGCAGCATAAGACATTCCAGTCAACTATCATTGTGTAACCTGGATTTGCTGGTATGTGATTGAATCCCACCCTAAAATAGCAAAGGTCCCTGGAAGCAACTTTAGTTTAAAGCCCCGCTGATTTCTGTGGGAAACATTTAAGACCATGACTACACTTTTCCCAATAATTTTGCTTAGTTAATAAGTGACAATAGGCCAAGTGAATTGAAAATCAGGGATGGAAGAACTGTACCTAAATCAATTAACATGAAGAGTATTTGCATTATGCTAGACAACTAATGTTTTATGGCTATGAAGTAAATTTACCCGCTGTATCTAGTGAAGGAAAGAGAAAGTTTTAAATAAGAAACAAAGGAGAACGGAAAAGAACTCGCTATATTTTATCTGTTTAATGTAGTTTAGGAAGTTTTAAGCATTAACATTCTCTTAACAGGTTTTTAAAAAAGAATTTCTACTCTTAAGGACAAGAGTTCCAAGGAATGCCGGGAAATTACCGTATATATGATTGTATCTTATCTTACTCACAACCAAGGATACTACAAACAGGATCACAGACAGGGCTAGGGTAGCACATCCACAGCAGAAGTAACCTCTGGAGCAGTGGTTCTCAACCTGTGGGTCCCCAGATGTTGTTGGACTACAACTCCCATCATCCCTGACCACTGGTCATGCTGGCTAGGAATGATGGGAGTTGTAGTCCAACAACATCTGGGGACCCACAGGTTGAGAACCACTGTGTCTGGAGCCACCAGGACAGGAAATGTCAAAGCCACCAGGAGCAGATGTCAAAGGCCTTCAATCAGAAAAAATGAGTAGGAGGGTCCACAAACTCAGTAGGGACCCTCATTTTTTATGAGATCAAGATAATAAACATTATCATCTAAAGAGCAGGGATCCAGGGGTCTTAGTAGACCACAAGCTTAGGACGACTCAACAGGCAGCAGCAAAAAAAGCTAATGCTATTCTAGGCTGCATCAACGGAAGTATAGTGTTCCGATCAATGGAAGTAATGGTCCCACTCTATTCCATCTTGGTCAGACCACACCTGGAATACTGTGTCCAGTTCTGGGCACCAGTTTAAGAAGGCTATTGGCAAGCTGCAACATGTGTAGAGGAGGGCGACCAGGATGATCAAGGGTTTGGAACGGTTGAGAGAGTTGGGTATGTCTAGCTTGCTAAAGAGGAGACTGAGAGGAGGTATGATACCCATCTTCAAATATCTAAAAGGCTGTCATATGGAGGATGGAGCAAGCTTGTTTTCTCCTGCTCCGAAGGACAGGACATGAACCAATGAATTAAAGTTACAAGACATGAAATTCCGACTAAACATCAGGAAGACCTTTCTGACCGTGAGAGCTGTTCGACAGTGGAATGGACTTTCTTGGAAGGTGGTGGACTCTCGTTCATTGGATATTTTTAAGCAGAGGTCGGATGACTTTTTTTGTCATGGATGCTTTAGTTGAGATCAGCCAAGCAGCAGGAAGAATGGGATAGGGTGGGCTCCAGATAAGTGATCAACTTATATTTTCCCATATATCAGGGTCAGTCCCGAGCATCTCTAGGCAGAGCTGTGAATGTTGCATCTGAAATCTGAACTGCGCAGACTAATGGTCTGAGTGAGTACAAGGCAGTCACCTATGTTTGGTATTTCACAGCCTCTCTTGACACGGTACTAGTCTGGCCACTGTAGGATGGCAACAGAATGTAAATGGAGGAACAGAAAGCTTAGTCAAAGTTCTGAATCCACTGGCCATACACAAAGCTTGTAGATACATAACTCATTGGAAATCTGGTCAGGGGTTAGTGCCAGATACGTTTAAGTCATCATATGCTTGCTTTAGCAGTAGCTTCAATGCACCAGCTCCCTCTTCTGGAAGAAGAAGCGGGAATATACAGGTAGAAGTTATCTTAAGCGGGGGATTGTATAAGCAAAATTATGCAAAGCCAAACCCCTTCCCCCCAAATAGTCCTGCACATCCATTCCTATCTCTCTGAGGCCAGTGCTGAGCGGGCCTGGCCCCCTCCCCCAAGATGGCAAGCTTTATAAGCCCCTCAAGCTTGCTTACTGAGCAGGTCGTGCAAGGCCTTTGGAAGCCTCTGCAAAGTTGTGATGAGATAGTCTCAGAAATCTGGAAAGTAAGGCAGGGGAGGAGCTTAAAAGCTCTTTCCACACTGTGTTTTCCCACTGCGAAAAGAGCTTTTTAAGCCCCCACCGTGTCCCGCTTGCTTTCCAGGCTCTGGGAAGGTTGCATGTGGGTTCCTGTGAGATCTCTTCTGGGGCGGGAGGTGTTTTCTGTTCTCCCGCCCATTTTATTTATTTTATTTTCTGTGGTCACATTTGCAAAATCAGTCTAAGATGAGAGCTACCGGTATTGCAATTCTGTCTATTTATAGTATTACATCACAAAACTACATGGAACCTTAACTGCATAGTTCTGCCTTTGAGAGTATGCCCCTCCTCCCGCAAGTTGCCAGTGCAGGGCATCAATCGAGATCAGGATATGTACAAACAACCCCTAAGAAATACGTGTACAACTAGGGTAGCAAAATGTATGCTAAGACCCTTTTCACTGCTTTCACTTTTAAGTTTATTTATCTGGGGGTACTCCAGTAAAATGAAGCAATAGAGTAGAATTGAATTGACTGAAGCAACAGAATTTCCATTTCTGCACTTAGCTAGATCACCTATTTATTAAAATCTGGTATATTCTTTATGCACAACCTAACCACAACGGATTCTATACAAAAGTACCTCCTTTAACTAGACTTCTGAAAACTTTAGGCATTAAGTTTGGCTGATTTAAACCAGATTTAAACTTATCATTTACTTGGCCCACAAACTGCCAATGAAAAGAGGTAGGAGTACCACTTACAATTTTTGGTCAATTAAGCTCTATTAGATATAAAAATTTTGCTGGAATGGTAATGACCAGCTGCTGCATAGTCAAGGCTGTATTTAGAGGCCGGTGCTTTTACTTTCATCCAACTACAGTATGAGATAAAGCTGGTGAATGAACAAATGATTAGAGCATAAGGAAGCCAGTGAATTCCCCACAAAATTTCCTCCCTTTGGTCATTTCAAGCAAACAAGCATGTACTGTACTCACCTGAAGGTAAATGGCACCCTCTACTGCCGCTTTTAAATCTGTGCAGCCGCTAATGAGAGACAGCTGCTTGTCAGCTGTCAGAGTACCTTTCAGCATTCCTGTCTTTCCTAGTTCTTTCAATTCTTTGCTGTTTGAAAACAGAAGACCAGCAGAAGAATTATGAGTTTTATTTATCACACGTACTAATAAAAATATACCACAGGAAAGATTCCGGCAACCTGTTTTCCCCTACTGCACTCTTAACTTTTTCCACGCACACTTATTAAAAGGAACCCTCATGAAATATGGTGCAGTGTATGGCATTCTCAAGGACGCCGGTGGCGCTGTGGTCTAAACCACTGAGCCTCTTTGGGCTTGCCGATCAGAAGGTCGGCAGTTCGAATCCCCGCGACGGGGTGAGCTCCCGTTGCTCAGTCCCAGCTCCTGCCAACCTAGCAGTTTGAAAGCACGCCAAAAAGTGCAAGTAGATAAATAGGTACCACTCCGGTGGGAAGTTAAACGACATTTCCATGTGCTGCTCTGGTTTCGATGTTCCATTGCGCCAGAAGCAGCTTAGTCATGCTGGCCACCTGACCTGGAAAAACTGTCTGTGGACAAACACCAGCTCCCTCGGCTTGTAAAGCGAGATGAGTGCTGCAACCCCAGAGTCATCTGCGACTGGACTTAACTGTCAGCGGTCCTTTACCTTTTTATGGCATTCTCTAGATTCATGCTTCAGAGCACAATGCAAACATTGTTATTCATTTATTAATTGCCTCCCATGCCAACATCTCAAGGTGGTGTGCTATAAAAATAGCTAAAAATGGCTAAACACAGCACAAAATAGCAAATACTTTCTTTTAAAAAAACCAGAAAGGCAAAAGCGATACAATACAGACACCCTTGGCAGAAATCCAGCTGGGAAAGCATGTCAGAACAAAAATGTCTTCATTTGTTCCCGGAAAGTGCAAATGGTGGGCTCTTGTTATATCCCAAAATGCTATTCCAAAGAAAAGGGACAGACATACTGAAAGTTCTGCTCCAAGTTACTGTGATGCTGACTTCTGATATCTTTGGGATTTGCAGAAGGAGCTCTTCCACAGACCGCAGCGACCTCCTGGGCATACAAGGGATAGGGTGGTCTCTCAAGTAACCTGGTCCTGAGCTGCATAGGGCCTTATATGTTAGTACCAAGACCTTGAACTTTTCCTTGTAGCAGATCAGAATCAGGCCAATTGCCCATCTAGTCCAGCATCTTGTTTTCACAACCAGAGCCTATGAGAAACCCACAGGCAGGACCCAAGTACACTCTCCCCTCCTGCAGTTTCCAGCAGCTGGTATTCAGAAGCCTAGTTCCTCAGACTATGGAGGCAGAGAACAACCATGATGACCTTTGCCTCCATTAATTTGTCTAATCCTCTTTTAAAGCTATCCAAGTTGCTGGTCACCACTGCCTCCAGGCAGCCATCACTGATGTCCATGAGTTCTACCATTATGAGAGAAGAAACTTCTCTCTATCCACTTTCTATGTGCCATGTATAATTCTATCATGTTGCCTCTTACTCGCATTTTCATTAAACTAAGGTAAAGGGACCCCTGACCATTAGGTCCAGTCGTGGCTGACTCTGGGGTTGCGGTGCTCATCTCGCTTTATTGGCCGAGGGAGCTGGCGTACAGCTTCCGGCTCATGTGGCCAGCATGACTAAGCCGCTTCTGGTGAACCAGAGCAGCGCATGGAAACGCCGTTTACCTTCCCGCTGGGGCGGTACCTATTTATCTACTTGCACTTTAACGTGCTTTCAAACTGATAGGTTGGCAGGAGGTGGGACCGAACAACGGGAGCTCACCCCGTCGCGGGGATTCGAACCACCGACCTTCTGATCAGCAAGTCCTAGGCTCTGTGGTTTAACCCACAGCGCCACCCGCGTCCCTTTTCACTAAACTACAAATCCCCAAATGCCGCAACCTTTCCCCATTGCTCCATCCCCTTGATCGTTTTGGTTGCCCTTTTTATATCTTACTCATGTATTCATAGAAATATTTATATAGCACCGTACCACAAAACATGTGAACTTTTCCAGCCTCTCCAGCACATGAAAACCTTTTGCATGTCTGTTGATGACTGAACAAAGATTATACAGGAATAGGCAGACTCTTATTCGATAGAGGCACAGCATAATGTGATGTCCCAGACAATATTAACATACAGATTACCCAGTCATCAATCTGCCAGTTTCCTCAACCTGCTCGTGTCTCCACCCTTCTCATGCAGAGTATATTGCAAGTGGGACCTGCAATCCACCAGGAGGTGTTTAAAGTTATGTGCAGAGTGGTCACAACTTAAAAGCGGGTCGTATGCAATAAATAAATACCGGATGTGGGGAAAACCTTGAAACAAAACAAAACCTTGAAACAAAACCTTGAAAACAACCTGGCGCTCCTTCTCACAAGTCCATGCTTCTGGCAAAGCCTTATGTTTATTATTGTTAGAGCAGTAATGTTTTCGTATTGTACAATAGCAGTCCCATCACCCATAGGTAATTAGATGCTTCCTCATATTACAGACAGAGAAATCAGGGAAAACAACTTAACAAAGGAATTGGGAGTGAAACACTAATCTGATAAGGGGCTTTGCTTAGCCCTTAGTCCAGTCAAATCAATTCTGAAGGAGAAACAAAAAAATGCATTCCTCTTCACACTTTTAAGTATCCCTTACCACCAAACAGTCAGAAACATGAAACTGCTTTGCTGAACCCTCTCTCCCCAAGTGTTTTGTTTGCTTGTTCATTCTGCTGTTACCTAGGCAATGCCATTTTGGTAGTGCAAAGAATATCACATTTCTACCCTCAACAAAGAAAACTCTGGTCTGTATGGATAACTTTTGTGATCATCATCTGAAGTTTGCAACGACATGGATATAAGATGGGGCAATGTTAGAAACATAACTTCTCTGTGACATTTCAGTGGTACATCATGCAAGTTCTCAGGAAGTTGGACATGGGAATTTAAGCCAGCATCAACTCAATTCTTACAATTTAGCACAGCTGAAGTGTCCAAAGTGCTTCACGTGCATTATCTCAATAATTCTTACAACAGCATTGTAAATAGGTCACTACTGCCACCATCCCATATTACAAGGGGTGGGGCTGACACCAAAAAAACAGTATCTTATCTAAAGACACCTACGCAACTCCCGACTGAGTGATTTGAATACGGAAACTCCTAACTCTCAATAAGCATTCTGGAAACTTAAGTCTCCACTTACTAGTATTGGAAGGGACTGGGCATCTTAAACAAGCTTTTTAAAGTGTTACTGATACTGTATTTGTATAACACGAAAAAAATAACAAACACATGGAGCATCTGAAAGGTGAAGGTATGTGACAAGCCAAGCAAGCTACTGAAAGGTGGAGGCAGCTGAGGCAGCTTCCACTGCTGCCTTGAAACAGGCAAGGGGGACTGGCAAGGCTTAGCTGGGGGGCGGGAGGGCTTCTTTGAGTCTTCTCGCTGCCCTCCCCCCAGCTGAACAAGCCCCATATCCCTCCAGTATGCACAAGCCGGAGGGACATGGGGCTTGTTGAAGCAGAGGGAGGAGCAAGCCGTATTGTGCCTCGGCAATGCTGACTGTTTCTCCCTTCAGTGGTATGAGGGCAGACCGTGATGGCGGTTTCCCTCAGCGGTATATCACTGGTGAAACTGCCACCGCTCCCGAGTCCCTCTGCCGCCAGAGTCCGGATGCAGATTGTTTTTCCCTCAGCACGCTGGTAGCAGTGGGACTCAGGAGGTAGCGGTTTCACCACCAATATGCCGCTGAGTGAAGCTGTCATCACTGTCTGCCCCTAATCCCAGTCCTGGGTGATATATGGATATATTGCCCAGGCCTACTAGGTGACCTTGGGCTAGTCCCAACCTCTTAACCTACCTCACAGGGTCGTTGTGTAAGGATTACCTGAGGAGAGAGGTGCATCATGTACTCCTTGGAGAAAATGGTGGGATACAAATGCAATAAATAAGCTCTTCTGTGTACCTGGAGGGACCAGCCAGATGGAGATGTCAGACTCTCTAAGCACTACGATCAGAGATAAGGGACATCCTATCTCCATTCTATGTGCTAAAATCAGAGATAAGCCTCTGCCTGTTGTGTGACAGTAAAAGGATTTATGCCTCTGTGTGTGACTATCTGCCTGCTATTGCTTTTAGAAGGCAATAGAGGACACATTGGACAATTGATCAGGTAGTGGGGCTTGTGGGTCTCACTGAAGATCTACTACCTTTTATCCCACAATTTGAGCACTACCTTGAACAGATAATCTGAATGCATCCTGAAATCCCATTAGTTCCTTGTTCATCGTGTTTAGAACTAAAAGCTAACCACAGTATTCAAACAATTATAATCCTGACTAATCTGTGCTAAAGGAACTCAAATGACTTACCCAATTTTTTCCAGGGCTTTTGTTACCTGTTCTTGTACAATATCATAAAGCTTTACTTGAAATCCACCAGAAGCAAATAACATGGCCCAGCTACATCCAATGAGTCCACTAAGAAGAAAAGAGAAAACGGTTAGCACAAATCTTTTATTGTTATTTATTTTAAAATACTTACATGCCACTTTTCCAGGCAAAGCCTGCCCAAAGCAGCTTACAGCAATAAAAACTACAAGTATATAAAAATGTTTTTTACTAAAAATCAATAATTATTATTGATCTATTCTACAGAAATTCCACAAAGAGAGTTTGGAATTCTAGTAACAACGATATTCCAGTCTCTTTCCGGTAAGCAGGACATAAATTGTTCAGGAGAAGGCCAACTGAAACAATTGAGTTTTTAAGGTCTTCTGAAAAGTCTGAGGTGTAGCTGCCATTGCAGCATTTCTGGGAAAGGACTCCAAAGGTGTGGTGGAGCCACCACAAAAAAGGCCCTGCCTCTTACGCTCAACCACCTCACAGACCTATTCCTGTCACAACACAGAAGCAAAACAAGGTTTTCCTGTTTCAGCACCTGTTGAAGGCAGCAACCTGGATGTGGATATAGTTAACCAACCCACAGATTCAGCAACAGAGGTTTAAGGTATGTTTTGAAAGGGCAATGAAGGACGCAACAGACCAAGCAGCATATTACAAAGCAAATTGGCTCACACCCTACTTTTGGAACATCTAAGTTTATTAAGCAGAGAGCGAATGTTGAACAAAATGGACTTGGATTTAAAATAGTCTTGTTTCACTATTCTGTAGGTTATTCTGCATGCTAGAGGCCTGGAATTCTGCACACAGAGCATCCCTCTAAGTACATATGGAATGCAGAAACATTCGGGTGAACATATATAGTTATATGAAGTTGCCTTACCCCAAGTTAGGCTATTCATCTTGCCCACTATTATATACTCTGATCATGGCTCCCTTGGCTGTCAGGATTCTTCCCTGTCCTGTTACCTGAAAAATTTGAGACTAATCTGGGAGATTATGCATGTGCTCTACCACCAGGGTTCTGCCCCACTTGGCAATTCTTTTTTTTTTTTAATGTTGTATTGTATATTTAGTCAATCCTTTCTTTCTTTCTTTTTACAGAAAATGATATTCTATGCAATTCTATCTTAGATACTGCTTAGTAATGATAATACTCATTTCAAAGATCAGCTAAATTGCACAGTGCCAACAAACAGTCCTGTTTAGTATCTGCCTGCCAACGGGCATAATTCTTGCTAAATACTGGGATCTAATTTGGATATGTAGATGCAAATTTTCTGGTCCTACAATAAAATATTAATATGGAAGGCACTCCCTAGCCCTATTCATTAATTCACTTGTTCAATTATGTATATGTAGTCAATTTCTCTTAATTTTTTAATCACCCCTTTCATTTGCAGATAATATACTTGTATTACTTATTATTATTAATTGAATTTATATATATCAACCTATACCTGGAAGTCAGGTCTCAGGGCGGTTCACAGAACAAAATCAAAATATAAAACCACAAAATATAGAATCAAAATAAAAACAACAACCCAATACCCCCCCCCAAAAAAACATACCACACATTTTAAAAGGGCATAGGATGTCAGTCAAATCAACCAAAGTACTGTTTAGAAAAGAACGTTTTTGCCTGGAGCCTAAAGGTACATGATGAAGGCACCAGACAAACTTCCCTGGGGAGAGCATTCCACAGACAGGGAGCCACTACAGAGAAGGCCCGTTCTCATGTTGCCACCCTCTGGACCTCTCAAGGAGGAGGCAGACAAAGAAGGGCCTTAGAAGATGATCTCAGGGTCCAGGTAGGTTCATATAGAAAGAGGCAGTCCTTGAGGTATTGCAGTCCTGTGCCGTTTAAGGCTTTATAGGTCAAAACCAGCACTTTGAATTGGGCCTGGAAACTAATTGGGAGCCAATGCAGTCTGACCAGGATCGGTGTAATATGCTTAAACTGTCTTGCTCCAGTGAGCAACCTGGCCGCTGAATTCTGCACTAGCTGAAGTTTCTGAACCTTGAGATTACCAGAGAACAGACAACAGTAGTTAGGCTATCCCTGTCCAGATAGGGGCGTAGCTGGGCCACCAGCCGAAGCTGACAGAAGGCACTCCGGGCCACAGAGGCCACCTTAGCCTCAAGTAACAGCAAAGGATCCAGGAGTACCCCTAAGCTACAAACCTGTTCCTTCAGAGGAAGTGTAACCCCATCAAGAGCAGGCAATCTCCCACCCATCTGGCCTAGGGAACCACCCACTAACAGTGTCTCAGTCTTATTTGGATTGAGTTTCAGTTTTTGGCTCTCATCCAGTCCATTACCGAAGCAAGACACTGGTCCAGCACTTCCACTGCCTCACCTGCAGATGTAAAGGAGAATTAGAGCTGCATAACCCCACACTGAAGGTTCCACAGGGCTGAAAAGCATTCCCCAAGCAACACCCTCTGGGAACGACCATCCAAGTAGGACTGGAACCACCGCAAAGCGGTGCCACCCACCGCTAGTTCAGACAGTTGCTCCAGAAGGTATCTAAAGCCACTGAGAGGCTGAGGAAGAATTAACAGGGACATGTTTGCCTTGCCTCTCTCTCAACAGAGGTCATCATACAGGGTGACCAAAGCAGTTTCTGTGCCAAAACCCCAACTGAAATGGATCCAGAAAATCAGTTTCTTCCAAAAGCACTGGGATCTGGTCTTGCTCAGGAAAGGGAGATTAGCAACCGGCTGGTAGTTAGTTAGGTTTTCTGAATTCAGGGAAGGTTTCTTAAGGAGTGGTTTCACCACTGCCTTCTTCAAACAGGCAAGGACCACTCCCTCTCATAAAAAGGCATTGATCACCTCCCTACTCATGTGCTATTATTTATTGTTTTGCTATTTCTTCCATGTAAAGATCCAGTAAAATCCATGTTTAAAAATACGAGACAACTCCTAAATCCTTTTCCATGTCTCTGTATTGCTGTAGTTGAAGGAATAAGCTAAACTGAGAGTACATGTTATAGTCGAGGTCCCTTCAGTTGTCCTGTCCACATCCTCAAACCACCACCACAACAAAATGATTCCATACACTTTGACTGGCCAGCTCTAGAAACCTACTCTAGAACTTTATCAACACTGACGTCTAGTTTGGATCAAAATGTGAGTGACCTTGTGCTCCAAGTGCCTTGCAAATTGCTCACTTGCAGGAATCTCTCAAATTCAACAAGTCTGACAGTAGACCATCCCAATAGGTCCTTCACCTTTGCATTTGGGGGGGGTGAAGGAAAGACTGCCAAAGGCAATCTAAATCTCAACAGGTAGCGATCCACCCATGACAACCCAGTTATATTAACCCGCACTAACAATTTCTCTGTGGCAATAAACAGATTCAGTGGACTTAGGATATATGTTGATCCCACAATGTATTGAGAGAGAGTATGGCAGTCATGAATTGCTCAGTTAGATCAACCAAATGGAGTTGTCAAAACACAGCTATGATAATAATGATGATAATAATAATATTTTATTATTTATACCCCACCCATCTGGCTGGGTTTCCCAGTGCAGTGAGGAAACCCTCAAAGAGGCAAGATAAGGCCACATGAAGTCACAAGTTATTAAAGGTTGTAGCTATAGTCATGTCATATCAAAGTCACTGAAGAGCAGACATCAGAACAGAATAGTCCCACATTATTCTATTCTGCAGCCAGGCAGTCTATGCAAACACCTCTACAGATTTTAAATGCAAGAATGTGTCATGAGATGCAAAACACTCTTTTAATTAACATGTTTTTATTATTCTTAGGAGAAGCTTTTCAAGTGTCTTATCATATATTCTTAAGTGTTTCTTATTTAGAAAAGACTGTAAATAAAGCAGCCTGACTTTTAAAAATGATTTTTGCAAGTTCTTTTTTAAAACTAAATTTTGATACCGTCGTTCATCAGCTCTTGCCACGAAAATAACATGTGCTTTATATAAGAAAGTTATATAATCCTTGCACAGTATTATCCTCCTAAGTAAGCATGTAGAGAATTGCAAGCTAAATGTGCTTAAATTGGCCTGGATTATGCCCACAGTAAAGTCCCTTTGAGTTCAGTAGGACTTAATCTGAATTGGTATGCATAGGATTGCACTATTAATTGCCATACATTTTCACTAGAAATTAAGCACATGCTCCACTTCAGACAATAAAATGTCTTGGGCACTGACATTATTGTGAATGGAACTGAATTGCCCAATAACTAAGCAAAATAAGGAAGTATTTATCTCTTTTTATAACTGGGGACAATGAGGAATGGTCGTCATATTTGCCAGAATCTTGCAGATCTCCACATCTGCAAGTAAAAGGCAGCAAAGGAGATAATCGGAACAAAAAATGTGGAAGTATATTGCAAATGTGGCTGAGTAAGCTATCTATCTATCTACACTACAACACTGTATACTAAACTAGGAAGACAATATGCTTTAGAATTACTGAAATAGAATTTACAGAGCAATCATAACCCATACAGGTGGAGTTTGGACAAATAACTGCTATGGTACCATCTCTACTTGAATATGTCTTATAACTCAATGTATTAGTATTTCCATAAAATGCTTTTAGACTTCAGAAAAGGCTTACTTGAACCTCTGATCAGTTTATTGTCAGTATTTATAATAGCAAATGTATATAACACTACACTTTTTGCACTATTCACCATAGGAAATTAAAGCTTTCCGCATATAAAGGCATGGATGACCACACACTTTCCTTGGAGTTTTACTGATTTCAATGGTACTTTGTTTTCATACAGTTAATAGCCGTGTTAAAAATTGGCAATAAACATGATTTGTTTATCACTTGTTCTCTTAATCAGTTAACAGGATACAGGAACAATAATGGTGCAATTCCACATGAAGGTTACTAATGGTACAGAGGTCATCTACTTCACAGTTTTATTCAGACATACACTCAATATTCAGAACAAACATGTACTTTCATTCACTTAGTTTACAAGAGAGTCTCTTAATCACATATCTGACAGCAATTCATAGTCCACAGTGCAGTAGCCTCAACAGACTACCAACAAACCTCTAGCACAGAAAGAATTGCTGGTTGACCTTTGTTCTGTGCTAGCTGAAGTGTTCCAATTTCCGACATTTAAGCAGTTTCCCAGTTGGTGCTGCCATTGGGCAAAGTTTGACCTTACCCTCTACATACCACTGGTGACCGATGCATAACTGAGTGCAACCCCTAGCTGCTGCCTTAGTCTAACAGCATGCGACAACGTAAAAGGCACATGCTCCAAACACAATTCACACCTCTTATGTTCTGCGGTCGGGCAGCAAGACTGCGTTTGAAGAGTTAAGGTTGGGGCGAAAACATTCAATTATAAAAATAAGCAAGCCAGAGTTTTAGGCCTTATCAAACGGGGAAAACAGAGGCATATATATTTTAAAGCCATTTGTGAGCTTCCAATAGACATTTGATCAGCCACCAAGTGAACAGAATGCTGGACTACATAGGCCTTCCATTTGATCCAGCAGGGCTCTTTTTTTCTTAATTATAAGCAAGCACACACAGTAGCACTAATTTTAGGTACAAATTTCCTGTTACTTTAATTAGATGCAGTTAATTTAGAGGGAGGAAAAAAAGAACAACACATACAACCTGAACATAAATACATGAAGGCTATCCAGATTTCAATCAAGTTACTACACTATAAAATTATCTTGGCAAAAATCTACATATTGCTGTTTATAAAAGCTTTCCAAAACACACCACACTTTGAATTTCCATGTTGGCAATGGACTTTTTCCCGTGCTGCTATTCACCTAGAATGTCCTTTAGCTCTCCATGTGTTTCAAGGTAATCTGTACAGACTAAACGCAAACAGATTAAATGGCTTAGATAAGTGTTCTATTCACACGCAGGAAAGTTACTCATTTGTTTTGTCTTTTTTAACACCTTGCTGCAGCAACAGCAAATGCCAGTGTAAGTTGTGGTTTGGTGGCTTTGAAGATCCCACGCTTAAAACGCAGGTTCCACGTCCTTCGCGCTTTCCTGGGGGGAAGGGGGGGCTCAGGATCCCCTTTCCCGGACTTAAACACCCTTCTCCCTCCTCTCTCCTTGCCAACAGGAGAGCCCCTCGTCAAGGGATTTACCTGCCAACAATCACAACACGTCCCTCTTGCACAGGATCCATCGTGCCAAGCTCAGGTTGCAGCACTCACACAGCAGGAGGAGGAGAACCCGGGAAAAGCCACTGGGGGGGAACGTGGGCCAGCGGATCCCTTTTCAAGGCGGCGCTTCCTCCCCACCCCGCCACCCCCCAATTCCAAGGGATGTCACGGCCACTACCATTGGCTCCCAGATAAGAACACTTCCCATTGGCTCCCCGGGTGCCCCAAGCGGCGGCTAGAGGGAACGTCTCCAGATGGGGGTTACCCGGGTCAGGGGAAAAGAGAGGCGGGTGGACGCGTGGGGCTCTGCAGCGGAGGGGGGCGAGGAAGGGGGTTCATTTGTTTCTTCCTTCTTCGTTGTGGAAGGAAGTCGGCGGGCAGTTCCGAGAGAGAGAGAGATTCCACAGCGACTTTGCTTTCCCCTTATGGCTATGCATCCAGATATATATATGGCTTCCTCTTCCGCGGAGTGCTGCGCGGCTCGGAGGATCGGGCCCTGTGAGGGTCCCACAAAGAGAGCGCGCATGCGCAAGCCAGAAAAGGCGGCAGGAGGTGCTGCTTTACTCACCTCTCTCTCTTTGCACACCAGGGGTCCAGAAGAGCCACTTTGCAGGAACTCCATCCCAAGGGATGTGGGGTGGTGACCTCCTTGGCTACGGTATTTGAAAGACTGGGGTGGAGGGAGAGAACCCACCACCACCTTTTTCTCTCTCCCCAGAAGGCAGTGATGGCTACCAAGTTGAAAGGCTTTAAAAGAGGATTAGACAAATTCAAGGGAAACCCAGCCGGATGGGCAGGGTATAAATAATAAATTATTATTATTATAAGGCAGACTGAGGCAGATGCCGCCTCAGGTGGTGGAAGCCAAGGTGTGCTGCCAAGGGGAAAGTCATATTGGTAACAATTCCAATATTTTGGCTGTGGTCCATACATGTTTTCTTGAGAGTAAGATCCATTTAGTTCAATTGGACTTTAAGTAGACACGCCTAAGGTTGCAAGTGGGAGGGACACAGAAAGACTTTAATTCCACTGATTACTCAGGGAAAGAGGATACACAAACAAATCCCCTTATTCCTCTGCTGAGACAGAGGAAGGAGAAAGTGATATGCTACTAAATAGTCAATATTTACTCTGAGAGACCAGAGATAGGCACCTGTCAACAGGGCTTCTATGGACTTTTGCCATATACTATGAAATGGAAGCAGTGTTCCTTTCCATTTCATTTCCCCATTGTCCACATAATTTGGAAAAATTCAGAGGGCTTAAATACTTTTGTATTTAATTAGTTACAGTGGTACCTCGGGTTACAGACGCTTCAGGGTTAAGAACTTTGCTTCAGGATGAGAACAGAAATCGTGCTCTGGCGGCGTGGTGGCAGCGGGAGGCCCCATTAGCTAAAGTGGTACCTCAGGTTAAGAACAGTTTCAGGTTAAGAACGGAACTCCAGAAGTTCTTAACCCAAGGTACCACTGTACTGTAAATTGGCCCAAGTACTTTTTGAAGGGCTTGGTATAAATTAAAAGAAAAGCATAAACCCACTTTTACTTTTACTTTCCTAGTCTATAGAATATTATTATCATATATACTCTCTCTCTGTGTGTGTGTGTGTGTGTGTGTGTGTGTGTGTGTATTTCCTAGTCTATATAAGCAGTTCTGTTAAATGCTGTGAAAATATTTCCTTGCTCTGTCATGTCCTTTTCTGTTTAACATGTACTATTATCGTACACCAGTAATCCCCAAACTGTTCCACATGAGATCTATTAGTGTGCCATGAGAAACGCATTGTATTAATTAAAGGATTGTGTGAGCCCAGAAGTACCCCACCACAAAGGAGGATGTCTACAACATCCCTGCAAAAGTGATTCACTCTAACTTTATTTCCTTCTGGTCACTGTTGAGGGTAGGCAATTCTGCCATCTATGTCAGGCTGGTATGATTATAGCACTCAGTCGTTCTCTATGCAGAGATGCAAACGATTACTCTATCGCAGAGAAGACTACCTCTTGCATCTCTTTGTGATTCATTGCTCTGGACCTGCCTACTTCCAATTAGTGTTAGAAAGGAAAAAAGTAAAGGTTTTTGGAGGACATTTCCTATATGTAGACATATAGAAGCTTTTCAGTTACTCAGGTAGAATTATGTATAACTAACAAGCTTCTATGTTCCTACACCAACAGAAGCTGGCCCCATAAAATAAAGCTACATACACATTACTGTTTACTCTGGTACACTCCCACTGGTGGTGTCTGAAGCTGTGTACAATATACATGAAGTTAACCACAATGCATATCTACAATGTGGTTTTCTTGGGAAACACTGCTGTTTGATGTATTTTCCCCTTAAAAGCAGCTTCCATCTAATTTGAAAATGTAAGCCACATTCACTTTACAATCTGAGGTACTTTTGAGGTAGCTGTCATGCATGCACAATGACATGTATTTACAAAATTGTTATATGCACTGCAGCAGCAGTAGGATCAAGTCTCCAATTTTCTGAAAATAGGCACTGGGCTTTTGTGCATAGTATGCACAGCACAAATCTTTGGATATCGGGCAGCTTGTCAGCTTAGCTAACAAAGTGTGGGGTCTGAGAGAGAGTAGAAAATAAAATTACTAGAAACTACTTAAATCAGTTAACATGGATTTGTGATTCCTTCATTACTCCTTCCTGTTCTTTTAACTCCCACATCAATCACTGTTGTTTTACCCGGGTTTCCAAATTAACCAAACCTGCTACAACTTGTTTCTTGTCATTAAACACAACCTAAACATCAAAGTGGAACTGCACCAATCCATCCAGAACAGGAAGTGTGCATACTAATAAAGAGATGAATGTTCCAGCAAAATATTGTGCCATCAAGCCACATGTTCCCATTGTTTAAACCACTTCAGGGCAACCTTACAAACTTGAACAGCGGGAAAATGTTAGAAGTTTCTAAACTGACGAGGAGCATAGTGGAATACAAGAGCCTGATCCTTATTTAAAATAATAAGAAAAAGGATTTTAATCAGGATAATTGCGTATGAGTGTGAAATCTTACATAGCTTAAACTCATCCTATTTATGCCCTTAAATTGTTCCCCTTTTATACAACAAATTGCACTATTTTTCCGCTCTCCCTTTTATTTCCCTGTACTGTCCCCTTCGCCTTATGATCCAAACCCCGTCCTTATGCTCGCGCTAGGAAGTAGGACGTGACCAAAACTGTGGGCGCGCTAAGGATGCAGTAGCTTCACCTTGTGCTACTGCGCATGCTCTAATGCTTTCCCCTTCCCGAGCAGAGCGTTCTCGTCGCTAAGCAACCTGAAGGGGTGCATTGTGGGCTTGCGAGGGAGAGATGTAGGCCCTAACGTTGACAACGACCCGGGGCTGCGTCGGTCCCCCGAGTAGAGGGAGGGAAGGCAGCGCGGACTTGCTGGACGTCTGACAAATTTCCTGAATATTGGTTGTCAATCTTATTACGCTTACAGGTTTTTTAAAATTTTCTTATTCTGTAATTATTTTACTGTTTTGAAAAATATTTTCAGCAGTGTAACTCTCGTTTTGGTGTTTGCATTTACTGTATAGGAAAACCGACACAACTGGAGTAGCTAATCGCAGCTCCCGACTCCAGAAGAATTTAACGTCCATTGAGGTAAGCATGAAATTTTAATAAGTTTTTCTTTAAAAAACACTTTGGGGTTTTTTGCTGTGATGGTTTGTATTGGGTTTTTCCCGTGATGATTTGTAATGCAAATACAAATATCAGTAAGGAACTGATTTTGCTGGTACAAGAGCATCGGTGATGCAAGTTAACTGTTACACAAAAGTGTGTGCCGATGCAGCTGAGCGATTACTATCTGTTCAAACGCTGTTAGGAATTATCACCGTGGGCGTAGTAGACAGGATTTTTGTTAGGGGTGGCAGGCTTTTGTTGGAGGCAGAATCTCAGATTTGTATTGATTTTTATGGATTGGGGGGGCAACTGCCCTTTGCCCCCCCTTGGCAATGCCCATGATTATAACTTTTCTGATTTATTCCATTAGAAGTATATACTTGATCCTTATCAGTCTGGTTTTATTGCTTGCAACTGATGGTCATTACATTGTGAACCACAAAAAAAAGCAAGGCATTCCAAGAGCAAGTTAAAAATGTAACAACTTTTAGGACTGCAGGTTATCAAAACTTAATGTTATAAAGTTCCCAAAATCATTTGATTTAACAATCTCCCTGGCAGTTGTCACTGTTGTGGGTCCTATAATAAAAATGTAACTTCCTCACAGCTAGTGCCTATAAAGCTACTTTAGGTAACCAGCTTGTCTACATTGGCCAGCACAGTAGTCATCTAATTTTGAAAAGCTGCTTAGTAAATTTTGAAATGAATAGAGGGACCTTTCCATAGGTAGATTGCATAAAGGACAATATAGGATATAGCACACAATGTTTTTGATCTGGCCTGATCCACAAACACAAAGGCTATACTTTGTTGGGCTGTTAAAGAATTTATTCAGAAAATATTCTGTGAGCATAAGCTGATCCCAGAAGAAAAAGATTTAAGTTGCACACTTATTTGTAACAACTAATGAACGCAATAAGACTTGAGCAGACACTCCTAATTGGAAGATACCTCAGAAGTGTTGTTGTCGTTTAGTCGTGTCCGACTCTTCGTGACCCCATGGACCAGAGCACGCCAGGCACTCCTGTCTTTCACTGCCTCCCGCAGTTTGGTCAGACTCATGTTTGTAGCTTAGAGAACACTGTCCAACCATCTCGTCCTCTGTCGTCCCCTTCTCCTTGTGCCCTCTATCTTTCCCAACATCAGGGTCTTTTCCAGGGAGTCTTCTCTTCTCATGAGGTGGCCAAAGTATTGGAGCCTCAGCTTCATGATCTGTCCTTCCAGTGAGCACTCAGGGCTAATTTCCTTAAGAATGGATGCATTTGATCTTCTTGCAGTCCATGGGACTCTCAAGAGTCTCCTCCAGCACCATAATTCAAAAGCATCAATTCTTCAGCGATTAGCCTTCTTTATGGTCCAGATCTCACTTCCATACATCACTACTGGGAAAACCATGGCTTTAACTATACCAACCTTTGTTGACAAAGTGATGTCTCTGCTTTTTAAGATGCTGTCAAGGTTTGCCATCGCATTTCTCCCAAGGAGCAGGCGTATTTTAATTTCGTGACTGCTGTCACCATCTGCAGTGATCATGGAGCCCAAGAAAGTAAAATCTCTCACTGCCTCCATTTCTTCCCCTTCTATTTGCCAGGAGGTGATGGGACCAGTGGCCATGATCTTCGTTTTTTTTGATGTTGAGCTTCAGACCATATTTTGCGCTCTCCTCTTTCACCCTCATTAAAAGGTTCTTTAATTCCTCCTCACTTTCTGCCATTAAGGTTGTGTCATCTGCATATCTGAGGTTGTTGATATTTCTTCCGGCGATCTTAATTCCGGCTTGGGATTCATCCAGCCCAGCCCTTCGCATGATGAATCAGAAGTAATCTAGTTCAATGCATAATTTATATGTTGTAAAAATTTATGTAATTGGACTAACTGAATGCTTACTGAACGCTGAAGATAAAGGTAAATATTTTAACATAGTCAATGTTTTATAGGTTAAAATGATGAAAAATGTCCACCTGGCAACCGAAGCAGATGAAGATGATATTTATTCTGGTTACAATGACTATAATCCTACCTTTGACACAGAGGTAAAAATATGGTGATACCAAGTTTATATGTGGATATTTTACAGTTTTGGTGTGATAAGGAAGCACATTCCCTGTTTCCATGACCACCTGCTACTTTGCATAGAAGCAGAAATTAAAATGTGCAGAACAGTTTGGATCAGCGTAATTGATATTAAAAAGCTTGAGCTAGTGAAATAATGTACTACTGTGAGTCTGCATACAAATGTAGGAAAGGCCATGAGTGATATCCAATGTAAGCCACACTCGAAGTCAACCTGCTGTAACTTAAGTCCATTAATTTAAGTGGGTTTAATCTAGCATGATTTCATTCTCTATCACCCTATAAGAACAAGTTAGTGAAAAGCAAATGAAATGCATGTCTGTATTATCTAGCTACACCAGCAAACAAAATGAATTGCAAAGTTAATTATTCCAATGTTTATCTGTTTTTATGTTATTTTAGGATTTAGAGAATGATCCAGCTTTTCAACAAGCTGTGAAAACTAGTCATGGTAGAAGACCTCCTGTAAGTAAATATTAAGAATTAAAATATATCAAAGTAAGCATGTGTAAGCACTTCTAGAAGCTGCATTTCTGCTGTAACAAGTTCAGCCTATATGCTTATTGGTCCCACTAAGTTCATCAAGGCTTTCTTTCTCCTGAGTATGCTTAAGATAGCAGCAGCCTTTGCTATTTTCATGCCCAGCAGAAGTAGCATGTGTAGTGCCATAACTTTCCTCAGCTATTCTGTACCTTTCATTGTGAAGTTTGAACTTTTCTTACATTTGTGCCCTTGGGACTTCCCAAGTAGTTTTCTTCTGTAATCAGACTCCAAATATGTGACTCTCAGTTGTGCCCCTTGGAATGTTTTGCTCAGAAAATCATGCTAAGGTTCCAGAGATGCAGTAAGGACAACATATTATGATCAAGCACTGAACATATGCAGTAATTAGCAAGTTATTGGAATTGAAGAGAAATGTGTAAAAGGACAATGAAAGTTTTCCTTGATAACTGCGCATAAGTAACCACTTAAGTATTCATCTATGTATGTTTCATCATTCTAGTCAAGCATTGTTCATACTGACCAGCAGCACCTCTCAAACCCGGCTCTTCAAAGTCCAGAGCAGAGGGTTTTTTTCTGAGACTAGCTACATGAGATTCCTTAAATGAAGATTCTGGGGGCCATATCTGTGGCCTCATACCCACAAGGCACATACTTTCTTGCTGAGCAACAGATGATTTTCTATCAGTGTTGACTTTCTGATCAACCATTTAGTAATACAGTAGGTTGGTAGCCTATTGCTTCAATAGATCTGACATGTGAGGATTGCCCCTGTTTTTGGACAGTAGGAGACAGTCTTGTCTGAATTCTGAGAGAGAGTCACGACTTTTTAGTCTCTTGTCAAGAGGCTGCTCCAAAAACATGACATGATGACATTAAAACATTTTTAGAAATTGGTATATAGCTTTACTGTAATTTTCTGTAATAATTATATTTTTAATATGCTAGTTTCTTTGAATGAATACATAATTCTTGCTTAACCTTTAATCTTTTCTAATAAGCTTACAGCCAAAGTTCCAGGTACATCAGGTTCACGACCCTTAGCTACTGGATATGGGGTAAGTTTTTATTTTGTACTGAAATTTACTCCGCTTTTCTTTCTTTGGCTTAGCACTTTCTCCAATGAACCAATACACATTGCTGTTTAATTTCTGATTCCAATAAGCCTATACAGTTGCATAGTGATGGGTCTTACATTATGCATAGATGTAACAGGGATTGATGCCAGACAGCGACAAGTGAAGTTCTGTAGCTGAAGAATCTCAGGGTGGTCTTCAGGTCACATAGTACAAACCCAGGAACTGGTCCTGGTACTTGTTGGCATTTGCCTTTTTCATGGTTTGTTTCACCTGCCATTCTTTGAATGAGATTACTTTCCCACTTCAGAGAACATCAGTGTGAAGCTAGTGTTGCTTGTGCAGGGTGGAGAAGACAATTGGAGTTGTATCTTTCTCTGCTGCGGTTTAGAAATCTGGTATCTGCAGTGAGAGGTCCCATCCTTAGTTCTGTAAATTCTGTAATAATAGAGCAGTGTTCCCTTTACGGTATTAGAACAGTGTCCTCTGAGATCCAGGCCTGTTCTTCCTTTAGAAGTAGAGCATGCAGTGATTATTGACTTTAAATATTTTCTTACATTGTGCTAGTCAAAGACAACACTATCTTCATCAATGGGCAGACCAATGACAGCAGCTGTACAGGTAATATTGCTACAATTATTTATAGTTTATAGACAAGCATCAGTGTAATGTATAGAGCAAGTCAAGAGACAGGTCATTATGGTGAAGAGTTGAACTTCAAGCAGACAGAAAAAGAGCTGAGAAAAAGAGGGGAGGGAGAACAAAACTCAATGAACACAACATTAAATTTAATCTGTCTCTTTTTCTAAGCTATCATTATCTGTTTGTTTCTTCATAATTGTCGTCGTATTTATCATGGGCTTCTAAAAGCTGAAGGTGTGTCTAGATTAAAACAAGCTTACACCTTTTCACGTATCAGCTTATTGCTTGATTTGGTGTATTTCCAAACATAGGCCAGTTTCTTTCACATGCTGCAGAAGATGGAGGAATCTGCAGTAGGTAAGAAGCTAGAAAAGTTTCAGGTTGTGTTGTGTTGCCACCAGGTTGCAGGAGGGGTAAGCTTGGACAAATTCCTGAGGATGTTCTGTACTTCAATATTTAAAAGTACCTCTCTGGCATCAAGTCCTAAATGTGCTTCTTGTCTTGTAATACAATCAAATGCAGAAGCTGTGCTCTCATCACTTAGATTAATCCAAGTGATTAATCAGCCAGTAAAAGCAGGGGTCCAGAGGGCATGTGATCAGTTGCATCTCTGCGACTATCCTGTCCGCATCATCAGGCTGCTTCAACTGGATTTGGTTTGGTAGCATCCAAGTCACTTTGAAATCAGATTACTGTGCCCTCAAAGTTTCTTGCAAAGCTCTTACAGCTAGTTACCATGTACTCCAGGAGTCTGTCCCTTGAATCTGGGGTAATGAGTCTCTGGTCCTCATGCAACAACCCTGTCAGCTGATTCCTCAAGGATGCAATAGATGCAGTGAAGAATGACTTCTTTGCTGCCTTCACCCATGTGGTAGGCATGATTATGTGTCATAGTGTGTGTTCAGTTGGCTTCAGAGCAAGATTTGCAATCCAGTCTTCATATAGCCTGCTTCATCAACCACAGCTCCTTGGAGTACCAGGGAAGAATACAATGTCCACCATTTCTCAGCCTTTTGGTATTGTACCTTTGTTAGTCTTTCTTACATTGGAAGCCCCTGAAGAAGGGCTACCAATAATTATTTACCAGCAACCTGAGACAATGTGACATATCATTTAATGGGAGCAATCCATTAGTAAAACCATTGTCTCCTTTCCCCCATTTGTTCTACAGGGGTGGGGGGAAACTTCAACATATATTGTGCAGCCTTTTGCTATGTCTAAACATGATCAGTATTTTAGAAATGGTAAAATTAGATTATTTAAAGAGAATAGTATAAGATTATTCTGAATACCTCTAAGACTGATGCATTTTAGTAAAGTACATTTACCGAGAAGTAAGGTTCACTGGGGTTTGCTCCAAAGTAAGCGTGTAGAGCAGCAGCAGAGGCAGCATTTATCATCTGTGATCTTAGCATGGTGGCGCTACAATACTAAATTCTGAGATAAGCCTCTGCTGCTGCCTTTTTCTATCAAAGAAAGGGTATCTTCCTGCTCTATGACTTCAAGTTTGAATTGCCTGATGCCATCAGGTGCTTGGTGGGTGAGTGGCTCTGCCCATTTGTCAAAATGGCCTGTGAAGGGTGGGCCAATTTGTTTATTCTGTGAACTGCTGTGAGATCTTTTAATGAAGGGTTGTATATAAAATTAACGAATAATAACAATAAATAATAATTCTTGGATGTAGTCCTGGCCAGATGCCATTCTCCATCTCTGTTGTAGAGTATTGCAGTCTTGAGAGGAGTTCAACTAGTGTATTCATTATAAAGTACCTAAAAGGTCATATAATTCAGAGTGATATAATTTATAAAGCCCTGCTTCCTCAGTTATCCATATAAATAAGCTTTTGTTTTTAAAGGATGGTGTTGCTCGACCGATGACAGCAGTTCAGGCAGCAGGTTACACCAAAGCAGTTTCCAGAGGTACAGTTTTAGAAGAATCCTTGGCAATAATAGGTTTTTTAAAAGCCTTGGGAAGGCACTTTCTCACAGTTCCCACTGTTTACTAATCTGCAGGTTCTGTATTTGATCCTCTTGGTCAAGCAAGGGGACCAGCTCCTCCCCTAGAAACAAAGAATGAAGATAGGTATGTGGACAGTGTTTGACTTTTGCAGTTAAATGCTTCAGATCTGTTTTGTTGTTGTTGTTCAGTAATTTTTCATTAAGATTCCACCATTTGTGCATCTGGATTCTGAAGAGAAAGAAAATAATTTGATTAGAAGAGGATTTTTGCTGTGCCTTTATTTTTCTTAGGTTGCTACACTATGGCTTTGATAATGTAGCAGTGGTCCTGGGTTATCTCATTATATGGTCAGTTGTACAAAGTTTAACTTGCTTTCTGTGAGAAAGTGCTTTGCTGTCACGTTTTGATTTTTTAATATATAAGCTAATAAGTTAACAACAGCGCTGCATTTAGCTATATATCTACTAGCATGAATGAATTAAAAAATGTTGGTGGATCTGCAGACATAAATCAGAACGAGGTTGGCCAGCTGTGCACAATAACAGCAGAATCTTAAAGCAGCCAAAAATAACAGGGCTTCAGCAGCTTCTTTTAATTTCTTCTTCCTAGACCACCAAGCCTTTTAATGATCAAATGTGTTGTGATTTAGCATCATCAATATTTATTAAATTTTGATTGCGTTCCATTACAATGTTCCTTGTGAGGCTGATGATACAGAATTAAACAATGACTGCAGTACAAAAATAAGGATCTAAATCAACATTTATAAAATATTTCCCATGGCAAACAGATGCATAGTAGTCTGTTGGCCAAGGCTTAGTTAAAAGGCTAAGCACCAAGCTAATTGTAGAAGGGAACTGAATGATTATCCTCAAGGGTTCCATTTGGATTCAAAATCAGAGTGACATGGTAAAAGTAAAAAATCTTTTTTCATGTAAGGAATAAAGCAGTTTGTAGCAACTGGAAAAGCTCACTGCTAAGGATCACATCAGTCTTTATATCTTATTTATTTTTGTATACCTGAGGCTTATAAGATTATTAAAAAACTACAATAAATTGATGCATGCAATTGCAAGAATAATAGCAACTTTAAAAAGAAATGGCATCATCAAAAGTTGGAAGATTAAAATACAAGTCAGAACAGAGATGAGAATAAAACAATTATTCCAATACCAGAAATCTTTCAGGTGCCAGGTGATTCCCCCCCCCCCATCTGTAGGTTGGAACCAGGGAAGTGCAAGCTGATTTCTTCTCGTGGAACAGGGTGTTCTCACTGAAATATGATTTTGAGGATTGGGGGACCCTCCAGAATGGCTTGGGATGGAGAGTAGGGTCCTGCAGTGTGAAGGAAGAATCACTGGAATTAGAGGAGGGGCACATTTCATGGGTGGAAGTGCCTTTCTGCTCATGCAAAGCACATTTGAATCCAACTCCTTGATGGTAGCAGGCAAACTCCTACATCTGAAGAGGGTATTCTATAAATGTACCACCAGAGAAGACTCCCATCACCAGCTTATTCAGTTGTTGTTGGTTTTTTTTAAGCACACATTACCAGTGGTGCTTAATTTTTGTCATGCTATTTGTGGATCTTCATGATAATTTGATTCCATTGTGTTCCCTAATTTTAGTCCGGAGGGAAAGATTAAGCAGTTGGAAAAAAAAGTGAACGAGTTAGTTGAAGAAAGCTGCATTGCTCACAGTTGTGGAGACTTAAAGTTGGTAAGTCATAGCCTTTCATTTAAGCTGCTGCTTTCAGCTTAGTTGGCATACTGATAGCTGAAGCATATGAGATGGCTGCCACAAAGAAGCATTCCGTGAACATCCCATAACATTGGAAGTCATTTGCCACACAAATTGGCCCATTCATTTGTTAGAGATAACACAGTGGTGGTGCACTTGTGCAGAGCCATCAATCACTGACTCCCTTGAGTTAAGATAGACTTATATGCAAGTATGTTTATATGTGATGGATTGTACATGAAACACTTAAATTGACTAGCACTTCACCACTGGCCACTGGCCTGTCTATTTCAGACACAGTACATTTCCTCCTGGAAGAAATGCAGCTTGTTTCTGTTCTCAAAATGCAATTCTTAGAACCCAGGCCATGGAAACTCTCCTGGCTATTTAGTGTTGTTAAACTATATAGAGACAGATGTAGATTGTTTACTAGCTCCCTGGTGTGTGTGTGTATTTGTCCCTAAAGAAACACTATTGAATTTAGCCAGAAAGTACAATGAGAGCTGCAATTTCTACTATATCTCCAATTTGATCATTCTTTCTATGTGAATATGCTGTTTCTTGTTCTTTTACTGTTCTTCCACTTATTGTCTTTATGTATGCTATAAAAATGTGCTTGTATAAGTTTGTATAAGTGAAAATAAATTGTTTCATACAATGTTTTCTAAAGAAGGGCAGAAGGTGCTACTGAAATGTGATTTGTTTCTTTAAGGCTCTTGAAAAGGCGAAAGATGCTGGAAGAAAGGAAAGAGCTTTAGTAAGACAACGTGAACAAACTATGTCTCCTGCCAACATCAACCTAGATCTTACTTACACTGTAAGTACTTGTCTATTTAGCAGATCAGTTTCTGTCCTACCCTTTCTCAAGGACTTGAGGAAGGTAATGACAGTTCAGGGGGAAAAATATGTACAAGAAGAACAGTATTCCAGTTTATCAAATAGAGTGCATGTCTAAAATGTGAAGAATATTCACATGTGAATGCTGACACTCGGATGAATTTTGTAAATGCCTAAAATTAGAACTATACATTGTCCTGCCTCTACGATGTTAATTCAGCCACCTGGGATCTAGGGGGATTTAGTGAAGGAAGGGAGGGAGACAATGCATCCCTGAAATACTGTCTTCTCCATAGTGAAGCCAGTTGCTGGTGTTGTCATTCCATTATGCTGCTGCTGCTTCTGGCTCCTCCAGGGGGCAGCTACTCTCTTGCTACTATGCTGACTGATGCTTCATTTGTGATTATGAAATTCAAAGTTGGTTGTTTCTATCATATGATGTAAATGTTCTCACTTATTTTCTTTCAGGTGCTCTTTAATTTGGCCAGCCAGTACTCTGCTAATGAAATGTATGCAGAAGCATTAAATACCTATCAGGTCATAGTGAAAAACAAGATGTTTGTCAATGGAGGTAGGTTACATCTACAAAACCCAAACATTCAAATCAGTTATTGGGTACATCCTAGGAGATGGGGACTCTTGGTCATTGTCTTTAATTTGCAGTCAAACGAGTGAGAAGTGAGAATCGGCAGCATCTCCTGATCCAACTCTGAATTCTGATTGTGTTATTGTGATTAGTTTGAAATCTGAAGTCATATATATTTGTAAACTTACAAATTCTGTACAGATGCCAAATACTGGTTGCTTTCAGCTAAGATGACTTTATACTGCTATAGTTTGTTTCCTTCAAAAATAATTTGATAAATTCACAACCTCCCTCTTTTCAAAGTCACGTTTATTCCAAACACAAATGCACTTTTGGAGTCAATTCAGATTTTCCTATTAGGTTAAAACATGCAGGAAAAGGTACTGGGAACAAGTCCAAACCTACCCCAGCCTGCCTGCTCCCCCCTGCGCTGCCACTGCTCCCCACTTTCCCTTGGTAGAAGCCAGGTTAAGAGTAGATTCAAGCTAGTTTTGTGCTGGGCAAGAAGTTGCTTTTTACTCAAGGAGAATGGGCAACAGGAGAGTTTATGCTATCCTAAGGCCTGCCACTACACTCCTTAACCTGGCAGAAAATGAACCAGGCTTTTTTATGCCTTTGCTTGTTGCCACCAATAGTAGTTTCCCATTTCAAGCAATCACGTAATCATTTCGCCAGCAGATTGCTCATCCTTGCCCAGTAATTTAAAGGCTGCAGATTCATCTGTATCCAAGGTATAGATTTTCTGCATGTAACCCGAGTAAAATCCTGTGCGAGTCATGGGATACATCTGTGTCTCATTCTGTGCATTGTTTAATAGGCATGCTGAAGGTGAACATGGCAAATATTTATTTGAAGCAGAGAAACTATTCAAAAGCTATCAAATTTTACCGAATGGCTCTAGATCAGATTGCAAGTGTCCATAAAGAAATGAGGTGAGTTCCAACGAGAATAACTTTGACATTATTTGCTTACAATAATGTGATAAAAACAGTTAGAAAAAACTTTATAATAAGTTATAAAAACAAAAATTGCCTAAGGAGGTCCACCAGGCTTGGTTTCTTCCTGTTTTTTGGAGGCTAGTTCAGACGTTTCTGTGTAGACGGGTTTTCAATTGATTTAACTTCTGCCTTTGTTTTATCTTGGGGCCAAAGTTTACATGATGGAGGCAGTCATGCCTGTGCATTCACCTATCTGCCCTCTTCATGTATAATGTTCAGAGGAGGAGTGTCTAACATTAACAATATACAAATTTAGTATTTATTATTACACAAAATAAATAAATAAATAGCATTAACAGCAACATGTGAACATGGATGAGAGCCAGGTTGCACTCTTGTTGCATCTCCATTACTTTGGGCATTTTTCTTCCACTCTACTAGCAGTGAGCCAAGCTGGGAAATACCAAGGGAGGTAAAGTGGGGAAAGTTTCATCTCCACTCACAGCCTGCCCTTTTAATATAAATCATTGGCATTATAATCATCATCTTCCTACCCTACACTCCTATTTATGGTTAAATGGGGCTGACACATGGCTGTTTTTGGCCTAGTTTGGCCCTTGACTGGTTGCTGTTTTGTTGTTTATAATATTGATTACATTGTTTAAATTGCATCCATTGCATTTGAACTGAAGTGTAAGTCGAACTACTAGTAGTATTTTTCAATCTACTCCTGTACGATAAGGTTCTAATGGTTATTTACTTATTTAGGATTAAAATAATGCAGAACATTGGAGTCGCATTTATTAAAACTGGCCAATATACAGACGCCATTAGCTCATTTGAGCACATCATGAGCACATCACCAAACCTAAAAGCAGGCTTCAACTTGATCCTTTGCTATTTTGCTACTGGAGACAGAGAACAAATGAAAAAGGCTTTCCAGAAATTAATTGCGGTGCCACTGGGAATTGATGATGACGACAAATACATTTCACAAGGAGTAAGTAGGAGCAAAGTTATATCTCCAATTCATAGGGCAAATAAGCTTGAGATGTTGATTACAGGGGTTCTTTGTTGGTATATTCCAATGGTAGTGTTGGTTCAAATCCCACATGTGCCATGCTGAGGTGGGGATGAGCTGCATAGCTTAGGGCTGTTGGTCTAGGGCAGGGGTGGAGGCCCTTGAGCTGGGGGAGGGGGCCACATCTCTTCCCTTTGGGAATTTCCCCTCCCCAGGCCACAACCCTCACTGCCCTTGTTTGAATGCTTTGGGGTGAATGGATTGCAGTTCTGAACTGTGATGATGCCTCTTGCTTGTCTGTGGAAGGGATAACGTGTTTAGAAACTCCAACTTTTGCATATTTGCAATGCAGTCTATTGTAGTTCTTTCAGCATTCTGTTACCAACAGTGACCAACCAGATGCCACTGAGAAAACCATAAGCATGGCATGCAAGCAACAACTCTTTCCTCTTGTTGTCCCCTTTGGGGGGGGAAGTAATTATTTTTCTGATAGAAAGTATGACATGTAATGTACTGTAGTTTACAGTCTGTTCTAATATGTGTATGTGGGTTTGTATACATCCTTGTCTGCTGATGATGTAGCTGTAGTGAATAGACATTTATTTGCCTTATTTAGGATGATCCACATACAAACCTACTGATTGAAGCTATTAAAAACGACAGCTTGCGGCAAATGGAGCGTGAAAGGTAAAGTTTGAAGTCCTTTCAAAGTTGCACCATCATAGTGTGTTCTATGAATGTGTGGAACAGCTGAGCAGAGGTCTGGTCTAGATTACTGATTAAGCAAATATTGAACTCTCAGCTTTTTTTTCTTTGCCATCCCCGTTTTTCTATGTAACTTCAAGTACCCATGTTCAGTCCTATTTGAGCTTTTTGTTTAGCTTTGCTTTTCTATTTTTATTTTTTACACTTCTGCAAACATATGGTTTTCCCCAAGTCCCTCTTGTGTGTGGATGGTACTCCTTTGGCTACATAAGGATCCAGACTCAAAGAATGAGTTCACCATTACTATATAGGATGTAGACACTACTACTGTTAATGCATCGGATGAAGTGCTCTGTATAGTTCACAAATGCTTATGCCATAATATATCCATTAGTTTTTAAGGTGCCGCAAGACTCTTGGTGTTGTGTTCTGCTTCTATATGTTTGTGATATTTGTTTGAAATAATTTCTTGTTCTTTAAAGGAAAGCTACAGCAGAAAAGTATATCATGACAGCTGCTAAATTAATTGCTCCAGCGATTGAAACATCATTTGCTGTAGGCTATGATTGGTAGGTGGCATTTTTTTCAGCTGAGTTGCCTTTCTCAGATCACTTATCTCAGAAAACTCACATATTAGTCAGTGGTTCACCAACTACAGCCTGTAGTAGTTTGGCCCAAGCTATGTATACCATTTTCCGCTTGTATTACATTTCACCAAAGCAACTATCTGTAAACAAACAATAAATGTCCCTAAAAATGGCAAAAGTGTCTTTCCCAAATCAGTTTTATCTTAAACAATAGCAAACACAGTAAATAAATAATTCACTTGTAACTTGTAATATTACAAGTGAACTCTTTATTTACTGTGTTCGCTATTGTTTAAGATAAAACTGATTTGGGAAAGAAACTACTTTTGCCGATTATATGGATGTTTATTGTTTGTTTACAGATGATATTATCTTGGTGATATTATCTTGTGTCGATTGCAGTAATCATTGTATCACCACCCTGTTCATTGTTTTCTTGTATTACAGTTCATCATTTTAAAATGTGGCAATTCCTAAAGGTTTAAATGTTAAGCTCTTAATTCAGCAACCACATTTTTTTCTCCCTAGGGTTACAATGAAACAAGTCACAGTTAATTCATAGTATACTTGCCTGTCAGACCTCCAGAGTGTAAATCCTAATCTGAGAAGTGGTAATGAGCTAGGAAATCCCTGGTTCAAATCACACCACAGCCATAAACGTCCTCATTGGCCTTTGGCAAGCAGCTATCTCTCAGTCTCAGTCTGAAGTATAGTAATATTGCAATAGTAATAATACTGAGCCACCATACAGGGCTGCTATAAGTCAGGCCTGTGGAATTTTTCACTTGCCAAGATAGACTCAGTGCATTAGCCTGTTAATAGACCACCAAGTGTATAATAAGCCCCTGTTGCCTGTTTGCAACTGTAAACAAGCACGTAGTTTGTTTGGATCCTAAAACCAATATATTGGATTCGCCTGTAACTGATGCTTGGCAAAAACTGTACAGTTGCTTTCTTGACTTAGAGAGGCTCACTGCAACCAATAATTTCTCTGTTTTTTTATTCTGCTCCAGGTGTGTAGAAATGGTAAAAGCTTCTCAGTATGTGGAGTTAGCCAATGACCTGGAAATCAATAAAGCAATTACATATTTGAGGCAAAAGGACTTTAATCAGGTATGATAGTGTACATAGCTTCCCCCTTATTTTATCCTTACAACCACCCTGTAATGCAGATTAGGCTTCAAATGTCTGACTACCCCAGGCACCCTGACAATCTGTGTTCTAAGCAGTGGCATTTGCCACCAATCACTGCTTGCTTTCTTGGAGATCATAGAATCATAGGATTGTAGTTAGAAGGGATCCCTAGGGTCATCTAGTCCAGCCTCCTGCAATGCAGGAATCTCATACATGACAGATGCCCATCCAACCTCTGCTTAAAAACCTCCAAGGAAGAAAAATCCACCACCTCTCATGGGAGTCTGTTCCATAGTCAAACAGCTCTTACTGTCAGAAGGTTCTTCCTGATGTTTAGTCAGAATCTCCGTTCTTGTAACTCGGATCCTTGCAGTTATTCCAGGTAGCCAGTGGGAAAATTTTTGCTGTGCTCCTTGGCGCTGTGGGTTAAACCACAGAGTCTAGGACTTGCCGATCAGAAGGTCGGCAGTTCAAATCCCCACAACGGGGTGAGCTCCCGTTGGTCGGTCCCTGCTCCTGCCAACCTAGCAGTTCAAAAGCACGTCAAAGTGCAGGTAGATAAATAGGTACCGCTCCGGCAGGAAGGTAAACGGCGTTTCCGTGCGCTGCTCTGGTTCGCCAGAAGCGGCTTAGTCATGCTGGCCACATGAGCCGGAAGCTGTACACCGGCTCCCTCGGTCAATAAAGCGAGATGAGCACCGCAACCCCAGAGTCGGTCACGACTGGACCTAATGGTCAGGGGTCCCTTTACCTTACTAAGCTTGCCTCTTAACTACTGCAAGGTCCAGGGCAAGCTGCACTCATTCTTGCCCTTGTTAACAAGTGATACCATAATGAAATAAAAAGTGTGCCAGCTACACACTGATATTATAGGAATACTGTGGTTGACACTGAGATAGTGGGCAAATCAACTGGCTATATTTGACTGGTCCTTCAACCAAAGTGCTAACTCTTGATAGGATTGGTTTGTGTAATGTGTCTGTCCTAAATGTGTCTCTTCCACTCATACATTTAATTCATTGGTGTTCAGCTCAGCTTATCTCAATGTTTATCAAAATGTTACTTTTCCTTTCCTTTTAATTATTCCTTTCCTTCTTTTGTACTATCTCTCCCGTTTTGTTTGGTACTGTAAGTATGAAGAGGTAGGTACTATACCAATACCTATTACAAGATGAAATTTGCATAGGTTTAGTGTAGTTTGTCAGTCTTTCAAAGAATTTGCAGCACTTAATGACTGGGTAAAGATGAATTGTCTCTTGCATTCTCTTCTCCTGCAGCTCAAGTCCAGCTTTCCCCACCTAAATATGGCATTAACTGTCCAGGGAACTGAATGCTGATTCAGCAGTCATGTTTATTAGGGTTGCCATACATCCAGAATTTCCAGGACATAGCTGGGATTCGGCCGTTGGAAACAGCATCTGGACGGAAAGTGGTTAAATGTCCAAGAAAATCTGGACGTATGGCAACTCATGATGGAAGTGTAGATTCTGGCAAATGTCCTTTAAAATAGCTCAAAACTTTTTTTTAAAAAAAGTGTTGCATGTACATTTATTATTTATTTACTTTATAATAATTAAATGCACAGCCATAGCCATACCCATAGAAAGAGCTGAATCTGTTTTTAAATTTGAAAAACTGCTTCAGGGAGGGGAAGGAAGGTGGACTACTGATGTCACTGGCTTCCAACCAATCAGCACTCTGCACAGCCATCTTGTGCTGTACACACACAGAAGTGGTTTCCTCTGGGCTCCATCTGCGAGAAAGGCTGTGCTGTACTTCTAAAACATAAGTCTGAAACAAAGCACTGTGAGCGTGCTTCTGCCGCAGACTCTGTACGCATCCTCCTTCCGCTATTAATTCTTAGTAAATTCAGGTCCTTGGTTAGGCAAGGTTCCATATGCATTGCCATAGTTTTACTGTAGCTGCATTGTTTTAGTTCTGTCGCTTTATTGGTAGCAATCTAGGTGTGTATCTTCTACAACTCATGCTGTAGTTCATTTGCTCATTATTGGTGCTTTCCCATTTTCTTATCCTGAAAGAAATTATATCTTTGGGGAGGTTTTCAGGAAGCCACTTGAGCACCAGAGGTGAAGAAACCATGCAAAAACTGTCCTTTGATGGCTTTTGGCTTCACGGCCCAGGGTTGCCTTTCAAATTATTTCCGACATGGTTGTTTAATTATTGTCAGTAAAAATGAGGGGAGGTGTAGAATAAAAAGCAACCTCCACTTAGCTTCAGGGTTGTTTAACACAATACTTATTAATAATTTTAACACCTCTGTATAGAAAAATGACAAGTACAGCAAATTATAACACATTTTTATTTTGCTATGTGTAAACACAGTTTTTCCTGTAGGAAAATATTTTTCATGACACTACTGGCTGTATTCCGACATAATAATGGGTTAGTGCTACACTCTAGCTTAGAATTACGTCCAGATGAGGGCAATGGAAGGAAAACGATGATTACTGATCAGGGGTAAGCCCTGGTATCAACCAGTTTGAAATAAAATATAATAAATGGATAGTATTTCTAGCAAGCAGCATTCACTTTGCAAGATAATCTGTTATTTAGAAGGGAAGGTCTGTAGCTAAGTGGTGGAGCAGGCAGAAATCACTGGCATTTCCAGGTAGAACTGGGTAAAGTCTCTGTCTCAACCCCTGGAGAGCTGTTTCTGACTTGGGTAGATAATACTGAGCTAAATGGACCAATGGTCTATCTCAGTATATGGCTGTTTTGCTCAATTTCCCATGTTCTTGCATCTTATTGAGAAATTTAGATGGCGAGAGTGACTTATTGATGATTGGACTTTACTTAGTATGCTAACTCTTGCACTATACTTACTATACTGACTTGTTATGATTACCTAAAATGTTTCAATAACGGTTTTATACTCAAGTCCCTATTCCCATTATTTGGACACAAGTCTTGTGACTATAACAGATTTGATTTGGATAGGTGTGTTTAGGATTATAGCCAGATATTCTTGGCGATAAACAAAAACCCATGGTTGAGAGCTTCCATAAAACCTAAGCTTAAGTCACGCACATCTGAAATGCTTTCCCCCCGCACCTCTGAAATTAATGGTTTCTTTAGATAATTCATTGTAATGAGAAAAATGTTCTGCTATAGTAGAAGTATGGACTTCCTAAGTGGTTTGCTGGGGAGCAATAAACTTGAGCTAGCCCCATGTGTTTTGCATATGCCCTCTTTTGCACCTCATAAATTAAGACAGTAATGCACTTTGTGCTGGAAACTGTAAACCTAAAATATACTTAAATTCTTGGCTTGCTGCTTTAAGGTACATTCACTTTATAGTAAGTAACTGAATTTCTGTGCTCCATAAACTTCTGTGTAGGAGAAAATGGAGCCTGGTGAATTGTAACAAGTATTTTTATATTGTAGGAAAAAAATGAGTCAAACTGAAACTGAAAGAAGTATAACTTTCCAAAGCAATTTCGCATTTTGGTGGTGGCTGATATGATTATGATCTATATTTTTTCAGCAAATTTTGGAACCTTCTTTTAAAAAGCAATGAATTGCATTTATTTTAATTCCTTCTCCATGCACCAACATAATTTAAGTTCTAAATGTTTAAAAACAAAGCACTTTGTTAAGAATACTTGTGCCTAGTGTAAATCCAAATCCAATAGTACTATATTCTTTCTCCACATAGTAGAAAGTAGAGGAAACTTTGCTGAGGAGGAAGGAAAAGAGTTATTGTTGGGCTGCTTGTTTTTGTTTTTTTTAAAGTAGAGATGTGCTCTAAAGCACTGCAAAGCTGGTATGCACAGCTCTCGGTTCTTGTTAAATTTAGCAAAATTAAGCACCTGGAAGAACAGCATTATATGTCTGTCTGCTGTGGCAGAATTTTACATAATTAATTACCTAATCATTATGTTATTCCACGCTATTCATTTCAGCACAAAGGAATCACAATGCAATTGGAAAAGAAGTGATCAATGACATATTATTTGCGGACAAAAAACAACAGCAGCAAATACTGATCATATGTGCAGGATTGATTTCTTTCTCAGACACGAATAAGCAAACATCAACAATTTTCACTCCCATTTCCATCAGAATTCTCTGACATCCCTAGTTACATCCACACTGTAGTGACATTCTCTGTTGCTGCTGCCCACAAATTCCCCCACTAAGGATCAGGGTGCCAAAAATGCAGCCATGAGTTGGCGTCATCAAAATCCAGTAATTATTTTGAAAACAAATCACTTCAAGAACCTTGCATTTGTAATACAAAATGCATACAACAAATTAATTTGTTTTAAATTAATGATTCAGTGATGTCTACAAATTTATTTATTAAAAATATGATTCAGGATGGAAAAATATAGTGTGAATCCAGAATAAAAATGTACTTATCCTGGTTTCTTAAGACTGGTCATTGACCATAATAATAAAGATTTGATTTGATTTGGTTAAAACAGCATAAAATAAAAATGCAATAATGCCTAAAGCTATTCATTGTTAAAGATCTCAGTGCTCCTTATCTTGAGACATACTGTAGATCTGTTTAATAGCTACTGAACTTACATGGCTTTCCTCAGATCACTCTGGGACGTAAAATTTCCAGTGCATAGTTATGCACGTTTACTCAGAAATCTGTTCCTTGCCCCTTCTTCCACTGAACTTCAGGAAACAGGGCTTGACTGTAGTATGTAGGCTTCTAAATGCATTTACTTGGGGAAAAGTCGCTTTTGATTTTATTGGAGCATCTTGAGTATTAATGAGTTTCTGATTGCTATCAAATGTATTTTATTCTGTGATCTTAAACATGACACATACTATCATGATTTATGATGTTACACTGACAGATAGACACTATATCCTAGCCTAAGCGTTTATTTTGCATTGCTTCTCACTACAGAAAAAGTGCAGCAGCCCCAGTTTGTTTGAATGGTTTAACAACGTGAGTCACTTTATTATTACTTGCTTCTAGGCTGTGGAGACTTTAAAGATGTTCGAAAAAAAAGATAGCAGAGTTAAAAGTGCAGCTGCAACGAACCTTTCGTTTCTTTACTTCTTGGTGAGTGAATGCGTGGTGGGTGTATTTCAGTTAATTTACTTAATCCAAGTCTGAGAGCATGTGGCCCCTTTGGATTTAATATATTTTGTCTTAAATTCAATTAGTAGTGGTTTCGAAGATAATTGTTGAACACATTTATTTGAATTAGAATGTTAAAACTGCCAACTCAGCTTCATTTTAATTGTTTCTTATGGTTGCATCCAACAAAGTCGCCCTACTTCTGCTTGTGCAATGGGACTTTCTTTCCTCCATTCCCTCACTCAAAAAACCCCCTTCTGCTCTGGAAGTTTGGGAAAAACCCCAGAGAGGAGAGGAAGGAAGTTCCATTGTGAAGGTAGAAGCCCTTGTGTTGACAGAATACATTCATTGGATACAACTCTTAATATTCTAACACTTGGATATATTATTCTAATACCAACACTGCACATTTTGAGAAGCTCAGACTGCATTAACTGAATAAAAACTCATCAAGAACTTCAGTAGAATCTTGATTTCACTTAATGTAGCCCACAAATGTCCATGACGAACCTGTCGCAGTGCCATAGACCTCTCTGTAAAAACAAAAAAGAATAATGAGTTCATTGTGATCTTTAAAGTGCACTGTGGTGTTATGACAGTTGTCATGACAGAACAGACCTCTTCAGATGCCAGAAGTAGACTGAAAATGGAAAAGGCAGAGAATATTATTTTAATATTGCCTGCCTGCCTAAGATGTGATCAGTGCATTGTTGAAGCTCATCAGACTAATTGTGTATGATAAGAGCAGTAGAGGACAAGGGAAGACACGAGCCAGCGCCTGCTTTTTCCCTCTCTCACATCCAGTGGTGCAGGAAGAGGGGCAGGGGGGCGGTTCCATCCCTGAAGGGGGAGACATCGCCGCGGGCGCCGCCATTGGGATGCTCTTGCATGGGCAACCGCTGCCCCCATTGTGGCACTTGTGCACGAGCAGCACCCCCATTGGGATGCTCGTGCAGGTGACATGCCACGCCCCCCCGCTCCAGGTGCCAAAGCCCCTAGCTCCGCCACTTCCCACAACCCACCCGAAGAAATGATAATGCAGATAACACACACCTCTTGGGTGGCTTGTGTAGTTTAGGACATTGCCCATGGAGTCATGGATGCTGGATTGGAGCATATACCCTGAACAATAGCTCTTTGTCTGGACTTCCTAGATTTGGTTATGGACATCAAGAGCCTTGAGACATAAAGGAAGAGAAAAACTATTAAAGTCCCTTTCCCAAAATTTGCTATAGGATAGAAGGTTATTTGGAATGCTGATGTTAAGCTTGTTTCCCAGGTTTAATAGTAAATGGAATTTAATGATACATTTTTAATGAAATTTCAGAAACAGAATCTCTCCCATCTCTAATTTGATCAATGTACTGCTTGTGCCAGCAAAGTATTGAGGATGCAAAATGGCAACTGCTTAATTTGTATTGTGTTTAATTCAGGAAAATGAATTTACACAGGCAAGCCACTATGCAGATTTAGCAGTAAATTCTGATAGATACAACCCATCTGCTCTCACAAATAAAGGAAATACGATCTTTGCAAATGGAGACTATGAGAAGGCAGCAGAGTTCTATAAGGAATCTCTAAGAAATGATTCTTCGTGCACTGAAGCGCTTTACAACATTGGTAAGTCTAATATACTTTATGATAAATTTTGTGCTTGACATTCTGGTTATTATATGTATCCTTTTTAGAAGGGATTGAGGGACTACTTTTGAGCTTTATTATATCCTTCTGATTAAAGCTGTATTAACTAACGAAATAGTAGTGTGTGATATAATTGTAATTGTCTGACTTTAGAATCTGCTGTCCACACCGATGCTGAGACAGAGTTTCTGTCTGAGCAAGTTTTCTTATCTCTTTCAACACTGACATATTGTTGTGCTTTTAACTGGGGTGAGGGGACACGAGAGGTACCCCTTCTTTTTTAATGTTTATGTATTGTTGTTTAACTAATGTGCCTTTACACCAGCTTCTTGTACATAGGATTGCTCCCTTATTTCATTTTCCATAATAAACATGTTCTTAAATTTCTGCTTCTTCGTCTTATGAATCAATGAGATTTGAATCTTCCCGTTTAGATGACCTTTGTTTTTAGGTTTAACATATAAAAAGCTGAACAGGTTAGATGAGTCATTGGATTCTTTTCTGAAGCTTCACGCTATCCTTCGAAACAGTGCCCAGGTTCTCTTCCAAATAGCAAGCATGTATCTTTTCAACAATTATAGAATCAATCATATTACACACTAAATCCTCTGTGTGTCTTTATAATGTAATAAAGATCTTTTTGAAGGAAGGGCGGGATACAGAATTTATAAATAAATAATAGTAAAGTGTATGATTACCTGAAGATTGCAGTTAAATTCCCATGCGTCAGACTCACAGCGAGAAGTTCCTTAACTGGTGGTACTTCAGATATGAATTAATGGAGGATCCTAATCAGGCCATTGAGTGGCTTATGCAACTCATCAGTGTTGTTCCAACGGACTCACATGCATTAGCAAAGCTTGGAGAACTCTATGACAGTGAAGGAGATAAGTCTCAGGCTTTTCAATATTACTACGAGGTATGTGCTTTTGCCTTCTGCAATAGGCATACAATGCAAAGGAACGCATGCTAGCTTAAACTGATGCTTTGAAAAGGAAATTGTATATAGTAGACATTTTTATATAAAGTAGTAGCTATGTAAGTGTTGAATCTAGTTTGATGGTCACATTCAAGTATACATACGGCATAGGTCCCAATATGACTAATCCAACCCTCTGGGTTGGAGTCAGAGAACAATAAATAGCAGAGCTCTTACAACTTCCCTCTCCCAATTTGCTACAGTCCCCTCTGTAAATGTGTAGGGTGGGGTACAGGGGGCTTCAGTGGTATGGGAAAATCAGAGAACTTTGTCGGGGATGTAATTCAGAAGGAGAAATATCTTTCTGTTTGCACAATACAGTCAAACTTCAGTTGTCGAACATAATTTGTTCCAGAAGACTGTTTGACTTCCGAAACATTTAAGAACCGAGGCGCGGCTTTCGATTGTTTGCAAGAGCTTCTTGCACTCAAGCGGAAGCTGCGTTGGACGTTCGGGTTCTGAAAAACTGGAGGATTTACTTCTGGGTTTTTGGCATCCGGGAGCCAAAATGAGCTGTTGAAGAACTGAGGTTTGACTGTATTTTTTTTGATACATATATATGAATGAAAGAGAATTAGATACAGTTTCCTATGAGCTGCAATATTCAAATAATGGCTCTCTTTTTAATTCCTTGCTTTTAGCTGTAGCATCAACTAAAACTTTCCTACTGCAGCTGTAGCATCAACTAAAACTTTCCTACTGTGTGGTTCTTTTAACCGCACAGTGGCCCTTTGAATCACCATTCTCATTCTGTTCTTCCTCCTGGCAGCGGCCTATAGCTATGTTGTTGTTTTTTGCTTGCACAAGGAGCAGCACGTTCTGTATTATTATTTTTTTAAAAAATCATAACAAGAATGGATTTGATCTGATATTTTAGCTTTTAGGGCAGCAGTCCTAAACACACTAGGGGAGTAACTCCATAGAGCATACTGGGATGTTTTTACCATGTGGAAGTGCATAGGATTGCACTGTAGATGTAGCTTATTGTTGTTGTTTTTTAAGTCAAGACAACTAAAAATATTTTTCAATTGCCAATTTTACCTTTCAAAATATAAAATACACTCCTCCAACAGATTGGCAGGAAACCTGTCCTGAATACAGCTTTTTTCAAAATTGTAATGTAAATGAAAAAATAAATTATATAAGAAAATGAAGGTACTTTGTGGAGTGTATCTTTAGTTTCACAAAATAAAAATGTTTGAAAATAGGACATGCAGAAACCTACCTCAGCAAAGTTTTCTAAAATGTCTTTTTGCTATTTCCAAAACCTGCCACATTTTCTTTAGGGATTAGTTAGTGTATTAGCACACTGCTCTCATTCATAAATTACATGTTTTCAGCATCTGGAGGATTAAACACATAAATGAGTAAGATATTCCGAAAGCAGAATAAATATGTTGTTTATCACTAATGTTGTATTTCTTCCACCTTCTTTATTTTGTCAGTCCTATCGGTATTTCCCTTCAAACATTGAGGTCATTGAATGGCTTGGAGCCTATTACATTGACACACAATTTTGTGAAAAAGCCATTCACTACTTTGAAAGAGCAGCACTTATTCAGTAAGCAACCATTCATGATGTTGTTATTTTTGTTGTTGTTGAGTGTTTAGACCAGTATCATTTGTAAGAGGACTTTCTGCAGTACACTTATATTGGACATGGGGGAAGCACTTTGATATATATTTATGTATTATGCTACATGTAAATTATGGAGTAATTTGTTTGGAGTTTTAAAGGAAGGAATTCTAAGACTTCAGCTTAAGCCGAAACGCAGCACTGAGCAAATGCATCTACATAGGTGATCTTCATGTGATCAGAAGGTTTGATTACTCTGGATGACTTTTTTTCCTAGGACTGCATTCATAAGAAACAGGAGGCAACATCCTTTAACAATCCTAGCCTACCCAAATATGTTTGCTATATGAGAAAGTTTAGATTTATTTCCAGTGTTTGCTGCAAGCCACATAAGAACAGCAACAGGAATCACAGAGAGCAAGGGAGATGCTTCAACCATCATGTCCCCTCCCCAGCATCTCTCATACCCACCCTCCCAAAGACAAATTAATTGCTTTGATAATTTTAAATCAAGAAATGTTTAGTGAGGACAATATACTAGATATAAAAAAGCTATTGGACCTGGGATTTGCTGCAGCTCATACATAAACCAATATTGAGCTACCTTGATCAACGTTCTAACTTAGCCTGCAGCAGCCTCCTTATTTTATTTTTTATAATTCCCATAAATGCGTTTAATTCTCACCAGCTGAAATAGTTGAACTTCAGTGTGCTTAACATTGGCTGGGACAATATCTTATATGTGAAAAGAAAAAATGTTGGGCTCCATCTACTAAGCATACTGTACAATCTTCAACAACGTCCTTGCCAGATTAAAAACTGGCACGGTAACTTAATCCCAATGAATACCATATTTCACCCTCATGCTGGAATCCAAGCAAGGATTCATTTGGGTAAAAATTCACTTGGTGAATAATTTCCTTTATACCCTTGATGTTTAGAGCAAAGATGCATTTATTTAATTAATATCTTGCCACTCTTCGCAAGGGAGCTCAAGGCAGCAAACTAAATAACTAAATAGCAAAACAATACCCAAAAAAAACCATGTAGAAAAATAATTATATCTTAAAAACATTGTAACATTTTATGAGTAACACTTTGGGATATTTACCTGCAGACCAACTCAGGTGAAGTGGCAATTGATGGTTGCAAGCTGCTTCAGAAGAAGTGGTAAGTCTCCTTTCGTATCTCATGCTGACTTTGATCATCACTTTGATCTCACTGTTTCACAGTGTTTAACCATTGCAGGCAATCGGGAGGGTCTTTTTTTCATCCTGATCTTACGCACATTTACTCAGAGATAAGTTCAATGGGACTTACTCCCTGATAATTATGTATACGATTGCAGCCTTAATAACTAACTGGTTTCATTACGTGTTTTTATTTTGCATTTGAATGCTTAAAGAGCGTGCTATAATGTTTGGACTATTTGTAAAGTAGATTATTAAACATCAGGGGTTGTATTCAGCAAAGTTGACCCGTTAATGCAAGGACTTCAGCCCGTGCAAAGGGATTTCCTCTCCCTGTGCACCGCCAATACATTTTTGTGAGGGGGTTCTCCAACCCTCCAGAGCAGATAGGGGGCGCAAACAGGAAGAGGAAGCAGGAGAGGATGTCCTGTTGCACAGCTGCAAGTCCTTGTGCAAATGGGACGACTTGGTTGTATATAACCTGTGATCTCATTTTCCACATGTTTTTCAGGACAGTGGGTTTGGTCTTTCCTCAATAGCTGTGGTACTGTCAAGGACCCTGTTGCCTGAATAATACTAACCCTGTAATGGGGAGGGACAGCATTCTTGTATTATTTGTTTACAAATGGGTAACAATAAAAATGATATGTTTGACTATCTAACATCTTGAATTCTGATGTGACCAAAATGCAGTTGAGATGTAGGAAATCTTTGATCTCTTGGCATATTTTTCTTTAGTTAAAATCAGCCATGATAGGGGTAGGATATGGATTAGAGTTGCAATGCTGTGGTGTTTAACCCTTTCCCTCCCCATACCGTTTCCTGAAATAAATTGTCCTTCCAGAGCTACTCTTAACTGCAGAGGATGAGGAAGACGGGTACCCACATTTTCCCATTCTGCAGCTAATAACAGCTTTGGCAGAGCAGACAGTTTTAAGCAGTGACAGACTTTGGCCTTTAAAATTTTAGCAGTGCCAAAATCCCCATCTCTCATCTTCCATTGTTTGTCATTGTTGTGGCACCCCTGCAGAGCCCTCTCGGCTCAGAGCCCAGCGCGGGCAAACTGGTTGTGCTCCCCTAAATCTGCTTTTTTTAAGTTGGGGAACACTGTGATGGGAAAGAATTAGACTCTCCCTCAGCCCTGCAAGCCAGTCCACCCCTTGCCCAAGCTAAGGGATGCTGGAGAACCTCTGTTTCTCATGCAGAGCTGTAGCTGGGGGCAGGCGAGTCTAGCCAGGGTTTCTGCCCTGGGTGAAGCCTCCAGAGGGACGCCATTGAGGCTCCCAGCCTCCTAGCATGTCTGGGCTGCAGACGGAGAGAAACATGAAAAAGTGAACAGCAGCCACAAGCTCCATCCTGAAGAAGGCTTATTTACAATGTGATGCAGGGAGAAGGAGAGTTGGAAAATCTGGAGAAGCTGCGTGGCTCTCCCCAATAAAGAAGATAGGATGGCCTGTGGGTTTGCTACTGTGTGAGAAATAAATTTTGGAGGGGGGGGCGGGAAGCTGAGGAAGAGAATCAGTTGGACTAGATGATCCTTGAGGTCCCTTCCAGCTGTACGATTCCGTGATCCCTTCAGAACTTTGAATGTGTTTAAATAGCTTTGGTTGAGTCATTTTACAGTCTATACATGATCTACACACAGGAAAGTAAGGGGTGTGTGAGCATTTTTCCTGCCAGAGACAGTTCCCTGGCAAGCTCTGGTCAGCCCAGCTGCATTAGGAATGTAATGGAAGGGCACTTTCTACTTTAGACTCGCAAAAAGCATTTCTTCACCTTACACAGAACCTAAAATGACTACAAAATGTCTTTGACCCGGGTGACAGAAAACCTAGTTTTGGCCCTGTCTCATGGTAGTGTCTCTGTGTGTTTTATATTACTAACAGGTAACTACCAAAAAGCTCTTGATACCTACAAGGCGATTCACAGAAAGTTTCCTGAAAACGCGGAATGTAAGTGGTTTTATATGATGCACCTTTTATCCTAAGCACACTTTTTATATTGGATAGTCTTAAGGCAAGGGGAGCCAATAGCATGGCCTCCAGATGCTGTGGATTTCAACTCCCGTCATCCCTGACCTACTGACTAGGGAGCTGAAGACTGTACACAGCATACATTTAAAGCACTGCCCCTTCTCCAAAAGAAGGATCTTGGAAATGGTAGTTTACTCCTAACAAAGCTACAATTCCCAGCAACCTTAACAAGCTACAGTACCCAGGAATCTTTGGATGGGGGGAGGGATATGTTTGAAACGCATGGTGTATATGCAGTCTTTGTCTACATACAACAACTGGAGGGCCCATGTTGGCTACCCATGTGCAAAGTATCAATACTTGCCTTAACACAGTGATAATCATTATCCATTTGTGGCAGGTCAATGCCATCTATGTTGCTTCTCAAAATAAACCTACAGCCACCAGCCATGCCCTCATATGGCTCTGTGGTTAGCGCAAAGCTCCTGCACGAGCAGGCTTCCCAGTGCTCTTCAAACAGAGGGAGCCTCTCCATCTGAGAATTTCCTGCTTTGGGGTAAATAGGAAAGATGTGGAGAAAGGATCTTTTCTGGATCTCTCATGTTGAAATCTGGAAGTCCCATTTGCATAAAAATCATTGGATATAGGGCTTCTCTGTAGTGCATTGCATGCATAGTGCAGATGGCATTGGTGGGATACACACATGGGACTTCAACAAATAGCTTGTGCAGATCAACAGGTGCTGATATTCCTAACATGTATGAACAGTAAGTAAATTCAATTTATGAACAACTAACTTTCAGTATGCTCATTAAAGATGTTCAGTATTCTGCGTATAAAGAGCCATTGGCACTGGCCCCCTTAGATATATTCAGTGCTCCTTCCTCAGTGTTCAGCATTGTAAGTAGCATTCTAGCCATTGCTTGCTCCCATCATCCCATCAACTCATCTAATCAGTGAGTTCAAAATTCCGTGCAGATTTTTCATGCATCTGATGAAATGGACTCTGGCCACAAAAGCTTATGCTAGAATAAATATGTTCAATTCTAAGGTGTCACAAGGCTTGTTGTCGCTTTTGCTACCACAAACTAACATGGTTAGCCCATTAATTTTTTAAAAAACTGATCTAATAAATTACTTTTCAACACATTAGACTGTCTTGTTGTTTTCTTTGGGTTACAACTGCCACCATGGGCTTCTGCCCACCTCCATAGCTAACTACGGGCCTGTAACTTATTATCGTATTACCATTCTGCATATAGGAAGGTATTTTTACAAAATACCAGCTTGTTTTTATTTAAATGTATTTCTTTTCACAGCTTCATTACTAGACACTGGAGCAGAAAAATAGCTCTTTTTTACTACACCTCTGTCATGTTTGCTAAATCATATTGCCACTCAATAAATACAGTCGTCACAATTCAACACAGTAAAACTACTTAATCCGTTGAAATCACTGGGCTTAATTGCAGTTGGATTGCGGTCATTGTTGCTAGGCTGTGTGCTCTGCTTATTTTTTCAGCTGCTTTTAAGTCCAATAATGGCAACTAATGGTATGACTTTTATACCACTAGGTTTACGCTTTTTGGTCCGACTCTGCACAGACATGGGCTTGAAAGAAATCCAAGAGTATGCAACAAAGCTTAAGAGAGTGGAAAAACTGAAAGAAATAAGGGAACAGGTATGTTGGGTCACTTAAACAACTAAATCTCACTGTTTCTCAAAAATCTGTAAAGAATGTTCTCTTAAATTTCAATTTGTATAAGGAGCTGAGGTGCGGCTGATTCTTCCTTTATTGCAAATGTTGCTCACAAGACCTGCGGAAATCTTGGTATCTTGCTTTCTAAAGCTACTTTTTATGCTTCTGAACAAGCAGCTGTTTTCTGTCCTCAATGCAAATTAAGAAGCGGATGGTAAAATATAAACTTTTAGAGGTTTGTGATTTAATTAGTCTGTCTAGAACCGTCAAACCAAAATTTCACTTCAAATACAATTCTTAATATAATATTTGGAACAAAGTTATTGTCTACATCTTACTGAGCTTGCTGGACTATCTGAGGCTGTGATCAGTGATTTATCTATGCTCAGTAGAAACATACTTTGGAATTAAAAATAAGCCCACCAGCATCTATGTTGTGACACAAACTGATCTGCATCTGTCATAAGTCACCCATTGTCCACTCCCATAACAGTTGCATACAAAAAGGACCAGCCAATATACAGTGTGCCAGGAATAGCAATACTTAATATGAGAGCTGGGGTGGTGCAGTGGTTAGAGTGTCAAACCAGGACTTGGGAAGCCAGGGTTCAAATCCCCACTTGCCATTAAACTCACTTGGGCGAGTCCCTGTCTCTCAACCATTGGAAACTCAGATCAATTCACATGCAAAACTAGTTAAACTGACTTTTTGTTTGTTTATTTCGTTTTTCTGAGTGGCTGATAAATCTTCAGGGAAAATTCATTGCTGCAGGTTTTCATAATGGAATGCCCTCCCCCAGAGTACCTCACCTGACAAAAAGTTTGATGCCTTTCCTTTTTATTCGCCTAGGCCTTCCAGAATATTTTGTAGCTATTTTTTTCTGTGTGTTTTATTTTACGAGCTGTTGTGTTTCTGCAGATTTCACGTTTTGTTTTGTGTCTGTATTTTCAGTCTTAAGTTCTACTTGTTGAAGGGGAGGGAGGTACAGCCCTGAAAATAATAAGCCACGCACAGGTTATTGATAAACAGCGAAAGGATCTTGCCCACTAGGTGTAGGCTTTGGCTGTAAAGTCTTTTGGCAGTACCTCACACTGCCCTGCTGCTCAGTACCTAGTAACTACAGTACTTGGGAGGATTAAGGAAGAGCTTCCACTACATCTCTTGGATACTGCTAATGCCATTCTACGATAGCATGGATCATACATTCAGAACTGTGGCTTTAGTATGATAGTTTCAGTTGAAAACATTAACTTAATAGTCTGTGCACCTGCACAAATTCTGTAGACTTGTTCATGTATTTAGTCAAAGGTATTTCCATCTGTCTACAAGTTCATGACCTAAGAGACCTTACAGCCAAAGAAAATTTTCCTGCCTGTTTTTATGCTTCCTACATCAAGCTGACCTAGCAGTTTCTTTACAAGAAGTTGCTGAGGAACAGCTTTTTAAACACCACATATTCTGTGATTTTAGATGAATGCATACCCACACATCTTTTTTTAAAAAAATAGAGGTTTGCAAAATATGCACTGGCGCTGGGGTGAGATTTGTTTTTCAAGCTAGCAATTAAAGGTTAACCTTGGATCCATGCACCTGTTGATTGCAAATTCAAATGTTGATTTTTGCACAATTGACAAAATCCATATTGTGAAAAGTGGGATTTATAATTAAAATCCCAATCAGTCGTGACATTCAAAAGTGCTTCTTGAGCAAAATTAGCGATTATAAAATTTATGCAGCTGGAAAAAAATCTTACCGCCTTCCTCATTCCAAGAAAGTGCACTTTCCCAATAAATATTTAACGGTTTTCATTTTAGAATATACACTTTCCAACAAATAAATTAATGTTTTTAAATTCAGTGCCAAGTATATTAGAAACATAAAACCTGGAGGGTGGCAATTTTTTTAATGTGTTCCCTACAAGTTTGCAATAATAAAATAATTTTGGATTTACAAGATTTTAATATGCAGACGTTTTCTTGAAGTGCTGTTGAAGAATATCTTCACTATTTTTTCAGCTGAACCTTCCAACTGTAATATAAGGCATTTTTCATCATCTGTTTTATATGAACCTGATCTAAAATAGCATAGATTTTATTGAAATCCCTTTGCTGAACCTTCCAAGTCTATGCGAGCATTGTTAGGTTCAAGATTTTTATTACGTGCAACTTTTAACATCGTGTTTTAATTATGCCGTTCAGTGACAACATGCCAAGTCCACTTCACTGCAATTTTTATTATATCTAGAAGTAAATGTACTTGGCAACTAGAAGTGCAATCTTACTGATTTCTTGGATTTGCTTAGGAATAAAATTGATTCACATATGTATGTTCATCACTTGGTGGCTGCTGTGTTCAGTGATGACTGTGTTCAGTGAATAGATCCTGCATAAATAGTAGAGTGTTAGGACCTGAAACATCAACTCTGTCATTGATGATTTAGCTGAGTTTCCTACATTGCAGGGGGTTGCACTAGAAAGATGACCCTTGGGGTCTCTTCCAGCTTCTATGATTCTGCTTTTCTGCTTCAACAATATTTCATTATGGTCCTATCATTTTATGTAATTGTATTTTGTATAAATTATAAAAATTATATATAAAACATGTTCTATTTGCAAACAAAACATTTAAATAGCTACCTTTCTACCGGTAGGATGGGGGGAGGCATAGGCATAGCCAGGACTTTTGTTAGAACCTCAGATTTGTGTTGGTTTTTACTTATTTGGGGGGCAGCTGCCACCCAGGCTACGTCGAAGGGGGGGGGGCACAGGAAGGAAATGAGGTTGGCAGAGGGACATGGTTGGGGAAAGGTTGGGAAACACTGCTGTAGAGGACATCAGGCATGGAAAAGTTCAAGTAATCGCTGATGTAATTGGAGCACACTCTTAAGTACACTTCTGATTGTTCCTTTGCAGTCCCATTTTGAACTTTCAATGACCATATGAAGTCACGTCCTCCACAGGTGGGCAGCCCTATCTGCCTGTCCAAGTGGCCCTCAGTCCTGTCAAAGCGGCCCTTGTCCAGGATATGCCTGCCTTGCCTGAGGTCAATGCTTGCTTCATTTCCCCCTGAACCATTCCAACAATCTCACTGATGCTGTTTTAGTTTGTCATCTTAATTTTCATGCTTTATTTTCTTTTTTTAAAAAAGATTTTACTATTTCTTACTACTCTGGCAGCCATCCTTGGAACATAATTTATGTCAGTGGGGTTTGATATAAGTGACATAAACAAGTAATAGGTACAGTGGTACCTCGGGTTACATACGCTTCAGGTTACATACGCTTCAGGTTACAGACTCCGCTAACCCAGAAATAGTACCTCGGGTTAAGAACTTTGCTTCAGGATGAGAACAGAAATTGTGCGGCATCAGTGGGAGGCCCCATTAGCTAAAGTGGTGCTTCAGGTTAAGAACAGTTTCAGGTTAAGAACGGACCTCCGGAACGAATTGAGTACTTAACCCGAGGTACCACTGTAATCAGAAATCTAATAGCTGCCAGTCAATAAGTATTCAGCAGTCAAGAATGGAGAAATCTAGTGACATAGGCACAAGGAGACAAAAGATGGATGACAAAGAGACAACATTAATTTGAATATAGGAAGCTGCCTTATATTGAGTCAGACCATTGGTCCATCCAGCTCAGTACTGTCTACACTGACTGGCAGTGACTCTCCAGGGTTTCAGGCAGGAGTCTCTCCCAGTCCTACCTGGAGATGCTGGGGACTTGGAACCTTCTGCGTGCAAAGCAGATCCACACCACTGAGCTGTGGCCCTCCCCAGTGCCACCTTGGGATGGAATAGCCTTGCAGGCCAAATGAGCACAGTAGCCCTTCTTGAGATATGCTTAGGGTTTCAGCTTTAGGGTAAGCTTTCCACCGGGAAATTCTTTTCCACATGCTTCACAGAAACAATGGGGATACCGCAAGACAATGATGGTGCTCTTGTATGATTCTCATTCATTTCACCAAAGTGTTGGACTGGAAAGCTTTCCAGCATGTGGAGCCCATCAGACCCTGAGTAGGAAGCCAGGGAAGTACAGTTGACTGAGTGTTTGGTTTGTTTATTTGCATATTTAGCTGTCTTGGTCCAAGATGGTCTGAGAAGTTTAGAATTCGTTCCAGTACACAGAGTAAAAACTGGCATTAGCATTACACACGAATCTTCTTCAGTGATCATTTGTAGCCGAGTAAGATTGTTTTCCATAAACATGGTTTTAACAGTGAGTCTGTAAGTGACTGTGGAAGCCAATTCTGGATCCACACGTCCTTCCACAGCAGGCACATAGGTTTCCAGGCAGGAGTTGATCGCAGTGAGGGTTTGCCAAATGTGCCTTCCTCTTAGTACGTTTCTCCCTTTCGTCCTGAGTTCGAGCATCTTCAAAGCCCATGACACCTTTGGTAAAGGCTGTTCTCCAACTGGAGCATTCACAGGCCAGTGTTTCCCAGTTGTCAGTGTTTCTACTACATTTTTAGACACAAATATAGTGTGTTGAACCTGCAACAAATCCCCACTCAGTCATGATGCTCACCAAATGGCCTCGCTATCCAGTGGAAGTGTGAGGTATACCTTGTACGTTAAAAGTAACAGAAACGATTGGTGATAATATTAAAGAGCACTTCTGTCTCTTTCTTTCTCTCCTCCCTAGCGTGTCAAGTCTGGCAGAGATGGCAGTGCCCGGGCACGCAGAGAAGGCAGCGGTGGTGGTGGTAAGTGCTGCTCATATGCTGCCATATCTAAGGTTTCTGAAAGCAAAGAAAATGTGATTCCATTTATTAGTCCTGCTGTCTGCATTCTCTCTGTGGAGAGGGAGATGTGGATCAAAGGAGCATTGGATAATTGCAGGGGATGGGGTAGAACATGTGAAAGGAGGTGATACCTAAATAACACTACTAAGAATCCTGATGTACTTTAATTTGTTAAGATAGAGCCAGTGTACTGGAACTAAGACTGAGAGTCAGGAAAACTGTGGTCCAACTCAAGACATGACCAGTACCAAGACCTACTCACAGTGGTGGCTGTAAGGATTTCTGAGTTCACACTTAACAATTGGTATTTGCTTGTGGTTTCATATCCTGGTTTGTAAGCAAGGATTAAACCAATAAATCGGAAGCTGATTTAGCAGCCCAAGATTGTTACATCTGAACCATATGTGGAATGCTTTAAATACTGTTTTTATTTTGTTTTATATCGAGCAGAAACACATAATCTTTGGTCTCCCATACGTGCCTTTATGGTGTGATATTTTGTCTAATATTCTCTCCCTTCTGTCAGATCCTGGTAGCATCACGCATAAAGGGGAGCGTCTGAGTGCTAAACTGAAAGCTTTGCCAGGAACATATGAGCCCTATGAAAGCAGTGGTAATAAAGAAATAGGTAACTGATGTTTCTAATAGCTTCCTTTGAAACAAAATACTGACTGTCAGAAGGTACCCTTTTTCTCATGGAATTATTAAAAGTTAGAGACTGTGTTGCTTTTCTTTGTAAAAAATGTGTGTTTCTACTTCTTTTTTTAAATTTAGATGCTTCCTATATTGACCCACTTGGACCACAGGCTGAGAGACCAAAAACTGCACTGAGGAAAAAAATGGATGAAGATGAATTTGCTGATGAAGAACTGGGAGATGATTTGCTTCCAGAATAACCTGTAGCCCAGTATAGTAACCTTAAAAGCTTTGAAAGGGGAAAAAAATGTTTCTTACAGGTTTTGATAAGGTTGTGAAGTTTTTTATGTTTATTTAAGCAATGTGTATATGAACTGTGAATTTTGAGTAAACTGTTTTTATAGCGCACGATCTGAATGTTCCTTTGTTACTCATGCAGATTATCCCATGAGGGAGGAAATCTTTTCTGAATATTTGGGAAGATTAGGTAAAGATCTGGCAGGACAACATATAGTGAGCATTATGGAAATAAGAACAGAAGGAGACTTCTAGATTAGAACAAAGGACTATCTAGCCAAGCCAGCCAGCTACCTTTGGGAAGCCTACATGCAAGGTCTGAATGTAGTAATCTTCTCCTACTCCTGTTCCCCAGCATGCTCTCTCTGACCCTGAAAATAGAGGCATCTAACTCAGGGGTAGGCAACCTAAGGCCCGGGGGCCGAATGCGGCCCAATCGCCTTCTCATTCCAGCCTGCGGATGGTCCAGGAATCAACGTGTTTTTACATGAGTAGAATGTGTCCTTTTATTTAAAATGTATCTCTGGGTTATTTGTGGGGCATAGAAATTCTTTCATCCCCCCCCCCCCAAAAATAGTCCGGCCTACCACATGGTCTGAGGGACGGCGGACTGGCCCACGGCTGAAAAAGGTTGCTGACCCCTGATCTAACTAGTATCCACATGGAATATCCTAAAACCCCTAATTTGATTCATTTTATGGGAGCAAATTCCATAGTTTAACTATACACTCTGTGAAGAAGTACTTCCTTTATCTGCTCTAAAGTATCCAACACACTCAGCTTTATTGGCGAGCCCAGGCTCTAGTATTATAGAGAGGGAGCAAAATTTTTATCCACTTTGTCTACATGATGTGCAATTGTATACACCCAAGTCATTTTTATTTTGGTTTTTTTTTATATAAGATATTTATTAGGATTTTCAAAATTTTACAAAATAGAAAAAGAAAAAAGAAAAATACAAAATAAAAATAGTTAAAAACAATTCAGTCTTTCAATCACTTATCTTTCATTTGCTTGTTTCCCGGACCTCCTCATACCTCCCTTTTTTGTATTCCAGTTCAGTTTGTTGGTTCAGCAAATCCTTACCCTCTTTATTTATCCTAATCTTTGGTCTTAAAATAGTAACATTAGATTTTTACCTCTTAACAACCCATTTTTCATATTCCCTTAAAGCATTACAGCTGGAAACCACTTAATTTCTATCCAACATTGTTCTAACATTCATTAATTTTACAATATTTCTGTAGATAGTCTTTGAACTTCTTCCAGTCTTCTTCCACCGACTCTTCTCCCTGGTCTCGGATTCTGCCAGTCATTTCTGCCAGTTCCATATAGTCCATCAGCTTCATCTGCCATTCTTCCAGAGTGGGTAGATCTTGTGTCTTCCAATACTTTGCAATGAGTATTCTTGCTGCTGTTGTGGCATACATGAAAAAAGTTCTATCCTTCTTTGGCACCAATTGACCGACTATGCCCAGGAGAAAGGCCTCTGGTTTTTTCAAAAAGGTATATTTAAATACTTTTTTCAGTTCATTGTATATCATTTCCCAGAAAGCCTTAAATTTTTATCCACTTTGTCTACATGATGTGCAATTGTATACACCCAAGTCATTTTTATTTTGAAGGAAAACTTTTTGCTTTTAATATCGTCCTTGCGTAGGGGAATTTTGTAGTGACTGCAGGAAACCAAGTTAATTTCCGCTGTTGTCAATGCGATGGAAGCTGCCACCACTTGCCAGGCTTGCAGCTCTGAGGATCCACTACAAGGGTAGACAACGTGGTGCCCTCCAGAAAGTGTTGGACTACAACTCCCATCAGCCTCAGCCAACATGACCGACTGTCAGCGATGGTGGAAGTTGTAGTCCAGTAACTTCTGGAGGGCAGTGTGTTGACTGCCCCTCTTCCACTTCATTGTGAGAAGTTTTCAACGATTTATCATCGCCTCTGAAGATCCAATTTACCTTAAAGGTACTTAATTGCATTGTTCATGTCTGGATTTCATGGCGCAGTGTATTAGGATCTTAGACTGGAATTCTCTGTTGCAATTCCAATCTGTTCTTGAAGCAGAAGGAAAATGAATGTGCCAGATGTTTCCATGCTGGCATCACCTGCTGTTGGGACATTAGTCAATTGACTAAAGTCCAGTATTATCAAATATTCCAAGGTTCAAATCCTTACCTGGCTCTGAAAGTTGCTAGGCAATGCTGGGCCTGTCAAAGACTCTCAGCCGACACTACCTCACAGGTTTATTGGAAAGGTAAAATGGAAGGGGGGGACAATGTCTGCTACTCTTACTTCATTAGGAGAAAGGGTGGGGGGAATCATCATAAGCAATTCAGACCATTTTTCAAAACACAAATCATTTCACAATAACAGCTTTCTCCTTTGTTTTTGAGACAGCTTTTATACGTAACATTTTTGCTCCCCTAACAATACTTTATTTGACAATATTTGATGGGTCGGTTGATTGGTGAATCCTGACACACAGTAAGTTCTTACCTGTTCATTTGCAGATCTCCTGTGTTATTGGGTGAATTTATTTGTGCCATACTAGCTACAACCAAATATTTCCCTTGGACCTAGCGGGCTTCTCCTGATAGTTGCTGGACTGAATTTTCCATATACTTTTCCATATCCATCAAGTAGTCTTTGTTTCGTAGTTCTCTCCATACCTGTGAGAGTACTACAGTATTACTGCATGTCCCCAGTAATAAGGTTGTTATGCCACTCACCAGCACTGAGATAATAGGAATTAAAGAAATTGAAGTAATTATTATTGCACAAATTTCAATAAGAATAGATTTGAAAAGCATGTTGTTACTGACTCCAAAGGTAGTGTTTCAGCTCTTTGCTTTTTTCCAGTTAACTAAATCATGACTTTTGACATACCATGATGTAAAAACTCCTACACATTTTTTCCTGTGCATAGTAGAGCAGTCCTTTAGCCGTAGCAGAAAAATGTGCTAGAGTCAGATCCAGCTCAAGAAATCTCTGGGGAGTCATAAATTATGCATTTGCTTCTCCTGTAAGCTAACAAAAACCCTTTCAGCTTGCAGAGGCCCCTTGTTTTCCTTTCTGCATTTCTGTCATATTTATTTGTAAAAGGCAGAAAGTTAGAAAGATACACTATAGTGGAAATCCCCCAAATGCTTTTGTTTAAATAATCTGAGGTTTTTTGTTGCGAGGGATAGCACATATATTGTTTTGAACAAGAAAGGAGCAAAATTAGGATAAATTAAACTGCTGTTCTCCAAACTGTCTATCTTACTCAATTCATAAATTATATTTTATAGACAGGGAATGAAGCACACCCCAAAGCAACACTTATTGTTGTAACCTACCCTGGGAACTTAAGGTAAATAAATCTAATAATAGGTAACATAAACATAGTCTCTCTACGTGTTTTTTTTCAATGACAGCACTGTTGCCATTTTGAAAATGATAATGATTTTATTATTTATACCCCGCCCATCTGGCGGGGTTTCCCCAGCCACTCCGGGCGGCTTACAGCATATATAAAAACATAATCAAACATCAAACATTAAAAACTTCCCGAAACAGGGCTGCCTTCAGATGTCTTCTAAAAGTTGTATAGTTCTTTATCTCATTGGCATCCGAAGGGTGTTCTACAGGGAGGGTGCCACTACCTGAAATTTGCATATAAAACAATAATTACATTATTTAGAGACAGAAAGTTGGAATGCTTACTAATGCTTATTTATCAAAACTGGCTTTATTTCTCTTAATTAGGTGAATCAGAAGAACAATAGTTAAATGATAGAATATTCATGTTTCAAGGGCTCTAGTTCAAAATGGCAGGCACCTCCTGAGATCTTGAAAGACCATGCCTTAATATAATTGACATTATCAGACAAGATAGACCAACTTGGTAGAAATCAGCTTTATGTGTTCAATTCTGAGAAGTTATTGCAATCATGCTCTAGTAACAAAGGCTTATTGATGCATCTCAAGAGAACATCTTTGGCATGAATCTTGAGGATATTTGTAGGGCTCTGCCCATACATAATATTTGAATTACAGGAGGCGAGACCCACCTGGGCCCCATTTTCATCAGACCTGCAATTTGGCTAAAATTGGGAGGTGTTGGAGTGGGTTTCATTATGCCCCCACACCCTCATAATTCAAGTGTTGCTTAGGCTCAACAGTAAGTAATCAGTGGAATTTTGTAAAATTAAAACAGATGGCTCTAGCAAGCTGGATCTAGTAGAATCAAAACACCTAGAATTCACATTCAGGACCTTACTTTTTGTGAGCCGCCCACAGAAAAAGATGTTAGTAGCCTGTGTTTCGATGGAGGCTTTGAGAAGGCATACACTTTGTTAATGGCAGAAAGTGAGGAGGAATTAAAGAACCTTTTAATGAGGGTGAAAGAGGAGAGCGCAAAATATGGTCTGAAGCTCAACATCAAAAAAACGAAGATCATGGCCACTTGTCCCATCACCTCCTGGCAAATAGAAGGGGAGAAATGGAGGCAGTGAGAGATTTTACTTTCTTGGGCTCCATGATCACTGCAGATGGTGACAGCAGCCACGAAATTAAAAGACGCCTGCTTCTTGGGAGAAAAGCAATGACAAACCTAGACAGCATCTTAAAAAGCAGAGACATCACCTTGCCAACAAAGGTCCGTATAGTTAAAGCTATGGTTTTCCCAGTAGTGATGTATGGAAGTGAGAGCTGGGCCATAAAGAAGGCTGATCGCCAAAGAATTGATGCTTTTGAATTATGGTGTTGGAGGAGACTCCTGAGAGTCCCATGGACTGCAAGAAGATCAAACGTATCCATTCTTAAGGAAATCAGCCCTGAGTGCTCACTGGAAGGACAGATCCTGAAGCTGAGGCTCCAATACTTTGGCCACCTCATGGGAAGACTCCCTGGAAAAGACCCTGATGTTGGGAAAGATGGAGGGCACAAGAAGGGGACGACAGAGGACGAGATGGTTGGATAGTGTTCTCGAAGCCACCAGCATGAGTTTGATCAAACTGCGGGAGGCAGTGGAAGACAGAAGTGCCTGGCGTGCTCTGGTCCATGGGGTCATGAAGAGTCGGACACGACTAAACAACAACAACAACAACGCCATGAAAGCCTACGAGGATCCCTTGCTTGGGAATCGTGCGATTGACATTCTTTTTGCACAGCGTGCTGCATCATACGGTTTTCCCATTGCATTCTCTGCTGATTGGGACACAGAATGGTTTCGCGCGACAGCTGATTTGCAAGTGCATTGTTGAGGGGATCAAAGAAGAGCTACAGTGGGGAGATTAGATCATTGACTTTTGCAGGACTGTTAGGCCTCTGGCCCAGGTGAGCGGACCCCGAGGGGGCCTGCTGCGCGCGCCTGGTTGCCCCTGCTTTCCTCCTCCTCAGCAAGCGCGGCAAAACTCTTCGCCGGCCAGGAGAACCTCCCCCTGCCTCCCGCTAGCTCAAGTCACACCCCAGCGAAGGAAAAAAAAACCTTCGCGAAGCAGCCCCCCTCGGCCGGGGCTGAAAATGATTTTGGCACCGGCAGGCCGGGGCGACGCAGTGCGAAGCGGGGCACTCTTCCAACTTCTCCTCTCGCCGCCCCCCGCCCCCCCAACCGCGAGAGCCAAGGCCATCAGCAAACGCTTCACGCGCCGACGCTTCCCAGAGGCTCCTCGCGCGCCTGGCCGGGCTCCGGGTCCCGGCGCGCGCGCGTCCCCACCATGCAGACGGCCAAGGTAAGGAGTGCGCGGGGAGACGCGCGCGACGCCGCGGACCCTAGGCGCAAACTTCCCGCCTGCTTGCCGTCGCTCCAATTCCCTTGCTAAGGCAGCGGGGCTGGAAGGCTTGGCGCGGGTTTGGTTGAAAGGCGCGCGCTGAGGCGGCGGAGCTCTTCCCAAGGGTGCTTTTCCTCAGAGGTCCTTGGGAGCCGGTGGGCGTCACTGGGTTGAGGATTCCCCGGGACAGGGAGAAGAAATAATAATAATAATAATAATAATAATAAAGAATAAAGAATAAATTCGAAGCAACTTTTAAATTCGGTCCGAATGGGAAGCGTGACCTGGGCAGAGAATTACCTCTTGCCAGCTGAGATGCTCGCGAAAGGGAGCGCGGCTGGGATGCGCTGTTGCGCAGCGGGAGAATCGCTCGCACTGCCGCCCCGCAAACCAGGGCTGAGGACGCTGTTGGGGTGGCGCTGTAGAAGCTTAAAACGACCTGCATTGCAAGGCGGTGGGGTTGGACTAGATGGTCCTTGTGGGATCCTTTCCAACTCTCCAAGTTCTATGACCAAGCGTTGCGACTGCGAGGAGTGAGGCTCCCGACCTGTAATTATTTAACAGACGCAAGGATTAGGAGAGCGGGGCGAGGTGGGATGTTGTGCAGGTTTACTGGGGCGCCGTGGATTTCTATACGTGGGCATCCTCTGCCAATGGCACCTACTTAGCTGAGAGAATGGCGTCTTTCTTGCTTGGGAAGTGGATTCCTAATGTGAACTGAACAGTTTTACTCGAGGACGTACCAAAAATTAAATCCTTTTGCTGGATTAGATCCTATTTGCCCAGAAGTTCTAAATCCCACATTGATCACCCTGAGACTGTGCATCTAGGGATCCATGCCCCCCTGCGCTTTCTTCTCACCACCTGTTTGAAGGATGGGTGATCATCAGTCTCAAAACTGAATTCGGAATGCTGACTTATCTGTTTGATGAGTTTATATGCACAGATCTAAGTTCCTATCAAAAATGATTTACCAATGATTTACCAATCATAGGCTAGCTCGTTAAAGTTAATCTTTATATGTTTACCTGCTTGGCGGGGGGGTCAAGTAAATAAATAAAAATACTTAAATAAGTAGAAATTGTAGAAAGATTTTGGCAGATTTTTCTAAGCACTTGGGGTCAAAATAAAGCAATTTAAAACAACAGTTGTTGAGACATTTCATTCCAAAACTGCTAGACAGAGCCAGACAGAGGGTGATGGCAGGTTGGTGTCCTTCCTCCCTGGCTATTAAATCCTGACGATTCCTATGCTTGGATTATGTCCAATTTAACTTGATAGGGCTTACTTTTGAATAGATGTGTAGGATTTCGTTGCAAATCTCTCTTGCGAATTAAATCTAGTGTACCTGTTATCCTCCTTCAAATGTGGAAGTGTCGGGGAAGCAAACACCTAGAAAAGCATCCTTTATATGTTTTCATTTCCTGTGCATTATAGGTATGGGTGCTTGCCTGCCTTCTCTTGTGTGGACTCCCTTACCCTGGATTAGAGACTTTCAAGGTAAGCAAGCGCCCACTGCGTGCTCGAACCTGCGCTGACCGGCCTGAAGAGCTTCTGGAGCAGCTGTATGGGCGACTCACAGCAGGGATGCTCAGCGCTTTCCATCACACCTTGCAGCTGGAGCCTCTGGAAAAAGATCACAATACCAGTTGTCCAGCAGGGGGCAGATCAGCTGCGGACAAGGTATACCGACTCCCTATCAACCTCAACAGCGTCTCTCCTTGGTCCTACAGGTAATGTGAATGCAATTCATCAACCACTCCCTAGCTTAAAATGTGAAGAAGGGTTGTGTGATTGTCTTATCTCTCCACCTATGGCGCTATGGCTATGTGTCGCTGAACTTCAGTTCCCATCAGCCCCAGCCAGCATGGCCAATGGTTAGGGGTGATGGAGGTCATAGTCCCTATAACATTTGGGGGGCCACATCCCCTGCTTGAAGGGAGACGCCACACATGTGACCTGTGTTGAATAGGACCAACCTATCGAGGCTGTTTCTTCATCTCTCTTCTGGTCTCTTAGAACTACTGATTCTTGAATTTGAAGTGGGAAATTAGTCGTGAGACAGACCTTGCTTAATGCTGCACTTTTAAAAATCAGGGCAGAACTATGAGAGCTGTGCTTGCAGCTGATTCACTCCTCCCCACCCCGACTTAATAGCAGCAGGACAGGTGAGCAGAACAGGGTCTGGGTGTCTTGTTCTGCTCTCTAGTAATTAGGCTGTCACATTTTTAGCTCAACCGCAACATCTGGGAAGCTGCTATTTTAAATGTGCATACAGGTATCACAAAAGGAAGGACAGAATTCAAAGCAAATGCATCCAAAGTGGGGCAGTTTCTAATTTTAAAAACGTGCGTTGTTATTATTATAATACTCTGAATAAATAGCAGCATTTGCATTTGGTTATGTACCTTTGTGGGAAATGCAAATATTATCATTTTAATGGCCACTAATAAACATTGGCTTATGTGGTTTGTCTTCTGCCTGGTTTAGCTTTAAAAACAGCAGTTTTCTCAATATGGTATTTTAAAACTAACTTTATGTATTTAGAAACAATGTTTACAAAGAATACAAGCTGGATGCCAGTGCTCTAAACAGAAGCTCTGTATATCCTGTACTGAAATATCAAAAATAGTACTTATACTTTGCCTGAGTAGTTTAAAAATGTTAATATACTATTAACTCTTAAGGTCACATAAGGTTGACCTACAATATATAGATCTTGGGCAGGAAATAACTTGGGCAGGAAGGATCCACTGGTAGATCAGCTAAGTGATTTGCACTAGATCTACAAGGGCTTCTATTTTTCCCATTGTGTAACAATAGCAGGAAGGGAAAAGCTTTCTCACCCCTCAAATATCAGGCTGCTTAAGTGAAGAAAGCTTGGAAGAAGACAAAGAGTTGATTTTTGTGCAAAAGTACTGTGAGCTCAGCTCTGATACTGAGCACATGTTCAGTTGTGTTCTGTTCCTGAATTTACAGGGCTCTATTAGGAAGCAAAAGTCAAGTCCACAGTCCTGGTCCCAACTACGCCTAGTCTAAGCAACAGCTTTCAGCCTCCAGTTCTGATTAATCAGGGCAGTCAACAAAACCAGAAATAGGATTAAGCTGTTTTGACCCTGGTTTCTGTTTAGTAGCTCTTCTTTTTCTCCGGCTTTTTCTTTTCTCCGGCTTTTTCTTTTTCTCCAGCTAAGTAGATGCAAGTACCCAAGTACCAGAGAGGCGAGTTCAAAAGTGTTTACGTTTTCTTTCCCATAAACAAGTTGGAACCTGAGAGGCCAGTTCAAATGCCTAAACGGCCTCGGTCCAGTATACCTGAAGGAGCGTCTCCACCTCCATCGTTCTGCCCGGACACTGAGGTCCATCACCGAGGGCCTTCTGGCGGTTCCCTCGCTGCGAGAAGCCAAGTTACAGGGAACCAGGCAGAGGGCCTTCTCGGTAGTGGCACCCGCCCTGTGGAACACCCTCCCACCAGATGTCAAAGAGAAAAATAATTATCAAACTTTTAGAAGACATCTAAAGGCAGCCCTGTTTAGGGAAGCTTTTAATGCTTAATAGGTTATTATATTTTAGTGTTTTGTTGGAGGCCGCCCAGAGTGGCTGGGGAAACCCAGCCAGATGGGCGGGGTATAAATAAATTATTATTATTATTATTATTATTATTATTATTATTATTATTATTACTACTACTACTATTATTATTATTATGCTGTCCAGTGGTTTCCCCCCTAGAAAACAGGTGCTGGTACTCACTATAAAGTTGTTACAGTAAGTGCCGCACTTTTTAACAACTAAAAAAAAGAAGTGCCGATAGTGCATACACTTTAGTACCCCCTGAAAAATTAGCACTGATCTTGTCGGTCCTTGAGAGAGCTGTGCTGCCCTCCCCTGCACATGCTCTCTCCCCCATCCAGTTGCACGGATGCTGAGATGTCCTGCTCTTGAATTTACCTGCCTTTGTTTCCCTTCTGTATGGGCCCCTCCTGATTACTTTTCATCTCCTCGCTGACTTGTTCACCGGCTCCCCCTTGTGATGTCATCTCCAGATGTCATTGGCCTGACCGGTTTAGAGTCCAGATTATTATTAATGATGGTGCTGGTAAATAAATCCAGGCCTAAAGTCCTTTCCTGCAGCTCTTCCCTGGACACCTAACCCCAGTTTGATACGCTGCCATTTATCACTGCTCCTTCCAGTCCGTGTGGCTGCATTCCTAGCTCAGGCAACTGGGTTATTTCACAAAAGAGATAGAAGGCATCTGCTGAAATCCGCATGTAGGATAGTCATGCCAGACAGATCTGGCATAAGCCTTCTTGGGTCTGTAGTGCAGAGGTGGGGAACAGGATCTGGCCACTGGGCCAGATCATTCTTCCACCCACTCATGCAAGCCAACTATGACAGGTTGGTGGGGCTACTCATCTGTCAATCACCTAACATCACAGTGACATCAAGATGGCCCTTTTTTTTGCACAGGACTTTGCAGGCAATGCCGGTCGTCTGTTCAGCAGTGCCTGCGCACCACTATCAGCTGTAGTGGCATGCGCCGCCTTTCCATATGTGTAATTCAATTCATCTCAGCTCATAGTCCTTAGGACTATGTCAGCAGGTTGATTTGGCATCAGTTCAGCACCAGCATGCTTAGAAGATGCAGAGCCACCACACAGGTGCAGAGTACCGCAAATGTGTTTCATCAAAGAACACACCTAAGGGATTGTTCAGTTGAAATTGCGCCCTTGCAAGGGGAAAGCTAAGACAACGCAAGTAGAAGCTCTCCAGTGTTACTGTAGACGAACCAGGTCCACTTAGTGCCATTCGCTTGCAGAAACGGTCATGTGGAGCAATGCAGAGATGTGGAAGCATTTGGAAAGACCTGTAGGTATACATTGGAACAAATTGCATGTAAAAAATGGCATTGCCATCTTAACTCTCATGCTCTGTGCTGAAAATTCCACCTCTCAAATTGGATGGGCAACAGCATTTGGGCTCTTTATAATGCACTCAGGGATCTAACTTAATATGTTGAGCCTAAACCTTGCTGTTCAGTAGGATGTACCAATAGCTCCAGTGGAAGATGCTTCTGGTAAGCATGCTTAAGACTGTAGCCACTGCCTTCTTTTTTCTTTTCTTTATTTCACTGGATGTTAATTTGACTACAGAAAATTGTCAAAATGTTAGAGGTGCCTGCGTGTAAGGAAGCAATCTACTTAAACTAGTCTGAATGGCTTGAGTAAGTGAGCAAAGTACAAAAGAAAACATAATTATCAGGATTCTAATCTGCAGGAAGAGATCTTCCTTATCCCAAATCAATTAAACTGTAAGAAGAAAGGCCATATCTCAGTAGTAGTGCTCATGTTTTGCAGAAGGTACATCTGTGAATGTCCCTTGCCTGAAACCCTGGAAAGCTGCTGCCAGTGCGTGTGGACAATACTGAGTTAAATAGGCCAATGGTGTGTCTCGCTATAAGCCTGCTTCCTATATACCGTATTTTTCGCACTATAGGACGCACTTTTTCCCCTCCAAAAATGAAGGGGAAATGTGTGTGCGTCCTATGGTGCGAATGCAGGCTTCACTGAAGCCTGGAGAGCGAGAGGGCCGGTGCGCACCGACCCCTCTCGCTCTCCAGGCATCAGGAGCGCCGCAGCGCCAGCCCCCCAAGGTCGGGGGGACAGAGGGAGGCGGAACGCCGCCATCCCGCTGTCTCCCGAAGTGGTTTGGAGGCTGACGGCGGGGAGACCCCGCCGCCGGCCCCGCAAGCTCCGGGGACAGCTGGGAGACGCAGCGCGTCTTCCTGCTGTTCCCGGACCTGATCTGAAGGCGGGCGGCGGGGAGAAGAGCGCTCTCCCGCTGCCTGCCCCGCTAGCTCTGGGGACAGCTGGGAGGCGCAGCGCGTCTCCCCGCTGTCCCCGGACCTGATCTCAAGGCGGGCGGCAGGGAGAAGAGCGCTTCTCCCCGCTGCCTGCCCCCAGCTCCGGGGACAGCTGGGAGACGCAGCGCGTCTTCCCGCTGTCCCCGGACTTGGTATCAAGGCGGGCGGCGGGGAGAAGAGCGCTCTCCCCGCTGCCTGCCCCCAGCTCCGGGGACAGCAGGGAGACGCAGCGCGTCTTCCCGCTGTCCCCGGACCTGATGTGAAGGCGGGCGGCGGGGAGAAGAGCGCTCCCCGCTGCCTGCTCCCAAGCTCCGGGAGAGCAGGGAGACGCAGCGCGTCTTCCCGCTGTCCCCGGACCTGATGTGAAGGCGGGCGGCGGGGAGAGCAGCGCTTCTCCCCGCTGCCTGCCCCCAGCTCCGGGGACAGCAGGGAGACGCAGCGCGTCTTCCCGCTGTCCCCGGACCTGATGTGAAGGCGGGCGGCGGGGAGAAGAGCGCTCCCCGCTGCCTGCCCCAAGCTCCGGGAGAGCAGGGAGACGCAGCGCGTCTTCCCGCTGTCCCCGGACCTGATGTGAAGGCGGGCGGCGGGGAGAAGAGCGCTCCCCGCTGCCTGCCCCCAGCTCCGGGGACAGCAGGGAGACGCAGCGCGTCTTCCCGCTGTCCCCGGACCTGATGTGAAGGCGGGCGGCGGGAGAAGAGCGCTTCTCCCGCTGCCTGCCCCCAAGCTCCGGGGACAGCAGGGAGACGCCGCGCGGCTTACCGCTGTCCCCGGCCCTTATATGAAGGCGGACGGCGGGGAGAAGAGCGCTTCTCCCCGCGGCCGGCCCCACAAGCGCCTGGGGGGGAAATAATTTTTTTTCCTTTATTTCCCCCCCAAAAAACTTGATGCGTCCTATGGACCGGTGCGTCCTATGGTGCGAAAAATACGGTACATTTCAAAGACCTAATTCCAAATAGGCTTCAGTTGCCGCTCAAAGAGTTTTAGAAGTGTTAAAGGATTTAGGAGACCCAGCTTAAGACATATATTTTTATTGAGTGTCTCTCAAGGGAGCCACACAAGTATTTTGCAACGTTAAACTCCCTGACTCTTGGTAACACTTATTTTTGCAGCCTCCATTCTATAGGGCCCAAACTGGCACTACTGCTTTCACGTTCTTCTTCTGTATTTTTAATGACTAATTCCAGACATCCTGAACAGAGTCCAACTTGTAGGAAGCTTAGGCAGACTACAGTCATCTTGAATCACTATTAATTCACTCCTGACACTGAGCAACAAAACATTTAAGGTTTGAAGCAAATATAATTTTGTTAACAGCAATAGCAAATGGAATTGGATAACCTCTCGGGACTCAGTCCTGTTTGCCTTTAACTGATTTGTACATGCATTTCAAAAATCTAAAAGGTAGTCATTTCTCTTTTACTCTCTAGACTTTTTTTGTACATTCAGGCACTCCAAATACAAATTCCAGGTGCACAAATATATGTTCTGGTTAGATCAGCGTCAGAGTTGGATAAGAATGGGTCAGTGAATGACTTGGCCTTCCCAAAGTGCTAGTTTGCACAGCTTAAGAATGTTTTAGAAAATGTAAACCTTGGTAAATAGTGAGCATCATTCAAGAAATTTGTTTTGACCATTCTCTTCTAGCAGGTTAATTTGGTCATATTTATATGGGGTGGATGTGTTTAAGTAAGTCTGGTACATGGAGTTTGAAGCACTAATAGGGTTTTGAGTGGGGGGGGAGGGCTCCCACTCATTAAAAAAAAACACCTCAATCTTTTTCTATTCATTCTTTAAATTAAAGTCACCGTGTCACAAATGGGAAAGCCTGTTTTACAATAAAGCACAGTCATACCGTGAAGACCCTGTTTATCCTTCATGGGGTTTTTGCATGTAGCTATTTGTGTGTAAAAAGCTGCACCAGTTGATTTACTGACTGTCAGGCAGTCTTTAGGCACCATTTACCAGAAGAAGGAAAAACTGGACCGAGAAAACCCTGCTTTACCTTTTTCCCTTTTTCCTCATTGGTGTGTTAGCATGTGAGCCTCTTTCTCAGGGCTTACTGTTTCCTAGAATGCTATATAAATATAACTATAAATGTATCACATGTATTATTGTAGACGGGCAGGGATTCCCTACGTGAACAGATAGCTCAAGGCAACAAAGCCTTTCTTTTTAAAAGGGGGCATTTCTGCACCAAGGCAATGAAGCTTGGTTGTGCAAAAAGTGAGCTTTTTCAGGAAAAATTGCTTCTGCTTCACATATGGACATGAGTTGCAGAAACTTGGATCTAGTTTTGTGTTCCATTTGAAGCCAGAGGTCATGTTCATCCTCTTTCCAGAGCATCCATCTATGTGATGCTGGAGCTCTGTGCCAAACATGTCCCCAAGCATGGCTTTGAATTACGCCTAATTTCTTCCATTCTGCGTTTGTTTGTGAGCTTCCAAGCAGCAACAGCTTCTGAAAAGGAAAGGTTATCCGATTTCCCTACCTCTTATTTAAACCTGCTTTTGCCTTCCTTGCTTTTACAAATAGGTACTTATCACCTGCCTGTGAGTAGACATATATCCCCTGTTATGACAAAGGGCAGAACTACACATTTATTGCAGCTCTGTGAGTCCTTCAAAAGTGTAACTGGGTCTTGCTAAGTCAAGGAAGGGAGATCAAGGAGTTTTGGCTGTTACATGGCACTTTCCCCCTCTCCTCCACTCCTGCCATGTGCTCCCTGTGTAAATCTGCTCCGGGGGGGGTGTCTTTTTTGGGGGGGGAACCCTGGAAGAGTTTTAGGGGGCACACAAAGGGTGCAGAGGTTAGGGGATTACAGCTAAAACATTGCACATCTAAAACTTATTGTGTTAGCAGGATGTTTCGTTGGAGACCCACCTCCCCAAGCTGCTTCATTTTTTGGCAAAGAGTGATAAGAGAAGAACTTTGGGCCCGCTGTTAAAAACGAGCAGGAGCAGGGCCAGAAAAAAGGGGTCCAACTCTGTCCACAACAAAGGCACTGCATTAGTGCTAAGGATGTGTGGGAGAACAGAGACGACATACCCTCCACAGCTAAGAATCCCCGGAAGGAAAACGGGCAAACTATTGATGTGCATCGGCTATGAGAGAGTTGAGCCGAATGAATCCACCTTACCATTGCATGAACGAGGAAATTGAGCATGCCTTTGTTTCAGATGCTGATCCGTTTAGGGAGCTGTCCAAAGGGTTTCTCTCTCCAAGTTTTCAAATAAGCAGGCCGTCTTTAAGAGCTGCAGCTGTTCCCCTCCTCCCCTCTCCTTGGCATAATAACGAAAACATTATTTAATGCAGTGCAAAGCAACTGTCAACATTTTGCCGTAATCTTTTCCAGCTGGGATAAAACAAGGACTTGGGAGACGGTAGAGGACACACGAACTGAGTCCCTTTTCTTTTCCTTTGGCACAGAATCTCCTACGACCCGGCAAGGTATCCAAAGTACATCCCCGAAGCCTACTGCCTATGCAAGGGCTGCCTGACTGGTGTTTACGGGGAGGAGAACTTCCACTTCCGGAGTGTCCCGGTGCTAATGCCAGCAGTCATCTTGCGCCGAACCACGACGTGCACCGGAGGACGCTATGTCTACACAGAGGATTATGTCACTATCCCAGTGGGCTGCACCTGTGTACCACAGGTACATGAAAAAGAAGTAGAGGGTGTAAATTCCAGCATAGACAAGCAAGGGGTAAAGTTGCTCGTTGAATCGTAACAGCAAGCCACCATCAGAATGCAGGCCCCAGAAGAAACCTGATGGCAAAGGTTGCTTTGCATGTCCTTTTAGCTTCACCATTCCCTGGTTCTGGGAGTTCTAGAGTCCATTCATAAACACACACACACACACACACACACGCCTGCATGATGATGTGGGCTGCAGCCTGCATCCATGAATGAGCCATATGCACAGGACGTTTGTGCCAGCTCAAATACAGTCCCCTTCAGTGCAGTCAGATAATGTACCCGGCTGCGAGGCCCTTGTTTTTGAGCGGCCAGGTGGTGCTTGTGCGTATATAGGGCTCACCCATAGAAGCAGCGTGCTTTGAAAATATCATTACAAATGTTGTGAAGACAGAAGCTGGAGGTGCGGTGGGACACAGTCCAGTGACACAGAGCCATGATGAGATTTGAAGAATCATAGTTGAGTTGCACACCTGGAAAGTAGCTCTGGGGATACAGTAGTGGTCCAGGAAATATGAGGCTTGTACCACCTAATAGCTGCTATAGATAAAGGCAGAGGTCCACAAATGTTGGCTTTGCTGAAGCAGAGCCATTATGTGTCATCATCACTGACACCCTTCTGAGACCCACATATGCCCTGGGGTCTGTCATGTCACACTGAACCTTAAAGGTAGTGCAAGCAGCTCATTTTTTATCTGCTCCAAACATCAAATGATAGGGGACTCCCTTTTGTCACATCTTATAAATCCTTAATGCAGAGGTTGCTGAAAGGGCTGTGTCTTTAAGGTATGACCCTGATGTTGGGATTCTGATGTTAGGATTCTAACAGTGCAATGTCCTGGACTTCTGATTATTTTTGTTTCAGCTTTAATTGTTACTTCTGTGTTCAAAGGAAGAAAACATTTCACAAAATATCATTTCAAAAGCAGCATCAGCAGACTCGCTGAAAAGGTAGCATCCTCACACTGCAAAGGAGTATCAGTCCACGAATAGTTTACTCAGGGGGCAGGTGTGAAATGTAGAGAAGTGAAGAACTTTACTGCTGGTGTTAACGAGGAGTAAAGTACTGGTGTTTTTCCAGTTTACAGCTCAGATGTTGATCAGGGCAGTATTGTATATGCCGCAAATGCACACCAACCCTATACAATATACTCTTGCTCACATAACATCATGGAAAGAGAAGTCGCGGCTTGAAAAATAGTCCGGTTTATGACCCCTTTCAAAAGTGTGGAAACATGCCAGTTGCCTTTTTAAGCTGTTCTTAGCTTTCAGCTTACAAGCCAGTTATCAGTTTTAGATTTTTCAGGCTGCAGGAGCCTTTGGGAATAACAAGGATGATGAGAGATCAGATAAATGAAACCAAACTGCTTGGCCAAGGGGGGGGGAATGTGCCTTGGCTTCCATCTGTGAGAGAGGAAAGCATCTGCCAAATTAAATGAATGTATGAGCCAAAAGCTCTAAACAGCAAAGGTTCAGAAAACTGTGTAAGCTGGAGGCAGCTGCCTCTTTAAACTCCCAATGATAGACAAAGCCGTTGGCTCAATTTACAGGGTTAATTCTGTCTATAACTCCTTTCTCCGCAACTTCCTACATTGCAAACACCATCCTTTATGGATATTCTGAGACTTTCCTCATTTCCCAAGTCACCCATTCCACTTGGTGAGAGTGAGCCACGGTTTTCTAATGTGTAATGTTAGCAAAAATCAATAGGTTACCAAATTGCTTTGCCTTTATTCATGTATCTTTCTAGCTTTCAGGTAGATGGTTGCTAATCTATCTCCAAATTGCACATGACACAGCAGTTGCCATTTGGCCTTTGTTTAGGGTGAACAGAATGACACCGTTGGACCTTCAGTAGTTGTGTAGAAGGGGTGGCAAATTTTTGGGATGAAGATTTCCCCTCAATTTCAGGAAGACACAAACTGAGAGTAGCAACTAGTATGATGACCTGCTCTGGTTCGCCAGAAATGGCTTTGTCATGCTGGCCACATGACCCGGAAGCTGTCTGTGAACAAACGCTGGCTCCCTCGGCCAATAAAGCGAGATGAGCGCACAATCCCAGAGTTGTCCGTGACTGGACATAATGGTCAGGGATACCTTTACCTTTATGATGACCTGAGAAGGGTGACTAGGAGGAAGAATCTGTAAACCAAATCCTGTACGGAACAATTAAAGAATACCTGGGTGTATTTAGCCTGTCTTCAAATATCTGAAGTGCTTTCATGTAGCAAATGGAAGAATTTTGTGTTCTCTTGCTCCCGAGGGTAAGTCTAGAACAAATAGGTGGAAATGGTGGGAAAGCCAATTTTGGCTAAACCTTACGAGAAACTTCCTAAGAGTACAAGCCACTGAACAGCGGAACTGCCTGCCTTAGGAGGCAGCGAGCTGTCTTGTCTTCATTGGAGACATTTAAGCAGAGGCTGAACGAATGTCTGGGATTTTGTAGTCACACCTTCGCAATGTAGATCCTGCATTGAGCAGTGTGTTAGACAAGTTGACTTCCACGATTCCTTCCAACCCAGAGGCCCATCTCTGCATGAAAAGGCGTATCTGCCAAAATCCTTTCTTTTTCATAATGGACTCTGGGGATGAGAGGATTTATTCCATTCTGTTATTTTCTCTGATGTGCTCTGCCCAGAGTTTAACTCCTGGTCTCTAGCTTAACTATTTTTTTTATTTTTTAAAAATTGCAACTAGTTTTTTTCACCATCTAGCTCTGATTTCTAAGTTTCTGAAATTACAGCATGTACAGTTTGCAGATGAGCTGCAAGCTGAGGCATCTCCCTCCCCACTGCTTTCTTAATGCACCTTTGTACTGATAAAACAGTGCAGGAAGATCCATAACAATGTGAACCTGTTTTTGGACGGTTTTACTAATGTGCACACTTGTTTTGACATGCTGGTAAATACCTCCCAAAAAGAATCATCACACAATTGTGTAGAATCACATATTGCTGTTTTACAATATTACCACACACATGTTCACGAACACACTGGTAAAATGGTAGAAAAGGGATTGCAGTGCAATCTTGATCAAGTTTGTTTCCTCCCCCCCCCCCCCACTGTTTTATCAACACGTGGGGAGGAATGACAGACGCCCTGAAAAGCCACTGATAATCAGAACAGGCAGCGCTGGGCAAAAACTGATCTGCTATAAGGTAGTTTCCTATGTTCCTCCATAAAAATGAAAAAGAAGAACTCAAATACAGAACAACTGTGGATTTCTAATCCAATTGGAAACAAGAGATCAACTAATTCAGATTTCCCAAAATCCAGGTAGAAACTTCTGAAATATGCCTAATGGAGCCTGGAAAACCTTTGCATCTATAACATGTCCTTCTTCTAGAAAACTTCCCAATAATTTAATTTCTCTCTCCATCGCTGCGCTACACTGCACTATGCTGTGGCTCTTCCAACCAAACATTCCTTTGAGATTACTTCACAGCCCTGAGTCCATGGACCCCTAACAGAATCTCTGCATTCTATACTGGGGTGGCGGGGAGGGGGAAGGCAGGCAGATTTAAAAGGAAAGAAATGCTTGTTGAATGCAGTCCAGACATAATGTGTGAGCACAATTCAAAGGAAACACTGGCAGCTATACATAATTTGATATAACTTTTATGGCAGGAGCCCCCCCCCTGCAACTTTTATTGGAAATTCAGAGGTGCAAATTGTGGTAGTCATTCACTTTAGTATCGAAATCAACCGACACAGAGGATTTTCCTTGCATCTGCCTTGTATTTTACAATACAACCAGCAGCATCCCACCATAATTTCCAGCATCAAACTGTTCAGGCATCTGTGACTACTATACTATGCAACTCCCTGGCATGCACTTTCAGAGAACAGCTAATTTTAATGCACCCATTTGACCACAGTTCATATGCTAAACTGGGTGAATTATGTGTATCTGCAAGTGTCTAACGCTAAAGTTGTGGCTTTCAAATGCCCCCGGGGAATCTTTTCCACATTGGCAAACTAGTTAATGACCTCTGCACATTTTGGCTGGAGGCGATTATTCATAATGGGAAGGAATAAGAATTTGCGTGGGGAATGCAACTATTATTGTAGAGGAAACTGTTCCAATCAAAGAGCAGAGTACTTGGCGGCTTAAGTAAGGGCAAGATTTCAAAGTACAGGCAATATACAGGCTTAGTCTGGAGCTCTGAGATAATGAATACAAACCAGACTCGAACTATTGAAGGTTTTGTGCCAAGGCATATGTATCCAATGTTCTCTTTTGCTCTTATTTCAGTATTTAGTTCATATTCAAACAAAAATTTAAAACCTTTGGTGGATAAGTTAAAGCACAGGTGGCTGTCACCTGTAGAATGCACCCTGCAGGGATGCTGGGCAAGTGAGAGGTGCTATGGCCGTGGGAACTGCTGAAATGCAGGGTTGTATGAAGATGCCAGGGCCCTCAACTTCATAAGAACATAAAAGAGGTCAATGGCCCATCTAGTCCAGGCAGCCTGTTCCCACTGTGGCCAACCGGATGTCTATGGGAAGCTTTCCTCTACCCAAAATACGAGGGGGAAAGAAGGAGCAGGTGTGTAAACACAAGGACCAGTGCATGGAAAGCTGGAAACCCCATGGGAAATGTTAACATCACACTTGACATGGATGTCAGCAAGCTCTTCAAAGCAAACTGGAGAAATGGGAGACTTGTAAAAATGGGAAGACCGACTTAAAAGGGAAGTAAGTACCGTATTTTTCCACATATAAGATGATGTTTTTAATTATAAAAAAATGTTAAAAATTGGGGGTCGTCTTATACATGGATAGTGCAGAGGGGGGATGGGCAATTGGTGGCATCCACGAGCGGGAGATTGTCAGCGGCAATTTGGCGGCTGCGGCAAGGCCTGCTGCCGATTCCCCCCCTTTCCTTAATTTGGAGTCCCAAAAAATAGGGGTCGTCTTATACACCGGGGCGTGTTATACACGGAAAAATACAGTAGTATCCTTCACTGCTGAGCAGGGTGTAAATAAAATGAATGGTTGCATCTTTCCTCCCAGGAATTGCGTTAATCAGTTGCTGGACTAGAAAGGAAGGGGCACCACACCTTCCCCTTCATCGTATCTTCAGTACAGGGAGGTCTCATTATCCATAAAATCAGACCAATACTCTTTTAACAGTTAGGGTTTTGTACAATGACTGCAGCTCAGCCAGTGGCTGGGGCAGAATAAAAACCTAGCCATTCCCCATCTCCAAAGCAGAACAGGATTTAGGCAGTTTGAAAGGTTGGCAAGTCCTTGTACCATAATACATCATACAAGAGAATCTAAGGACATTTTATGGCACAAAAGCGTAAGAAAATGAATTCAGTACTGTGCATACAACTTCAGTTTGATAAAGGTCAGAAAGGTTATCCAATTGCCTCTTTGGATCAATGGATGTTATGCTGCAAAAGTGCTTAATGGCTTATTCAGAAAAAAATGAAATTGGTTCAGGTTTCGTATGCGAAAATGCTGTGAGATAACACCTTGAGTGTTTGATGAGGGTCACGCTCTTCCGAATTAGGAAATAATTGGGAAATAAGTATTTTGCAACTCAACCACGTGATAAAGTCAGGTTCACAATACACCTGGAAAGATAATATGGCAGCCTAATAACATAAAATGCCCTTTAAAAAAAAAAAAACTTCTGACATGGCATTTTAGAAAAGTATAGTCTCCCATTTCTGTGCAACATTTTAATAAAATGTTTTCCCTTCCTCTCTAAGAAGGCAATAATTTCTCTAAGAAAGCAATAATTTATCACAAATCAAATACACAGGGTGGCAATTCATAATGAAAAATATGGAGCTTGTTACCAGTGCTGGAGTTCAGATTTATGCTTGCCAGGAGGAACTTAGTTAAATCACTTGTTCTCAGCCTCAGTTGCCCACAGAATTATAAAGAGCAACAGGAAAGGGAGCAAGACCTGTCAGTTGGGTTGGCAGAGTATATGAAGTGTTTTGGTGGGAGAAAGCTTATCCAATGTTATTGCACTTGTTCCATGTCCACTTGCTCAACCCTCGCCTCCAATCACCACCTCCCTCCTATTAGCACAAATATTGCTGAATGTTAAAAACAAATTACAAATGTTTACACCTCCAGAGAAGGAAAAAAGCCCCAGACTGAAATATTTGGTTAATTCTTTAGGAGCAGTGTCAAGAAACAGAATCTAGTCCAGAATCATAGTTCACGTAACATCTAAATTCATTGGCTAGGTTTCGAGTATGTTTTGGAATAAACTTGCTCATCTTCACACCAAGATGCTTAGCAGCATATTCCTCCATAACAGCACCTGCAGCAGAAAATGAACAGAAGATCATGTCTTAATGGAACAAAAAGAGTAAGAACTTTCTTGTTGGCCCATCCCATTTCAAACAGTGGCCAGCCTCAGACTTCTCAGAAGCAGGGCATGAAGGCAAACAGACTTTCTCTCTGGTTGCCCCGAGCAGCCAATGTCCAGAGTCAACATTGAGATTTCAGTTTGCTATCATAGCAAAGCAATGGCATATTTAAATTATCTTTTTTAACTACTCCTGTTTCCCCCCCCTCTATCCTATATCCCTTACAACAGCTTTCTGTGAGAGCTGACTGTTTCCCAAATCAAGATGCTTTACAAAGTCATGAGCATTATCCTTTTAAATGAATGCAGACACTATAATTATAGATAATAAGATGTTAGATGTTGCAATGCTTATACCTGTACAAAGCAGAACCTTTCCTTTAGTCAAGTATTTTATGGTTTCTGCAGTTTTTCTGAGACACTCTTCAGACAGGTAGGGTGGATCTGCTATGACAATGTCAAAACTGTGTGCTGTGAGGTTGGCCGGAAGGTTCAAGGGATTGTTGTAATCATAGAAAACATATTCAGCTCCATACACAGAAAATCTTTGGTCATATTCCAATAAACATGTTGAAAAATCTTTGTTGTCCCATTCTTTTAATTTTCGATAAACACTGGGTGCACTAACACATGCTATTCTGAAAAGATAAAGAAATAAAGAAAAAGGTTCACATATTTAATCCAGATCTTGTGCTAAACAGTGTGTGTGTAGCAACTTGAAGTTTGCATTGGCATAGCAATTACCCCAAAAAGAAGGATTTATTTTTTTGAGTGGAAATGCTAACTTAGAATCACTGAATTTAATTTTTTTTTTTTTTTAATAAATTTTTATTAATTTTCCAAACATAAGATAAGAAAGCAAACAATGCACAAAACACCGACATACAAACATATAAACATGTATAATTTCATAGCCATTTTTCATAAACCTTACTTTCCGGACTTCCCCATACCTCCCCTTTTCTGCATCCTTGTTTTATATTTCTTCAGCAACTCCTCAATCAACTAATTATTCAATTCAATTTCTTTTAAGTTCTTCTAATATTATTAATTACAGCTGCAGTTCTCTGTTTCCCAACCCCTTGACATTTTAACATTCCTGAATTTTACAACAAGTTCTAAGATAAACTTTAAATTTCTTCCAATCTTCTTCCACTGTCTCTTTCCCCTGGTCACGGATTCTGCCAGTCAATTCGGCCAGTCCCATATAGTCGATCACCTTCGTCTGCCATTCTTCCAGTGTGGGTAGTTGTTGTGTCTTCCAATACTTTGCTAGAAGAATCCTTGCTGCTGTTGTCGCATACATAAAAACGTCCTGTCCTTCCTTCTCACCAATTGGCCGACAATGCCCAAGAGAAAAGCCTCTGGTTTTTAGGGAAGGTCCATTTAAGAACCTTCTTAATTTCATTATAGATCATTTCCCAAAAAGCTTTTATCCTCGGGCAGGTCCACCAAAGGTGATAAAAGTACCTTCAGTCTCATTACATTTCCAACATTTGTTATTGGGCAGATGATAAATTTTTGCAAGCTTGACTGGGGTCATGTACCACCTATACATCATTTTCATAATGTTTTCTCTTAAGGCATTACATGCCGTAAATTTAATACCGGTGGTCCACAACTGTTCCCAGTCAGCAAACATAATGTTATGACCGATATCTTGTGCCCATTTTATCATAGCTGATTTCACCGTTTCATCCTGTGTATTCCATTTCAACAGCAGATTATACATTCTCGACAGATTCTTAGTATTGGGTTCTAACAGTTCTGTTTCCAATTTTGACCTCTCCATCTGGAAACCTATTTTCCTGTCCTGTTTAAATGTCTCGTTTATCTGAAGGTAGTGCAACCAATCTCGCACTTTGGACTTTAATTTCTCATAGCTCTGTAATTTAACTTTTTCCCCATCTTGTTCTAGAATTTCACAATATTTTGGCCATTTAGACTCCATATTAAGTTTTTTCACCTCTTTAGCTTCCATTGGTGACAACCACCTGGGAGTTTTACTTTCCAATAGATCTTTATACCGCATCCAAACATTGTATAATGCTTTCCTAACAATATGGTTTTTGAAACCTTTATGCTGTTTTACCTTATCATACCATATATATGCATGCCAACCAAATCTATTATCAAACCCTTCTAGATCCAAAATATCTGTATTCTCAAGAAGTAGCCACTGTTTCAACCAGCAGAAAGCCGCCGATTCATAGTAGAGTCTTAAGTCCGGCAGGGCAAACCCCCCTCTATCTTTAGCATCAGTTAGATTCTTAAATTTTATTCTGGGCTTTTGCCCTGCCAGACAAATTTAGATATATCTTTCTGCCACTTCTTGAAACAGTCCATCTTGTCCAAAATCTGCAATGTCTGAAATAAAAACAACATTCTAGGCAATACATTCATCTTGATAACAGCAATTCGGCCTAACAAAGAAAGTTTCAACCTTGACCATATTTCTAGATCCTTCTTTACCTCTGTCCAACATTTATCATAATTGTCCTTAAATAGATTCACATTCTTAGATGTTAAGTTTACCCCAGGTACTTTACTTTTTTCGTTATCACTAGTCCTGTTTCATTCTGAAACTTCTCTTTTTCGGCCAATGTTAAATTTTTATCCAACACTTTCGTTTTCTGTTTGTTCAGTTTAAATCCTGCTACTTGACCAAATATCTCAATTAGTTCTAATACTCTTTTAGTACTAGTATCTGGCTGTTGCAAGGTCAATACTAGGTCATCTGCAAATGCCCTTAACTTGTACTGTTTGGCTCCGACTTGTACTCCTTTAACCAACTGGTCTCCTCTAATCATATTTAACAAAACCTCCAGGACTAATATAAACAATAGAGGGGATATTGGGCACCCCTGTCGTGTACCTTTTCTATAGGTATTTCTTCCGTTACCACATTGTTTACAATTAACTTTGCTTTTGTTTAGAGTATATTGCACCTATACCATTTTCAAACCCTTGACCTACCCCCATCCCTTGGAGATTCTTCTTCATAAAACTCCAACCAATATTGTCAAAGGCTTTCTCCGCATCCACAAAAATTAAAACAGCCTTCCTATTAATGTCCACTTCTAACAGTTCCAAAATGTCTATAATGTTCCTCACATTGTCCGACATATATCTCCCTGGAAGAAAGCCAGTTTGGTCTTTATGAATCTCCCCTACCAACACTCTCTTCAGTCTTTTTGCCATAATGTCCGCAAAAATTTTGTAATCCACATTAAGTAATGATATAGGGCGGTAGTTTTTAACCTGGTTCTTTTCAGTCTCAGTTTTCGGTATAAGTGAGATAAAAGCTTCTTTCCACGACTCTGGTGCCTTTTCCCCTCCAAAATTTCGTTACATACTTCCTTCAGTGGTTGTACTAACCATTCCTTCAACACTTTATAGTATCTGGCGGTCAAACCATCTGGTCCTGGAGCTTTTCCCAATTGCATCTTCTGAATGGCACCCTCTATTTCTTGTCCTGTTATTTTCTCATTCAAAATCCTTCTGCTTTGCTCTGAAATTTTTGGTAATCCATGTTTCTTAACAAATTCTTCTATTTCCTGTTCATTAACTGGCCCTTGTGCATATAATTTCCTGAAATAACCTTGAAAACAATTACTTATCTCATTTGGTTTGTGGATAATCTTTCCGTCCACTTCTAAACTTGTCACAGTGTTCAATTTTTGCCTCTTTTTCAATTGCCATGACAGAAATTTCCCACATTTATCTGCTGATTCAAATGTCTTTTGTCTCATTTGCTTTATTTTCCATTCTATCTCTTGATTCATCAATTCCATATATTGCACCTGATAGTACTTTATTTCTTTCAGAATCTCATGAGACTTTGGTTTAGACCTCAATTTCTTTTCACCTTCTTTTATTTTTTCCAGAATTTTTCCTTTCCTTTCATTTTGATTTTTCCTTTTTATGGAGTTCTGTTGTATTAGGAAACCTCGCATCACGGCCTTACTTGCGTCCCAAATTATTCTTTTTTCCACTTCTGTTCTCAAATTTATCTCAAAATAATCTTTCACTGTTTTTTGGGCCTTCTTATAAATCTCTTCATCTCTGAATAGGGTGTCATTCATTCTCCATCTAAAGGATCCAGTTGTTGTAAGTTTCATCTCCATCTTTACAGCATTATGGTCGGAGCAAGTCTTTGAGAGAATCACTGAATTTAAGAAACTTCACAAGCAACTGCAAACAAAACCCTCACACACCAAGTGGACTGTATCTTCCTTATTAAGAAAGAAGAACACCCACAACTATCTGCTCCTTCAGATATGACAAGGTTAAACAATGCATTTTTATTACCCGCATTTTCCTACTGATATCTCTACTGACTGCATTGTGTATATTCAACCATGAGTTTTCATGCGCCAAGAAATGCAGTCCCGACCTCATGTAGGAGCCAAGGGCTGAGCTTCTGTACTGCAAAAACAGTTGATCATACAGAGGTAATGTGTACAATTAGGACTGTGGCATGTCACAGGAACCAGAAAACATTGGTCCTCCAAACAGTTCTGGAATGCCATCTTACTCAAATTCACAATAAATATAAAAGAGGTCTTAGAGATAGACAGGAGTTCTTAGCAACATTTTGCAAAGTTCCCTTAGACCTCAGAAGTAAGGCTTGAAATCTGTGCACAAATTAATAGATGGCCTCAAGTCTCAGTCTCAATTCATCTGTAAAATGGAAATGTTGGTTGCTTCATCACAGGCAGGTGATAAGGAAAGCTCTGCATGTTATATGCAATATAGAAATTATAAACACCAACATTTCACAGTCCTGTGCTTTAATGAGCAAAGTTGTCTCACTATCAAAGCTGTATTACAGTGATGTACTACAGAAAGGTTGACAGGTTAACAGACTATGAAAAAAAATGGAAAACAGTATTACAGTATTTTCAAAAAGACAAAAACACATTACTAGATTTATAGAACTCACCTGCCACCACTTCCAACTGCTCTTGCAGCCTCGTTAGCTAAATGGAGTGCAGTTTCAGCATCATACCAAAACTGGCTCAGTTGCTGGGGGTAATAAAGCACAAATATCAGTAATACACTTTTCTAGTACAATGTCTACTTTGCTTCTGCTGAGTCAACAGAATGGGGTGAAACACAGACATCTGACTAAGCAAAATGGGGCTCAGGGTTGTATACGGCCTCCACTACAGATATCCAATAGTTGTGTCCTTTCCATTTCATTGTCCCCGAGGTAAAAAGGGCACACGGAAGAAAAAGGAGACACAACATATCAATGATCATGGTAGAGATCCGAAAGGTCAGACTGGAAGGATCAAGATGATAAGATACAATGGACAGAGTAGACAGTGCTGAATGTGGGGAGGGAGCCAGAGAAGCATCAGCAGCAAGAGGGGTTAAGGATTGGCTGCTGGGTGCAGACAGTGGACATACACTCCTGAATCACATTCATGTTAACAATTCATAATTTGTTACAGTATTTAAAATATGTACATGTGTGGGGCCCAGGTTTATGCGGCACACCAGGAACTAGCTGCCAAGAGAAGTGGGCAAGGAAACTGGAATGGGAAACAAGCAGGGTGGGGGAGGACCACATGCTTGATGCTTGGAAGACATATGATGAGAGTTGCGTGTCCCAAAATGGGATCATGAATACAAGCAAGATTTTCCTGGCTCCACTCTTGGTTCCCTGCACCCTCCAAATACCCAGTTCATAGCCATTTCTTTGTCATGAGAAAAACTGGAAAGTACAGGTTAGGTAGAAAAAACTGAGCCAATGATAACTTTGTTTCTTAGTACAGTGGTGCCTCGCAAGACGAAATTAATCCGTTCCGCGAGAGTCTTCGTCTAGCGGTTTCTTCGTCTTGCGAAGCAACCCTATTAGCGGCTTAACGGATTAGCGCTATTAGCGGTTTAGCGGCTATTAAAGGCTTAAAGGCTTAGCGGATTAGCTGCTAAAAGGCTATTAAAGGCTATTAAAGGCTTAGCAGGTTAGATAAAGGGGGCGAAAGCGAAAAAAAAATCTCAAGACTTGCAAGACATTTTCGTCTTGCGAAGCAAGCCCATAGGGAAATTCGTCCTGCGAAGCAACTCAAAAACGGAAAACCCTTTCGTCTAGCGGGTTTTCCGTCTTGCGAGGCATTCGTCTTGCGGGGCACCACTGTATTAAATTGGATCTTCGGTTCAGTTTAATTTTTCACTGAAGGAAAAGATAATCTCTCTTCCACTTTCTCAAACTGCAAGTTTCCCATGAGAAGCAAGCTAATGAGTGTAAATAGTGCAATTATACTAACGCAGTCAATGTCTAACAAACAGAGGAACACACACCACTATAGACAATTTGCTTGCCCAGAGTTTACATTCTCTGAACTGTTTCTCAATACAGCAAGCTGACTTAAAAGCCAAAACCAAGTAAAAAATTTCATCTGAGCTGTAACAATAATGGTGGATCTCGATGTCATTTAGCATTCCAACTATTGATAGTCTTGTTGGGTGCCTCTCTTCTCATCATTTTGTCCTGCATATCTGTGATCTTGTGCCATTCTACAGAAGTGCTACCACAAACTGTATTTTAGTCAAAATGCACCTGCTTACCCAGTTCTCTTCTATTGAGCCAAGAGAATTGTTATCAGATCTTTCTGTTGCCTTAAAGTCTTCTCTCTGCTGTTGCTCAATATAGAACTCCTGCAGAGCAGATAAGGCTTCAGATGAAAGCTGAGGGACATCATCGTCACTGTCACTCATTTTCTAGACGCAAAGCAAAGGAAAATAAACCCTTTTGTTAATTAACAAAAATCTTCAAAGGATACAGGGACTAGCTGTAAAATTATTATCTCTTTGCCATAAGAGGCAGAGATGAGAGCATTTTCTCGTTTCTGGCAACAACAAAAATAGGAATCAAGGCAATATTTCAGAAATGTTTTACATTTCATACATTTTGACTGCCCATACACCATGGAGAGCATCTCTAGGAATCCTTATAGGAAAGGAGTTCTCAAATACTGTGGGTGTTTGCAGCTGATATTATTCCCTTCCTATGTTATTTTCATGTTGAAGTTACATTTTAATTGGTGGGGAGCAAGAGAACTAGAAACGCTCTTTAGTTTCACTTTTAAGGTGTCAAGCAAAATTATGATGTTTAAACTGTATATTTTATTATTCTCTTCTGAGCCAATATCAGCACAGCTGTCAACTTCAAAAGAAACATGTTTTCATGTCTACAAGCTTCCAGCTGTGTATATTTATGGCATGTTAAACATGGTTCATAATGAAAAGTCTTGTATGGATTAAGATCATATTTGACAAATGTATGCCTAAAGCAATTTAGTAGTAGTAGTAATAATAATAATAATTAATAATATTTATACCCCATCCATCTGGCTAGGTTTCCCCAGCCACTCTGGGCAGCTTACAGTACATATAAAAAAATTTGTAAAACTTAAGACATTAAATTTTTCCCAATCAGGACTACCTTCAGATATTTTCTAAAAGTCTGACAGTTGTTTATTTCCTTGGCATCTGATGGGAGGGCGTTCCACAGGGCAGGCGCCACTACCAAGAAGGCCCTCTGTCTGGTTCCCTGTAACCTCACCTTACGCAGTGGGGGAACTGCCAGAAGGCCCTTGGAGCTGGACCTCAGTGTCCGGGCTGAACCATGGGGGTGGAGACGCTCCTTCAGGTATACTGGGCCGAGGCTGTTTAGGGCTTTAAAGGTCAGCACCAACACTCTGAATTGTGCTTGGAAACATACTGGGAGCCAATGTAGGTATTTCAGGACCGGTATTATATGGTCTCAGCGGCCACTCCCAGTCACCAGTATAGCTGCTGCATTCTGGATTAATTGTCGTTTCCACGTCACCTTCAAATGTAGCCCCATGTAGAGTGCATTGCAGCAGTCCAAGTGGGAGATGACTAGAGCATGTACCACTCTGGCAAGACAGTCCACAGGCAGGTAGGGTCTCGGCCTGAGTACCAGATGGAGCTGGTAGACAGCTGCCCTGGACACAGAATTGACCTGCACCTCCATGGACAGCTGTGAGTCCAAAATGACTCCCAGGCTGCACACCTGGTCCTTCAGGCGCACACTTACCCCAGTCGGGACTAGGGAGTCCCCCATACCTGTCTGCCCCGTCCCCCCAAAACAGTACTTCTGTCTTGTCAGGATTCAACCTCAATCTGTTAGCCCCCATCCATCTTCCAACTGCCTCCAGACACTCACACATGTCATTCACTGCCTTTACTGGTTCCGATTTAAAAGAGAGGCAGAGCTGGATATCATCCACATACTGATGAACACCCAGCCCAAACCCCCCAATGATCTCTCCCAGCGGCTCTATATAGATGTTAAAAACATCTCTCTAGTGCATTACAGAAATGCTTCTTAAAAAATTATTGCCTAGTTCACCACCACTCTGGGGCTTTACATGACCAATTTATATCAGAAACATATAACTGATCGGGACACAATTTCTTTATATAACTTTGTATAGCGGTTGGCGTGTGGGGTGAGGTTTGGAAATAGTCAGACTCAAGCCCCACTCCGTCATAAAGCTCACGATGCGTCAGAGGTCACTTTGCCGCTTGACCTACATTGTGTTATTGGTTTTGATTTTATCTAAGCACAGATGAGGAGCCTGCGTCCCGCCAGACGTTGTTGGATTACAACTCCTACCATCCCCGACTACGGACTGTGCTGAGATTGCCACAGCCATCCCCAACCCGAGTATTTCAAGGAAGCCACCACACATAAGACCCTATTCGCCCAATTCATATTTGCAGGTGCTGGAGTGAAGGAAAGCCTTCCTTGACTTCTGCTCAGCTGCAAACTCAGCAGGGAACTTTGGGTCCAGCCAAGGGGCCAGGGAGAGTTTTACACTATTCCTGAAGCATTTTGGGCTCGCTGCTTCTTCTCAATACCACCCACTTGTGCAACCTTTTATACGTTCCCTCTTCCTGTCCTTTCAAAACGAAAAAGAAAAAGGGGGCACCCGGGCTAGCGACTTCGAGAGCCCCCCAAATTGCTATGCATGCATCCCTGGAAGGCGGCGTGAGGAAATCTCAGCTAAATAGAAGAAGTTTGCCACACTGACTGCCAAAAAAACCCCAAGTTTTTAAAGGAAGTGCATTGGGAACTGCGGCGTGGAGGGATTCTGCAAACACACGCAGACACACCTGACCTTCCCAAGGAAATAAACACAAAATAAATAAACCCAGAGCGCTATTTGCGGGAACATGCTGCCTCACACGCCACCTTTGCCCCTGTCGCTAACCTTTTCCATGATGCTGTGAGCCCAGCCCAATGCAAACCTTCTCTCCCCACCCGCCCCGTCCCACGGCCCGTCCTCTCTGTCCAACCTTTTCCCCCCATAGGCACAACACTGAGAGCTGCCGGGCCTCCCCATCTCTTCTTTCGGGACTCCGCTCCTTCCCTCCTGCGCCGGCAGCCATTTCCCCTTCCCCGCCACTCACCGCAGCGCGGCGTCCTCTCTGCCCGCGGCCTCCCTTCCTCAGGCTCCGCCCGCCTCCCCTCGCGAGCAGCCGGGAAGCTTCTCTCTTGCGCCCTCTAGCGCAGGGAAAGCGGCTCCTTTGCTCGCCCTGTTTATCCCTCAGAGCGAGCCTGATTTTTTTTACTATTTTCTTTAATCTTGCCACCTCCGTTTATGACACACCTCTTATTATTTTATTTTATATTAACGGAGTGTGTGTGTGTGTGTGTGTGTGGAACGGGCCAGTTAATAAACATGCAAAGCTTACCTATAAACCAGTTAAGGAAAACCGACTTGGAAGCATGAGAATTAGAATAAAGAGGGGAGAGAGGCGTTTAAATAATAAGGGGAGGGAGCTACAGTATTTGAAGGGAATAAGCAGAACTCGGGGGGAAAGAGAAATGGGAAACGAAGGGAAGGGTTTTTACAAAAATGCTATTAGAGAGAACAACATTCATTAGTTCTGTATTATAATTAAGTTCAGCTACATGACCCTGCCAGTTATTGCAAAAGACTTGAGGGGGCTTCAGTTACTCGGACTACCAGATTTATTTAAGATTTGCAGCCTACCGGAAAGTAAGACCCATTGAGTTGAATGGGGCTTGCTCCCAAGTTTAGGAATTGAGTCTTCGTTCTGAGCAAGCTTTTTCTCTCTCTCCAGTTTGTAAATTGGTGTAACTAATCAGTTACTGTTAAGTAGTGCTGTTCCAAATGGTTACTGAATACGTATATAAAATTGGTTAGCCTGATGGTCATGGCTATTGCCTGGTTCGACAACACTTCCATACTGCCACAAGTCCTGGGCACCACTTAATATTAAATCCAGGGTTGCTGCCCCTCTGGTTGATTCAGTGGCCAACTGTTCTAGGGAAGTGCCATGCAAGGTACTGCATCTAGAAACATTACCTCTTTTGCCATAACAATTCCTCCCACTAATATCAACTCCATGTTGCACAGGGCTCAAAAGGTCATATGACCATCATTTTGTTGTTTCCTGACAGCTCCCATGGAACAAGAATTAAACTAGATCTTCAATGGGCCATCAAAATCTTACTCTTGCTAATACAGTGGTACCTCGGGTTAAGAACTTAATTCGTTCTGGAGGTCCGTTCTTAACCTGAAACTGTTCTTAACCTGAAGCACCACTTTAGCTAATGGGGCCTCCTGCTGCCTCAACGCTGGAAATTTCTATCTTTAATATTTCCTCTAAGAATATTTTAAACAGGGCTGTACACCCTTCAGGATAGCTGACCTGAATGCATTATAATTGATCCATGTTCTGCTTAAGATATTCCTATCACTGTGAGCTGCTTACCCAGGTCACGTTGTAATTAATGTGCGCTAGCTTTAAAGACAGAATTGCAATAGGGCAAGTAACAAATACAGTGGTACCTCGGGTTAAGTACTTAATTTGTTCCGGAGGTCCGTTCTTAACCTGAAACTGTTCTTAACCTGAAGCACTACTTTAGCTAATGGGGCCTCCTGCTGCCGCCACGCCACCGGAGCACAATTTCTGTTCTCATCCTGAAGCAAAGTTCTTAACCCAAGGTACAATTTCTGGGTTAGCAGAGTCTTTAACCTGTAGCATCTGTAACCCGAGGTACCACTGTAATGTTTTATCTTGTGCCTCCTTTCATCTCAACGGTAGTACTGACACCAACTTTGGCATCAAAGCATGTACTGCATTGCAATGCTATGAGGTGTTCGCTATTGCTGTGTCTGGGGGAATTATTGATCACTCCACCAGGCATGCTGCTACCTTGGCTGCACCCAGTATTAAAGCTCCTGGCTGATATCTGTAGGATAGCCACCTGGCCCTCAGTTTCTTCCTTTATCAGGTTCTATGGATCAGATACATTTTCCTTGGTCAAAGCTTTGTTCAGCAGGAGGGTGCTCCAGAAGAAAGTCTCTGTGTAGTGGAGGTCCCCTGGACAGTTAAGTCCAGCCAAAGGCAACTATGGAGTGCAGCACTCATCTTGCTTTCAGGCCGAGGGAGCCGGCATTTGTCCCCAGACAGCTTTCCAGGGTCATGCGTCCAGCAAAACTAAACTTAAACCACTTCTGGCCAACAGAGCACCGCGACAGAAGCCAGAGTGCATGGAAATGCCGTTTACCCTACGTCTGACTATAGATGGTTGCTCAGGCAAGTTCCATCTTAGGATCCTTTCTGCAACTGCAGGAAAATTAAATATTGGTTCTTATTTGAGTCAGGAGATTGATAGAATCTTCCCCACCCACTGTTTCTCCCCTTCTTTCTCACTGCAGGGTGGAAGGTGGGACACAGTAATCCTGATTGTAGTAGTATGTTTATTTGGTTTGGGTGAGAGCTGTTCTCCTACTGTTCCCGCTGCCATGGCCCCTTTTCTTCTTCTAATGTTAATTGGAACTAGTTTGTTGTGGTGAAGAGCATACGGCTGTTGAAAGCTGGACATCACTCAGGTGTGTTAATACATTGCTTTTTCCATCTTGGTACTGTTATGCCCTGGAATATGGAGAGGGGCTCTCTTTCTTGCAAAGAGACAGACTCTATGAATTGCATCCCCCTTGTCTACTAGTAGAACAAATGGGAAGAATAACCCATCTGATCATGTGTGTTTATGTCTTTGTATAGCACCTAAACAAGGCACATCATCATGATCATGGATGCAATCCTAAGCATGCTTCTCTGGAAGGAAGAGAGCCCCTTCCTTGAAAGCTAATCAAAATCAACAGGTCATGCATCAGAGAAATTATGTCTAGGGGTGAGTGTGTTAATATGAAACACTCTTATTCCTCTTTCAGAAATCTAACCTGTGGAACAAAGTTCATCTCCCTCCCAAATGCACCTTTCTCTTTCTGTGCCCCTCCAGATTATTTCTCTTTTTCATGCCACCAGCGGCTGCTATAGCTTACCCACTGTATTTGGGGCCAAGACTGGAATACATCCACAAACGTGGGTGAAAACATCATACAAAAATGCCTAATAGATGACACAATGCATATATAATATGCATGAACATGTTTTTCAGTTTTACTTTTGAGTCCCATAATTTTAAAGCAAGCTGGTGCACACTGTAAAGGAGCCTCCACACCACCTACAAACAGCAAACCGGCTGGCTGTATTACAAAGCCTCTTAGTCTGCTTTGCTATGAGCAAAGGAGATACATAAACCCATTGGCTCTATGTTGTTCAAATTCCAGCCTGTGTTCAAGCCAATATTTCAGCCCAACCCTAACTCCTCGGGTGATACTTTGATGCAGTACAATTTTTGTTTGGTCTAGAGACTGCATAGAAATTTTAGTAACTACAGTGGTACCTCAGGTTAAGTACTTAATTCGTTCTGGAGGTCTGTTCTTAACCTGAAACTGTTCTTAACCTGAAGCACCACTTTAGCTAATGGGGCCTCCTGCTGCTGCCGCGCCGCCGGTGCCTAATTTCTGTTCTCATCCTGAAGCAAAGTTCTTAACCTGAAGCACTATTTCTGGGTTAGCGGAGTCTTTAACCTGAAGCGTATGTAACCTGAGGTACCACTGTGCTTCTTCACCAAACATGCCCCTCACATTTTCAAACCGTAAGAGTGTGGCAACAGAAACTTACACAATGAGCAAGAGACAAGGAAATACTAATATTTAAATATCTGCTCCAAAGTACACCACTGCAATAAAATAGAATTAATGAACTGCCCGAAGCCTACTTTGTCTTCACTCCAAAGGAAAGCAGTGTCCAACCTAGTGATAACAGAATAAACAATACAGGGAGGGAGCTGCAGCCCAATATAGGAAAAAAGGCAGTAAGGGAGCCCCTAGCTACTTTAAATGAATTTAAATATTCAGGGCCTGATGAGTAGCACCTGAGATCTTGTGGATGTAATCTCAGTCTCCATCTATAATTTTTGAAAATTCTTGAAGAATAGGTGAGGTCCCTGCAGTATGGAGACGTGCAAATGTTGTCCTAATCTTCAAAAAGGGAGGGAAAGACCACCAGCTTGACATCAATCTCAGGATCAGATAATTAAACAGCCAGCCTATGAGCACTTAGAAAAGGATGGTGTGATTACAAAGACCCAACAGGAGTTTCTCAATAAACAAGTTATAACAGACAAATCTCATTTCTTTCTCTCTTTCTTTTTTTGATAGTTACAAGCTTGGTGGATCAAGGGAATGTTGTGGAAATAGTGTATCTTGATTTCAGTAAGGCTTTTGGCAAGCTGAAATGTGTGCAGAGGGTGGCAACCATCAATCATCGAGGGTCTGGAAACCAAGCCTTATGAGGAACGTTGATAGAATTGGGTATGTTTAGCCTGGTAAAGAGGAGACTGAGGAGATATTATAGTCATCTTCAAATATCTCAAGGGCTATCATATGCAGGGTGGAGCATATATGCAGGGTTTTCTCCTGCTCTAGAAGCTAGGACTCAGACCAATGGTTTCAAGTTATAAGCTAAGAGATTCCAACATAACATCAGGAAGAACTTTCTGACAGTATGAGCTGTTCGACAATAGAACAGACTCCCTTGGAAGGTTGTGGACTTGCCTTCCTTGGCAGTTTTTAAGCAGAGGTTGGAAGGCCTTCTGTCAAGTATGAGTTGGTTGAGATTCCTGCATGGCAGGAGGTTGGAATGAATGACCCTCAAGGTCCCTTCCAACTCTACAATTCTATGAATCTATACTCAACTACAGTATATTCTGCTGATCAGTAGGTTTTAATTCTATACAACTCCTCTCTAGCCCACAGTACCCATGTCCATCCTTTTTATTACAAGGGCACTCAATTTAGGATCCAACGCCATCAGCATAATTCCCCACCCCACAGCATATGTGGCTTTGCCTCAATAGCTATTCTAATAGGTAATCAATATAAGACCATACATTTCAAAGTGGGTGGGTGGCTGATTTCAGGCATTTCTCCAGCAACAATACCACCTAATCCAGAAATTAAAGAGTATTTATTTGTTGAAGAAGCACTTGAAAATCCAGGGTTTGGGAGATAACTTCACTAGTTTTGAACAGCTGCTGCTCTCTCGTGCCAATTTTTAGAGCTTTCTGGTTTGTAAGCACCTAGCTTGTTGAATGTACTGGTCATCCATATGAGCAGCAGAATTCCTTGAGAAAACTAGTGTCTGGGCTTGGCTAAAGACTGCTGAATATGAAATACTAGGCAATAAAAACATTCCCATATATTGAACATTATAACTGTTCCAAGAAAAGTTCAAGAGGCTTGTCTTCCACTAAATTAACCCCACTTCCACTGACTATGACAAATACCCTTCTGACATATCTGTAAAGCTGGCAGAACACCTTCCCTTTCCATACCTTTGCAGCAGTCAGGCTGCTACCAGAAAAAGCAGGAAGAAAAATAAGATGTATTTTAGCAAAACCAGTATAATTAGAAGTAGAACAAAAATGAATTCAATAGCAAACCAATATGTACAGTGACAGATTTCCCAAGGGAAATGGATAATCTACAGTATGGTTTGTTCATTCCTCATTCTTATGCTCTGTTCTTAAAGTATGAAAGGAACCAAATATAGAAATCAACATTACAGGGGGACGGGAATGTTTAAATGTGAACAAGGTTTTGCTTTACCAGGTTAAACTAATAATCAGTGTTGATGGGTTTTTTTCCAAGTTACAGTTCTCGTCTCTAAACATGATGCGCCTATTTTAAAGACTGTAGATGGAGATATATATATTTCAGTTAAAATAAGAGACAGGTACCTATTGTAACTTGCTTTCCTGAGGCAATTTGGTTTTTTTTTTTTTAATACATATGCATTTACCAAAATATTTGCAAGACAATTCATTTCAACGGCCGTAAAGTCACAAAAGTGCATAAAAGCCTGAAGGCAGTCCGAGAGAACTTCAGCAGAACAGTCTTTCATTAGGGTGGTAGAAGAGTACGTATAAGCATTCACCGCGGTTAAGTGTTGATCTGGTGAGAAGAGATCTTCCTAAGATTCTCTGGTAAATACAGCAATAGTTCAAAAGTAGCAAAATGCTGTTTTAAAAGCGATGGAGCAGATCAAGAAAAATGAACCATAGACACAACAGTTAAGAGCAGGTGTGACAAACATTGGATATTGGTTCCCCCGCCCCAGCTATTTTGCAGTGTTGACATTAACTTACTAAATTTACCGAAAGAAGAAACCAGACAAAACTATTTGTACTGTAGTCTTGCTTGCAGCAACCACCTCCTGCTTCAGCCTGTTATATAATCCCACTTTTTGGTAAAAGGCAATACAATGATTTTTAGAGTTGAAGACAGAAGCTCAGATAGTCAAACATTCATGTAGAAGCAAGCATTATTAGGTGTAATAAAGAAAAAGTTGCAATCTATACTTCCAAGACTTCTGCAATAAAACATTTTACTAGTCACCCAGCAAAGAATACCAAACCCAAATACTGTACTGAATGATGCACATTGAAGCACCAAGATTGTGGTGCTACATTTATGGGTGTTTTTCTTAAAAAAAACACATCCCACCGTCAATTAAACGAAAGGTCTGATGTTTCAGTATCCAGCCAGGATTAAAAGAATGTTTCTCCTTTCCCTTCCACTCAAATGCTGTTCTAGAGAGAATTCGTTTGCTGAACAAGGCAGGTTGGTAAAAATCCTACAGCAATAGTTCTTCATTAATGAGATATACAATCATAGCATGAAGCTGAAAAATAGAGTATGAGCAGGAGAAAGGGCAGTGATGGGTAAATTTAAGGGTTTCCAAGTTGATGATGCTCATCTGTGAAAAGAAACAATTATTTCTGAAACAGACTAGCATTATTCAGTCAATGGCAAGCCTCAATAATTTGAAGACAAACTGTTAGTTGTCCAAGATTAACATGTTTTTCCAGCTCCTAAAATTGGCGTTGTAAGAGACGAGAAAACAAAACAGCACCTGAGGTGTTGGGAAGGCAATCGTGATTTTGCAATGTAAATTGCACCCTGGTTGCCTCTTCCCAATACTGAATGCTCATTTCACTGCATTACCAAGAGCAAATGGCCCAGATTCTACTCAGATTTTGGTGGCACACTGAGGTAGAAAGCTGAATAACTCCCAAACTGGGTTGAAAATGTGCTACTATAAACTTATCTTGAGTAGAAACAATTGGAAAACAGTATTTCAGAATTCAGAGCAAAGGGAGATTGTAGTGGAAAAAGCAAGAACATGAACAGCACAAAAATAAAGTTCCATAAGGAACCCTTTGCCACCAGTATTCTGGCTTCCTAGGTGACTATAACCTATGGACTATAACCACCAGTATTCTGGCTTCCTAGGTGACTATAACCTATGGCTTCCTCTTTATCATGGGATATTCAATTTACTCTGATATGCAGTGGGATTCAGGAACTCTTATGCAATTTCAGCACTGTCAATCCATTTTTTGTTTAATTGAGACCAGGCTGAGAACCGAAAAGGTTTCATGTTCTACTTCAGTCTTATGGTGAATTATGTTTAAATGTACAAAATTTACAGTGCAACACTCCACATATCTACTCAGAAATAAGTCCCATTGAATTCAATGGAGCTCGCTCCTAGGGTGTGTAGGATTGCGACCTTCATGAGCTACATCTTACTGGACCTTTAGCATTATGGCATTAAATTGTGTTCTGCATCATGGGGGAAAAAAAAAAGATTTTGCATATTTGCCAAATTTTGCATAGCATGGAAGTCCAAAAAGAACATGTTCTACTTAGAGGACTTCTCAAAATAGTGAAGAATCTCAAGTTACAGAGATGACTCCACAAACATCAGCTGGCCAACTCAACAAAATGCATACCTTTCCAGTCAGCTCAGTCAGGAAAAGCAAGTTTCTCTGAGTTACCAATGATTTCAGATGGTTTTTGTTTGCCTGTGAGGCGCTTTTGCACACATAACCAATTTCTGGCATAGAAGTAGTTCACATAACCCAACCTATTTCCAAATTAAATATTATCCTTGATTCTGCCCTATTACAAGACTGGAAAAACCTACCATACCTACTACACCCAATTTTAGAATTATTATACAAATGTGGACTATTAGTGGGAAACACTGCTTTGTTTGTATGTTTTTGAGATCACAGGGCTTTCTTTCAGTTTACACTGTAGTCAATTAACTGTCAAATAGTAGATGTTATAGTTAGCATATGGAGCTAGATTCTAAGCACTTCACAATAATATATAATTGTTTAATTGCTTGACCAGCATTATACCCAGTATTTGTGAATACAGGAAGAATAACTTTCACTTCGCTAAAGGTCATGGAGGGCAGAACTGCTATTAGAATTTAGGATTGTTTTTCACTGAAATGTAAACTCACTTACCGCCCCGCCCCTATATTTCATTTCAACAATAATTTGTGATAATACATTTTGCTAGGAGGTATGCCTTTAAAACAGATTACAACTGTTTTCAGATTTTTAGCTCTGTTGTAAGTTGAGACCATTAACTATCTATCCACACTTTGAATATATTTGTTTTATGTACAAAAAACTCTTCAAGAACCAGACGAAAGAACAAATTAGAATTCCTGTTTGGTTCTTTTGGCTATAAATATGCTAACACTTCTATTGACTCCCATGATGAGTTCAAAGTTAACTTCCCCATGCTCAATCCTCTAGTTTACTCTAGATGTATTAAACTGTGTCAGTCAGATTCATATGCTTTGAACAATCTAGCAATTAGCAGGGTGGAATTTTAAAAAGCTATCCCCAAGAGTAATGAATGTTTGAGAAAGGCTGGCTTTAACCTTGGGGGAGCAGGACTGGCTTGCTTATCACGAGAACAGACATCCCATGGAAGCGTCCAAACACCACATTCAATTTTTTTATATGTTAGAATTATACAACTGTGGCTTGCATAACAGATTCTTACATAAATCAATTTTTTAAGCATTTTCTATAATTTCTCACTGTGTGCCAAAACAAAGTGCTCTTATGTTAATGACCCAATTTCTTTTAAAAAAAGTCGCATGGCTTAAATTAACAGCCAACTGAAATGCATTATTATTTTTTATTGACTTCCATGAGCTTTGTTTGTGCCCCCACTAATAGAAGTACATATTATCTCATTAAAGATTGCTTTCTTTTAAAGACATGGACATTGTCAAGTAATAAAAGAGCTCTCCAGTGTGGTGAAGGTGCATAGGCACCAAGTCAGGTTTCCAGAGCTACTATAAATCTCTGAAATTGGTAAAATGCTAACATTCAGAAGCTGGAGATACATATTGTGACATCTGGAAACATGTCGGATGGGGAAAGACAAAATTGAATGTCATTTATACTTTTTAAAAATACAAAAAACAGAAAAGATAGTCAGCCTTCTTAAATATTACTAACAGTTACAAAAATTTCAGGTAAAAATGTACTGGACAGTGTCCCTTTAATATAACATACATTTAAAATGAGGAAGAAAAGTTTAAGATTACAAATAATCCATGACAACTCTTAATTTTAGAACCAGTCTGCCAAGCATTGTTGCTCACAAGTTCCATTCATTTTGCAACTGGCATGTACAGAAGCCTGTAGCACATGCCCTGGAAAAAAATGGAGGCTGCAAAGCAGCAGTGTTTGGTAGATCTTTCCCCAAGCCAGCCGGAAAGGTAGAATTCTTGGGCAAGTTTCACTATTGCCTTGCAAGTTTTTTACACTTTAAAAGGAATCTTGCAGACCTGCTTATTCTCAAAGCTTCTAGAGATAACCCTCTTTATCTCATATTTCCAGAAATTAAAGGTTCACATGGCACCAATTTTAATCACTAGTTATATAAACTAGAGCAGTTATACACAATAACTGAAAAATGCAATTGAGTTACACCCCAATTTGCTATGTAGTTGCCATCTGTGAAACCTAGGCTACACATTTGCCTATTTTGCTAACCGTTAACGGCCTTCAACACAACTGGTCATGTTTTGAAAGCTGTTGTTTTAGAACCCCCCCCCCCCCCCGAATTATCAAATCATTTAAAAGGACACACTCAGAATCTGTCATAATTAGAGTGAGAATGGCTTTGGTGGAGCCACAGGAACTAAATTTTCAAACAAACAGGCACCAAAGGAATTTCCTCATTCTACAAAACAACACTAACATTAGATTAGAAAAACAGGTGAAACAATATTAACCGAGAAGGAAGAGACTTGGGCTCAGTTCAGATGTCACAGCCAAACCATGGTCCTCAAACGAGTGGTTTTTAGTTTGGATAAAAATTATGGCTAACAGAAACCAACATTTGCACCATTCAGCCATCACTGCAAAATACGGCACATTGGGACATGGGGGGAATGCATGAGCCTGCGAGGGGAGAAGGGAATGCATGAGCCCAGGGTGTGTTCTTGAAGGCAAAGCCATGGTTTAGTGGCGGTATCTCAATTGAGCCCTAATCAGTATTTCAGAACTTATCTTATTCAAGGAAACAACTTGCTCCTGCCTGTCTTCATTCTATGAAAAAGTTTTGCAGAAACAGTGACAAATCCCTCTCTTGATTTCTGGGTTCATGGCTTACCAAGAAGGAATTAAAGAAGTTATGTTTTGGACCCTTACAAAATCCCACAACGTGTGTGTGCGTGTATACACTCACGCATCAGGGAGTGTGATTAAATTTTGAGATGAACAGCTCAAGGGTGGGAAAGAATTGAAAACATGATGCTTATACAGAGGCGAGTGTTTTATACATCCCCATACAAAATGTAAAAAAATTACTAGTTGGAAATATCCAATGGGGGGGGGGGGAATCTTGCAGAGGATGAAGCACAAGGCCTTGGAGACAAATTATCCCCTTCCTTCATCAAAACAGTTCGTTTTAACCAGCAGCATATGCATTAGCATTGGTTTAGTTTGGCTTGCAACTATTCAAAAATTCCCTGCTTCCATATTCTTGAGTTCCTGCCACTTCGTTCCCATGGCAACCTCCTATTTGGTGGGTGCAGGATGAAACCATAAAGATAATCTTACATATTATTTTTTTTAAAGTGCCAACACATTAAATGAGTGGGATCAGAGCAGCAGAAGACAAGCACCGCGGAATCTGACAGTGGTGGCAAGACATCAGACCACAGTTTGGTATTCTGAATCTTGAAGATCAAGCGTTCACGGCTTATGGCTAGACAAGTCTGACACTCGCGGAGTCTAGCCATCGGATCTAATGCCCCAACATAAAAAATAGTTTGTAGAAATTAATAATTTACACCATTTGAAACATTATTGCTTCAACAAATTCAGTCTAGTTCAGTCTAAAAATACACTGCAGTTGTGTACAACCTGGGCATGAATCAATAGCTATCGAAAGTAAAATTACACATGAACTTCTCTCTTTACACTCACACGGACATAATACTCTCAAACACAGGAGGAGGGCTGCAAACAGGTACAATGGCAGCTTAACGCCAACATTCTAAAACAGTTCTGAAGACCCAAACTTGCCTTAGATTTCTCACCTAACTTACATCAGCTATTTTTATTTTTTTTATTATTATTATTTCTTTTAAATTAAGGCAATGAGATGGCTACAGTTCCTAAAGTTCATTTCAGGGGAAACAAAAATATACACCTTTCTTCTTTCTGAACTTTAGGGCAGCAGCATATAATGTAGAAACTTGTATTACACAAACATGCAACGCCAGGTTGATGTAAAAAAAACAAAAACCCTCCAAAAAAAAAAGAACCCCCCCCAAAAACCCTAAATCCATGTTAAAAAATATCATTTGGTGTTTTCTCTTCTTCTTCTTCTTCTTCTTCTTCTTCTTCTTCTTCTTCTTCTCATTACACACACAGTTTTCAGAGGGGAAAAAATAAAGCTTAAAATTGTTTTACAGTTCTGTATGTGTCTAAATCACACACTAAAAGGGTTTATAGTAACAGCAACAAAATTAGGAATCTGAATCGTCACTATTTGAGGCCATTTGGGACAAGGCACTGGTTATTTTGACTGTGCCCACATCTGTATACACTTGTGGAATTCTTTTCTCTCCCTCTTTCTCTCTCTCTCTTTTTGAAGATTTCAGTTTTTCTGTTTATTCTGTACAACATAAAAAGGTATGACAGACTGTGGCTAACAGACATTAGCAGAAGCTGATTTTAGAGTTGACACCTCCTATTCCACTGCACTATATAAAAACTTCCAGGCTCTCTAAAATCTTGGATGGCTGCAAAAAACCCAGAAACAGGCGTTAAAATTAAGTCAGCTTTCAGCATTTTTCAGTGCATTTTGCAGAAAGGGTCAAGGTTAGGCATACAGTTCTGGTGTTTATTTTACACAGAGGAGACCACCGACATTTGACATAAAGTCTTCTAAACTTTTGAGGAAGGCCATCTTCTGCTTACGGTCCAAAGTTGGTGGAGTGCTGCTTGCGGTAAGCTTGTTGAAGGCATCTGCTAATCGCTGGTAAATTATAGGATCTTGTTGACTTGTTAATAATGTTTCAACTAATTCAGAATATTCTGCCTGTGAAGAAGAGAGTCTTCGTTACACGATAGAACACTAATTGATGTCCTTTTCATTTCATTATATATCATTTCCCAGTAAGCTTTAACCTTACAAGAAGACCACCACATATGATAAAAATAACCTTCTTTAAAGGATGTTTAAAATAACCTTTGTAAAAAAACTCCATAATCTTTTCTTTTGGGAATTATATGGACAGAACTACCTACAATGTACAGAAATTTATTCATGTATGCTATAAGATAACATACATGCTATAAGAAATCAAGATAATAAACTTTTTATAAAATAATGGAAATGTTTTCTTGAATATTTACAGATAAATTGTAAACATATAAGAACATTGGCAGGATTATTGTAATAATCCGCAGTTTTATAAGAGTATATATTTAAAGAAGATTAATAAATGAGCAAATTAAGTTAATTTGGATATGCAGAGGATACTAAAAATTAATTTAAGGAACTGCAGAAAGAGGGGGAAGGAAGTCAAGTTTTGAAATGTTAAAATGATTGTAAAATTAGTGAAATGTATAAAATTAGTGAAATGTATAAACTTGAAAAGTACAAATAATATTTGAAAAACTGGGGGGGGGGGGGAATCATTGTAATTGAAGAGGTATCAGCACTTCTATCGTGTAAATCCAAGGATTTCACATAGATCCTAGTATTACAGTGGTCCCTCGGATTACATACGCTTCAGATTACAGACTCCGCTAACCCAGAAATAGTACCTCGGGTTAAGAACTTTGCTTCAGGATGAGAACAGAAATCGTCCTCTGGTGGCGTGGCGGCAGCAGGAGGCCCCATTAGCTAAAGTGATGCTTCAGGTTAAGAACAGTTTCAGGTTAAGAATGGACCTCCGGAATGAATTAAGTACTTAACCCGAGGTACCATTGTATTAGTAACAGCCATTCGAGGTAGGTCAATATTTAATTATTGCAGTTCTGGGATTGTGTGTGTGTGTGTGTGTGCGCGCACATGCCAAGGCTTAGGAAGAGGGTCATGTCTCAGTCCACCAGGTGAATTTAAGGCTGAGGGTAAGGTTGCAAGAGGGAGCTTCAACCTCCCAGACACCTCTTACTTCTTCATGCATGCACAGGTCTCTTAAGATTCCTATCCATTATTAGAATTATTCTGCATGGAAATAGGTGCTGAACATTAGTGGTGAGAATAAATGCAGGATCCAAAGTTACTTGTTGTTAACTTCCTAGAGGCAGTTTATTCTCGACTCTGACGTAAGCTGCTTGACATTTTGAGAACCATCACAGCTGTGATCATTGGAAGTGAAGAGAATAATAAAAACGCAGAAGCTCATACCTGATGCAAACAGACTAACGTGTAAAACGCTTCACCCGCTGCAGCTGTCATTTCTGTATTGTGCTTTTGCAGTACCAGCATATCAAAAACCATCTAAATTGTAATAAAATGAAGTGACTTAATAACCTTGAAATCAGTTTTGTATACATGTTGACAGCTGAAAATCAAAACCTGCACTATAGAAGGCACGAGATGTCATAGCTATTCAAGACAGCCACAATAAACAAACTTTAAAATTGCACACAGATCTGTGAGGTGGAGGGAGGGAGTTGTTGAAATCAGCTCCTGTGAATGATTCAATGCATATTCACTGACTACTCCTTTATTTATTTTCATTCTGCCCTTCATATAATTAGAGAGTTTTACAATAAAACTGGCTCCTTGAATACATATGACTGCTTTGTTTGGTTGCAAACATTATTCTGCATTCAATATCAGAAGAAGGAATATTACATAGTGTGTATCCTAGCTAGGACCAGTGGTCACGGATGATGGGAGCTGCAGTCCAATGGCAGCTGGAGACCCAACTTTGAGAAACAATGCCTTAACAGAAGTGTTGTGCAACTGTCCCAATCCAGTTTTTGCACATGTTCTCATTAAAACTTTTGCACAAGCTCATTTTAAGAACTTGGCATGGCTCACTAGAGTTTATACCCCACACCTTGTATTCTCCTTATTTGCCATTTCTTCTACTGGAGTACAACCTTTGAGACATGTGCCAGTCGGGCAATAGTTTGAGGAACGGCACTAACACACTTTCTCCTTCCACTCATGTCTCTTTGGATTCGAGTTTCAGTTCATTTCTGATTCAGAACATGGATACTGACTTTGCTTTCTAGGGAAATAAAATGAATAGGTCCACGCTCGCAACTCACAAGAGAGTTAAGATACGGAACACCCCTCTTACCTTAAGAAAGTGCCTTGTTGCTAAAAAGAGGGATGAATCGGTTTCCTGTGCTTTTGCACACTGTTCTGCTAATGGGGTCAGAGCTTCCAAGCAGAGCTGGCAAACGTCTGAACTCATTCTGATTAATCAAAGTCAAGGAATCAAAAAACATTTGCTACTGAAAACAGGAACGTGGCATCAGGAAAATATCAGCAATTAGACCTTGTAACTTGCCAACTAGCTTTAAAGAACACAAAACCATTATAAAGAAATTTGTTAAAAAATTGTCACCATTCTCGTTACAGGCACAAGTCCAGACTTACAGTGGACCAACTGAAATCAATGGGACAAGTTATCACAACTAACTTAGGTCAACTTGATTTCCATAGGTCCACTCCAAGAATGATTATATATTGGTTCAACCCTACAAAATGTTTCCAGGAAAGGTTTCTTAATCAATTTTTCTCATGGTTCAACTCAAATGCAATTAAAGAAAGGGAAGAGAGAGTTTAGCGCTCAAACATGTACATGTAAGAGGGTCAGTAGATAGACACACATTGGCTAAAGGCAAAGGGAGGCACAGAAGTTCACCCAAAAGGATACGACGTCATCCCTAATTCTAAGGAATACATAAGGCTTTTAAACAAGTCTTCTGGAAGCTGTGGAATTTTCTCAGGGAATATTTCACAAATAAAAGTAATTAGTTTGTAGTATTGATTACACAGCGACGGAAACTATAGGAAGAAATAGAGAAATCTTGGTTAATTAGGCTTCTTAAAATACATACTTCTATTCTAGCACCAGATTATAAACACCAGATCAGTCAAAAACAAAATACTACAAAATACAATATAGATGTCTTCAGTTTATACATAGTCCAGATCCCGCAGGCTAGTTGTAAATTGTTAATTCAAAACACACAGGTTACGCAAAGAAAAATAATTTTAAAAGCTACGATTTAAGAATAAAAATTGCTGAATTATGGCAGGTAGAAGTCAATTTGATGTAAAAATATTCATTTGCATTTACAGTGCTACCTTGGAAGCCGAACGCCTTGGCTCCCAAACAAATCGGCTCCCGAATGATCAAAAGCCGGAAATGAGTGTTCCAGTTTTCAAATGATTTTCAGAAGCCAAACATCCTGCGCGGCTTCCGATTGGCTGCAGGACACTCAGAAGCTGCGCACTGATTTTCAAACGGTTCCGGGAGTCGAACGGACTCCTGGAATGCATTTTGTTCGAGAACCAAGGTACGACTGTATATCCAACATTTCTTCCAATGAATTCAAGGTGGTGTACAGAGGCCCCCCCCCCATTTTAATTTAAAGGCATTTCTGAAAAATTACAACTGGCTTCACCAAGCCAGTCCACTGAAAATCTGGGTGGACAGAAATAGCACTGTTGGGCTTCCCAGCAGCTTCAGTCTGTAGTAGGCCCCAAATGGGGTGTTCTGACAGGGTGGTAAGAGGCTGAGGCAGCTGGAAACTGAGCCTGCCCCATCGGCATTGGTCCAAATTGAAGCCTGATTGCTGTGCCAGTTCCAGGCTGCCTAGAAAAATTTGACTGTTCTGCAAGCCTCAGGCTAACACACGCATGTACATATGCTGTACAAAGCTCAGAAAAAGGAGAAAGTTTCCAGGAATGGGTTGGTATTCCCACCCAGGAACACAAGAGCAGGTAGCAGTGGAAAATGTACTGTTGTATTTAATGGCTTGGTGTATCTAGACTTGCGGGCTAAGAGTTTCAGTTGCCTTGTAAACCACCACCCTCTCTGCAATGTTGCATTCAACTGTACTTACTTTTAGCAAGTCTTGGGACATTAAAGGCAGAATTAGATTCACCCCATATAAGACAACGTCGGCCGCTGACACAGATCTACTTGTTGCTTGCCCAGGCTCATGTCCCCTAAATACTTCATCTAAAAGGAGAGGGGGATACAACAGCACATATGAAATATGCCTCATTAAGACAAATACAGGTACACATTCCCTTCCTGACAAGCCTGATATATAATGAGCACACACACTGCTTAAAAATTATTATGCAGAAGCAACTGGAGTTCAGAACAGGCATTCTAGTAAGTCCATCTTGAACTTGACTCTGGCCACTGTAGCTAGTCTTAATTTTCTTTTCAGAGGCACTAAGAAACAGAATGTTGCACACATACCAGTTCTGCATGTTCTGTGTCCACGACTTGGTACAGATGTATTTTTAAAGACTCACTATACGCAATGATGCAAAGAATAAATTGTGTAAAGTTACAGAGGGTGGATCAGATTCTTCTTTGGACTCCACAATGGACAAAAGGAATCTGAAACCCAACTAAGAAAGGAAGGAAGGCAACTCTAAAATAGAGAACTGCCATCAATTCCAGCTAGGGGATATTGAGCAATCCAACTGCATCACAGACTTAAGTTTGTGAGTTTTAAAAAAATTGTATTTACTCTTCAATTTAAAGTTGTCTAGAAATAGATGCTTTGAATATACTTCAAAGCAAATGCCTCCTAATAGTTTGGCTATAAATCTACCTTGTGGTAGAACGAATCTCTTTGGTTCAAGTACAGAAAGTACAAAATCTAGGCATTACATAAATTGGCCACGACAGTTTTCTGTAAAGTTCAGCATTATAAAGTTAAAATCTATCTCTAGGAAAGCTCAGTGTAGAATCTCATATAACCTTTAATTATAAACTCGGAAAGACTTTCAAACCTTACACAGATATAAACCAGGATTTACACATGTATGGTCCAAAGGTGATTAATGTGAGTCATTCACATTGAAGTTTCAATTTCAAGTTTGGTGCAAAAAAAATCAAAGAATGTGAATTCACTGCATTTCCCCATTGGATAAAAGTATCTGTGCGGTTTTTGGTTGCTATCTGAACAAGTTTACCCATGAATAAACATGTGTATTAACTAATTATATAATTTCCAATGCATTAAAATTATATAATTTCCAATGCATCAAAATGAATAGTCTCCTGTTTTAAATGAAAATGCTCTAATATTCTCATTAATTGAGAAAATTCTCAGGAATATTCTTGAGAGTATTCTCCAAAAGATTATTCTCGAGAATTTAACATCACTACTTACACTTAACACTTCCATTTAAGAGATTCATGCCCTGCCTTCCAGTTTATCAGAATTCCCAGCTGACTTCCAAAATTACACAATATTAAAGCATGAAACTTTAAAAATACAAAAGGAGCAAGCAATGTTTAAAAAAAAAAAGCAGGAGGGCAGCTTAAAAATGAGAGGGGAGGGGGAATAGCAGGAAGTTCCATAACTTAGGTATCACTGGAGAAAAGACCCTGTTAACTTGGTTGCCACATGCCCAACATTTAGAGGGACACTGAGATGGGGGGGGGGGGGGAGAATGATCTCAGTAGTCAAGTTTGTTCATATCAAAGCAGGTAGTTCATATTGAAGAAGGAATGGGGAACACACTGGCCTCCGGGAGCTGCCATTTATGTTGAGAGTTCAACAACATCTAAGGGCCACAGGTTCCCCACCTGAGCTTTAGATCAGGCATAGGCAAAATCGGCCCTTCAGATGTTCATCCCTAGCTAACAGGACCAGTGGTCGGGGATGATGGAAAGTGTAGTCTCAAAACATCTGGAGGGCCAAGTTTGCTTATGCCTGCTTTAGATACTCAAATGGCAAGAGGTAAAGTGCCCAATGCTTCCCACCCCCACTCTGAATCCTCTCTTACCTGTATCACTGAAATCTATAAATTCTTTTGAAAGTAAATTGGTAAGAAGTTCCATGATGAGAAGAAGATCCTGGTATTGGTCCTCTTCTGCTGTAACATCTATCCGCTGCCTACCTAAATTATTTTTGGAATACACTTGAAGTAGGGTCAGACAAGCTTCGTATAAATTCATGGCTTTAGACTACAAAGAAAAGAAGAGGGGGCTTAGTGGGAAATGTACGTTTGTTTCAGTAAGGACAGCCGCAAGCTTAAGAAACAATTTCCATTACTATTTACGTTGTTCTAACAGTCTCTAGGATACCATCTTTATTTATTTATTTATTGTATTTGTCACTTTATAGAAAAAAACCAAATTTCCTGCAAGTGCACACCCAACAATACAATAAGGAAGTCAGATCCTAGCCAATACCATTCGAAGATGAGCACCACAGGAAAGGTTTGAAATCACACCCAAATACAACCCCAAAACTTAACCACCAAAAGCCTAGATAAAAGAAAACAACTGAAGCTTGGTGCCTAAAATCTGAGTGATGGCACGGCGTGTGTTTCCCCAGGGAGAGCATTCCACAATCAATTTCTCATTCTTCAAGAGCCATTTTCAAGTTCCTATGGGTGTAACTATCTGCCACTTACTAATAAAGCATTCAGCAATACTGTATGTGTTGTCAAGAACCAAATGCCTACTTTTCTACTCATGTAAGGATTTAGCATTATGAGAAGGAGTCCAGTTTATGCTCTTTCAACCTCCTCTCTTCTTCTCAAGCGCAGCTTCATAAACTGTGGCTTAAAGCGAGCTTGTATCCACTACCATAGTTAAGGTTAACCACATTTTGTTTTAGGCTGGACAATATGGCAAACTGCAGTACGTCACAAATGGATGCAGAAGTATGGTATTTGCGGTGGCCACTCTTCACCCCATTGTTTCTTGAGACAGACGGATGCCAACAACAACACGAAGGAGAGGGAAGCATGTGAGCCTGGGAGGAAGGCTAGTCTTGTTCTTGTAATGTTAAACTATGTTAGTGCTAGGTCCAAAACAGCCCATCCTGCAGGATTTTTGATTGACTGAACCAATTCCAGAGCGGTAAATATATTAAGTTTGTTGCAGCAAAAACCACAAACCTAACACGGGTACCTTGAAGGCATAACAAATTAATTGTGCTGCACTCCTTAATGGGCTAGAGACCACTTCATCAGATGCATGAAACCCAGATGCATGACAGATGTATGTTTATGTGTTATATGCACACGCATGTGCACACAGACTAGCAGTGTAAGAGATAGGGCTGTTCTGTTGCTCTGTAGAGGACAAATGCTCATGAGTTCAAGCCAAAACCATTCCAAATGGGCAATGGAACAGCATAGAAAAACACCTAAAAATGGGCAAATACTTCTGCTAGTAAGCCAGAAACTTCCAGTCTCTAGTCAGCCCATCTACTAACATCCCATCTGTTTGTGAACTCCATCTTAACAGCTTCATTGTCTGTGCTTCCCTATGGAAATTTTCTGCTGCTGTATGGCTAGCTGTCCAGGAATAGATTTACTGGAAATAGAATACAAGGCAGTTCTTAAGTTTGAAAGGTCGTGGGCAGGTAGGGCCTAGAATAGCCTGAAACATACACCTCAAGTACCAAGGGAAATTAAAAGGGCTGAGCATTGATTGCCCAAGTGCTCCAGTCTTCAGAAACTTGCACCCCACACCCACGCCCAAATTGTGTATTTGCGCCGTTATTTACCTCTCCAAGATAGCATATTTGTTTATGTGCAACTTCAACAAAAACTTCTATAATGAGGTTAACAGTCTCTGGTGTATTCTTGTACACCTCCATGAGTCCAATGCAATTGGTGAGGAAGTCCATTAGAAAATTAAAGAGAATTGCTACATTGTCTATCTGCGTAGCCTCAGCGATGCCGCAAAGTGCCTCTAAGGTGGCAGTGATTTCCTGTTTCACCTCCTCCTCTTGACAAATCTGCTGGAAGTTTTCTTGGTTTATCACATTCAAGAACCGCTGCTGAAGTGGTTGAAGGACCTACGGAGGAAGAAGCAAAACAGAATGTATTGCAGTTTCATGTTAAACCAGTAACAACAACCTCAGCTGGGGGTGTGAAATTTCTGACATTTAACACTTAGCGAGAGCAGCTCTTATATTAGAAAGGCAGTATGTCTCTGAATGCCAATGGATGGGAATTGAGGGCTATTGTGCTCAGATCCTGCTGCTGTGCTTCCTATAGGCCTCTGGTTGGCCACTGTAAGAACAGAATGCTGGACTAGATGGGCCACTAACCTGTTCCAGCAGGGCTTTTCTTGTGTCCTTACAGAGCCATGCCATTCCATAGGAGACAATCTGAAGAATAGCCACTGAAACCCTGTTCACTCTCCAACTTATTTGGAAGCCAGCCTGGCCTCCAGGAGAATTAGGGGTCTTTTGACTATAGCTCAGGAACGCCCTTTGTCAGGCTTACAGTGCTACTTTGGTTGTTGAACGCAATCCGTTCCAGGAGTGCGTTTGACTCCCGGAATGGTTCAAAAACCAAGGCTTCCAATTGGCGGCAGGAGCTTCCTGCACTCAATCGGAAGCCACGGACACCGCATTGGGCATTCGACTTCCTAAAAACATTCGCAAACCAGAACATTCACTTCTGAGTTTGCGGCGTTTGGGAGCCATTTCACTGTACTCTTTAGAAATGTGTCCCCGTTCGACAACCAAGCTACCACTGTATTTCCCATTTTAGTGCCGTTCTGCGAATCTGTGAAGACCACTATACCTTTAGGAGCTAGTGCTCTTGCTGTTCCTACTTATTTTTGCTGGTGGTTTTGTACTTATTACTGCTCTGCAGTAGAAAAGGCTTCCCAAGCAGCTTACGGAAGATCAATAAAAACAAGGCAGTTCCTGCCCATGAGTTTACAACCTGATTCTTTCACCTATGCTATCATACAAATGTTTGTCCTTCACAACTTACTTCTGATAGTTTTTTGTCCCAGTGACATCATATAATACTAACACTTGGTTCTATGTGGCTAAGAGGCTCCAGTAATTATTTCTGCAGTACTAACGTCAACTACATGATAAAGGTAAAGGTCAAGGACCCCTGGACTGTTAAGTCCAGTCAAAGGTGACTATGGGGTTGTGGCACTCATCTAGCTTCAGGCCAAGGGAGCTGGCGTTTGTCCACAGACAGCTTTCCAGGTCATGTGGCCAGCATGACTAAACCGCTTCTGGAGCAACAGAACACTGCGACGGAAACCAGAGCGCACGGAAACGCCGTTTACCTTCCCACCACAGCGGTACCTATTTATCTACTTGCACTGACATGCTTTCGAACTGCTAGCTTGGCAGGAGTTGGGACAGAGCAGTGGGAACTCACCCTGTTACGGGGATTCAAACCACCAACCTTCCGATTGGCAAGCCCAAGAGGCTCAGTGGTTTAGACCATAGCACCACCCATGTCCCTAACTACATGATACACTAAGACTAATGTTAAAATAAGCTGGCATTTAAAGGTTTGCTTGAATTCTATCACATGCAAAAGGAGATGGGAAGCCTGTGGTCTTCCAGGTAGTGTTGGGACTCCCAACTCTTACCTCTGTCCAGTACTGCTGTTTGGTATCTGTGTCCATGTGAGCGAAACCTCCGAGAACTAAGGCTTTCATTAACGTTCGTTGCACAGAGCTAGACAAAAAGTGAAGAGGTGGGTTCCGCCGGGCAAACTGCTTTGCTAAGTTCCACCAGTTCTCACACTGAATCACTAAATTTGCCCTAAGAGCAGAAGGAGATTTAGACAATGTAGCTCAAAAGTGCACAGCAGTGACACAAATAAAGATTCAAAAGCCCTAAATGAACAAGGCATATGGAGGACCCGTTTTCATCCATGCCACTTTTGTAATTTTTAAGCAGGTTTCAGTGGCGGCCTCTTCCACGTGCCCCAGCCTTCCTAGATTAGGGGAGTAACCAGAGAGGTATTTTCCGCCTGGATTAGGTTGTTACAGAAAGATATAATACCCACATACAATAGCTTTATTTCCTTAAAAAACAACCCCTAAAATTATGGTAAGGATTAAAAAACAACAATATAGTGGTATTGTTAAGAACTTAATTCGTTCTGGAGGTCCATTCTTAACCTGAAACTGTTCTTAACCTGAGGTACCACTTTAGCTAATGGGGCCTTCTGCTGCCGCCGCACTGCCGCTGCATGGTTTCTGTTCTCATGCTGAAGCAAAGTTCTTAACCCGAGGTACTATTTCTGGATTAGTGGAGTCTGTAACCTGAAGCGTCTGTAACCCGAGGTACCACTGTAATCTAAATCAGCCTTCACCATATTGGTGCCACCCAGATGTTTAGGACTACAGCTCCCATTAGGCCCAGCCAGCTGATGCTCATAACATCTGGAGGGCAGCAGGTGAATGAAGACTGATCGATGCACTGGGGATTCTTTCGAAAAATGACAACTATTTCCAGCAGTAGATGTGCAAAAGTGAATGCAGAGCCGGCGGTGAGATTTTTTTTTGCAGGGGGCACATCTATTTCTGAGGTCATTCTTGTTCCTCTTGTGCTCCCAAATTGAGGTCTTAAAAATGCTGATGAAACAAGCTGTGGAACTCTCTCACTAGGCCTATTTGCCTGGCATCTTCCTAACTACATCTTACAGTGTAATCCTACTTACGTCCACCCTGTACAGGACTGCAGCCTTAAGCACAAGGTGATGTCTATCCTGTTTCTTTGGGCTTTTTAACGATATCCAGTTGCATTTTATGATGCCATTTATTATCTATTAATTTGTGAACTGCCTTTCACAAGGCCTTAAAAACAACTAAAATAATTGTTACAAGCTGTAGCGGAACATAAAAAATGAACATCTAGGGCACAGACTTTTTCATCTAGCTGGGAAAGCTTGTTGAAACGAGAATGTCTTCAACTGTTGTCTTGCTGTTACAACTCCTTTGGGCTGCTTTATACATACTTGCATGCTCATCACTTGGTAACAGTGCACCCTGGAAGTCCTGAACCTGTGTGCTCTGAACTCACCTTGGATTTTGTTCTCAGAATGAACAGTGTAATTAAATGAGTAGCTGAATATTCCTCGCAAACACTGGTTATCCTTATTACCATCAGCTTTGACGGGGCCAAGCCAGAAGAGAGGCTTTACAAATAGCAATTTGCAAGAGAGTGGGATTTTTTGGGGTTTTGTAAACTTTCCCTCCTGATGTACATTGAACCTAAGCTTTCTCAGGCACCTTGCAGCTGCTATTTATATAAATGAAAAACATCAGTTGCATTCATGCAACTAGCTAACATCAAAATCTCAACCAAGAATGCTGGGGGAAAGGCAAATCTTTTTCTTTCAGCTTGTAACATTTAGGCTTACCTCTCTCTCCTTTCTACCAACGTTACTAGCAACTGTACGGTGTCATTTGCAAGGTCCTGCTCAGAACTCCACACGGCAAGGTTGCTGATTACTTTTTCTAAGAGGTAACCCACAATCCATTGAGCGCCCTCTGTGTCAGCACCAAATGCTGTATTGAATGGCAGACTTATCTAGAAAAAAAGGAGGAGAAAGGTAATCCATATTGTACCTTCACAAGCAGCACAGAAAGCACTCTCCCATGAAAATATGCTGACAATTTTGAATAGGCTAAGGAAGGGTTGGGTAGCCTGTGCTCCTCCATATTTTGCCCAAATATTATTCCCATAACCACTGGCCATGCTAGCTGGACCTGATAAGAGTCCAACAACATCTCGAGCCAGGGATTCCCTTTACCTGGGCGAAAGCAAATCTTTTGAGATGTGTAAGTTATACAATACTTTGATAAGAATATTCTCAAGTTCATTCCCTAATGCGGCCATGTTCACATGTCACAGCAGATCATGTTCCAAACACTTACGTTTTCTGTCTTGCCTAATAATTTATTTAACAAATTTTATATATCCCTTGACTGTAAGAAAACCTCTCGGTGGTTTTCAAAAATATAAAACAAAACACTGGATTTCTCCATATGTATGGGCTAACCACAATTTAAGGATGCTGTAATTATAACTGGAGGCACAGGATCCCTGGCAGTCCTGCATGCATATGTTTTCAAGTTAGAAACAAAGGTCTATGGTCTGATTTGAGCCCTAATCTGCATATGCAACAGAATGAGGTGGTAAAGGAAACTGCAGCATTTCAGGCCAAAGGTGGGGTACGCCATTTTAGGAATTTCCCCCCATATACGAACTCCCTGTGAGTAAAATGTTAGCACATCAGACAGAAAGATTCTATAATACTCTCTGCTATACAGTCGTATCTTGGATCTCAAATGCCTTGCGACTCAAACGTTTTGGCTCCTGAACGCTGTAAACCCAGAAGTGAGTGTTCCAGTTTGCAAGCGTTCTTTGGAAGCCAAATATTTGGCACGACTTCTAATTGAGTGCAGGAAGCTCCTGCAGCCAATCGTAAGCCATGCCTTGGTTGTCGAACGTTTTTGGAAGTCGAACGGATTTCCGGAACGGATTCTGTTCAACAACCAAGGTACGACTGTTCTAGATTTCTACTTGCAGGCAGGTTTTTGTTTTAGATAGAATTCAATCCTTTGCCTGCTGGTGGTCCGGTCTAATTGGATCACCTCAGAGTTCTAGCACCTCATCCCCAAGTCATGCTGCTGTATTTACTCTATTTAGAATAAGTAGTGAGCAAGACTAATAATGCAAGGTAGAAGCTTAGGCCTTCCCTAGCAAATTCATCACCTGATTCACCTGGTACATTTAAATGGAGGAGGGGGGAATGCTTTTAGATTAAAATAGTTTTACCTGGTCATACAGTTTTTCATCTACTAGGAGATAGGTTTTTGCCCACCGCTTAAGGAACCATACAATGTCTTTTCCCATTTGCGGGCTCAGGAGGTGCGTTAAATCTGCTCTTATTGCTCGAGATTCCACTTCTGACACTCTTAGAATAGAAGACAATAACCTGAGGAAAATTAAAGACACCATGATTCTCCCCCTGTGTTCTCCCGTTTATCTATTTCCTCACCACACACACAGGCTTGAAATCTTCAAAATAAGGGGTGGGGTAGACTGAGTGACATGATCAGTACTGGGATTTCTTAAGGGCTGGGTGTAATTGTTCCTGTTTGGAAGAGTATGTTCTCAAAGGATTCTCTTAGCTCCTTCATGCTCTAAATGACAGCTATGCTGCCTGCCTTGCAGACTAGTATGTGCTGAAGAGTCATCTACATTTGCCTGGGACTCAGGTTACTAGAGAAGAATTATTTCCCTAAGACCCAGATAGTGCTGGGAACACACTCTAAAGTTCTTGAAGCGTCTGTTGAAAGACCTGCCAATTTTAATGTCTCAAATTGGTCCAAAGCCACAAAGGGCTGTAATTTTGTAATTACTTCAATGGTAAAGTATGCAAGCCGGTGAATTAGACTAATAATAATAATAGTCATTGCTCAATGGTACAGCATGTATTTCACTGCATAATGTCCCAAGTTTAGCTCCCAGCACCCAGAATACAGGTTCTTGTGTAGCAAAACTGGGACAGATTCGTGATCTTAGAAAGCTTCTTCTGCCAGGCAGAAGACAGGGCTGGGCTATTGGTCTAGATGAGTATAAGGCGACTCTTTAGAACTCTATTTTTGTCCACAAGGTGTCTCTGCAGTGGCAACTGTACTATTTAAAGGGGAAACTGTGCTCATGGATATGTAATGAACAAACACCTAGGAAGTAACTGCAAACCCAAATGTGTTTACCATGTATTATGTGAAGTGGTTCTTAAGGATGCTTGTAGGGCTCTGGAAAGCCATTATCAATTTATTCTCAATTTTGTCTTCCAAAATACTGGAACATGGTAAATATTATTTCTGTTGCCACTTCTATACCCATCTTCCCTTACATTTATTGACCAGTGCCGTGATTCCAAGACTTGCAGTGCTTCTAAGAAAATACTCAGCCACTGCAACATCACAATACTGCAAATCACATTCCATCTCACGGCACAATATTTCCCCCCAGCATGTATAAATATTGTCAACTTAAGGGTCACATGCGCAGCAATCAAAACATTTTATATCGTTTCTTGAAGAACATTAGCTGTCAAAAAGACTACAAGTTTAACATTAATTTGAACTGAAACAGGGGATGCTGTAAATTCAGTAGAATACACTATCACTTCCTCAAGATGAGATTGTGGAAACTGGCACTGCTCTTGTAAAAGAGAGGAAACCCTTCAAGTATTCCCCTTAAAAGTCAATTGAACTCCACATCTAAAATCCGTTTTGGAAGCACACAATTGGTTCTGTGAACTGCAGCCCTAACAGCCAATAGCTTGCAGTTGAAAAAAATCTACCCCTTTCAATGACTAGAATGGATTTTGAAAACCTCATACTGACTTAAGACAGTGTACGCTTGGGCCCCTGCTAAAGATAGAATTTTTATTAATTGTTTCTGCCTTGTTATGATATATAAATATATACTTCAGTGGATAACCTGCAGGTGGCATTTCTACACATGCCCACAACTCACTTCACTTCCCATTATAAACTACTTACTTGTCTGTTCAAACACTTAGCCCCCTCCGGACTTGGTGCTTTTGTCTAGTCATAGCTGCTCTTGCAGTGAAAACTGATTTTAAATTGCAATGCAGCACTAACCTCTCCTCAAAGCAGAGCAACCTTTACAGATTTACTTCTTCCTCGACCATCAACTCTAGGTCAATACGGCAACTTGCCACGAAGCCTATTTAACACTTTTTCACCATGAGTGACATTCACAATGCTCACATGGATTAAATAATCTACGGTGTTAGCCCTATCTACCTCTGATTTGTTTTCAATATTTGGCATTAAAATACTAAATAAGTTACCTAATAACAGAATCGGTTCTGTTGTACCCTGGAATGGAAGAGGCCTTTTCTCCTGGAGATCCAAGAATTTGAAGCGTTGTATTGATGTCAACCTCAGTTGAATGCTTAATGGAATACTCCATTATTTCTGGAGGTATTAGCGGAGTCTCTCCCTGAGTATCATTAGCTAAGAGGTAGCCTTAAAATTAAAAGCAAACAAACAAAAAAAAGAAAGTAGTGACCTCAGGTTACCTGACCTAAATTAAGTACTGCTTTAAGGGCCATCAGAAGAGATGTTGAGAGCATTGGCATCAACATTTGACTATATTCTATCAGATGCTTAAGCTGTAACTTGCATTTACGTTACCATATTTCAGTTTTCTGCATGTGGGGGACACATTCTGAAGAGTACAATGAAATATAATCACTGGGGTGGAAAGCAGCAGGTAATAGGAAAAAAAATACTTATCACTGTAAACTACCACAGCAAATGTAAACTAACTTTTTAAGTAAGTGCACAATGCAAATAACCTTCACAAATGTCAATTCGACCCTTTTTCACGTTCACTGTGCCTGCAGCAAACCTGAAACATTTCAGAAGTTCTGCAATATTGGTAGTCCAAAGAAACTGACTTTCATTTCAGAGGGAATACAAAAAGGCTACGAGTATGTCATTAGGAAGATGCGATAAAACAACTGTAGCCCTATGGAGGAAGAACCTATATATTATGAGGAATATATAGCATGTGAATCATGCCATTCCACCTGCCCTTGAACCTGGTGAATGACTGCAAGTCTATGCCTCCTGTAGCATTAAACTCCATTTGAATGTGATACCCAGCAGGTGGCCGTCTGGCAGATTTGAGGGGGTAGGCAAGGGCCTTATTGGCTGGTGTGGTCCAATCTCAAAACTTGGGAGGCCCTACAAATAGGTCCTAGTTCAACAAACCTTGCTTTGTCATCTGGTGAAAAGTTTTAACCTTTCAAGAAGGAAGGTTCGACAAATGGCACGTCAGCGAAATTTTGCTGTAAGGAGACATTCAAGTCTACAAACACACTGATGGGAAGTCGTCAACCATTCGTATGTTACGTACCAATACTCTTTCTCTAAAACAGAACTATTAATTCTTCAAATGTCAGCCTGAACTTATCGTGGTAGGGGGTGGCAATACACTGGAGGTAAATGTGACGTTCCGTTCATGCTTATTAAGGGGAAAGTAGTTTGCACTGTGATGAAGCTCTTGTCTCTGGAAGGTCTTTCCTCTGCTGCCCCTAGCTTGGTTAATGGGTGAGGGTCTGGGATTGACATTAAGGGGAGCTGCTAGTGAAAAGTGGGCACCAGGGCTTATTTGCTGAGGGAGAATGTGTAGAAGATACTGCTGCTGCTACATAAATTCTGGCTCCTTCAGTAGCAGCACTTTTGTTTGCCACCTTTGCATTCCCTTCCTCTTTTCAAGCTGGCTCTGGCCTCTGGACCCGCTTGCTTTAAGTAAAGCAAGAAAGCTAAATCTGGGTGGAATGAATCTCCGCCTCGGTTGGTGATAGTGGAATATGGGAAGCAGCTATGCTACAGAGTCAGACAATTGGCCCATCTACCTCAGTAATGTCTGCGCTGGCTGGCAGCAGCTCCCCAGGATATCAGGCAGGACTCTCTCCCAGACCAACCTGCAGATGCTAGGGATTAAACCTGGGACTTCCTGCATACAAAACGGATGCAAACTGGCCTTGGCAGTGGCAGCTATCGCCTCCACTAAGGTTATTTTGCTAAGCTATCTGTGCTTAAGTTTCATTGTCTCAGTGCTAGTGGGACTAAGTGGTGAGGCTTTCTGAACTCTGAAGGAACAGACTCCTTTTAAGATTCCCTGAATATTTAGGGCCATCAAAAGAAGTGGGGGGAGAAACTTAAGGTTGGGGGGTTGATAGCCTGTTGAGCTGAGTTTCTACTGGAAAAGCCATTGCGGCTAGGCAGCACCAATGGGCAGTGAGAAGAAGAGAAACTGCCTCTCCACTTCCTGCTTCCTGGCTTACAACTGTAAGAGCAGCTTCATCCCAATGTAAACTGTTCTCCCTCAGCAACAGAGAATTAATGTGTTGTTTACTGGTACTATCCTTTACCCAAACTTCTTCTTCAACAGATGCACACCAGAGGCACAAAGAAACTTTTGCAAATGGAGTTATTCATATTTGATCATTCTTTATTTTATATTTGATCATTCTTTATTTTTATGAGGGCGCATCCTCATGTGTGAACAGCGTACACACAACTTCCATTGTTAAGCAAAAACTACCAAAACGTCAGTCAAAGCAGCACCCGCTTCCAACGGTGCAACATCAGTGGTTTTGTGTTCAAAGATTTTCTACTCACCTGTGACTAGGATGAGCCAATGAATGTCCTCATATAGGTCATCAAGCGCTTTATTGTCAATAGAGGCTGACCCGGCTGAGCCAATTAACTGCTGATGCCTTTGCAACTGTCCATGAAGCCTCGTCACTCTGTCTTCTAATAAGCTGAGGGAAAGTATTGAGAAAACTGGATCGTAATTGCATTCACTCTGGAGGAAACCCCTGTAAGCACATTTACAAAGGACTGCCACAGTCCAGAAATGATTGAAGGCCATACCTTGTAAGAAGAGGTATACAGTGTTCGGCAGCAATTCTTCCTAACATGCCTACGCTGGCCAGCTGGTCACAGAACTGCTCTCTGTCATCCTCCTGCAGCTCACTTATTTCTTCCTCTTCTCTGGAGGCAACACCATTCGCAGTCTGACATTGCAATGAGTTAAGCAGATGTTGAAAAGAAGAAGAAGAAGAAGAAGAAGAAGAAGAAGAAGAAGAAGAGGAGTTTGGTTTGGATTTGATATCCTATTTTATCACTACCCAAAGGAGTCGCAAAGCGGCTAACATTCTCCTTTCCCTTCCTCCCCCACAACAAACACTCTGTGAGGTGAGTGGGGCTGAGAGACTTCAGAGAAGTGTGACTGGCCCAAGGTCACCCAGCAGCTGCATGTGGAGGAGCGGGGAAGCAAACCCAGTTCCCCAGATTACAAATCTACCGCTCTTAGCCACTACACCACACTGGCTCTCTGTGAAGTTCCAGTGAAGTTCCTTCACTGGTACACAGAAAGATACAACTCCCTGGCTGCTTGTTAACTGTTATTCCCCCCCCCCTCACCCCCCCCCTCGGTACCTCAAAAACAAAACATAGATTCAAGAAAGTCTGGCTGGTTTCCTCACTTTCTCTTCCCACAGGTAGAGGAACTAGAAACACCATTTAAAATTGCTGAAGACATCACAGTAAGGATGCAAGGCGTGACTTCTTTCTGAGGGCCTCTTTCAGCCCTCTTTCATTTATGCAAACCGTCAAATAATACTCTTAAACTTCAAAGCCTCAGCTGTTTCCTGAAGAGTGCCTCTCTACTTGAAAATCCTAGCTGCTACTTTGATATCAAACAAGCAGCCTCTGCCATGCCAGCTGTGGCTTTTAAATGGTTACTCATGGGAGGAGTGCCTCATCATGCAGACACCTAAGATTTAACCTGTATAAACAAATTACGCTAAAATTGCCAAATTATAAATTCAAGGACTTCATTTACTAAGTATTTCTTGTACTGGCACTGATAAGCTTCTAATAGTGCTACCATGTGCATTAACCATGCTTTGTACAGCATGTGTAGAAACACTGAGGCACTTCAATATACCTTAAAAGGGCAACAATGGGCATTCCCTAAAACAAAAGGAATACGGCTTCTGATAGGTACTCGCTCTCAAGCAATCTACATAAAAAACTGGAAACCAAGCAAAAATTATATCCATTTTGTCCTTTAAAACACCGCAGAAGCTTGCTCTCTCTTCCTGGCTTGATAATACCCTACACCTTGAATTGTCAAAACGTAAAACCTTAATAATTTTGCAGTAGATTATATCTGAGATATGAAAAAACAACAACTAGATTCCGACTCTTCAGAACTTTAAATGGCAGACTAAGAAAGCTGGAGGAGGCTTAAGTCATACCGACAAGGAAAGGACTGCCCTATTGTTGCTATTTGGTTAGGGTTTTTTTCTTCCGATAGGTTTAGACTTGTTTAAATTGGGAATTTTTAAAATCCATTTTTGTTGTAAGATGCCTTGGAAACAGTTACAGTGATATATAAATTTAGGGCTCAGCTCACACTGCAGGAGCCTTCCCCAATCAGGTGCCCTCTTGATATTTTGAACTATAATCCAATAGGTGCCAGCCAGCATCAAGGAAAGATCCCTTTTGTTTGTGGAGTTACAATTCTGGATCCAACCCATAGTCGATAGGTAAAATTACTTCTGCTATTTAGTGTGTGGTTTGTCATGGGCAGGAGACAACTGGAGCTAAACAGCAGGAAGAAAAAGCTCAGTCAAGTGTCTTTCCTTTCTTGTAAATATTTCAGCCTCCTCTGTTAATTTTAATATTTATTTTATTGTAGGCAAACCAAAGCTTTTTAATTACTCTGCAACCCCAGACCTTCACTGACAGCTCAAGAACTTACCAAATTCCTTGTACCATCAGGAGCAGCTAAGTGGCACTGGATGTAAGAATTAAAAACCTGAACAGCATGTTGGGTAAAGAAGCCTTTATGGAAATGTTTGTCATCTTGTACCAAAGTAAGCCATGATTCCAAGAGCTTGTCATATGCCTCCATGTATACCATGTCGTCTTTGTCAAGCTAAGGAAGCAGAAGAAAAAGACCTGTTACCCCGCAAAAAGTTGCCCAGGATTTCTTCAAGTTACACTACTGTGCCTATTAAGAACAGAAGGACAAAGTGTTTTCAATAACACACACTCGCAGATTATCAACGCATGTACCACTCATTCCGAAAACAGTTCATAGTTGGCACTTTCTGGAGAAAGATACTTTTTAGTGGAGCCAAGCATCTAAAACTGCAGACAGGCTGGATCCAGACAGCTGGTTGCAAAATCAACTAAGACACACCACCACCAGATGTAGCCACCTGTGCCACCTCAAATGCCATTACAGAGGGTCCCTCAAGTCTCAGAGTTGGCTTTTCAGGGATGTAGGGGGGTTGCAGCACAAATGAGGCTGCGAAACCTGTTTGGGGAGCAGAACTCAACTTGTAGTTCTTAGTATCTAACCCATTTCGACCGTAACAAAGTGGGTAGGTATATTTTGATGAATATGACATCTTTTTGTTAATTCGTTTACTTTTTTAGAAACCCCCCCCCCCCAAAAAAAACCCCAGCAATCTATTTTGCCCCTGAAAAACATCTTTAACATTCTGAGCATAAGGAATCATTGAACACAATGCCTCCAGTCAGTCAGTCTTCCATAGTAATAAGTGCTCTCTCTTGCGGGCTCTTTTTTGCAAGTTATGAGGTCTCAAAACTCAAGGAAGTGTTTTAGCTATCTAACAAAAAACTAAAAAAATCCAGTAGAAGCTCAGAGATAAGCTTACCAAAAAGTTGTCTTATAATAATAATATTCTTCCTTCTGAATTTCTTTAAAGATGATTAGAAAATTCAACCAGCTTCTTCACTGCATGGACAATGGAATTAGAATAGACTCATAGCCCTTTTCACATATTGGTAAAACTGGATATAATCAACATGCAGTGAGATTGTCCAAGTTCAGTTCTTATGCCAAGTATACTCACTGGGCCGGCCTCACATACATATCATGGAGTCCCAGTGGAGTCCCATGATTAAATCATTGTTGTACTACAATAAAACATGACGACTGAAGCTGCCTGTTAAGCTGAATAGCTCCTCCCCTAAATGAAACTGGAAGGCCTTGTTTCCTTTTCCCAATCTCAAAATTCTTTTTTACACCCAGCTACTCCTTCCCCTTCCTCACAACCACACAGACGAGAAAAGCCTACTTATGTACCCCACCCCCAACCAAAGCACATAGCGATTGTCGAGAGATGTAACGCTTTTCCGAACTGAATTATTTCGAATGTGCTTTGTGCTAGGTGCTGATCAATGTTATCGACTTCAGTCCATATGGCACAACTTTTGGCTTGTTGCTGATCCTTGCTCTTCTCTGCACATATCAGGAGGGACTTCAGGAGTGCCATGCACAGTGGTACCTCAGAAGTCAAACGGAATCCGTTCCGGAAGTCCATTCAACTTCTAAAAGATTCGGAAACCAAGGCACAGCTTCCGATTGGCTGTAGGAAGCTCCTGCAGCCAATTGGAAACTGCGGAAGCTGTGTCAGACGTTCAAGTTCCAAAGAACTTTCGTAAACCAGAACACTCACTGCAGCCTTTGGGAGCCAAAATGTTCGAGTCGCAAGGCATTCGGGATACGAAGTATGACTGTATTGCACTTGGTTTTTGGAGCAAAAATTCATGGGCTGCTTCTGCCTGCACCAAACACAGCACAGCATAACTGCTCCCCAAATCCTCCTCTAAGGACAAGAGAATGGGAGCTCTCATGTCGGACTGAGCTTTTACACTCCTGGTTCTGTGTAAGAACCTCCCTCCCTTCTGTGTGCGGAGAACATCGGGAGGGACACATGAGCAACTGGCCTGCCAAGTGGGTGAGGGATACTTCTTAAGCAAACAGCTTGGAGGAGGCCTGTAAAAGATTACGAAGGAAACCTGACATCACAACTCACGCTTTTTTTCAACCCATATGGAGATCTATCATTCCATTCTACTGGAATGTTGTAAATACAAAGCAAAAATTAGCTTTGTGAGCCAAAAATACGTGTTCTGTTAAGTGAAACCAGAACACATGCAAAAACTAGGCTGTTCTAGTAATTCCACTATTTAAAATATCTTTAAAGAATGAACCTGAGCCACTTGAGCCTAATGCCCTGGCAGCCCATAGGCTGGTCTTCCTGAAAATTTGGCCAACCCACAACATCAACAAACAGAGCAGTTCATGGGAAACTGTCCCTTATAATTTGTTTCCAGTCAATCAACTGCCTTTAGAAAAGTTCTGAAGGATATTAGCTTGTTTGATAACCGTGTTGCGTCCCTCCCTGGTCATTTAATTAGAACACACGTTTAAAGACTCTTTGGGCACAAGGACATGCTGTACCAGTATGAACCTACAAGGTATTAAGAACTGTCAGTGCAGAATCCTCTGCAGGAAATCTAATACCCATCTGGTGTTTGAAATATAGCCATCTGTGCCAAAAGAAAAACCATAATCAAGAAAGCTAAATGCCACTATGACATTGCATCCAAAATTAAGCAAAAGCGAATAAATTATTCCACTAGTTGCATTCAGGATTTTGGTGACAATATGGCTTCAGAGCCTTCGGGGAGGATGCATACTACAAACTGGAAGAATGCAAGTGGTGGTGAACTGTTTGTGTAAGGCAGAAGATCCATTCAGCGCAAATGAACTGTAGGCAGATTCAATGATTACTTCTTTCAATTCAATGGTTACTTCTTTCAAGCTAGGACAAAATGCACTAGACTGCAATCAGAAGTGGTAAGGCCTACCTACACTGGGCATTGCAAGAAAACTTTATTATAATATGAAAAGAGATTTCATATGAAGCAGAATAAAGGCTATAAAGGGCGAGAGTTTGCACTGAGTAAGACCCAGAACAGAGTCTTAAGCCAATTTATGAAAAGTTGGTCTGTCAGTCTTTGATACTATTATTATTAGCCACCCCTCACCCTACAGGCCCAGAGCAGCTAACAACAATTAAAACACAATGTCAAAAACAGTTTAAAACAAATTACAATAAAAGTGTGTCCTAAATATATACATCTCAAATGTCAAAAGCCATGGTAAAGAGAGGTTTCTTCAGCATTCATCAAAAGCTGCATAATCAAGATGCAAGATGCAATTTTATGGAGAGGAAGTTCTACAAGTTAGGTGCTGCCAGGGAGCATGTCCTCTCCCGAGTCACCACCCCCTGGGTTTCTGACCATATCTCCTGTGCACAAGCTATTTTGTTTTTTTACTAATGCAAACATTATTTTTGCCTGGCAATATGTCTTTACATAGCTATGAAGCACCACATTCTGCCCTGACAAATTCTACAGCCCCTGAAGTCAACTCTTCCATGAATGGCAGGGGCTATGCATAATGTGTGCTTCTTACTTGATTATAAACTAACTGGAATCAGCTGCGGAAGCGGTGTGTCTTTTCTAGAATAGTCGTGACAGTTATTCATTTCCATGAATACAGTATTATATTGAACACAGTATTGGTGCTCAAGCTGTACTTTCCTGTAGGTGTGTCAAACTACACACAAAAACATGAAGCGTATTGGAGGGAGACATTTATCTGATTAGGATTTATTGAGCCTCCTTTTCAACTACTGGTACATAAAAGGCACAGCAGTGAACAAAGCTGTTCATGTAACAGAAGTGTCCAATTCAATCCTGCTGTTCCCAATAAAAGGTAATGATTTCATGGATGGGCATTATAGGGATAATTTAACAAGAACTAGATTTGGTATGGTGTCATAGCAAGAAAAACACCCCAAAGAAGCCTCATTTGTTCACTCTGTGGTTCCCGTTTCCCCACGTTAAAAATATTTTCTTAATTAAAAAAAACAAAGTTAAACTCTCAAGCAATATTCAAAAGCTGCTACACTGAGGCAAGTACCTAACACACAATTTTAAAATGTGAATTCACTGCTGAAGTGCCAAGTTTTGAACTAGTACTAACTTCTTGCCTAATACTGTCTCAAAAACTGCTCTCCAATTACCCCGTTTGCACACAAAAAGTACACTAACACAACTCATTAGACCTATTACAAATATATTTAGCATTTGTGGGGTGGAGGATGCATGGAAAGCTTGGCATTAACATGAACTAAAAACTAAAGATAACATTTTTGAAGCAAGCCTTTAGGAATTCAAAGATCTGTACTCACCACTTCTTCCAAGGCAGCACTTCTCCCAAAAGAGCAAGTGAGGTGTGTGAGGCAGTTAACGAACGAAGAAAAAAGTTCATTTGGAATGGCTGTTAATATATTGCGAGGAAATACAGTGATCAAGTTGCTGATTATACTTGATATTCCCACTGCTTCAGAGTCCTCTATCTCAATTCTGTTAAGACAAAACATATTTTTTTTAAAGAGAAAAGAGTAAATAACTCTACCAGCATAGTCAAATCAAGACCCACTGTCAAGAATCTTTTAAGTATTCCACACCACTGTTCAAGCTGCAAAGAACTACAGGAAGCAAGTCCCTCCCTCCTCAATTCTAGGAAGCAAACCTATTACATACCCATTGATAGTGTTGAGCAATCCCTCAATGAAGTGAGCTAAGTAATCGACTTGAGAACTTTCGTCTGGAAAGACTGGCCCGTGGAGCGAGGCTAGCTGAGCTAGGCACTGCAGCGAGTCTTGTGCCATATCTGTGTCTTCTCTAATTTTTCGATGCACCTTTTTGGAAGCAAGAGGGTTAACACCACATGAGAGGCGGGGGTAGGAAATTAGACATTCTTCTACCATAGTCACATGGCTCGCAATCCTAAAGAGCACATTGCAAGTCCATGCACACTCAACACACGCTCAGAGCTTTCTCCACTGAATTTGAAATCAAGAGCCTTATTATTTCTAGGCACTTAAACCTTCCAAGCTGCCCTCTCAATATGCCAACTTCATAAGCCATATTTAATTAGTCCGAGGCAATGTTTCGCTGGGACCTACCTACATGTTGAACTGTCTATGCATGTTGAGACTTAAGAGAGAAACAGATGCCAGCCAGTCAGACATGCTGCTACTTCTAAAAACAGCAATAATGACAGCCATCTGTATTATGCTAACTATGCCTGGGCTACAGTGCCTTGCTAAAGTTAGTCGACAAGTTCAATCAAGATTATATAGATGCTTCTTTAGCAGAGGTAAACACAGAACCCGCAAGAAACCAAATATATTTTGCTTGCAGCAAAATCTTTTGATTCCGTTTTGATCCCCTCATTTCTGCGAGCAGGATCATGCCACTCTTCCTCAGGAGGTCTTCAGTGAGAAGAAATCATCTCAACAAAGGGAGCATCCATTTATTGACTGATTTTTTATGACAAAATAAGGATGTCAAGGGAACTTACTTTACATAAATTCTTGGATGCAATTAGAGCATCTAGAATCCGACATCAAGAAATAGTCATCCAATAAGAGATATAATACTAGTAATTGAAATCTATGGATATAAATTAAATGAATGCCCATCTCAAAGTACTAAAAAAAATAGAAGTGATGATAAATTAGAGTTCTCTTTGATTAAAGGAACATATTGAATTTTTAATATAATGAGATTCACTGTAGTGCTATGTTTTCTAGTTTAATCAAAGCTCCTAGTGAAACACAAGCATGGCAAATAAACACTGCAAATCAGGAATTAGCCAGCACAGCAGAGATTTTGCTTTTTAGATACTTAGTAAGCCATAAAAAAGCTGATAAATGTGTTAGTTACCATTTCATTTGTATGAATTTGATATCTAAAATAAATCTAAGTGTGTCTGGTAAAAAGAGTGATATAATTTGAAAAGAAGTTATTTTACCAATAAAAGTGAGCCTTTGAGCCAGAGAATTACATTAGAAAGGGTTAACCTGTAAATGCAAAAACTATTTGCTTGTGGAGGTTCCCAGCTGACAGTAGCAACTGTCTGGGTTGTCTAGACAGCTGTTCACATTGTGTGCAGCTGTTAAATGGTCTGCCAGCAAGTTTTTCACCTTTTTGAAAATGCTTGAGCAAGATAAAAAAACTCACAAGTAACTATGTACACACAACAGCTAAAATTGTCAAGCAAATTAATACACTATACAAAATATTTACTAAACGCTATTTGACATCTAGACAAGAGTTTTAAATATTTCTTAGCTTTGAAACCAATACCCGCACATTCCAGCAATACACAATTTTATTCCTGGAGATAAACCTAAACTGGTTTCTTCCATGTATTTTTTTCAGGATGGTAATCTATATTCTTAAAGCATTGTCCTTTTCTCCATTAATGTGCAATGATTTGGAACCAATGCTGCAATCCTACAGCTACCCATTTGGGAGGAAAAGCACCACTGAACATGTCTAGATGGCTGCAGATTTCCTGAACAGAGTGCTCAAGGCACCAAAGACTGCTTCACCTGCAATGCCATGATTTCTTATGTGGTAGTAAGATCTATGTAGAAGACATACATGTGCACTGTTCACATGCGGCAAACATGCAAGACAAAATTGATGCATGTGTCCCTGGTTGCTTATGACAGCAACACACATCTTTCCTGCAGGGAAACATCATCAAAGTAGGAAGTTGCCTACACGGGAAAACAGCCCTTAAGCTGCATTAAGTTCTGCTATACCAAATGAGAATAGGGCCTTCCGAGACAGCAGGCAAGGATCTGTCTGCTTTTTATAATCGACTGGGAATTTTTAATTAAGTGTCGTCATTAGGGAATTGACTAACTTCACACTGCAACACCACTTCTTAGGTCTAAATGGCACCCAGATTAAACCCTATTAAAATTCATTGGAAACTTAAATATGGTGCCTTCAGTTCTTTTCACCAAGCAAGATCTTAAAGCAACAACATCAGCGTGCAACTAGGCGCACATAGGCAGAATTTCCGTTAACCTCTAACAAACAAACCAACAAAAACAGTGTGACCTTTAGAAATATAACTGTTTGGCAAGTAAGAGAATTTCATCTATGCAACCCTCACCTGAATTCAGAGAAGGGAGCCCCGGCTTCTTTCCTACTAAGCTAGCAACAGCAGAATGGGACTTACCGTAAAGAAAAGCTCCATAACTCTGCTGTCCAGGAGGGTCTCACGCCAGGACTCTGTTGGCTTTAGCATCACATTTTGTGAGGATTCAAACATAGCTATATAATGTCTGCCTAGTTATCGGGTGTCAAGGTCAACAACAACATTCCGACTTGGCTTTAAAGAAAGAGGAAAGAAAAAAAAAGAATCCCAGATACAACAGGTCCCATTCAGAAAGAATGCAATGGAAACAAGCTTTAAGCCCCTCCACATACACAGCATAATTCATGCATGAGGGCAAGGAATAAAAGGTATTAAGGGTTGGAAAAAAAGAATGCCCTAGGAATGCCAGATAACAGTTTGATCACAATGACGAGACATTCCATAGTGGCACAATCACTTTAATAACCATCCCGTTGTGACAGGAGAAAGGGAAACAAAAATGATACCACACTTGGCAGGTATGCAAACTTGAGCAAAATATTTTTCTTAAACCATTCTGAAATGTTATTGGCTGGCTTTATCACAAATTTATAACGAGCCCTTTGAAATCTGTTGATCCTGATCTTTATAACAGTCTAACAGGCTTCACAGAATTAAACGGAGTTCATCTTCAAGCTATGCAGAAGAACAAATGAAAATCCTAATATATACAGGACTGGGGCAGAGCCAACCTGCCAGGGTGGGATGGAGCGAATCCAAGGTAGAAAGAAAGAAAGAAAGAAAGAAAGAAAGAAAGAAAGGACTACCACTAATTTCAGTGGGTCTTATTTCCAAGTAAATGAGCTAAGGATTTCTGAATCAAGGGACATCCAATGAGTTCTATGGGGCTAGAGCAGGGGTGCCCAAACATTTTTCAAAGAGGGCCAGATTTGATGGAAGTGAACATGCATGAGGGCTGACCAAAGTTGAGCTTTTTTTAAGGATTGAAGAGCTTTTTGGGGGATGTCCCCCCAAGGTTTATAGATCTTTTTAAAGGATTTGACAGCAATAAATGAATGAACTGCCACAGGGGCCTGATAAAACCAGCCAGAGGGCCGAATTGGGCCCCAAAGCAGACTTTGGATATGCCTGCCTTAAGAACTAGCACAAAATAACCCATATATAAAACACAGTACTTGTTGCTTCTTGTTATGTGTTACACACACACACACACACACACACACACAAAACACGGTACTTGTTGGTTCTAGCTCCTGAAAGCTCTATCTTAAAAGACCTCCAACCCCTTTGCCACCATCTATTTCCCGAATTCTTCCGTTGTCCCCCTTGTTGTTTTCTTTTTATAATATAGCATTCATCAAGAATACAAACAACAAGTAATGGATACCGGTCACCAGCTACAAAGCGAAATGAGGTGGAAAATAATAGCAGCATGCTAAAATTGTACTTTGGCTTCAGGATCAGTGCTACAAACTTTTCTGTTTGTTTGTTTTTTGGAGGGGGGGAGGAAAGCTGCACCCTACTTTGCTAAATTCCGACTTATCCTCATGAGGGAGGTTATAATCCCACCGACACCAGCCCCATATTTTTTCCACCTCTCTGACTTCCCCCTCTCTCATATCTATATCTATATCTATATCTATATCGGGGGAGGCAGCCTCGCCTGCACAATAAGCGATAAAAAGAAGGGCACTGCTGCTGCTGGGCTTTTCTTTGCGGGCTTTCTGCTGGGGGGGGCAGGCGAGGCGGAAAGCGCTCTGCACATGCTCAGGAGACCCCTTAGCCCACAATAAACCCCCCCGGACCCTGAGGAGGCAGCCCGGCCTCTCTTGGCGGCTCCCCACCTGCCGTTCTCCTCCACGGGCTCCGCCGTTCTCCTCCACGGGCATTGCGCTGCCGCTTCTGACTCGCGCCGGGTTTCAAACGCCTCGCGGCGCTTCCAGCGGAGTGGGCGGGGGAGGGGGGAAAACCCGCGCGCTTTCCAAATATCGCGAGATAAAAGCGGCGGCTTCGCGGGAAAATGCCGAGACAACAAATCCCTAGACTGGAGGCCGGCAGCGGCTACACGGGCCACATGACGAGGTCTGGCGGGCCAGATTCGGCCCGCGGACCTTGTGTTTGACACCCGTGGGCTAGAGCATCAAAATGGGAAACAGTCCTCTAAAATAAACACGGCTGAACAACCCTATCACAGAGAACTATTACAAAATATTATGAGATTTATTTCGGCAATAAAAATATACATGTAACAAAGATGTGAACATTTGCACTCAACGTTAAACCAAAGTTATAACCAACTATGAATGTTTAAGATATCTGCCAGTTATCCGATTTATTGTGTGGTTCAATTTATTGTATTTTGTCAAGCACAGAAAAATATTCCATTCATTTTAAAGTTCCACACATAAAGCAGGAAGAAGCCATTGGTCTGAAGGGCTAAACCGCTAAACACATATTTCTTCCTAAAGATGCACTGCACAGCTTTTGGAGGCTTCCCCCCAAATGATGCGTAGTTGGTTAATTTCAAAACTGGAATGGTAAATTACACTGCACATCATTCACCACCCTATCAAACAACTGGTAGGCTTTTTTGGGGGGGTGCTGAAAATTGAAAAACAACAACAAAGGAACCATTTCAGTGATGTCAGAATGCAATGCCTTTGACAATTCTTCAATTTAAATAAAAACCATTTGCAATAAGGGTAGGCCTTAATGTAATTCAAGAGGGTGCACACTTGTTTTTAAAGATAAAGATTTGAAAGATTCTCACAACATATTAAGTATGTATTATTATTACAAAGTGTAAATGCAGCAGTTGGTATGATCAGAACGGCGGGTCTTGTCTTCTGTATGGGCCCTTTGGCCTCCAGCATCTCCCCCCTCCTTTTTTAACTTCTTATTTTTAACTTTGCTTAGGGGCAGGGGTGGGGTGTGCTGCAAAGTGCAATGTCAGTAGGACCCCAGCCTCCTGCCATCTTAATTTGCCCAGAGGCAGATTTCTGTCACAGGCCTGTGCCCCAAAGTCTTTTAAGAACCTAGCAACGCCCATGTAAATAAATAAAAACACCCAGATAAATACAAAAATATAAATAGCTTCAGCATAAGTATATGTCTAACTGTATAACCACATATATTAATAAACCCCCGGTTCGGTATCCTCTTGACCCGGGAGTCTAATTCCAGCTCCTATCTAGCTCCAGTTTTGTTGTGCTGCTAATTGTTGTCTTTCTGCAGATGCTTAGCCAAATATTTTGATGCATTTGCAACAGCGAACTATGAGTGATTAGCAAAGAATGCAGCGACATAGCAAACGTAGCAGCCCGTTGGGAGTAAAATTAGAATTCTGAAGCTTACATTTCCTCAAGACTGTTTGTCAAGATCAGGTGATTATTTCCCACATGTAATAAACGATCTTCAAAAGGATATAATTTGGAGGGAGAAAATTCCAGCTTAAGACCTGATTGGCTAGTGCAAGGTAACGTTGAAAGACTGAAGACATCTGAGCATTAAGGTTTTCACGCCGGCTGAATTCCTGTAGTACCTCTACTGTGAGCATGAATATCTGTCGAAGGTCGTCCTCCTGTGCGGGATAAGCAAAATCATTTACATTTCTTTGGTTAAAATAATAAATTATCAGGATTTTTTTAAATATTAAAATACATGCTCCTTAGTGTGTGTGCTATGCAATCTGAAGATTGCCTTGCACCAAGTCAGATCACTTGTCTGTCTAGGACAGGGGTGCTAACTGGATTCTAGACCGGCTGGCAGTGAGAAGACCTTTAAGCAGCCTTACCTGGAAATGCTAAGCAGTGGCGTGCAATCGGTGGACTAGGGGGACGAGACTAGATCCATCTCTCCCACCACCTTCCCAAAGCCCACCACTGATGCCAAGAATTGAAGTGCATGCAAAGCACTCAGCTATGGTCCAAGTTAACAGACAGCTCTTTTCAGATGACAGGTGATCTAATGCAATGCGTGTGTGTGTGTGTGTGTGAAGAGGCTCATGGAGATAAGTCTTGTCTATTACCTACAAGCTCATCTACTGTGCTTATAGATACTCTGTTTACTTTTGTGTACATATCTGTAAGTGAAATGGGGATTTCCGTTATTCTATATTTCTAAGAAGAAATGTGAACCATGCCTCCTTTGTTTACCTGAAATATCCGCTTGCAGTTGCCGTGGAACTCCATGCTTAGCCCAATGTTGCTGGTTTTACTTGAACTTGAGAACTCGCTCAACAGCGCCATTAAAATGGAGCAGGCCAGTGTTTGCTGCAAGGATACAGGGGAAGTATTATTATTACTACTACTAAATTAAGTGTATGATGAAGTAAACCTCAACAATATCTTAACACAACACATCTGTTATATTACTTATTTTAAGAAAACTTGCATTAGAAACTCAGGTCTATAAGCTAGGGGCCAAATGGCTCCTTAAACCAAGGTTAAGGTAAAGGTAAAGGGACCCCTGACCATTAGGTCCTGTCGTGGCCGACTCTGGGGTTGCGGTGCTCATCTCGCTTTATTGGCCAAGGGAGCCGGCGTACAGCTTCCGGGTCATGTGGCCAGCATGACTAAGCCGCTTCTGGTGAACCAGAGCAGCACACAGAAACGCCGTTTACCTTCCCGCCGGAGCGATACCTATTTATCTATTTGCACTTTGACGTGCTTTCAAACTGCTAGGTTGGCAGGAGCAGGGACCGAGCAACGGGAGCTCACCCCTTCGCGGGGATTCGAACCGCCGACCTTATGATCGGCAAGTCCTAGGCTCTGTGGTTTAACCCACAGCGCTACCCGCGTCCCAAAACCAAGGTGACAGTCGCCAAAATGGAATGTCTAGTTGCCATTTTGGGGCAACACGGCTCTAAAGTCTTATTTTTCAAATGATGGACTGATTGTGATTGATTCTCAGTTCAGATGACAACCTTGAGCTAGTTGAGAGCGTTGAGAACCTAAAGAAGAAAAGTCACTTGATGGACAGTCCACATATATATTTGCCTATTCCTACTCTTTTTTTGTAATGGTGACTGCTTCTGCTCAGGCTTCCCACTCTCTGAGCAGTTTAAGGAAGCCCCTATTGCCCTCCCAGTTCATGTGAGCTGGAGTGGTATGGGAGCTTGCTCAGTAGGGCTGGGTGCTGTATCTCTGCTGCTTCTTCATCCCCTAAGATGGGGAGGAAGAAGCAGCCGAGATACATTCCATACATTGTGATATATCAGTCATATCACAGTATTTAGGTGTCACCCAGCCCTACTGAAAACATTGGAAAGTCAGGCAATAAATACATAGTTATATGGTCCAAGTCACTCACAGGGGACACTATGTGGCACCCAGGACACCAGTGAAAAAAATCTCAGTATTTTTTAAAAAATAATTTATTAAACACCTTTCACACGTGTCTCAATGTGAACATACCATACCTACCTACCCACCATAAAACAGCTAAAATAGTTTTAAAGGTCTAAAAACAATAAAAATGAACACCGAAGGCAGCTGGAAAAGCTTATTGAAACAAAAATGTCTTCATTTAGTTCTGGAAAGTACAGGTAGTGGGTGCCATATCTCAACAGGGGTGCAGTTCCACAGAACTGTGGCAGCTACACAGAAAGTCCTGCTACAACTTACTGTAGAGCGGGCTTCTGCTATTTTGGGGTTTTTAGGAAGAAACTGTCTTGCAGAATACAGTGACCTGGTGGGTATATAAGGGATAAGGTGATCTCTCAAGTAACCTGGTCCTGAGTTATAAAAGGCCTTATACAGTGGTGCCCCGCAAGACGAATGCCTCGCAAGACGGAAAACCCGCTAGACGAAAGGGTTTTCCGTTTTTGAGTTGCTTCGCAGGACGAATTTCCCTATGGGCTTGCTTCGCAAGACGAAAATGTCTTGCGAGTCTTGAGATTTTTTTTCCGCTTTTCCCCCCTTTATCTAAGCCGCTAAGCCTTTAATAGCCTTTTAGCAGCTAATCCGATAAGCCGATAAGCCTTTAATAGCCGCTAAACCGCTAATAGCGCTAATCCGTTAAGCCGCTAATAGGGTTGCTTCGCAAGACGAAAAAACCGCTAGACGAAGACTCTCGCGGAACGGATTAATTTCCTCTTGCGAGGCACCACTGTATGTTATTACCTTGAACTTGCCCTGGTGGCAGATTGGCAGCCAGTGCAAATCCTCCAAACAAGGTGTTATATTCTGGCATTAGTTTCATAGAAACATCGAATTGTAGAGCTGGAAGGGTCCCCGAGCTGCAGCCCCCAGACCAACTTCAACAGTAGACCCACATAGAGGACTTTGCAGTAATACAACCTTTAGTTGAATCCAGCCTTATGGGTTTACTCTGCATACAATTTAGGCATATGATGTAAGAAGAGCCTGCTGGGTCAGGCTAATGGCCCTTGTAGTCCAGCATGCTGTTCTCAAAAAGGGGAGATCCAGATGCCTGTGGGAACCCTGGAAGCAGGAGCTGAGCACAGCAGTATTCTCGCCTCTAGCAACTGGTATTCAGAAGAACATTGCCTCTGACCATGGAGGCAGAACATAGTTGTACACCACCCTCTATTTGAAAATTGGGGGGGGGGGGTTGCACAAAAAGAAAAAAAGGAAACCTAACGGCTGAGATTCCTAAATCAATAAATAAAATTCAGAATATGGCTTTATAGAACATTTCGGCTACCTTTATACTCAAAAGAGCTACTTATTGTCGTGGATCAGTCATAATCTTGCCAGGTTACACCTGGGGCTTTAAAGTTTTTTTGTGGGGAGTTAAAGTTGAACACATATAAATTTCACATGAGAATGTGGATAGAAAGAAGTTTCTCTCTCTAATGAAGCGGAATGGTGGAAAATTCAGGAAAGACAAGACCTTTTCACACAGCACATGATGGAACAATCACAATGCGTAGTGGTGGCTACCCATATAGACACCTTTAAAAGGGAATTAGACAAACTCATAGATGATTAGGTTATCACTAGACATGATGGCTGTGTACTCCAAGACCAGGGGCAGCAACAGGAGAGAGGGCTGCTTCACTCATGCTTGTGGGCCTCATCCAGGAATCGGGTTAGCCACAGTGAAAAAAAACATATGCTTGACTGGATGAGCCTTTGGTATCACCCAGCAGAGCTCTTCTTATGTTCTCATTGCAAGGTTCCAAAGCCCCTCTAAAAGCTAGAAGCTTTAAATATTGCATGCTCATATTAGTAGTACCTCGGGTTACATATGCTTCAGGTTACATACGCTTCAGGTTATAGACTCCGCTAACCCAGAAATAGTACCTCGGGTTAAGAACTTTGCTTCAGGATGAGAACAGAAATTGGTCAGCGGCAGCGCAGCAATAGCGCGAGGCCCCATTAGCTAAAGTGGTGCTTCAGGTTAAGAACAGTTTCAGGTTAAGAACGGACCTCCAAAACGAATTAAGTACGTAACCAGAGGTACCACTGTATTTGAATTTTCCAGACAAATGTCTGTTGCTGTTTTATCTTGGTAGCTAAACAGGTCTTGGCCAGGCCAGTACCTGGATAGGAAAACCCTACCTATGTGAATGAATTCCTCTAAAATCTGTAGTAGTGAACTTCGTTTAGTTCATCACCAAAATTTCCAGATGCACTGAAGTTCACAGATCTTCCAGACTCCATTAAAGGTGTATACTCTTGTTCCAAATGGGTCAAGCTTTACGTTTAAGGCGAACTTTCAAATACCAAATGGTACCTTTGGTGATAGGACGCGGGTGGCACTGTGGGTAAAACCTCAGTGCCTAGGGCTTGCCAATCGCATGGTCGGCGGTTCGAATCCCCGCGGCGGGGTGAGCTCCCGTCTTTCGGTCCCAGCTCCTGCCCACCTAGCAGTTCGAAAGCACCCCTAAGTGCAAGTAGATAAATAGGTACCGCTTTTTAGCGGGAAGGTAAACGGCGTTTCCATGTGTTGTGCTGGTGCCGGCTCGCCAGAGCAGCTTCGTCACGCTGGCCACGTGACCCGGAAGTGTCTCCGGACAGCGCTGGCCCCCGGCCTCTTAAGTGAGATGGGCGCACAACCCTAGAGTCGGACACGACTGGCCCGCAAGGGCAGGGGTACCTTTACCTTTACCTTACCTTTGGCGATAAGTGTCACAATACCTATTTCTGCAAGGGAGAGCGATTTATAGGTCCTCTATATCATACATTAAATGTCCTGTATTCCATTGTTTTGCTCTTCACAATGGTTGTGTGCACAATAGATGTCTACAACTACTGGCTTTATTCCTAGACTATTTGGAGCCAAGGTGCCAAGGATGGACAGAGGAACAGGAATTGTTAAAGGGTCATGCATGCCGGCAAGTGTCCAGGGGTTAAACGGAAATATGCACACTACCTCTGAACACCCGAAAGATTAAAGTCGTGATGATACTATTTATGCGAGGTCATGCAACAGCTGACAGTAGTGCCATCCACCCACCACTGCGACATCTTTGTTCAGAAATGCCTCTGATGCCAGTACCTTGACCCCACAGAGAGCTAGTTATCTCAGCTAGTATACACAAAATTAACATTCTTCTTAGCTATATAAATCCCAGACAATTCAAGAAAAAAAGAAAGAAAAAGAAAAAGATACCTTTAGATTAAATATGCATTTAAGTGGAATTCAGTGGAAAATTAGAATACTGAGTTTGGACTCCACAGCCAAAACAAACAAGCAAAAAGCTTTATTTTATTTTCTAGAAATACTTATTGTCTACTGCTGCAGTGCATGGCTTTGGCCCATTCATGCATTGTACTGAATTCTGGTGTGCTTGCTTCCTGATAAGTCTACTACAAAAGCAAATTTCAACAAATTTAAGTGCTGGGCAGCAGGTCTCTATCCTTTCCTTATATTCTCATATACTTCAAACAGTATCTGATGATTTCAGTCCTTTCATTTTTGTTAAGTCTCCATAGTAGTATTTTACATCACTATAACAGACTGGCGCAGAGGTAATATTCCTGATCTACTAACCATGGTTGGCAGATCCGTGTGCTGTCATCTCACAGGTTTTCTCCTTCCCCTCCCCAAATTCTCTCTTCCTTCTATGATTTGCTTTAACCACGCTGTGCAGCTTGGTCAGCACTGGCCCAAACAATGGTTAAAACTGCCTAGAATTGCCTGCTAAACAAAGTTTGCAAATCCACCTCGAACCCTGGTTAAGGAAAAAGACCTAAAGTGTGTAACTGGAGACAGTACATTAGCTTCATACCAGTAAAGATTGTACCTCATGAAACTAGTTTGTCTCACCCACCAGAAATTTCATTAGTTCCACCACATGAACAAACTACATACCCAAACAATAACCCCATCTGACAAAATAAAATAGTTCTCTTGTTTGCAGAGTGAATTGTCTCTTAGAATAGCCTGGCACTTACCCCAGTTGGGCTTTACTACCAGGAATATACTTTATAAAAGTTTGCCATGCTTAAAAGAGACTTTCAGCTGCTCTAACAGAAGATCAATGAGAATGTGCTAAGAGAGATTAACTGGGCAATCAGACACCCAGTGGAAGAAAAGTGGTCCCAGACAATTATGATTGTTGTTTAAATTTAGGATCTAATGAACCCAACAATGCTACTTTGCAAAATATATATAAATATATATATATACACTCTTTTATTATAAGAGAAATAGTATGAATTATTTCTGCATGCTGCCGTGCTCTTACCAAAAGTGTGACTCGTGCCTTCAGAAAAGAATGTCACTTAAACTGAATGATAAAGCCAGAATGAATGTTTGAAGGGATTTCACACTTGTGTCTGGGACTGTCAATGGCATACGCGCACCGCTTTATTTGAGAGTGGTTAGGTTACAGAGGATGAAAGGGATAAGAGTTCAAAGACTGTTTAGGAAAATAGAGGGGAGAGTGCACACCTGTCCAAAACACAGAATCTGATCGGAGAATTAATTTCGGCAGCTAAAACTGTTGTGTCTCCATCGGACATGTGCATCCTAGTCCGCAGCAGGCGAAGAAGGATCGCTTTGCTTTGACCAGTTGCCTTTGCTAGTGCTTCTCAAAACAGAAAACAGTGAAATCCCTTTGGAAAACGCCTGTGTGTATGTGTGTTTTCCTCTTTATATCTAAAGCAAAGAGAGTGCTGCACTTAGGGCCAAGAGGCTTCACAGTTGTGTTATCGCAGCATCTGAAGCTAATCCTGCTGTCTTAAATCATTTTCAGACACTGCCAAGATGATTTATAGGGTGGCTGTTCTTCTGAAATGCTTCTGTGAAATCCATATTGTCATTGTTAGCTGATGTCTAAGAACGCAGGAAGTATTTGATAACACCACTCAAGAATTACTTGCAACTAATACAGCGGGAGGAAGCAGGCACAGTGAAACAAGGAAGCTCTGGAACTAACATGGGCGTTCTGGAAGCAAACCGTTTTCTAGAACAGCAACTTCAACAAGTAGCTTTTTGTTTTAAGTCCTTGTCCTTATGCAACCTTCCTCAGATGAAAAAGTGGTAAATACAGCTTCTCTTTTTCAGTTGATCTTGAATCATATGTACTGTTTAGATGTTCTGGGGTTAAATCCAGCTGCTACTCAAGTCAATGAGAACCCTCACACACGCTCTCTGCGCTAGCTGGGTGTTGAATGGGTGCTTTTCAGAAAAGAAGGATCTCCCCAAGAAATCCTGCACACTGAGTAAATGTGACTTGAATTGAATTTCATTACAGCTGAATTATGCATTCGGGTGATAATTTTTTTAAAAAACATTAGTTAAGAGTTTGAGTTAGCATGTCATCAAGTAGTTAACAATAGACCAAACAAGGAATCAACCCACAAATTCAGGTTCATAAACTAGGGTGTATGTATGTAGCTGCATGAAAACAAGAGGTAACTGGTTAACCGGAGACATTTCTCCCCTTTCAGCTACAGGCATCGTGTCTAGACAACCATCTCTCAGCTTAGGGTGCTCTGATATCAATGCCCAAATAATTCCAGTCCGTAGCCTTACTGAATTTAGAATTATTCTTACATAGGAAATTGTTTTTACTGCTGATGTTTTTATTTTAAGGCTATCACTTTTTATTTCTTTCCTCTATGTTAAACTAGTCATGAATGGAAATAAATAAATAAAAGTGGTAACCACAGGCAGTTAGTTAAGCAGGCTAGCAAAGAAAAAACCCCACTATAAACATTTGTGGCTTTATATAGGTTAGTGTAACATAACAACAAAGCGTTCGCCTTTATTTTCTTTTTCTAGTATTTATTACTACCTTGATATCTCAGTTTTCCTTCAAGGAGGAGCTTTCCCTCACAACATCCCTGTGAGGGAGGCTATGCTAAGAGGTGCTGGTTGGCCCAGGGTCATCCACTGAGCTTCGTGGGGATTTGAATCTCGTCTCCTAGGCCCTAGTCCAGCACTCTAGTTGCTACAGCACACTGGCCTATCAATCAGCACCCACCAGCTCCCCAGCTTCTCTCGCTTAAGACCTAGCTACACAAAACTGGTCCACTGACAGACTGCTCCATTTATCTTTTCTTGATGTATTTTCATTTTTCTTCAAAACACTATTAGTAACAGGAGCACAGATGCCTGAAGAGGGCTAAATTTGGCAACACTTCTTGAAATTGCATTGGGTTATCTATTTTTATACAGTTTACACGTATTAGTATTTATATAGGTCTCTTACTGAACCATGCCTTGTTTATTTATCTTTGTACTAAATTACCTGCTTTAACACATGAGGTTTCGTTGTGCCATCTGTCTGTGGGCTATGCAATTTTGCTTCCCCTTCCTTTTCCCTTGCATGTTGTGGGCGGAAAGCACCAACATTACTAATCTGGGCCTTAGAGAAGAAGGGTAAGCATGAAGAAGCCCCTTGGGCTTTCGTTTGCTGTTGCACTATTTCCAGCTCCAATTTATAAAACACAGGTTATTTTATTTTACGTTTTGATTTACTAAATGTATATACCGCCCACCGTCTGAAGATCACAGGGTGGTTTACAACATAAAATCATGCACCAAAAGGACCCCCCACAAAAATGTGTAGCATAATAATAATAATAATAATTAAAAAATAACACACCCACACCCCACGTACATTTAAAAGGTCATAGATTCTGACAGCAAAGGCCTAACTGAAGAGGAATGTTTTTGCCTGGCGTCTTTTACAACTGGAGTGAAGGGACAGGACCCTTCTAGATCATAAAACTTAAGATCTGTGTGCCCTGAGGGAAGAAAGAAGATAAGCAGCCCAGGCTCCTATGGGCCACATGCCACTGCTCCTGAAGCAACTATCAGGTCGCTTGTGCCCCTTCACCCTCTTGCTACTTCAGATCTGTGTGCCCCGAAGGAAGGCAGATGTGAGGAAGGCCCAGACCAAGGAGATCATGCCAAATGGTCCCCAAAGGACCATCAGTCAGCCTGGAAGGACTCTGCTCTGCCGTTCTGTATCATTTGCTTTGATATTTTAAGGTTGCAAACCATCTTGGGTGACTTGGCAACAAGGTCATGTATAAACGCAATAAATAAAATGTTTCAAGACTCCACTTCTGCTTTATATAGAAAAAGCATCGGTACAAAGCCTTAGGGGTTCCATTGCTTCATAGTAGAACTGTTATCAAGGGTGGGGACGCGCGCTTATCAATTCCAATATGGCCGAACTGTCCTATGTGTACTGAACTATATTCTAGACTACAATGTGACGCCCTATCAGTGGCGGCTACCACGTTTCGATGTCAACCTCTGTTAAAGTTAGCAGCGCTAATGTTTGCCAGCATTCACTGTGCAGCCTGTTTTACAAATTTACAAGGCACTTCATGGACAAAATTGCTCCAAGTGATAGCCTGCCTTCTTGCCTGCTTCAGTGACGGGAACAATATATTCCCACTGGCAAGATTTCTAACTGTCATCCATTCCACTTTGTTCTGTCTATGAGTTAGTTTTGCGTGGTGATGCTGCTGCAATTTTCCTCTGAAACTGTTTGGTCTGGTTCTCGATACATAAAGAAGCAGCTTGCTTGCATGTTCTCAGATCCTCTTCTTCCACTTTAAAGAGTTACCCCTCTATACATTTCCTAGTAGGTTAGGGTTTTCAAGCTTTTAAATTTCCAAAATCAGAACTTGCTCTGTGCAAGTTCAGATCCCACGAGTAACTTCCTTTGCCCATTTCCACAAAACACTGCATCCAAACGGACATACTGTGGTTGTGCTACTGTTCCAAAGCAGAACACAAACCAGCTTCAAACAGTGGGGTCCAATCCTGGTTTGGAGGGCAGGCACAAACCATAGCTTAATGTTCAAATGCAACAATAAAAGTAGCAACTTGATCTGCAAAGTGCAAGGGGGAGGAGGAACATGAGGCTGGTCTGTGTAGCAGCAAACCACCGGTTCGTGTTATAGCTGAACAGAGCTTCTATCTCTCATGCTATTAATAAGGCACCCCCAAAGGACACAAAATGTAACAGCTGGCTCAGAATTTTTCACTGAAACTTTTGCTTCATGACTGTACTTAAATAAATTCAATTTTTAAAAAACAAAACTGGGATGAGATTTTGTTCAATTACAAAGTGTTTTTAAAAATTGCTTCCTTAGAACACATTTTATGCGGGAGAGGAACAAATTTTTAGTTCCAGTTTATCACAATCCTTTACCGAAATGCTGATTTCAACCCGTTCCAAAGTTTTCCACAGCCCATCATGAACACCTTTACCCTCCTCCTCTGCTTTGAAACTTTCCAAGAGTACACAGCTCACTCAACACATTAGAAGCAGTGTTTGACATATTGAGCAGACTATTTTTATGTATTAATATGAGGCAGCTCCCCAGGCAGCTAGAAGCAAGGAAGCAACACACACACACACACATGAGAGTATGATGCATTTGTACTTTAGGTCTCAGAAAGGGGAATCCTTCAAATAGCAAAAGCAGAAAGAGTACCAAGGTCCAGGGCCAAGGAACTGCAGGCATCTGTGGTTAAGAGGAGTCTCTCCCACATACATTTCCTCAGCATCTTGGAATCAGTGATGGAAAGCATGAATTAAGCTGACTAAAATTAGTCACTGGCTTTTTAGCAGAAGCTCTGTCCATCAGAGACTGAAGCAGGCTATAGTGCAACAGATTACAAGAGGTAGAAACTTTCATGATTGGTGCTTCTAGTTATATAGGCAGTTTGGTCCACCCTCCTCAGCTCATAGAACAAGTGAATGGTGTTTTAGACACCTCTGTATAAGATGTATTTTGCAGTTCATCAAGGGCTTTTTGAATAACCAGAAATGTGTAAACCTTTTCATCAATGATGGTCAATGAGCAGAATTAGGCCTCTGAATCAATTCTATGTGGTGCCTGGTAGTCCTGTGAATTAACGGCTCAAAAAAAATATTGCCCAATTTTACTTGTAAGGAATAGAAAAATGTTTTCCAGTTATAAAGCAGAAATAATCAACACATGCAATATTGCATCTCTTCCCAATTCGGTACACGAGATCCATGTAATTAAAAATGCATGTGTTTGCATAGAATGGTACACTTGAGTACGCTTGCTCTGTAAAAGTGAGAACATTTTCTGTTTGATAAAACACACTTTATTGTGGAGACTGACTAATTCACAAATGGCTCAATTTGTGTGGCAAGATACACACTCCCAACCCCTGAGCAACGATCCGGAGAAGATCTGTCCCCAAGAATTGCTCCTGAAAAAACAGAGCTGATCCAGCACTGCTCTACATCACATGCAGGACTTTGTTGGGTTCTTTGGAAAAACTCAAAGTGCTCTTTGATCTGGCTGTTATTGCATGATGCAAATCTGGGGCCTCTTCAGTTGTTACCCCAATTGCTCCCACGCTGGTCTAAAGGCTTCCCGCATAGCTTCCCTCCCGAAAACAAGGACAAGGAACCCTTCTTAGTCCACTGTGTACAACATTCTAGGGGCCACATGCCAGCAGTGGTCAGGGCCAGAGGGAAAGTGGGGAGAGCCAGAGTCCCTTTGTATAGTGGGGCTACATTCTAACCATGCAAAAGCCAGCAGTTCCTATACAGTTGAACCTTGGAAGTCGAACGGAATCCTTTTCGGAAATCAGTTCGACTTCCAAAATGTTAGGAAACCAAAGTGCGGCTTCTGATTGGCTGCAGGAAGCCAATCAGAAGCCGCAGAAGCCCCGTCGCATATTCAGGTTCCAAAAGAACGTTTGCAAACCAGAACACTCCAGTTTCCGGCATTCAGGAGCCAAAATGTTTGAGTACCAAGGCGTTTGGGATCCAAGGCACAACTGTATACATACACACCCACACCCCCCTTCAAGCAATGATTTGGGTTTTATACATATTTGCGCTTTTTGTAGCACTGCGATAGGAGTTGCATTATTCTCACTATACACCCTTCAGTATTTTTTGTTAGTTGGCTCACAGAACCTGTAGCATAGATTTCATCTGGGGAAAACAAACATACAAATCTTATCTTTGGACAAGCATTAGTCGCAGATAAGCATTTCAACTTATTTGGCTTTAACTAGGAAAGGTTTCAGGTTGAAATCTAGATGGCTTATTTCCACAACGGAACTTTTTAAACCTTATCTTCTGGCTTAGTGTGTGGAATTGAACTCTAAAGGCACACAAGTGGAAATAAGGTACTGGAAATCTATTTAGAGCTTCAGAGAGGCTGGAGGATATTTCCTCATTGGATTCTAAGAATGTAACACGAGTAAATTTTGTATTGCCATTTTCAGTTCTGCGCCGGCACACACCCACCCCTTCGGCCCGACCACACCACTTCCCCAGGGAATGGAAAAGGTCTTCCCTCAGACAATTCCAACAGCTGAATCATAGACAGGACACAGCAAGGGACAGATGCAAATTGAACTGAGTGCAAGGGAAACAATGCTTGCCAATGGAAAATCCACTTTGATATCAAACTGTTGTGGCTCTTCAAACAAGTTCAGTGCTTCAGTGCTAACATTCAAATGAAGTTGTCACATTAATAATGCGAATGAGAGCTCTACAATGAATCACTGGGAGAATAACATATCCCTTGTGTTGTATTTAAGTGTCAAATTTGAATCAAAGCAGAATGATCTCACTTCGTGGCAGAGTAGTGGGATTTAATTTATTACCATACCATAACTAAATTCATTTCACAATTGCTAGTTCATTTTTCCCACTTAATGGCAAAATTCTACTCAAGCAACAACTTCAGCCTGGCCTACAGATGCAGCAGGATGAAGTGGTCAAGTGGGCTGTCTCTTCAAACTACAGGTTTTAGCAATCCTTGCCAAGTAAAGCTCCAGAATATCAGAAAAAAAGGGTATTCCATCCCACTCCACTCTCTGCTGTGCTAACTTTCTACTTGCAGGAAAATCACAAGTATATGATTTCTCAGATGCAGGCTGAAGAGACATAGTGCACTCTGCAACCACATTCTGCTGCATGTGTAGACCAGGCCTCACCAGGTGCAACTCACCAGATTCAGTTTTTAAGTGCCTTAAGTTTGCGAGGAAAGGTTTGGGCAGATGGGTTGAAATACATTTTAAAAAGCAGGAACTTACCACTGTGGGGTTGCCGCTGCTTATCAACTGGCTGACTTCATGAAAAATGCTCTTGCATTCAATTGATTTGTCTAAGGACCCTCGTTTCACTATTACCGCTACGGCTAACAATATCTGCTCCCGCACATACTTCTGGAGGCTGCAAATAAAAATTTCAAAAAATTAATATTCAGAATCAAGGCAACTGTTCTAAGACTTATAAAGTAAAATCCTTAGCTGTACTGCTCTTGGAGTAGAGCAGGGATAGGAACCTTTGGTCCTCTAGATGTTGCCGAACTACAACCCATCACCCTTGGCCTTTGAAAATGCTTGCTGGGGCTGATGGGAGTTGTAGTTCAGTAACATCTAGTGGACCAAAGGTTCCCCCACCCCACCCCTGGAACTGAATTGTTTGGTCTGCTGCTGCTTTGAGCCTGGTTCTCTTGTGCATTAATTGTTGCACGTTATCTGGAACATTAGCTGCAATCTCTGAGAGATGTTTCTTTTAAGTTACTGCAAACTTCTTTAGCCCCTATGGTATTGAATTCCCCATGGTTAATATAAGTAGCACAGACAGCATCCATCTGACTGAATAGAATGCCAATGATTTTACAATCTCATAGACTTGTAGAGCTGGAAGGGAACCTGAGGATCATCTAGTTGTGGGTCGGATCCGGCCCAATAGCCTTCTCAATCTGGCCCACAGATGGTCTGGGAATCAGCGTGTTTTTACACGAGTAGAATGTGTCCTTTTATTTAAAATGCATCTCTGGGTTATTTGTGGGGCATAGCAATTTGTTCATTTTTTTCCTTCAAATTATAGTCCGGCCTCCCACAAGGTTTGAGGGACAGTGGACCGGCCCGCTGCTGAGCAATGTCAGCTGATGGGCAGGAGCGCGGAGTTCAATCCTGCTGTGCTCCGTTTTGGCAGCATGCTTCCTGTGGGGAATGTGTTGGCAAAGCAGAAAACCCTGCAGACAACAGAAGTGGTTTAACAGCCAGTTCCTCTTTCCAGGGAACTCTGGGAACTGTAGCTCTGTGAGGGGAATAGGGGTCTCCTAACAACTCTCAGGAAGCTTAAAATACTACAGTTCCCAGGATTCCTTGGGGGTAGCTGCGACTGTTGAAAGTGGCATGCTACTGTTTTATATGTATATGCAGATAGGGACTCAAGTCATTGGTCTATCTAGTCAAATCTTGTCTATACTGGTTGGGAGCAGCTCTCTACAGTTCTCTGGCAAGGAGTTTTCCCTGTCACCTGCTACCTGAAACCCGCAGCTTTCTGCATGCAAACCACATGATCTTATCAATAAACTATGCTCCTCCCCATGAAAACAGAAGGCATTTTCTCATTGACTGGGTTCCATATATCTGAACAGGAACACTTACAGTATTTTTTTAGAACTGGCACACTTGTATTTTTTTAGCAGTACTACTTACTTAGGTCTTTGTAAGACATATGTTAAAAGGAATGTTCGTAGGGACTCGATGCTACTTTTTTCCAACAGAATCCATTCTCGTACAACTGCTTCCATGATCGCCGTGGCAGCTTGAAAAAGGACATAGTCCACTTTACTAGTTTCTGCCGGAGAGATCCAAAATGGTAAGTTTGCAATCCACAGGAACTAACCTAGAAGGCACTGGTTACACAAACCCGCCACGATTAAACACAGTTAGCACAAACCGAGCACGTTAAAAGGGCTTCCCAATCAGAATTAAGTGGCAACTGGCAGGTCATAATGTTTTTTCATTTAAAGCAGGCTTCCCCAACCTGGTGCCCTCTAGATGCTCCCATCAGACACAGCCAGCACTGCACTGAGGGTGCCAGGTTAGAGAAGGGTGATTTAGAGCAGGCTTCCTCAACCTCGGCCCTCCAGATGTTTTGAGACTACAATTCCCATCATCCCTGACCACTGGTTCTGCTAGCTAGGGATCATGGGAGTTGTAGGCCAAAAACATCTGGAGGGCCGAGGTTGAGGAAGCCTGATTTAGAACATCATTTTTGGGTGCCCTTGCTTTTTCAAGCCAGGTGGATGCTGACTAGAGACAAAAGGCAGGGTCTACTCTGTGTATGACTTTGCTGGACACTACCCAGAGCCTTTTCTGTACTGGCACTATGTCTTTGAAATACCTTCCCCAATGAAAACTGCTTGGTGCGAACATCACTGTAATTTAGGTGCCATGTAACTCAATTTTTTGTTCAATTCGGCTCTTTTATGTTTGTAAGGTGCTCTTTTAATTAAACAGATTTTTCTTTAAAAAATGTAATTTTTGTTTCATTTTGGTTTAATATCTGCCAATTACTGTAAGCTACTTTGAGCACCATTGGTGGAAAAAAGCAAGACAAACATTTAAAAACCCAAAACCATCATCACCAAAAGCAACTAATTCATAACAAAATGACACCACAGGGTGCCAGGGCAGTGACAATGATTTACAGAGAATTACATAAATTGGTGTCTTGCTTGTTACAGCTGGCAAAAGAGTGGACTTGCTGGTCCCTAACTCAATTCCCCCCGTTTCAGTGAATATTGACCTTTAAATCAGGGGCTGAGGAGCCCCACTGATATCTGGGGCAACTTACTCTTTGGTTAAGTGTGCAAAGGACTGCAGAGTGAAAACCCCAGGTCCAATCTGGCACGCAGACAGCAGCATTTCTCAAACACACCAACACACAAAGAGGCAAGCGATGTAATGGTCCAATGAATCTGTCTTAGTGATACACTTTGAATATTCAGCTGAATACACACATAAGGACTTACCTAAAATATGCTTGCAAACAGCAAATGGCGATTTTGATTTTCTAAATGATAAGAATATGTGTTCAGCATGCTGACGTTGTTCATTATTGACCATGGAAGGTGGTGCCTAAAGAGAAAATAGATAGTTTGCTTCAATATATTGGAGGGGAGGAGGAACCTTCTGTTTCCAGTGTAAACCCATGTTAAGAATAACCACAAGTCCCTATTTTCATGGGCAGAAAGATGACTACACTTAACTGAAGGCTATTTTGGTGTGTTTTTCTTTAAAATAATAATATAAAAGATTATTATGATGATCAGATTTTTAAAATATATATTTATAGCACTTTTTCACATTCATGATCCCAGGAAAGGCTACAAAACAACGAACATTAATCAGCATTCAAATATAATTACAAAAATTCCCTAAAACAGATTCAGAGACCGCCTGTGATTCAGATCCATCCCAAGCAATACAGTAGCAGCAGAACTCCCAGTAAAAGCCAATGCACTACTTCTTCAGTTCCTTCATTCTTGCCAAGAGCACAGCAAATAGCTTGTTCAGCTGAATAGCTGAGAGAACTTCAAATACTGGTAAAAGAATTTAGTATCAAAAATACCGGTGTTAAAAGGAGTCAGCTAAGACTTCTGGGTTCCAGCTATAAGCTGCCATTTAGTATCCTTGCTACCTACAAACTGATTCTTGTTGACAATCAGACATAATTAACTTCTCCTGCACTGAAGACATATTTGGTCCTCGACAGGGAGAACCTGAATATAGTAGTATCATATTTCCTAGAGAATGTTTGTTTTTTGTTTTTTTTAAGGGGGGAAGAACAGCAATGTTGCAAACTGAAGATTCGTTAGATCTGAACTTTCAAGAAGCCAACAACAAGGTCTTTAGCAGTAAAATACTGCCCTCTAGTGCAGTGGCTCTCAAACATTTTCCCCACAGACCACTTGAAAATGGTTGATGGTATTGAAAGACCACTTGATGGTTGTTTTCCTGTCCGCAGTTGCAACTGTAATGTGATGCGTTGAATGCCGTACCATTTTTAATTGAATTTGTATCGCTTCTTTTCTTTCTTTCTTGCATTTTATTGCAGTGCAATTTGAATTCTATAGAATTAAAAATTTTACGTGTTCTTCACAGACACACTGCAGAGGGATAGCTTAGTCAGTAGAGAATGAGACTCTTAATCTCAGGGTTGTGGGTTCGAGCCCCACATTCCAGGGTTTTGGAACTCTTGCTCTAGTGTAAGGTCAGCATATGCCATGTGAAAACACACAACACAATGCAACTTGCCAATAAAGTCTGGTCAGCTCAAGGTTTTGATGTTCTACAGATCATTCTGATAACAATTATTATTCCATTTCTTCACCAAAAGGACCCTCGTTTGCTTACAGTGATTTAAAAACACCTTATTAAAAGAGTTTAAAACTCTGGCAATTGTGAGGATCCTGAAATTAAATACAGCCGTACCTTGGAAGTTGAACAGAATCTGCTCCGGAAGTCCATTCGACTTCCAAAACATTCAGAAACCAAAGGACGGCTTCTGATTGGCTGCAGGAGCTTCAGAAGCTGCGGAAGCTTGTGTAAGTGGATTCTGCTACAAGCATGCTATGCTATACTACACAATATTGTACAGTATACAAATACGATGCCTTTAGAATCTTGTTGTACAAGTAGTAAACAAAACTTATTCAGAATCTGAAAAGCATGTCACCGCAAGCATTCATACACAACTAGCATATGTATCTGAAGGTATATTATGGAATTTAAGGATTTATAATAATCAAGTAGCTTTCCATCAGATGAATTTTCAACTAAGTGGCCATTATTAACTTTCAAACTACCTTTTAACCTGCAAGACACAGTTGAATACACTATTTAATACACACATGTCTATCCCTCGAAGACAGCCTATAACCACACTGATTGCTTGCAAACAAAATATTATTTGCTATTGTACTGTTATGAGTCACTGGCTACAGAGAAATAATTCTTTTACCCAAGTTCCAACTTGCTCGTGATTATAAAGAATATATTTCTTAGGAGTGGAGACTGAATGAGGAAATAAGAATGTGTTCATTGGCAAAAAAGCAGGCAAGTATATTTTTATTGGTGCAAAATATTACAAGTGCTCTGTAATTTTATTAAAAAGACAGGTCAATGAGAAGATAGCCTATACAAGAAGCTGTAAGTTATTCAGTTCTCGTGCATCAGGAATGAGAAGCCTGTGATCCTGCAGGTTTTTGTTGGCTAGGGCTGATGGGAGTTTCAGTCCTACAACATCTGGAAGGTCACAGGTTCTCCACTCTTTGAGAGCTTATTTGACAAGTGAGGATTTTTAGTAGTGTTCCTAATCATAAGCTGAAATTTAACACTGAACTTAACGTAAATGAACTAAGTCATACTCGAGCTAAAATCAATGGGTTTGACTAATATTAGTCCACTGATATCAGCTGGTCTACTCTGAGCATGACTTATGAGTCAAAGAATCAGAATTGTAGAGTGAGAAGGGACCACAAGAGCCATTGAACCCAGTGAACCCCCTGAAATGCAGGAATCTTTTGTCCAATGTGGGGCTTGGACCCATGACCCTGAGATTAAGTGTCTCATGCTCTACCGACTGAGCCATGAGCCATGACTTAGCTGGATACAACTTGTAACAACAGCCAATACACAAGAACAAATATATCCACTTAACAACAAAGATATCAACAAGGACCTGAGTCACATGCAAGGCAGAAGATAGCAGCCACCAGTGGGAAAGGAGAAGCCAGAGAGGACAACAATTAAACCCAACACATGATAAAAGTCTATGTCAATTCTGTATTAAAACTTCGTCCATTACCCTCTAGTCAAGCCAGCTGAGTTAAAGTGTGTCTCTCTATGCAAAATATCAAGTTACTGGGTAAAAATAAGAGGCATGTCTAAACGTGATCACTTTGATGTAACTTGGTTTCCATTCATTAGTTATATAAACGGGTACAGAGATGCTTATCGTAAATGAAACTTTATGGTGGATGTTTTTCCTTGAAGTAGCTGTGTTAAGTAATACCTAAGTAATTTGATGCTGTACTCATGCTCTCCATGAACGAAAGTTGTTTTTCTTTATATTTATAGAAGTTGATAATATATACATATAAAATATATATAAAAATATATATTTAAAATGTTACTGGGTAAAATACACCCTTTCGGTCAAGCATCACAAATGTCAAAAAAGGTCTACTTTGATGGCAAATTATGGAAAGTTTGGGCACCGAGGCAAGAATCTAAAGAGTAACAGGCTCATACAAGAGGTTTGTACTACCCCAGATGAATATTTTCATCAAACAGATCACACATACACAAAACACATGCATATCATACCCAAGTACTTTTGAAACTGTCCTCAGTTTGGAGGCTGCTGTTCAATAAAAATAAGCTGAAAGAATTTCATGGTTCTTTTGACCCTGGCTTTAATCTTCAAGTAAATTATTTTGTTTGGTATTTTTGCATATGTACAGGAGAGATAGACATATCTATCAGCCTCCCTCCCACTTGTCTCTAAGCACTGCAAGGGGCATGTATAATACACAAGGAAATGCCCTGATTGTGCGCCTAAGTTGCATACAAGCTCCATTTGGTGGCAAACCAGTGTTTAATCAACTATAATAACTATACAATATACCAATTATAAAATGAAAAACTAGTTTCAATCAATCTTGCTTTCCCCCTTTGCCAGCACCATAAAGCCAATGTTGAGGTTTTATTCCTGACGTTTAAAATTTGTTTTGAATTCAACTGATCCACATGGGATCATAATAAAAATACATGATAAGTATTAGACAGTACAAGCATATGTTTTATTTTACCACAAGAAAGTGTAATACATCCACTGAAAATTTAACACATGGCATGATTTTTTTTTTATAAAAAACCTGCAATTTTGTCAGGACAAGTTATGTGTTGTTTACTGTTGTAACAATTGTTTTCTCAAAATTGAAACAGGGAAACACAAAGGGAAGGAGAGGCAAATGGAGACAAGGAAGCAGAATGCAGTTGCTTCAGTCAGGTGCATTTAAGTTTAGCTGCAGACTACAATAGCTAGCATGAGAACTAGGGAGTTGAGCCAAGCCAAAGAGATTTGAAGAGAAGAGAGAAGGCTTCCGGAACAGCGTGCTCAGCGTCGGGTCAGAGTTTGAGCTCTGAGCTGCTCGAGACAGACCCGGCACCTGGAGAGGCGAAGCAGGAGCAAGAGGAGGCGTAAGTTGCCCTATTCGGGTGGATTTCCCAGGAGCAGAGGCTCAGCGGCGCAAAAGGGGGTTTCCTCACACTAGAATTGGACTTAAAAACACTTTAAAAAGAAGAAATTGAGGGGAGAACCTCAGCGCAAAGGAGCGAGACTGCCCTCCGGTGCCTTTGCCTCCAGACCCCATGAGCTAGTGCTGGACTCTCCAGTAAGATATTGACACAAATTCAAGGAGAAGAAGGCCATGAAGGTCTTTGAAGGCAAGGGCAGGCTTGTGCTGGATCTGGGAGAAAACAGGAAGCCAGCACTGTAAGTTAAAGATCCTGTCTAAACATGTCAGCGGCAAATGATAGCCAGATAACAATAATGCCTGTTAAAGGAATATTTCAGATAGCCAGTGTTTCTGCATGTGAGCAAATTTGATTTTAGTGTGTAAATTGGCATCCAAGGCTCCACTTTAAAGACATGTACCCAAGAAAGAATGTTGTAGCTGAGGACAGCAGACCTTTCTCAAAGGCTTAATCATGCTTGCTTTTATTTTGCATGATTACATACAAAACCACTGTGTACTGTCCCTACTCTTGTCAGGTACTTCCAACACCTTCAAATATCCAGCAAGTATCATTTCATATCGGAAGCAGGGTTCTGCCTATAATGAATGGCTGGGCTAGGTTTTGAATTTTTGGTTTCTAACAGCCAGCTGCAAAGCCCAGTCCCACCATGATAACAGCAACAAATTATAAAGATTGGTTCAAAACTGCAATGGGTTTCCTCCTTCATTAGCCTCTACGTATCTATGTTAAATGATCTAACCAATGATGGTATCATGGTACCTAATGGCATGATATGAACCTTATTTACTGAAAGTTCAAATAGGGGTGTGCATGTGTAGCAGATGTGAGAAATCTTCTATATTCTAGGTACAAAATACTACCTGTTGTCCAACTGTTGCTAACCCTATACTGTGATTCTAAGACTGCGATCCTTTGTAAATTTACCTGGGAATATGATCCACAGAACTCAGTGGTGTCTGCTTCTGCGTAAACATGCGTAGGTTCAACTTTGAGAAACATAATAAGCATTTGTTTAACAAAGGCTCTTCTTCAGCCAGATGAAATTTAAATTTCATAGAAATGCACACAGAACTTTTACCATTCTGCTTATATAAACCTCATCAAAGAGAAAAGGTACAAGCTCTACCCTATACTCTCCCAGCCTTGTTTTTAAGCTGAAATCTCTTGCATCAATCAATTAGCATAGATAACTGAACAAGAAATCTCCTGTCTACAGAGTGTCTGGCTTCCTCTGTCTTCACACCTTTTCAATTTGAGCTGATTGTCATAGACAACAGTAAAACTCAAAAGCCTTCATTCACCATAACAGGGAGGGCCTAATAACTTGGCAAAAAAATCTGCCCAAGCAAATACTGGGAAACTTAAGTAGTTAAACTGTCAGGTCTTTAAGAGACAGACATGTTTCGTTAAAAAACTCAAATTCATGAAAGTGCTACAGCAACATTGGGGATCCTCCAGACTGCCAAGAAATCCCATTTGGCCTTCTAAAGTGGTTTGGCCCAAACTACACACATCTTTCCATCACTTGGCATCATATAAGGTTAGGCACGGGACTTGTAAACCAGCAGAAACAAATAGAAATGGAAATTCCTTTTCAGCCACCCTTCACCCATTATTCCATTGAGATGCCCAATATACTTATGCATTATGTAGGTATCTTATTAGTAAAAACGATTTGCTCCTTTAAAACAGGGGTGGCTAACTTGTGGCCCTCCAGATGATGTTCTATTATTACAACTCCCATCAGCCCCAATTAGCATCCAATGATCAGGAATGATGAGAGTCGTAGCCGAATTGCAGGTAAGAGGGTCTACAAGTTAAGATTCCTTGGATTAAAAGAAGCTTTCAGATGATTTTGCAGCCCACTTTTACTGTTGTGTTCTGAATGCTATGTTTCTGAATATTGAAAGAGATGGAGATTTATCAAAACTCTAAAAAAAAACCCTCTGGTGTGCGATTTTCACAACCTCAAGGAACTACTGGCAAAGGTTGAAATTTTAAAGCCATTTATTCCCCAGGTTGGGCAATATGCCCCCTAAGAATTGTGTCCACAGAAAAATCAGGAATGGGCCTCAGGCTATCGTGCCCCTCCCATCTCTTTCAACTCTACCACAGCAGGAAAAAGCAAACAACTGAACTGGAAAATCCCATGTGCTCTCACTAGTCCTGCGAGATTCAGCTCCTTCCCATATCTGACCACATAAAATGTCTATGTGGGGAAGAAGGGGTTAATTGCAAGTAAATTCCACCATTATTGGTTAGCTTTGCTTCCAAACTGACTTGCTAATAACTGAGGTGTAAGACACATATCTAAGCCTTAACAACAAATACTTTTACAGAAGCAATTATGGAATTGTTTCGATACATGTAAAATAGTCATTTCAATCATATAAAATTAATGATAATAATAATAATAATAATAATAATAATAATAATAATAAAATTTATACCCAGCCACTCTGGGCGGCTTCCAACGAAATATTAAAAATACAATAAATCATGCAGACTTTCTGGAAAAATATTAACATAAAAAGAAAGATAGAAAGAAAGAAAGAAAGAAAGAACAACAAACACTTTTAAAATCACAGAATTGTAGTGTTTACAGGACTCTAAGGGTCACCTGGTCCAACCCCCCTGAAATGCAAAACTGTACTTTGTTGTTTCATTAAAAACCCGTTCCCTTGTTAACATATGTAGAAATGAAGCATAAAGAAGAATAGACCCATATGCACAACTTTCCTTTTGTCAGCTATGGAGAAGGTACCACAAAATCAGGGAAATTTGCTCATCAAGAGCAAGCAATGGGGAACTCGAGAACTTCTGAACTGCAATCAAGGGATGCACTTTGGCATCAAAGAAAGTTGTTATTAACTCAAATAAAAGCACAGAAGGCATGGGAAGAATGCCAAGGTATATATTAAAAACACTCCTTTTCTAATGTTTTGCTACCAAAGTTTTGTAAATTATTTTAACCTTCCAGTCTGTAATGTTCTAGTCTGAATTAGAAAACTAGGCATAGCTATCATAGAAGTAACCTCCCACATACACATCCCACAATCATGAAGACTGTTTGCTTTAAAAATAGTACTTTCCTATCAGGCAAGGCTTTTGTCTGTACAACCTTGTTGTGATCTGCATTTGTAAGAGATTGGGAGCATGTGCATAAACAGAGCACACCTGGTGTGTTCTGCTGATATGAATAGCTGTACACAATGAAAATTTCTGTCAATAATACCATTAATGGGCTTTTGTGTCTTGCCTCCTCTTGAAGTACTCTGGACTTGTTGGGTCACACTCTTAATGGCACTGGCAAAGGGGTACAAATTAAATCATAGCTCACTTTATACTCAGTCACCCAACACAGAATCTACAGTCCTCTGCAAATATCTCCGAGTCTCAATTACAGTATTAAGCAGATTTCTTCCACAGCTCCTTAGAAGGATTCAGAGTGTAGCTTATTTAGTGCAAAAGTTCCTGCAAAAGTTTCCTGCTTTGTTCAAAACATTCAAATCTGATGTTCTATTTCAGTTTAGAGTTTGGGAAGTCTTTATAATACCATAATGCCTTTAATATCTGCGCACATTTTCAGTAAAACATGAACCAATACAGTGTATTGTTCAAACGCATGTCTTGCACAGAGAAATAAATGTGCGCTTAGTAGCGAAATATAGAGTGCATTCCCATATAAGCAGGCATAAATCACTCCTAAACCAAAGTCTGTGCTAAATAATTTATCCTGTGTACTATTAACTCTTGGCAAAAGATAATAACCCAGACTTTTCACTCAGATTTCCTTATCTATAGTAAACCCCAGGAAAGGTATCCACAGATTTTAAATCTGCAGAGTAGAAACAGCTTAGCCATAAAGACTGTTCTCTACAACAAGAAAGTACACAAACTACCGACCTTTTAAGTGAAAGATATGCACCAAGAGAATTGTGTTTACATTTGAGACATGCCTGAATTGGAAGTGAAACCCTGTTTGCCTCTAGTGCTTGATTGTTTCTAACTATACAGAAGTCCCCTCCCCTCCACAAGCCGCCTGCTCTTGTCCAATAATTGATAACCCACCCATTAAAAAAAAGGGTACTGTCAGATATTTAAATAGCTTAAAGAAAAAAATTACCATCAGCAAGTCTACAACAAATGAAGGTGAAATATTAACAATAAAGCAATCCAATACTTCCTTCAAGCACAGATTTTCTACATATCACCACATGTTCACAAGTGCAGTGGGTAAAACCAGAGATACCTGGGTTGAAATTTCCCCTTGTACATTAAGGTGATCTTATTATTTGCTTTAAAATATTTCATAAAATTTATATGCTGCTTGTTTGCAAACTGCTTTGAGGTTTTTTAACAAAAATAATAAAATAAAGCTATCAGTAAAAACCATAAAACTCTTTAAATCATTCAAAATATAAAGTCAACTATAAACTAAAATCAGATTAAATCATACATCCACATTCTACACCTTAGATCCAATGGGAGCCTAATCTACCTCAAAGGGTTGTAATGAGGAGCAGGAAAGATAGCCACAGACAAACCAACCAGCCTGTTTAAAGAAAGAACAGGACGCAAAACACACACATACTAGGTAAGGTTTTCATCCATGCTATGCATTAATGTATAATTGTTAAGCAATTGCTCAATATCTACTGCTTGCAGGGTAGTACGGCAGATTGTGTGATGCTTGTGTGGTAAACTTATGCTTACATAAAAACTGCTCACGTAGAAGACTATGAGAAAATATTAATTACCAATTCAGAGCATTAGTTTCCCACTTGTATAGTGGAATACCAATGACTTGCCTTCTTGTATTTTGAGAGAATAAGCAATAACTTTTTGACATTTTGGCAATATGATTATGGTATAGTTGTTTGGTTGGAGGATACTTTTAGCTGACAGATTTATCTATTTCTCTAGCATTTTACTGCTCAGTCAATAATCACAGAAAAGTTACTAGCCTGCAAAACAAATTTTAGCAGCCTGCTATAAGGCCTGCATTTTCATGGCTGCTCATGAGGACAAGACTCATCCTTAAAGGCCTACATGGAAACCTATTGAAAGGCTTGGTTGTTGTTTTTAAAGAAGACTTCTATAAAGCAGACAGGCACAGAAATGATGGAGATGTTAAAGCACAGGTTGTGTGGACCATTTGCACAGGACCCCATACCTCCTGTGCCTTCCTCCTGTTTTTAAACATCAACTTTAAGAAAATTCTTACAAAGTAGTTTCTCCCCCCCCCTCAAAGTTTGCCTAAGATTTTACCTAAACAAATAAATTAGCATACACCAATGTGTGTCATGGGTATAAGTCCTTTTAAGGATCTAGCTATGCTCCTGGAAGGAGAGAACCGGCACTTTTCTACTAGCCCTTTGCATTTCTATGCAGCTCTGGCCTCTTCAGAGTCAGGCAGAGAAACCAAGTGCGCTATTCAGTCAACTCACACGCATCTATGGCATTCCTGGACACCTATGGCTACCAGGAAAACTATGAAATACGAGGCTGGTTGCAAGTGTTTTGGGTGTGTGTGCAGAAGATGCAACAAGTTACACTGCAAAGCACTTTCCACACACACACAAAATGTTAAAAAAATTAATGGTCACAATCCCACAAAGCCCAAACCATCAAAATTCTACCGGAGTAAACAAGTGTACCTGGGTGGAGGTGGGGGCATTGATAGCTTCAATGCTAACAACAGACTGACAAAGTGACTGACTGCCTTGTTTCACACAAAGCTTTTAAACACTGATTGAAGGAACAGTTTTCTCTTTGCACAGGCAATACTAATAGGTGGAAAGGTTTTGCTATTCAAGCCCAGATTTTCCAGGTGCCTTGACTGTTGAGGAGAACAAGCAAATGGAACAAGCATCTTAAGATTTATGTAACCCAGGCACATGAAGGTTGGCTTGCAGAGACAGAGGCGGGGGGTGGGGGTGGGAGCATTCACTAGTTGGCCAAAAAAAGGGGAAGGAATATGTCGTTTTATACTGATTGTAGCAGATGCGCAGCAGGAAAAAATGTTTCTAAAATGAAAAAAGGAGCAGAGCAAAGAGTGGTGGAACAGCCGATAGCAAGGATCTGAGCACGTGGGTACAGGAGTGAAATGGAGAGGATTTGGGAAGCAGAGGCTATGATGGTGCAGAAAGGAGCAGGAGCCCGAAGCAATGATAAAGGAAGCGAAAGGGCTGTGGAGGGAGAAGGGGCCCCAAAGCAGAGAAGTACTAGCAGCACCATCCTACGCCCGTTTGCTGGGGAGCAAGTCCCCCCTCGCGGAGGGGGGTCCATGGGACTTGCTCCCATAGCCAGCGCGCACGGGGCTGCAGCTTCGGAGGAAAAAAGAGGGCAGCGGCGAGATTTCCGCGGCACCGCGCGGAAGGAGGCGCAGCCCCGCGGAGTCCCTCTCCGAGGAAGGAGCCTGCAAGGGAGCCTGCAAGGGAAGAAGAAGGGGCACTCGCGGCGTCTCCTCCGCCCAGAGGGATCAACTGGGGGGCGGAGGGGCCGCCCCGCTCCCCGCCGCGCCCTCGGTCGCCCAGCCTGCCCGCTCCGCCCGCCGCCGCGCCGCCCTCACCATCAGCACTTTGGCCGCGTTCTCCAGCTGGGCGATCACCTCGGGGGCTCCCCCCGCCGCCGCGGCCGCCGCCATCATGGTCTCTCTTCAATGACGCGCCATGCACTGCATTCTGGGACGAGGCGGCAGCCCAGCCAATCCCCGGCGCGGGCGCGGAAGGAGAGAGGGGAGGGAGGGGCGAGCGGGCAGCGCCGGGAGAGCCTCGCGGAGCGGAGCCTCAGTCGGGCGGCGCTTCCCACCCCGGCCGGGAGGGTCGCGGAGGCGCGCGCGTGTGCCCGCGTGGGGGGAGAGGGGGGGGTCTCCCGCGCCAAAACGGCCATGAGGAAAAGCTGGACAGTCGCTGCCCTGGTCGGGGGAGTGGGGGGTGGGGTACGAAGATGCCCCCTGAGAGTCACCGCAGCCATTCGGGTGCCGCGGTTCGTTGCCTTTTTAAGCGCAAGGTAGCGCAGACCCCAAAGTCCCCTGAGCGAGGCTCCGGCTCTGGGTCGAGTTTGCCCCGCCGGAGCTCAGCATGCATGCGGACGAAAGGTGTGTTCGTGTGAAACCGTGAACACGGGGGAAAGCGCCTTTGAACACGTGCAGAGTGTTCGTCCCTCGGCGCGGAGTAAGCGCAGCCCGGGAGGTACCTGGCTTCCACGTCGAAGGGTGGTGCGCGCGCTTTCCAAGTAGGCTCAAAAGCGGCGGAAACGATCTTGGACTATTTTGGTATTTTAATATCGCGCCTTAGGGCTTACCGAAAAAGTTAAAGTAAGCAATGGGCGTCCTTGCAAGCGCGCACGGAGAATAAAGTCGGGCTAGTATACTAGCAGCTCTTACTTAGCCCCGAGAGCATCACTTTTTATTATTATTCATTGATTAGTAAAGCAGTTTCACAGAGCCCAGATTTTGAACTTTTTTTGCTTGCTTTTGTAATAGGCAGCAATTCAGTAGATGCGCTTGCTGAACTTGTACATGTCATTCACTGTCAAAGGCACTGTGGCCCTGACAGAATTGGAGATACCCTGTTCTTCTGTGCAAAGTTCATTTTTTTAAAATGGGAAGGAGGGATTGTAGGATAGAGCTGTTGCTTTGCCCCAGGTTCGGTCTCTGGAATTAGTTTTAAAAATAATCTGATAATGGGGGAAACGTATGCTTGAGACCATGCAGACTCACTACCTTTCATACAAGACAATACAGATGGGCAGATAGTTTGAACTGGCCTCTTATGTCTGTATTTACCAAATGCAGCTGTCTCTCTTGTAACACAATAATAGGCTAATCTTCCCATGCATATATGGCCACTCACATACAGAAATGAGACCCCATGCTGCACCTAAAAAATTGCTGATACAAAGCATGCAGCTTCCCAAATGTGCGCTTGTATGCACTACACTTGTTTTCCACCTGAACAATAAAACGAGTGGGCAGTCTGCTTTTTGTTGAGTGTCACATTCCCTCAGAGGAATCGGTCAGGGACTATATGCCAGTGCTGAGCAGAGCTAGAGCTGCATGGTGGGGGGATAAAGATCTGGCCCACCTAGCCAAAAAAGGTTCACCCATGATGTGTTTTTTGAAACTGATACTGCACATTTCACATAGGTCCATACCAAAAACTGAATTTGTAACATACTGTATGCTTAAATCTTATGGATTCATTTCACTTTAGATCTTCACTCATAGGGAGTCATACTTTGACCTTTATTATATCAGTTGTTCCACCATAGCTACTCTTCACACGTAAGTTTAATAACTATAGTGGGATCTGAAGAGCTACTTCAGGGAATGCTATGGTTTTATTTTTCTTTCAGTAGCAAATATTAGAAACCACTTTTGAAAGTCCTTTAATTGTGCTATGTTGCAAGTGGGGTTTCAGTCCTTAGCTCCTTTGGATCTTGCCCTATACATTTTAAGACTCCTAGGCAAAATATATTTTAATATGTTGTTACAGATTTCTAGCATTAAGCTTATAGTATACTATGGCAGCATACTATAAAAAATTACTTAGTTGCTTGGAATAACACAGAATTCACTTCTTTAGTAAGAAAAGGGGTAATGGTAAGAGGAGGGGAACAAGAACAAATTTTCCAGATACTTACTGAGAGCCGATACAGATAAATTTCTAAGTGAGAACTGTAAGCAAACTGAATTACTCCACCACCTGCAACTCCTGAAGATAAGGCTGAAGGTTAACATTTCTACAGCTAATTATAATCTCATTACACTTCCCCTTTGTCCATATAGATTAATAGTCACTAAAATAGAACCATACAGACATTAATCATAGTGAATATGATACAGTGAGAAATGGAACTGTGACACTACATATTACCAGCTTAACATGCAGCTAGATTGTTATTTTTCTCAATTTGGATCAAAGCTGGTTTGGGTGGAAATACATAAAAATGTGATATTTCATAAGAAATTATAGGAATGATATAGGACAGATGCGGATACCAGGAAAGGTCCTAGAACAGATAATTAAACAGTGAGTCTGTGGACAGTTAGAAAAGAATGCAGTGATTACTAAGACTCAGTATGAATTTTTCAAAAACAAGTCATGCCAGACGAATCTCTCTCTCTCTCTCTCTCTCTCTTGATAGAGCTACAAGCCTGGTGGATCAGCGGAATACTGCAGACCTGGTGTATCTTGATTTCAGTAAGGCTTTTGACAAAGTCCCACATGCGAGGAAACCGGTAAGATGTGGGCTGGATGAGGTAACTGAAAGTTGGATTTGTAGCTGGTTGACTGACCAAACCCAAAGAGTGCTTGTTAATTATTCCTCCTCGTACTGGAAAAAAGTGATAAGTGAGGTGTCCTGGGCCCATTGTTCTACATCTTTACAAATGACTTGGATTTAGGTATTGAAGGGATTCTCATCAAATTTGCAGATGACACCAAACTGGGAGGGGTAGCCAATGGGACAGAAGACAGAATCAAGATTCAAAATGACCTTATCAGATTGGAGAACTGGGCCCAAAGTGAAACTAACAGAATGAAATTTGTTAAATGTAATGTAAGGATAAATGTGAGGTTCTACACTTAGGCAAGAAGAACCAGCTGCGCCAATATAATACGGGGGACACCTGCCTTGCCAGTAGTACATGTGAAAAGAATCTAGGGATCTACTGACTACAAACTTAACGTGAGTCAACAGTGTGATGCAGCAGCAAATAAGTTAATACTGTTTCAGCCTGCAGCAACAAGTATACTGTCCCTATCAATGGAAGTAATAGTACCACTCTAGTCTGCCTTGGTTAGACCACACCTGGGGATTGGATAGGAAGTACTGGAGCTTCCCTGATGGAACAAAACTTAGCTTGAACTACCAAGTTTTCTCCAGTTCCATTGTAGGGACACAAGACTCATGGCTAAAGAAAAGCCAATCTACACATGGTCTTGGGGCATGTGTAGAGTTCCAGTTGAACTGAGCTTCTGAGCATCATCTTTCCCAGCCCTACCTGGAGATGGCAGGGCTTTTAACCTGGGGCTTTCTGCATGTAAAACATGCTAGTATTGGAGCAGAGGCTATTATTAAATAAAGCACTTGCTCTACAAACCATTGGCCCACGGCTAGAATGAAATCTTTTAATTGTGTGATGATTAATTGTACGGATATGCCAAATAATGTAGAATGTCACCCGCATATACTGCATCCTTTATTCTCAAATGAGAAGTGTCCTTCATGCTTTGCAGTTGGCTGAATGCCAGCTGCAGCAGAGAGGCTCCCTGAAAAACAGTGTTATAATATATATAAAGGGCACCCTTGTCTTTGCTAGCAGACAAACCCTTAGTTAATTAATGGCTCTGCTTGTATGGATGCATGGTTTCTGAGCTTCCTTTGGTTCTAACAAAGTCTTTGTTTACGAAATGTGCTTATTAAAACGAGTTAATATGTTATTTTACTGCCTGCAGCCACATAACGTTAATTTTATCTTTGTAGAACTATCTCTGTATAACTGCCCCCCAATAAAAAAAACCCAGGACCAGGGCCATGCTACAAGGCAATAGGTTTTTAACCCAGGTGTGGGATACGTGACCCTACAAATCTACTCAACTCCAACTTCCATCAGCCTCATCAAGGTCAGGAATTATTCGAATTGTGGTCCAATAACACCCAGCCATGGTGCCCCAACTCCTGCATAACCATTTATCCCCACACCATAACTGTTGTTTATTCATTCAGTCATTCCAGGATGGATGTTTACAATCATGCTATTTCAAATGCTGTTTGCAACCACTAAGACTCAGGCAGAAGTGCATATTGTCGCATGCCACCCCAATCTCTGAGCGGTGTGAGATTCCAGGGGCTTCCAGGTTGCTTTCCCAGAGTTTGGTTTCCTTGGAATGAAGGAGACAGTGGAGACTGTGTTGTCTTGATGATATATGGTTTATTTGCACATCTATACAACGTAAACCTAAGATGGAGTGGCTCACAACATTAACACCTTCTGGACCTCTCGTGGAGGAGGCACACGAAGAAGGATCTCAGTGAGCTCAAGGTCCAGGTAGGTTCATATGGAAAGAAGTGGACCTTTGAGGTATTGAGGTCCTGAGCCGTTTAAGCATTTAAAAGTCAAAACCAGCACTTTGAATTTGGCCCGGAAACTACCTGGAAGCCAGTGCAGTTGGGTCAGGATCGGTGTAATATGTTCAAACTGTCTTGTCGTGGTTATTATAGTTCTGGGAGGGGAATAGGGTCTCCTGACAACTCTCAGCACCAACAAAATATAACTCCCACAATTCCTTGGAGGAAGCCCATGCTGTTTAAAGTGGCATGATACTTCTTTAAAAGATGAATTGGATGCATTTGTATATTTCACATACTGTCTTCACTTTGTTCCTCAGGAACACAGTGTGTGTTTATGTTCTTTTGAGAGAGTCCTTTTAAGGATCTTTTTAATAGTATTGGACAAAGTGTTCATGTTGAATGTACATCATTAATCTAATCTTTCTGACAGATCAGGTCCTAACACTTTGGAGAAAACCAGCCCGCCACGCCATATATTAAAAGCACTCCTGTGTCACTTAACAGTCATGGCTTTCACCAAAGAATTATGGGAACTATGGTTTGGTAAGGGTGCTGAAAGTTATTAGGAGACCGCCCCCCTCACAGAGCTACAGTTCCCAGCACAGTTAATAAACTACAGTCCCCATAATTCTTTAGGAGAATCAGGACTGTTAAAGTGCTTTAAATTTATTATATGGATATGATTGAGTCACTAATATCCTTTTAGTTGCACATAGGCAGGATTATTTTCTTCCATCTTAAGCACTAGATAAAATATTACAGCTCAGTGGTACTTCAATAGCTAGAAGATCGTTAAAGATGATCCTTTTAGATTCCAATCTTATAACACTTACCTGGGAGTAAGTCCCACTAGACTCAATGGGAATGACGTTGTTATAAATTCTGCTCGTATTGATCCATGACAGAACTCCAATGTATAGTTAGCAGAGTAAAAACTTGAAACATGTTGCAAGACTCCCCCCAAAATAGACCAGAGGCAACTATATTTCATATACCAGAATTTACTATTGCTGCTGAAGGTAAATGAGCATAATGGTCACAGATCCAATACATTCAGGATTGGCACTGTCCATAAGAAATCAATTTGCAGCAGAATTAACCTAAACTTATAATAACTTAACATTAAGACTAAAACCTTAACACTAAGTGTACTATGTACAGAACACCACACTGTTATTATAGTCAGCATGACCTTGAGTGAAAGAGATAACAGAAGCAGTCCAAACCAGCTGTTCAGCTTCTCCGAAGGAATAACCCAAACATCAGGAACCTTCTGCCTGTTTTTCAGGCAAAATAGAGAATTCCTTGTCAGTTAGTGTGGCGTTTGCCCATTCTTTGGGGATATGTTTGTATTGGGGGAGAGAAGGGGTTACTAGGTTGACCAATAAGAAAGCCTGAAGGCGGAGCCTACCTGATTTTGAGGCTCAGCCCAGAAGTTTTGACAGTTAGTTTGGTTGGTTCTTTTGGGGGGGAGAGGTAGAGGAGTCAGGGTGAGTTAGAGACAGGGACAAGACTGAGAGGGAATAGAGTGACAGCGTTTCGAATATATTTTAAAACTTGTTTTTGTTTGAAATAAACTTTAATCTTCATTGTTAACTCTACATGACTGAGACTCAATACTTCACCGGGGAACCCTGGGGTTTTTCCACAAAATTGGTGGCAGCAGAAGAATAAAGTAGTGGTGTACAGGTCAATAGTCCGTGAAACAACTGGGGGCTCTGTACAAACTCCACAGTTAGAAACCTCCGTCTTGCACTAGCTTGCATCGCACAGAGAAGCTTCCAGAACCCTCTTGAATCAATTAGAATAGGAAAGAGCTCTACACATCAGATCAATACTTTCTTCACCAAAAAAATGCAAACTGACAGACACTTCAAAAATCAGGAATAACTTCTTCACAGTCATGCAGCATTTGAATTCTTCATTCACATAAAATAATAAATTATATCCCTTATACATATATGCAATAATCAACAACAAAGAGAGATGGGCAAAAGGTACACATTAATATGATGTTTCTCCACTAAACTGACATTCCGCACAGGACAGAATTGGAAACAACCGAAGAACAATACAGTGGTCCCTTGGGTTAAGTACTTAATTCGTTCCGGAGGTCTGTACTTAACCTGAAACTGTTCTTAACCTGAAGCACCACTTTAGCTAATGGGGCCTCCTGCTGCACCGCCGGAGCCCGATTTCTGTTCTTATCCTGAAGCAAAGTTCTTAACCTGAAGCACTATTTCTGGGTTAGCGGAGTCTGTAACCTGAAGCGTATGTAACCCGAGGTACCACTGTAATACCTAGTACTGTATGTGTGTCAAGACTCAGTTGCTGAGGTCTTCTCATGGGACGATGTTAGCACTTGCTCCTGAGCTTCAGCTGACCTTTACCAGGGTCTGAGCCCTTAATGTTGCTGGCCCTGCCCTCCTTGCAAACAGTAGTTCAGTAGGAGTCATCCCTGCTTCTTTCCAGATGCCTTCTAAAAAACTAATTCAGACAAGCCTTTCATATCTGGAATTCTCTGCTAAACAGCTCCTATTGGTGTGATTTTTTAAAATTGTTTTCATTGTAATAGTGTGTTTTGAGTCTGTATGCCACCTCATTATATTCTAGATGAAAGTGCAGTTTATAAGTAAGTAAGTAAGTAAGTAAAGGGATGCACAATCTGCGTAGTATTATTTAGCTTTATAACAGGCTTATGATATAGAACCATCATAACACAGTGACCTGAATGGTGCCTGCTATGGGAGCTTATCACTAAAATCTCTCTGCTGACTAAGCTACAGCATGCTCTCTTCATTATGTAAACCACTCTGGAACAAATTTTAATGAATGGTGAAATATAAATATTTCAAACAAACAAAGAAATCTATGTAATAGTTTACAGGCTGATTGCAGAGCAACATACCAAGCCATTTCTCAAAATTGGCATGGTTGCAATGAAAATTCGTATTATTCATTTGCTGCATGCCCATATGATTTATTCCGTGTGTTTTCAACCCAAAATTGAATTTAGATTCATACTGCTCATAGATGAACAATTAATCTGGCCATGCATACTAGAGCAACCAGAAGATCATCCATGTTGATGCACAGATAATCTTCTGATTGCTGTAAAGCATGCATAGCAAGATTAATTTTTTAAGCCTATGAGGAGGAGTAGCACAAGGTGAACTAACAGAAAGGTCAGAGCTAACATTGTCTGTTGTCTTACGAATGGAGTGGGCAGCCTGTGGCCCTATAAGTTCATGTGGACCTTGGTGGTGGAATTTTATGTGGCCCTCATTCAGATCTTTGGCAAGAGCAATCTGTCCCTCTCCATATAGCTTGCAGGGGCTAGAAAAAAGAAAAAGATATGAGATAGAAGGGAGTGCCATAAAGTGTGTGACCACAGACTTCAGCCCTGCCTACCATCTGCACACGGCTCCCAATGTATCCTCCCCATCCCTGCAAGGAAATGCACATACTCCATAAGTGTCACAGAAAAAAATTAGACTTCTCGTGGGAGAGCATGGCAGCCATTTTGTGTTCCACGAGATCTCACATGATTTCACACCAAGATCCTGTCCAGAAAAAAGCAACACTTCTGCGCCCAAAAAGCACATTTTTTTCTGGGTGGCACCCCAAAGAGGGCATTTTCAGTTGCTGTGTGAACAAGGCTGTGAAAAAGGGCATCTTTTGGGCTCCGTGATCTCATGCAGGTCGTGTGACTCGTGAGGGAGCACAGGCAGCAAGATACGCTTCCTGGTTTGGGGGTTCAAGATGTTGGAGGGTATGAATGCAGTCCTAGAGAAGCAAAGTTACTAGCCCCAGTGTTAGAACATAGAAAGATAACCTTCTGGCGTAACTAGTTACATATTATTATTATTTTGCAGTCAAACAATCTTACTTCATCCTATCAGTACACAATAAACCATTCTGTTCATTCTGATAGCTAATAAAACCAGCCTTCAGGGAAGACATGTAATATTAATTTAATGGGCTTTTGCTTTATTTTTAAAGCAAGAAACAATATAAGTTTTACAAATCCAATTTTTTATTAAAAAAATTATTTAGTAGTCAGTGGGAAAAAAATAAATGTGATAATGATATAAGGTCCTGGGAAGTTGTTAGGAGATCCCTGTTCCCCTCACAGAGCTACAGTTATTGGGAAGAAGAATTGATTGTTAAAACACTCCGTAGACCAAACTTGACAAGCTATAGTTCCCAGGATTATTCGGGGGAAGCCATGTTTGCTGAAGTGGTATCATAGGGCTTCATGCTACTTACATGTAGCACATGCCCTTGCTGTACCACTAGATGGCTCTTTCCAACCATAACTTTAAATTGCATAGTGAAATACATTTATGTTCATCATTATACACATATAATTCATGGTGCTCAGCCCATAGTACCGCACCTCACGCAATCAACGCGGCTTCATGGATCATTCCAAATACTGACAATTATCCACCTAGAACACCTTATTCATTCTGCAGGATTTGTACAACAGCCAATAGCACCATGGAGTTTTAACCTTCAGAGCCTGGGGGTTGGAGGAAGCTAGTTATGACTTATGTAAGGCCTGCAAAGCTTGTGAGCCATAAAGCAGAATGCAGTTCATCGGCCATATATAAGCTGGGTCCACTCAGTGTTCTGTATTTGTGGTCTGTCTGGGATTGTAAGAACTGGGAAATTGCAGTCAAACATAATTAAGCGTAAGGGTGTGAAGGGGTTAAGACCAGAGAGGTTTGTTTCTAGACTCAGGTGATCATGCCCCCTTACCTCTGTGAGGGAGGATGTGATGCTGTTTCTCTTCCTTTGTCTCACTCTCTTCTCAGCATGTAACCCACCAGAACAGACGGGTCTGAACTTTCTCAAAGCTCAGACTGCATGTTTGAAACGATATTGTGAATTTTGCACCCAAGAGTAATCTACCTGGCTTCTCCTTGTTGCTGCGTGGGGCAACACATGAACCACACCTTTGAATTTAGTGAGTGCATATTTTAAACTTAACAGTGTGTGATCTGTTCATTGCTACAGAGGGAGAGGGTGGGGCAAGTGCTTTAAGACAGTAAACAGGCTATGCAAAAAGGTTGAACAACCTATATTCCAGGCTATGCTACAGGTTAACTCTGAAAGTGTTTTCAACTCTGCTGGGGGCTCTCTCCAGCTGGAGAGTGTTCTAAGCCCCATGTTTTAAATCTAGGTGCTCAGCTGATTCTGTGGGTCAGATCTATTTTCCAATTCCACAAAAACGGGGATTTCAAGCACTCCTGAGGCTTGACCTTTGTTTGAATCACAAAGCAGTCTTACTTCCTTTTGTGATGGCCCCTGAAGAACATGATTTGGCTTGCTACCTCTGTTTGTGGCCCTCTGTAGCCTCCCTGCTTTTATCTTGGTTTGGTCATTGTGGTTTAGTCGTGTCCGACTCTTTGTGAGCCCATGGACCAGAGCACGCCAGGTTTGGTCATACATGCCATCTATTGGTAAAAGAAGGCATTGTGCTTCATATTAGTATTATGCCACATCCTAACTATGTATTTAAAGCACCTCCAAAAGGATCAAGGCTTTAAGGCAAGAACTCCAGCAAGTGAATGACAAAGAGAGCTGGGAGGCCAACTCAAAGACCCACTAGGAACCACACAGAAGAGAAATGAAAACCCTTTTACTGTGATCAAAGAACAGGGAAGTAGAAGTCAAAGGGGACCCAGCCCCTCTTCCTTTGACAGTCTGTGTTTCAGGGGATGAGGCTTGTAGGTTTCACAATAAGCTTTATTACTTCCCCGTTCCCCACAATTTGTGCGCTAGGTTCGACAAGCTAGCCGGTGAACTTCATTTGGCTCAGTGAGTCACAAGCCTAGATTAAGGGTTGCCCACAATGTGGGAGTCATATTTGGGCATCCTGATTGTTGCTTTAGTTTTGCGATTGCTACGGGAATTATTTAGTATGATTCTTGAGAGACTTTTGTGTGTTTTGCATGAGCCAGCAGGAGCTCTCGTGGCAGGCATTTTAGCTTGACCGTAAGTTCATACTGCGTGATATTTAAGACTAAGTATGGTAAAAGAGAAAAATGGAACAATAATAGAGGATTAGCACAGATTACCTGGCAACGACAGAATTCCCTGCTATGAAAATCAATCCATTATTTGGCACCCACAAAATGCACTGCAAATGCTCAGTGCCCCAGCAGGAGTGTCCGATATGTCGATTCTGCTGCTGTTCTGAAAAAGTGTCTTCTCAGTTTTTTAATTAAAGAGTCTGATCTGTGCCAACCAGAGATAGAAGGATTGCCCGCAACATCCAGTCTGTTCAGTGGGTGGGGTGGGGAATGGTGGCATGAAGGGAATTGCCATGCTATTTCAAGTCTTGGAAAACAGAATTTACAAGCAGGTACTGGAGAACGTGCATGAATGTGCTTTGACGGTTTGGATTGATAGTGCACGTTCTTTGGTTATTGTTTCCTAGATTATAAGTTTTGAACTGATAAAAAAACTATAGGCAACAATGCTGTGTGCCTCACTGATTTCAAAGAGAGCTACCTGCATGGTAAATCGGGGCAGGGAGTGGGATTTATGCCAAGCATCCCGATTCAATGGTTCTGCTGCAATGCATCTACATGTAGAGATCTGCAAGCGGTGCATGGCTGGTGAATAGGTGGCCCTCCACCATAATGCAACATTTTGTCATGATTGATAGCCACTTGTAGGCTTACTTTCCACTGACTTTTGTGAAAAGCTTTCTCCAGTATTTTTAGACAATGCTTTTCATTCATTGTTATGATATTTTGCTGCTTTTTTATGATGTAAGCCAGGCATAGGCAAACTCGGCCCTCCAGATGTTTTGGGACTACAGCTCCCATCATCCCTGACCACTGGTCCTGTTAGTTAGGGATGATGGGAATTGTAGTCCCAAAACACCTGGAGGGCCGAGTTTGCCTATGCCTGAGGTAAGCTACTTTGAGCTGCATTATACGGTCAGACCATTGGTTCACCAGAATGTATACTGTCAACAGTGACGGGTAGTGGTTTCAGAAAGCATCTTTCCTAGTCCTTACCTGGAGATGCCAGGGATGTTGCATGCAGGTGATGCCAGGTTCAATCCCCAGTATCTCTCGGTAAGGCAGCGAGTGATCTAGAGAGCTGCTGCTGGTCAGTGTTGACAGTGCTAGGCAGACCAGTGGTCTGACTCAGTAGAAAGCAGCTTCACAGGCTGCTTTTTTGAGTTTATGTATATGTTAAAGAAGCAGCACACGTATTGTTAAAATAATACTTTTGTTTGCCTCATTTGCAAACCCTCAGACTCTGAATATATTTTAACAGGCTAATTCTGAAAATGTAACATTTTCTTCTGCTCACTCTTAATTAGGAAAATGGTGTATAAGGCAGATGGCGGAAATCTTGCCAGTGAACAAACCCAGAATCCTTTCCACCACATGCCAACGTTCACTGCTTTAACACATTTCTCTGCCAGAAAAAACATTCCGAGTTCCACCCCCCATAGAATTTAGCACTTGCTATTTATGTCATATGCATGTCTAAATCTATTATTGCCTGCAAGGAGAAATTCAGTAAAAGTATGTTTGGAATTACATGTTTGATGATCTGCCAATAACATTGCATTTTTCTGTTATTATTTTAAGCTTACGGGTCTGTTTTTGCTTTGTACGAAAACAATAGCTTGGATCGCAAGATGAATTAACTTAGGCCACAACCCTAGCACCACTTACCTGGAAGTAAGCCCCAAGTAAATTTGATAGGACTTGCTTCTGAGTAGACATGGTTAAAATTGCACCGTAAGGCTGCAATCGAGCTGGGAGCCAGACTCATAGAACTCAATGGGACTTGCTTCTGAGGAGACATGTATAGGATTGTGTGGATAAGGAGCTTTGTGGAAGGAAAACTTTTTGTTCCTTCCTCTCCCCTGCAGCCACCCAGCCCCTAACTCCACCACCCACAAAAGGCTCTCCAGAGGTTTAGGGAGCCTTCCTGAACATCTGGGGATGGACCTAAGATGACTCACAGGTAGTAGTGCGTTGACAGCCATGTCCCTTCTAAGGTTATACAATAACCTTATAATTTGAGATGCTTTGCAACAATCTTCATGTGTTGCCTATCGGTGAGTTCTGTTTTCTGAGCACATAATTGGGAAATGATTAGTAGTGTTCCAGTATTGTCTTTCAGAACTCCTTCCACTTTGGCAAGTGCTGTGATGCTGCAATTACTACTGTTAAATTCAATTTAGTTATAGACTTCAACACCAGATTGGGTTTTTGCAAAATCCGGCAAAACACCCTTCCCCGCTCCCACAAAAACTACAATAGTCTTATTGAAGGTCCTGCTGACTTCCTTCACATTTTTGTCAGTAGCTTCACCTGAAGAGGCACCTCCATATTTGCTTCATATTTATATTTTAGGCAATAAAAGACTCCTGCACTGCAGGGGGTTGGACTAGATAACCCCCAGGACCCCTTCCAACTCTGCAGTTGGGAGTAAGTATACCAATCCCCTATCTTATTCAAAATTCATAAATCTGATCAAAACTCTTTTGACTTCCTATGAAATTCCTTAAAAGCTGTTTGCCTGAGGAGAAACTACCAAATTCAGCTTTGAACTTCACTTTAGGTGAGGTGGGTTTTTTGGCAATTCTCACACTAGGTTTGCAAACGCCTACATACTTGCAAAGAATAATCTCCAGGGCCTACAAGGGACAGACGTAGGGATATTTAGGGAAGCAAAATTGTTGTGAGCTAATCAACCTGTATGGCAGAGGTTTCCAAACTGTGTGTCGCAACACGTTAGTGTGACGGCTGCAGTGTGTAGGTGTGTTGCATGAACACTCCCTGAGCTCCTCCCGGGGCTGGAAAAAGTTAGTTTAAGCTCTGGTTTGCTAGTAAAAATGAATTACCTTGTCGCAAAAGTAGCGGGTCAATGGCTTGGCTTTCAAAAAAAGGGCGTTTGCAGTACTTCGCTAATTAAGAACCACTATTATAAGCCATAAGAACACACACAAGATACATCCTGGGATTTTGATTTGGTATTTTTTTTTTAATAATAATAAATTGTGCCAGCGGAAGCTTTCGAAAGGCAAATGATAAATAAATAACAGTTAAACTGAGTTCCTGAGGAAGAACCTACCACATGAAAGAATGTCAGATAGTTGTAAATATATATAAAAAAACATGGCATTATTATATAAAAAGTAGTAATACTGAAATCTTTCATAAACTGCCACAACACAAGCACTGCATACCTCAGAACACTCCTTTCATACAAATGTAAACAAATACACAATCATTTTGTTTAGTTTAGCCTGATGGATTTACAGGTGCTGTTGCTTTAGATATCTAGACAATGGGTAGGATATGATAGGCTAAAATGTTAAGGAAGAATATTTGGAATAACATGGGAGTGGGGGAAAACGCAGTTTCAGATTCAAAAGCTTAACATAAAAAGCAAGAACACAGTGGAATATTGCCCTCAAATGTTATTGCAATGAATTATTTTAAAATAGGACTGTTAAACTAATCTGATTTAGGTATATATATAATATAAATGAAGATATTTATGGCTTACTTATTTTTAGTATTCCATTATCATTTTGAATAATCCTTATGTTAACATAACTAATAAAATGCATTATTTTAAACAATTTTTAGAAAATATTTTAACGTACGCTTGCATTTTGATAAAGATGCAGGGTTAGTATAGTCCATCATAGATATATAACAATATAACAGACCAGGTATAATCGGGGCCAGCATTTGGGAACGTCACTTAAGACAACTAAGGCTGCTACCCCAAATATATTCATTTCTGTGTATACATGGTTAGAATAGGCCTATTTAAATAGGAAAGAAGAGTTCACAATTCCTGGCAGCTCTGGAAGTGCTAGCCATTGTTGCCTCAATGCGATCTTGATAAAGTACTGCACGCTTTCATCATGTAAGCCATTTCTGGTCCTCCGAGTGATCACAGAGAAGCAGCTAGAGAGGCCAATGTGTATCTATGGTTTCGGGGATTGCTATATAAACTGTAGATTGGTTTTCCACCATAAGATACAGCCACAACAAAGAAAGATGCACCTGGGGAGGGTCTACATCTCAATGGCAAAATATATGTTTTGCATGTATATAGTTCCACGTTAGATCCCCAGTGCCTCCCAGTGAAATGGTCTCGGGTTAACTGGGCTTGGAAGAATTCTGCCTGAGAGACTGTCTGCCAGAGGAGACGATACTGGCGAGGGTGTTGAGGAAGCAACTTGGTATAAAGGCAGCTCCATAGATTCAACATATCCCAGAAAGAAAGGCATTGTCACTGAATTACCTTTAACATTACTGCTCTGAAGAGTCCTATCAGTTTTAAGTATAAGGAAGCAAGGCCCACAAATCAAATTTAAGGCACAAAGAATTCTCCTCTATATATTTCCCCCCATATAGACACTAAATGATAAGATAAATGAATACTATATGGCAAGTTTCAAACAACTGAACACTGCATACCATGTGGTAGGTGAGTGGGCCATCAAACAGTTAGATTTTGGCCACAAATTTATTTCCAAAGCAACTGTTTTGCTAGTTACCCATCTTTGGGAGAAATTTTAAGAAACAAGATAATCAACTGCTACTAACCTCTCTCTCTCTTCCCCTGTACACACCACCAACCCCTAACCTGAATTAGAGCTTTGTAATTTGTTTTTACAGAACACACAGTCATAATAAGGAGTCAAAACCATCCACACAATACATTATCAGCACACAAGTCCCGAGGGTCGCTGAGATCCTCAGTACAAGTACACGCACAGGACCTGCCTGTGAATGGCAAGAAATAGGTCATTTCAAAACAGAAGAAACAACATAATCACAGCTCCATGCAACATTCTACACAAATCCAGTCACTGAAACCACTCTTCGATTGCCACTTGCTCACACTTTGATTACACTAAATTAAAATAAAAAAAAATCAAAAAAAGGGAAATAAAGCAGCTTCAAAAATGATGTCAGGATACTGAAAGTACATATAGATTATTATGGTGTGAATAAAAATGGCACTGGTAAATGTAGGACAGCAGACTTTTTCCTCTCTTATTAAAACATTATTGCACAGAGACCTTTAATCACACGTTCTTCAGTCTTACTTATTTTCCTAAAAATGTGACATAAGTGCGATGGACATTAAAAAAAAAAAGAATGTAGAAAAGAAGAACAGCAGCATGATTTGTCTGAATTAATCCCTATAATTTAGTAGGATAAACAGAACCCTGCTATAAACAAAAATAAGTGCTCTCTGCTCACTTGAAAATAAAATAAAACAGCACAACACTGTGGAAGCTTGTAAATGCTCAGAGTAGGCAATGCTGACCCAGAAGGAAACCTTGGCTTAAGAACACGCCTGTCCTTGGAAATCGATGCTGAAAATCTGGATTTCAAGTGCACTCATTAACATAACTATTTACAGTCCTAAACAGCCTAAACTCAAAACCAGCTTGCATTTAGGACCTGGTCTGCAAGTCCTTCTATCTGCAGGCTCAGATGGAAGTTATGGATAAATGGGTTAATTTTGTAGAACTCTGTACAATAATTTACACATATACGGGCTGACAGGCTCCTGCCTGATCCAGCCCATCTTTGCTTTCTGTATCAGAATTCTCTGACTGGCTCACTTCTATTCCAGAAGGCTTTGGGTATCTGAACGGGTATCCATTGTCGTCAAAGAACCTTCGGAAAGTGAACTCATAGAAGGCATGTTCCGTGTGTTTGCCGCTGGAGGAAGTCTGCGGGTCCCATGCCCTGGTGCTGTCCTCACTAGCGTCATCCCAAGGGCCTTCTTCCTCAACGGGATCAAAATTTGAGGTGTCCATTGGATGGCTGATCTTTGGGACATAGGGAGCTGCCTGCCTGCGGATATCAGTGGAGAAGTCCATGGAGTCAAAGAAAGGGTGAACCTTGAGGTCATCTGCTCCATTTCTCCCCAGCCTCTCTTCGGCAGCACAGCAGAGTTTTGTGATAAGGTCACTTGCTTCGGGGCTCAGCTTGATCTGGGAGGGGATGTGCAGTGTGTTCTCCCAATTTATCACCTGAAGAGTAGTTAATATAGATGGTTAGCATTCCTCCTAAAAGGCAAGCCTTCTAGACATAAAACAGGACAGAAGTTAGGCTATCCTGGTCCAGATAGAGGTGCAACTGGGCCACCAGTTGAAGCTGATGGAAGGCATTCCATGCCACTGAGGCCACCTGAGCCTCAATCCAGAAGTATCCTCAAGCTAAAAATTCCCCAAAGGTTCCACCCACCCTCTCAAGAACTCTTTAATCGCTGATATCTACAGATGGATATCACTTGGTTAGATGCTAAGGAGTGGCAATACGAAGAAGGAAATTATTTAACAAATTCATTTAATTTAGAAGGAAATGTGATCAATGTTATTTACAGAGAAGCCTAAAATGAACTTTATATTAGAAATACAATCTAATCATTCTAATAATGATTTTTAGTACTGGCTCTGTTAGGAATTTTGGATATCTATGGCTTTTTTATAGTATTACTGTTGTCCTATAGATTTGATTTTATGAAGGATAAAGGGCCTTTCCACCCATGGCAAATTCCTTCAAACTGTGTCATTGGTCAGTCTCAGACTCTCAATATTTTGCAGGCGGCATTCTAGAGCATACTGGAAGTTTAGTTTTGTGCAATTAAAATGGGTTAAATTGCTCTGTTGCCTGGCACAACAAATCCGCTAAAAAAACACACCCCAGACTTTTTCAGTTAGGAAAATGGTGGTAAAATGTATGGACAAGAAAACTGCTATGCAAGTAACTCAGGTTGAATGCTCATTGCCATGTAAACCTCTTTGTAGAACGTCCTCCACCTATCTGCCCACCCTGTTCCTGGTTGCCCTGCTAGCCAGGACATGTTTGCCAATTCCAGAGGAAGAGGAGAGTGGAAATCCACAAGTGGTTGACGCTAAAGGGAATTACCCCCTTGGGAATTTATTATCCATTTGAATAAAGTGAGTGATACATTATTGGGTGGCTACTGGCACTGTGCTTTTGTGTGTTTCAAGACTGCTTAATACCAGACTGAACCGGTATAGAGTAAGTCAGTATAGCCATACCTGATTGGGAGATAGGAAGGGAGTAATGCTGTGGGCATCCATCCAACTCAAAAGCTAATGGAGTGAAGGCAAACCACTGGGTTTGTGGCACTGAAGCAACCTCCCCGGCGCGCCAGCCTGGGCAGTGTGTATGGTGGTCCTGGGGTGTCCCTCTCTCAGCCTCGCTGGCGTGGTCCAAAGGAAAGCAGAGCAATACTTTTGGCACCAGCTTGGCTGCAGGAGTTATCAGAAGAAGGCATACAAGGAGCCACCCAAACGTCTTAGGGACGCCACTCCAGTACTGTTTGTATAATAGTGTATTACCCTAGGTGGAGGTGGGTGAATGAATTGGTTTAAGTTGTGCTTAATGCTGCTAGATTACTTTTTTGGGGGAAGCCGGAAGTTCTCTTTGTGAAAAACGTTTCATTAGGGATTAGCTGTGTTATCTGTAGGGATGCCTGAGAAGAAGAAGAAGAAGGAGTTTGGATTTGATATCCTGCTTTATCACTACTTGAAGGAGTCTCAAAGCGGCTAACATTCTCCTTTCCCTTCCTCCCCCACAACAAACACTCTGTGAGGTGAGTGGGGCTGAGAGACTTCAAAGAAGTGTGACTAGCCCAAGGTCACCCAGCAGCTGCATGTGGAGGAGCGGAGACGCGAACCCGGTTCCCCAGATTATGAATCTACCGCTTTTAACCACTACACCACACTGGCTCACACCACACCACACATACGAGGCCTGTATGTGGAAGATCGCTAAGGGTATATTTCAGTTATTTTGTTCAGCTGCCAACTATGCCGAGTATGAAGAGTTGTATTTCTGTGATTTTTATTAGTAATATCTTTATGTGTAAGATAATATTTAAATCAAGTGCAAAGTACATGTTTAAAGCAGCATGAAGTTAACCTGTAACGTTTTGGTTTTGATACTTTGGAATGTTCTATTTGATGTCTTTAAAATAGGGTTTAAGATTTTTGTTGACATATAAACTGGTACAGAAAGGATTTAAATAAATCAAATGCACAATAAAGACTGGGCACATTCTAACCTCCTGGAAAGCTTTGTGAAAGCAAATCAGGATGAATGCTTAATAAACATGCTTATTGTCTAGAGCAGTCCATGGCCTCATTTTGTACAAAAGATAATTAGTACTAGATGGGCCATTGGCCCGAACCAGCAAGCTCATCTCATGTTGTGGACAGCTCAGTCAGGAAAGCATGAGACTCTTAATCTCAGGATCACAGGTTTGAGCCCCATGTGGAACAAAATATTTCTGCATTGCAGGAGGCAGGAGTAGATGACCCTCGTGGTCCCTTCCAACTCTGTGATTCTACGATTCTATATAAAGGCCTTTGCTTAGGTCAAGCCTCCCTAAACTCAGCCCTCCAGCTGTTTTGGGACTACAATTCCCACCATCCCTGACCCCTGGTCCTGTTAGCTAGGGATGATGGGAGTTGTAGTCCCAAAACATCTGGAAGGCCAAGTTTGGGTAGGCCTGGCTTAGGTGTTCATTCCATGTTGTTTTTAAACCTATCCTTGGTTGTTATATTATTCTTAAAATTAGTTTTAGATGATTTTGAGGATATGTCTGTAAACTGCCTTAAATATATATATGTAGAATATACACAAATAAATAATAACACCCATGCCTTACCCAAATTGGATTGTTGCCTAACAAAAAAATCCAGGATTGATTTATTATTTGAAGAAAAATTGAGAAAAAAAGGGGGGACCCCCACAGAGCAACACCATTAATTTTTAACAATATTAATTGGGAGTGAATTTACCTTCAGCTGGGTTTCTGTGGGAGAGGCAGCCAGAAACGGAGGCTGCCCAACCAACATCTCAAAGAGAATCACACCAACACTCCACCAGTCACATAGCTGAGTGTATCCTGAAAGGCAATCAGGAAAACAATGTGTTATCTGCTGTGTTTTCAAGGATGCAAGTCAGATTTTATTTTCAATTTTATCAATAACCTTGCCACTTATAGGTTCGTAACTTCATCTCAGAAGAATGAACTGTGGCCAAAAACCTAAACTATTGAAAAATCTGCTTTATGTGCCTTGTGATGGCTGACCTTGATCCTGCCTCTGAAAGCAAAGTGGATATTCAAAAGTGCTCAGAGTATTTTATTCATTGCACTATGAAGATTATAGCAAGCCTCAGAGAATATGGAATTCTGTACTGAGATGCCTGAACTTTTTGTATAAAATGCATATACAGTCAAACCTTGGTTGTCGAATGTAATCCGTTCTGGAAGTCCGTTCGGCTTCCGAAATGTTCGACAACCAAAGTACAGCTTCCGATTGGTTGCAGGAGTTCCTGCACTCAAGCGGAAGCCATGTCGGACATTAGGCTTCTGAAAAACATTAGAAAACCGTAGCATTTACTTCTGGGTTTTTGTCGTTCGGGAGCCGAAATGTTTCAAAACGGAGGCGTTTGGGATCCGAGGTTTGAGTGTACTGCAGTATGGAATACTGAGCGCTTGTGATAAAGGGTGAGCTAGAAACATTTTAAAAATATAAACCACCTACCTTTACGAAGGAGAACTTCAGGTGCAATATAATTGGGCGTTCCAACTAATGAATGGGCTAAACATCTCTGATGTTGCTTTTTAGCTCTCTGCTCCAAGGTCTTCAACCTGTCTCCACATCTACAGTTGGACACATCATCCCAAAGGTCGCTTGGCTCCATGCTGTCCTGCCTGATGTGGCTCCCTTTCAAAAGATGGGGGGGGGTGAAATGGGAAATTACATGGAAAGATCAACAAAAGCTCTCCCAAGAAACAAAACAAGCACGATTCACTATGCTTTCCTCTGAACTGCAAGCTTTGCAATTTAATTTGGGTTGCAATAGGTTCAGGAGACAAAAGGTAGCTGCTTACTCAAAGATAAAAATGTTTGTGGCTCTGGGGTCTCAGAAGCAGCCGCAAACGGTGACTACATTCACCTCCGAGTTGTCAGTATTTTTCTTCAATTAAAGCAGACTATAGTGTTCTGTTGCCCTGACGCAACAAATCCACTTAAAACAACAACAAACTAGACTCTTTGCAATTTAAAAAAGAACAGGGAAACGTAGTGAAAAGTGTGGGATGAACATCTGAAAAACGGGAAGACCACCATCCAAGTAAATCAGGATGAATGATCATTGCCGTTTAACATCCTCACAAACAAACTGGAATGAATGCTCAGTAGAGACTGGACAGTGTTGTATTCCATGTAGCACTAAGTCACTGGTTCTGTCAGTGCAGGATTTTCTCCTTGTGCAACAAAACATTTCCTCTCCTCTCCTCCCTCCATGTGCCCCAAATTGTGTTCTGCTGGCTCAATTTTTCAGTGCAGGTTTTGCAGGGTAGGACAAGTGTGAGGGAAGGAGGAGGCGGGTGGGAAAATCCCATTGTGCTAGCAGTAATATTTGCACTGATGGGAATATTTAGCTGAATACCACCTGTATTCTAAAATGAATGCCCAATGAACAGGTTGTCTGGAGGAGCCCTATATGTTATGTGGATCATATGTCTATTGTGCATTTATTTAAAACACCTGTGTTTGTAAATAGGCTGGCGTTGGCTACTGCTACCATCTCTCTGATTTTACACAGTCACACCTTCGCCCTCTCATCTCCACCCAAAAATCTGCCACCAAAGTCATTCACTTTTTTCTCTTTCTGCTCCTGGTCCAGTACAAATTCTTTGTCTTCCCCTTTAAAGCTCTCCTTAGCCTTGCCTGCCCTTATCTCTGTTCTTATATCTCCCATGCATCCCCTGCCCATGACCGTCACTCCTCCAGCCTCTGCTCCATCTCCCTTATCTTTAGAGCTGCCTCTTACAACAAATGGGTGACATCACCTCTCTCACCTTCTTCAAACACCTCCTCAACCCCCACCTTTCTCATGTGTTTTTTTAATGTGTTTATTGTATTTTTGAGTTTGTGCTATAAGCCACTCTGGGAAGGGGAGGATACCTACATATGCTGAAGTCATAGTAACAACAACTACGGCACATTTCGAAGCTATCTCCTTGCCCCCAAGCCCAGTACCTTTCTGGTAATATTTCGAGTTGTGCGTCCACCTGAATCCAGTGCAGAGGCCAAAGTCGGTCAGTTTGATGTGTCCATCGAGATCAATCAGAATGTTATCAGGCTTGATGTCTCTATGGATAAAGCCCATTTTGTGCACGCTCTCTATGGCCAGCGTGAGTTCAGCAATGTAAAACCGAGCTAGCTTTTCTGGAAAGACTTCCATCCGGATGAGCAGGCTCATCATGTCTCCGCCGGGGATGTAGTCCATCACAAAATACAGGTTCTCCTTGTCCTGGAAGGAGTAGTAGAGCTTAACCACCCATTCATTGTCTGCCTCTGCAAGGATATCCCTTTCGGCCTTGACATGGGCAACTTGGTTACGGTTCAGCACGTCTTTCTTCCTCAGGGTTTTCATGGCGTACAGGGCGTGGGTGTCCACTTTGCAGGCAAGGCAGACTTCCCCAAAAGCACCGATACCCAGAGTCTTGATTTTTACAAACATGGATTTGTCCATTTTGGCTCTCTTGAGCCTGTTGTAGTTGGACTCCTTTTGGTAGAGAATTTTCCTCATCTGCTCTTGTTCTGTTTCACAAAGGCCAGCCTGGGTTAAAATTATGAGATGGGGAGAGAAAAATCAAGGGAGTCAGGATCATCACACACACACACAAAATTGCCGGAAAAGCTGTACAATCACATCAGTTACGAAAAATGTGCAACGAAAGCGCAGTCTGTTTTTGTTCCATCTCACCCTCTAAATATTTAAAAGCAGTACATGCAGGTTGCATTCATTCTATTACTTTGTTATTTTCATTTCATGCTTCTAAGGTTAAAATCAGGCTCAAAAATAATCACCGCAACTATCTAATTCCTCATTGCATTTCACTAGCCCACATGGCGAGGAAGGTAACCTTGAAAAATCTGAGGGAAATCCCTGATAAAAATTTGTAAGTCAAAGGGATACCACTGGTCATTAAACCATAAGAGGACCCATAAGCAATGGCGTAGCTAGCCGCTCAGGTGCCTGGTGCGGGGGGGTATCCTGCAACCGGGGGCGGGGCAAGCCCATGGGGACGGGGTGAGCCTCGTCGACGCGTGAAGCCTCTTCACCGCCTTCCCCTCAGCTGCAGGGCAGCTGAGGGAGAGGCAGTAGGCAGACGCAAGGCGCACGCTGCCATTTCAGGCAGCGTGGAACCTAAGCACCATGTTTGGAACCTAAGCACCATGTTTGGATTTGATATCCCACTTTATCACTACCCGAAGGAGTCTCAAAGCAGCTAACATTCTCCTTTCCCTTCCTCCCCCACAACAAACGCTCCGTGAGGTGAGTGGGGCTGAGAGACTTCAAAGAAGTATGACTAGCCCAAGGTCACCCAGCAGCTGCATGTGGAGCTCCTAAAAAGTTTCGTGAGCCCAATTTTTTTTAAAAAATTATTTTGTCATCCTCCTTCAGTGATGACACCCAGGGCGGACCACACCCCTCATACCCTTCTTGCTCCACCACTCTCATAAGAGGAATCAAGCCAAAGGCATAAGAATTCTAGCATCCTAGTTTCAACACTGGCCAACCAGATGCCTATGGGAAGCCTCCAAGCAGAATATTACAAACAGCCCTCTCCCACTGCTATACTCCAACCACAGGAATTTAGAGGTCTGCTGCCTTTGATAACACAGCTTCCATAGAGCCAACATGAAGAGGAGTCTACCAATTCTATGAGTCATTGACAGCCTTATCTTCCATGTGTTGTTTGTCTATTCCCCTTTATATCAGGGGCAATGGGGCTTGGCTTTCTGCTCCTTCCTCTGTATTGGGGGGGGGGAACTGGGTGGGGAAGAAGCACAAATGACACCCAGCACTAAATCAATGGTCATGAATGTCAGAAAATATCTCTGTAGGGGGTTGGATGAAATTGTGATGTATCAGGAAGTGTGAGAGACTTGCATATCTATGCTGTGTTGAATACAGAGGTCTGCTACATTATCCCAGTCTTATTACCTTTCAAGAAAAAGAAAAGCACAAACACACAAGTTACCTTGGCCATTTCTTGCTCCAGCTGCAGCCGGCGATTAATTTTCTGCTGGTAGGTCTTTATGACGTTCTCCACATGCTGCTCCATGTAGAATTTAAAGGCAAACGGCGAGTAGCTTTTAATACGTGACTCTCTTTTCTCTTCGTCTCTGCCGTTCTTCCGCACCGGCACTGGGGACGTCTGGATCTGTTTCTTATCCTTGCCTGGCTTTTCCGCTTTGGCCGACTTGATTTTGTCGTTCCTTTCCCCATTCTCCTCAGCTTTGTTTCCTGATGAGCTGGGGACTCCCCGAAGGGTCTGCTCGATCCCTGTACGTAAGCAGTTCATATCAAACTGCTCAGAACTACTGGGCAGCAGCAAATGCTTCGGATAAGGAGGCGGAGGGCACCTCAGCTCCTGATTGCTATAGTCCACATCTAGCTGGTAGGCATTAGCTCCTCCAACAGGAAGGGGGTGCTGTTCGGCCATTCCTAAGCCATCCACAGCCGAAGACTGCGCAGCCAGCCAGCCAGGATGAGCGGGGCCTACTGCAGTCTGAGGCTCAGGCCTCATCACCCTTGTGCTCTTCACTGGCTGTAGAATATGAGCAGATGTGACGGCCGTGATGGTGTTTGGAGAAGTAATGGACGCCTCAGCTTTGCCTGGAGAAGTCTGCCTCATGGATATCGGCATCTGTTGCTGGTGGCTGTTGAAAGAATTGGTTCTGCTTGGGACGCAGCCCTCAGGCCTGAAGGGCACGTGTTGCCGGACCGATGCTTCCAGGGCTGGGTTCTGCAACGAGTCACGGCGGGACGACGACGAGGACGACGACGAAGAGGTCGTCTGCCACTGCTGAACTTGAGGGTTGTTCATATCATACAGGTCCATGTTCAGACTGTTTCTGGATGGCGTCAACAGGCCCTGCGGTGGGCTGTCTGAAAATTCGTTCGTGTACGCTGGGCCTCCTCTGGCGATCACGTGCATCGGGTGGGAGGAGGGGATGGGTTGCTTGTGATGGGAGTGCGGCATATACAGACCGCCTGGCGCTTGCTGGAACCCGTGGCCGGAGTTATTCTGAACAACCGTTCCTTTGTTTGGAAGGCTTGGATACCCTCCCTCCTGCTGCAACTTGTTCTGGAAAGAATGGCTCCTCTGAATCCCATAGCCGAGAGCCTGAGCCTCCCCTTGCACCATCACGGGCTGCCTGCCGTAATGAGGGCTGTTTGAGCCAAGCTGCAAGGCTTGGCTGCTGTGGCCAGCCACCGGGTAGTTGATCACTGGGGCATCCATGTTTGCAGGGTAGGCTTTCTGCTGGTGACTGACAGGTGTGTTGTGGGAGCCTAAGCTGGCAGGCCTTTGTACTGGAGAGTTCATGGTTGCAGACTGAGAAGCAGAGAGCAAGTAGTCCATATATGGCCTGGGAACGTCACCCAGCATGTTAGCAGCTTCTGCCCCAAAGCCTGCACCTTCATAGCCCGGGTTGCTAACCTGGTGGTAGGTTGGGAAAGATTCGCTGGACCCTTCAAAACTTGGCCTGCGGCTTATGTTGTTTGGCATAATACCCTTTCCTGTAGTGGGGAGAGAAAGATAATGGGTTGGGTAGTGTTAGGAAACCATTCAGGTGAATAGACTTATTCCTGCGTACACACATAACACTTAATTCATCATTTCATAGAATTTCTAAGACTACTTCTCACAAAAAGTTTTCAGATCTGTGAACAAGGACAAAAAAGAACACCCCACTATCATCGGTTAAAACAACACTTAAACTTGGCTCCATATAACACTGCAATGCAAATGATGAAACAGTTTTGAAACTAAAAGGTCGAACTGTTCTTCCTTGTAAATTCAAGTGTGTTTCTTGGCTAAGTTTACCTTTGCATTTGCACTGAACCAGAAATAAGGAAATGGAAGGTGGAGTAAGAGTGAAATGCTACATGATTCTTCAGGATGAGGATACGAGTGCATCCACACTTATGGTAAAATACACTTTCTTTTCTTTTTGTACTGACAACAAGGCCAAATTCTCACATTCAATCTTTCCTTGCAAACTCCCATTTCAAACCCTTCAACAGCAAAATGCAATGAAATTGTTGCAAGGCTTCTATCTGGTTGCATCAAACTTTAGCAGATTGGAATGAAACTTGAAGTATATATTGCCACACAGTCCACAGGTCAATGATATTTTATCCCTTGAGAAACCACACTTAACAGGGTCAAGACAGCTACCAAGTTGCTTTCATATTCCACACAGCATCAAACCAGGCAAAAACTCAGGAATGAGATAGAAAGAGCACCCACACTTACCCGAAGATGTCTGTTTAATTACCCGGACTATTTGTTCATTTCTGGGATCCAAGTATCCCATCTTGCTAATGTATTCCAAAGCTGCTTCAATGCTTCTACTGCCAGTTTGTTTTAGGGCTCTCACAGCCATCTCCTAGACAAAACAGATATACAGAAACACAAATGAAGGCCCAAGTGAACAATCCGATGGCACAACACCGTTGAAGCTAAACAGCCATATGAATTTCAGTCCATTTACTGATTAAATCATTGATGAAACTACAGAACTCTGGCTTTGAAGAAAAAACAAACGCCCTACTTTAGGAACATAGGAAGTTGCCTTATACTGAGTCAGAATGGTGGTCCATTTAGTATTTAGTATTGTCTCCAGGGTTTCAGACAGGAGTTTTTCGTAGGTCTAGAGACACCAGGGACCAAACCTTAGACCTTCTGCTGGCAAATCTGATGCTCTGCTGCTAAGCTGTGGGCTTCCCCCTGTTTCAGAATCATTAACATGTTGCAACAGACACTGCAGGGTGACCTTTTCTAAGAGGGCGTCACCTTTCTATAAGTACTTGCATGAAAAATAACATTTTTTAAAATCCTGCTGCATAACCCGCAGTTAACCTAAAGGTTTGAAGTACGTTAACCAAAACTGGGCTGAGTATTTGGCCCCAAAGCAATGAAGTTTTTGCTATCAGGGGGTCGGATTAGATGAACCCCGGGGTCCCTTCCAACTCTACGGTTCTAGATTAGCAATATCAGGCACCTTAGAAATAATAAAACTATGTTTCGGTGCTCTAGAAACAAATCAGCACATGGCACGCACGGCATGGAGCAAATGGACAGAAAAGTTCTTCTCCCTCTTTCCTAACTCTAGTGCTTGTGGAAATCCAATTGAAGCTGAATGTTGAGAGATTTAGGATAAAAGAAAGCACTGCTTCATGCAGCGCATGATCAAACTATGGAGCTCGCTTCTCCCCAGGAGGCAGTGACCAACTTGGACAAGCTTGGAAACAGGATTAGACAAATTCATGGAGGACAGGACTATCAGTGGCTGCTAGCTGTAAAAGCTATGCTCTGCCACCACAGTTGGAGGCCAGCAATGCTGCTGAACACCAGTTGCTGAAAACCACAGGAGGGGAGAGTGCTATTGTCCTCATGTCCTGCTCCCTGGTTTCCCAGAGGCATCTGGTTGTCCACCATGAAAACAGGCCATTGATCTGATCTGAGAGCCAGTGTGGTGTAGTGGTTAAGAGCGGTAGACTCGTAATCTTGGGAACCGGGTTCGCGTCTCCGCTCCTCCACATGCAGCTGCTGGGTGATCTTGGGTTAGTCACACTTCTCTGAAGTCTCTCAGCCCCACTCACCTCACAGGGTGTTTGTTGTGGGGGAGGAAAGGAAAGGAGATTGTTAACCGCTTTGAGACTCCTTCAGGTAGTGATAAAGCGGGATATCAAATCCAAACTCCACCAGGCTCTTCCTATGTTCTTGGATGTTCTACTAGTGTGAAATGTTTTCCACCACTCTGAAATTATGGTTTCCTTTAAGTTCACAGCCATTTTTTTTAATGAGTTGGTGGTTCATACTTATAAATAAATCAAAATAAACAAACAAAACTTCGTCCTGTAGTTCCCTGGATGGAAATCACTTAGAAAGTTCTCGTGAGCCTGTAAAACTGTTTAAACAAAAGTATATATATTTTTATATTACTGACTTGGTCCCAACACAGCCAAAGAAACCATTCCTTCCAGTTTTCCTTGTGGCAAGCCTAGTATAAATTAAGCCTAGACTTTAGTAATCCCCTCATGTTTTGAAGATGCACATTGAATGGACAGAGTTGAAGGTATATTCAGCAGTCAGGAGGTTCGGGCTTACATATGCCCCAATTTTCCCCTCTCCCAACCTCTGCCTTGTGGCTGAATCTGCTTCACTATGTCGAGCTGCAAAACGAAGGCAAATGAGAAACTACAAATGTGCCCCTCTGCCCTCAACATTTTTATTCATTTAATTCCTATCCTCCCTTTCTATCATAGTGTTCTAAGCAGTATGTACACCTCAAAAACATGTTTGATCATTCCATATGGGAAAGCAAACATTACATAATCCAACAGCCGTCTTTGATGCCAGTTGGGTTCTTCTGTTTGGACTGTGGCAGCTTGGGATGGAGGGAATATGTGTCAGCAGTTTGCTTCCTGGCTAACCAACCCGCCGTACACACAAAACATGACTCCCCCACCCTAAAAATAACCTCCACTCCATTACGGAGAGCCTTCTTTCGTACTCTGAACTTCATGGCTCTAGTGTAAACACAAGGTGAATTCAGACACAGCAATAAAGCTGAACTAGCACAAAACATGCTATTTGCTCTGAACTGGTCCAGCGTTAGTGCTTATTCTGTAAGGGAGTTATGAGTCAAAGGAATCTAGTTGCCTCAAGTTAGAAGCCCTTTAGAAAATACGAAATGTTTCCACTTGCACACAATTGAATATATTTGCCACAATAGAGAAACACGGCGATAAAAATCGTGCTAGTTACTGAGAGGTGCTTAAATGTTTTAGTGTGAATGATCTTGTAACCACAGGTTAAAACATATTTTTTAGAAAACTTAGTAGGCACCCGAGCAAATTTGCAAATTTCCCAGAGTGGGGGAGGGAAGGGGGAGACATTTTCATACGACTCTTTCACTACACGCAAGTTGAAAAGCCAGTTTTGTTGCTAAGTCCTATAAGTGGATGTAAGACAACAATGCCAGATTTACGGTAGTTTTTCCAGTTAAGTAAGATATGCATAAAATGAAGCTCAAGCAAGGAGCACATAAGGTATTTTGTGTGTGTGAGCTTTTGAAATAAAACAGCAATTTCTGATACACTTTCTTTTTTTGAAGTCTCAGATATAATGAAGTACTATTAAAAGCAGTCATTTTTATAGGTCTTATCGATGTCCTACTTGTTCTCATCTAGAGACATTCTGCATGTGCTCAGCTGTTAAGACTGTAATAGTACCGTATCACAAATAGAAGCCATTTATTAATTAAAAGCATTGTTATTCCGCTCTTCAATGAAAAAAATATTCTCAGAGTAGCTTACCAATGTCAGTGATGAGGCAGTCATATACTAAGGTTTAAGGATACAACACAAAAGGAAATTGGATTAGGAGGGAGGAGAAAGAAAAAGGCACCATTACAGAATCCTTATAATGATCAGCTGGAATTAAAACATTTTAAGGAAATGTTGCTGACCTTTCAAGTAGAGCTGATGGAGATCCATCTGCCAGACCCATCTGTCTGTCTGTCTGTCTGTCTCTCTCTCTCTCTGTCACACACACACACACACACAGTCTCACACGCTTTCAATAGCAACTCCTTGACCTCAATGTTCAGGGCAAGTAATCTGTCCGGATGGCACTTTCAATGAACTGCGGCAATGAGGTTATTCCCTTCATTAGCATCAGTGATGCATTTTGCTAATTTTACCACACGCACGCGTTAGCCAAACATTCATTTGGCTGACATTACATTTATAAAAAGTACCACCCAATATGCCAACTATTTCAGTACCGCAGGCACTAATTTAGAAGTGACTAGGTTCTAGTCATTCCCTTCCTGTTGCTTCCAAGAAAAATCTAGGGTATGTGCAGAAAAAAGCAAAACAAAACAAAAAACCCCTGTGCTGTTTACAAATCCTCCCAGGATTCAAGGAGAATAATTCTGTCAAGCTGGGTGTAAAGAAATCCCTCAGCTGTGAGTACAGATCAAAAGTTACAAGTCACTGGACTAACTGCCCTCAGAAAAACAAGCACGTTTAAGAATTGCAGGCCTGCCTTCTGGCGTCAGTTACAGCCCTTATACAAATATAGTATGGCAAATAACTCCCCACACTTGTGACATACTTTATATTAATAATACAGCTTCATTTTACGCACAAAAAGGAACAGTGTTGTACTCATTTATATATGCTTGCATCCAACCACCTTTCCAAGGAGGCCAGAGAAATTTATAGGGGTTCTGAGACAAGTTTCCCATCCGTGTCTGGGCCAAGCCCAAATTGGGCTTTGCTTCAGAAAAGGAATGGAAACGCACCTGGTACCTTCAAACGATTTCATTTTACAAAGCAGTGAAGTCTTCCAGTTCATCTCACCATTGTGTATAACAGCACCTTTGGGCAAAGCAATAATAAGCACCTTAAATAGGAAATTTCTATCTTTAATATTTCCTCTAGGAATATTTTAAACAGGGCTGTACACCCTTCAGGATAGCTGACCTGAATGCATTATAATTGATCCAGATTCTGCTTAAGATATTCCTATCACTGTGAGCTGCTTACCCATGTCACATTGTAATTAATGTGCGCTAGCTTTAAAGACAGAACTGCAATGGGGCAAGTAACAAACACAGTGGTATCTCAGGTTAAGTACTTAATTCGTTCCGGAGGTCCGTTCTTAACCTGAAACTGTTCTTAACCTGAAGCACCACTGCTTCCCGCTGCTGCTGCGCTGCTGGAGCACGATTTCTGTTCTCATCCTGAAGCAAAGTTCTTAATCCAACGTAATATTTCTGGGTTAGCGGAGTCTGTAACCTGAAGCGTATGTAACCTGAAGTGTATGTAACCCAAGATACCACTGTACAATCATTTGGAGTTCTGGATTTTAGAAAGTAATTTTGTACTACAGTGGCAATGTGGTGTAGTGGTTAGTCTATGACATGGGAGATTAGGGTTCAAATCACTGCTCAGCCATGAAGCACACTGGGTTGACCTTGGACCAGTCATAGTCCTATTATTATCATTATGATGATGATGCCCTTCATCCGAAGATCACAGGGTGCTTTACAATATAGAAAACACAAAAACACAAACAACAATAATAAAAACAAATTCAACCCCCCCCCATAGTCATAATCATTTATAATTTTCTATAATAGTCTATCCTACCTCACATAATTGTTGAGAGGATAAAAAGGGGGGAGCATTTTGGGGGGAGGGGGATATAAATAAATAATACTGAAAAGGCACCTGAATGTCAGCCTAACTATTCCCATATTTTTAAAAAGCCAGGAGAAACTGTTCCTTTCATTGTTCAAATAATATTCTGTAGTAGAATTTACTAATACATACATATATTTACACATGTATACTTAGTAATAATAAGCACATCAGAATGTTCTACATACATTATCTCAGTAATATTTATACTAATCGTGGTCCCTATTATTATCGCCACATTGTAGAGAAAAACAAGTAAGACAGGCCCAATTTCCATTGAATGTTAAACCATGGTTCAGCAACGTATGAGAATAAAACTCCACAAGCCACAAGGAAAAACAGAGTTCACACATTCCCCCCTTCCTTTTCCCCATGCGGCCAGGACTTGTGTTGAATTTATTTCCACCTTCCAAGGGGCTCACAGTTTAGCACTACCTATAAACTGGGGGTTGCAGTTTACAATGCTAGTTTCATAACCCATGGTTTGAAGTTGGCTTGTTTAGCAATTAGCCATTGCTTATTGTAAACCACAATTGCCCAGTTGGCATGCAAGGATAAGCTGAGACTTCTTCAAAAGCAGTACCAAATTCAGCAGAAGTCCTCTGCCTGGCCATGCAAGAAAATGAGAGGGGATGGGAGACCATACAAGCCTAATGTGTTGCTTGGACTAACAGAAGGTACCTACATAGTCCTAAATCATGGTTTAGGATTACGTGCAAGTGCTTCCAATTTCTTGCCTTCAGATCCCTAGTGAGTTTGTGGCTTAGGCTGCTCACAGCTCACACTCTTAATCATTACCCTACACCAGGTGTGGCCAGCTTTTGTCCCTCCAGATGTTGCTGAGCTACAAGTCCCATCATCCTTGGTCATTGGCCATGCTTGCTAGGGCTGATAGGAGTTGCAGTTCAGCAACAGCTAGAGAGCCAAAGGTTACTCACGCCTGAACCACATCATCTCTTAAATGTACTCTCAGTGGGAGCAAGAGGACAAGGGACCGAGGATGTCTCATAGCTGTTATCGTCAACAAGTCTTGTCTCGATAAAGCCTGAAAGCAAAATTGACAAGGGGAATGAAAGGTTTGCAGCCAACAAATGAATTCCGGAAACTGTACATGGGCAAACGAAGGCAGCAGATGGTGGATGGAACAGCAAAGTGTGGGAGGTGATGTAAAGGATATATCTAGCCAGGAGCAGGAGACTGGAGCGGGGAGATAATGAGAAGAGTGCACACAGGATTAAGACGATTAGCAGAATCTAGGCAGGAGCATGTAGCCAACGAAATAGGCTGCAGACATGGAAAAATCTCTGTGGAGACATCCTTAGGAGTCTGTTGCACAAACTAGGAGTTGTGGAGTCACAGTTCAATTCATATGAGCCAGGATCAGTAAGACAGTCCATTACTGCTACCAAATCTTTGCCCATAATTCTTTAGGCTAAGCCATCGGTAGGCAAACTAAGGCCCGGGGGCCGGATCCGGCCCAATTGCCTTCTAAATCCGGCCTACGGACAGTCTAGGAATCAGCATGTTTTTACACAAGTAGAATGTGTCCTTTTATTTAAAATGCATCTCTGGGTTATTTGTTGGGCCTGCCTGGTGTTTTTACATGAGCACAATGTGTGCTTTTATTTAAAATGCATCTCTGGGTTATTTGTGAGCCATAGAAATTCGTTTTTTTAATTCAAATTATAGTCTGGCTTCCCCACAAGGTCTGAGGGACAGTGGACTGGCCCGCTGCTGAAAAAGTTTGCTGACCCCTGGGCTAAGCAATACAGAAGAACTCAAAACAGATCTTGAGCAGCAAATTATCTGTGCCCAAGCAAATCCCCTGCAATGAACTATATAGTACTCTTGTTTGAAACACAACCCCTGCGACAACAAAAAGTGGCTGCCTTCGTATTTCCCCCAGTATTATGCATTTCTCCTTGCAATCTGTAAACCAGGAAAGAAGTATGCCAGCAAAATAATATCATCCAGGAAAGGCGTGATCAGCTTACTATAAAACATAACATTCCATTTATATTTGCATGCTACTCAAGTCTAGTTGCACTTACTACATGTAAAATGCTGCAGAAGACAGAATCAGAATTCAAAATGACCGTATCAGGTTGGAGAACTGGGTGCAAGCTAACAAAACGAATTTCAATAGGGACAAATGTAAGGTTCTGCACTTAGGCAGGAAGAACCAGATGCACAAATATAGGATGGCTTACTGGCAGTACATGTGAAAAGGATCTAGGGGTCTTGGTGGACCACAAGCTTCATAGGAGTCAACAGTGTGATGCAGCAGCAAAAATAGCTAATACTATTCTAGGCTGCATCAACGGAAGTATGGTGTCCAGAAGTAAGGGAAGCAATAGGTAAAGGTAAAGGGACCCCTGACCATTAGGTCCAGTTGTGGCCAACTCTGGGGTTGCAGCGCTCATCTCGCTTTATTGGCTGAGGGAGCCGGCGTACAGCTTCTGGGTCATGTGGCCAGCATGACTAAGCCGCTTCTGGTGAACCAGAGCAGTGCACAGAAACGCTGTTTACCTTCCCGCCGGAGCGGTACCTATTTATCTACTTGCACTTTAACGTGCTTTCGAACTGCTGGGTTGGCAGGCGCAGGGACCGAGCAATGGGAGCTCACCCCGTTGCGGGGACTGGAACCACCAACCTTCTGATCGGCAAGTCCTAGGCTCTGTGGTTTAACCCACAGCGCCACCCGCGTCCCAAGGGAAGTAATAGTACCACTCTATTCTGCCTTGGTCAGACCACAGCTGGAACACTGCGTCCAGTTCTGGGAGCTGCAATTTAAGAAGGATGTTGACAAGCTGGAACGTGTGTAGAGAAGGGCAACCACGATGATCAAGGGTCTGGAAGCCAAGCCTTATGAGGAACAGTTGAAGGAGCTGGATATGTTTAGTCTGGAAAAGAGAAGACTGAGATATGATAGCCATCTTCAAATATCTTAAGGGCTGTCACATGAAGGAGGGAGCATGCTTGTTTTCTCCTGTTCTGGAGGGTAGGACTCGAACCAATGGCTTCAAGTTACAAGAAAGGAGATTCCAACTAAACATTAAGAAAAACTTTCTGACAGTAAGAGATGTTCAACAGTGGAACAGACTCTCACAAGAGGTAGTGGACTCTCCTTCCTTGGAGGTTTTTAAACAGAGGTTGGAAGGCTACCTGTAATGGATGCTTTAGCGGAGATTCTTGCATTCAGGGGGTTGGACTAGATGACCCTTGGGTCCCTTCCAACTCTACATTTCTAAGAAAAACACTTTGAAAAACAACTAACAAATAGGTATGCTGACCACATTCCCAAGTGGCAACTCCATCTGCTCTTCTTTGTGTGTTTCCCGATACACACGTTTCATGTTTGCTCCAGGTCATTTTGCACAATCAGGCATTGGAAATAGCTCAAGGACCTATCCACACTATTCTCAGCAACCTTAGCGGCAAACAGCAGCCAGAGTGAATGTTTTCAGCAGGAAACCTGAGCCCCGCTGGCTGCTCTTTCTTCAAAACAACAGATTCAGCTTTTTTAAAACCTTCAAGTGTAGTTCGGTGATCTCCTCCAACATTTCTCTCGCAGTGGTGCCCCTCCCCAATATTGGTAATTGTTCTATCCTGGCTTTCTCATTGTTTCTCAAGAGTTTTTGAACCAATTTTGTATGCAGTGACTCATTCACTATAGCTGCTTTGCAAATTTATTTCGTTTATCTTTTTTGAATTGGGGGAGGGATCTGTATTTCCTCCACCTGGGCTTGCTTCACAATCAAAAAGATTTTTTTCAACACAGTTACTGCAGTCAATACTCAAAATTTTGGGCAATTAATTTGCTGTGTTGTGTTTTTAATTTTGGTATGCCGCTTTGGGCATTTTCTTTTAAATGGAAAAGCAGGTTTAAAGCACCCGAAGGTTTATTTAATTTAATTTATTAAATCTGCGAACCGCCCTTCATCCGAAGATCTCAGCGCAGTTCACAGCATAAAAATACAAGATAAAAACACAAAATGCATAATGCAGAAAGAGAAGAGAGCAGAAAAAGAGAAGAGAGCAAGCCCAAAATGCTGAAAAGCAGCAGCACATACCTAAAGCAAATGCTGAATAGAAATGAAGTATAAGAGCCAGTGTGATTACAATATATAAGAAACACAAAAAGAAAAAAGGTAGCTTTTACAGGAGTGGAACTTGATGTGGAGATGTGGGTTCAAATCCTCCTTTGGAGCAAGGAGAGCTACAAATGCGATAAGGAATTTGAAACCTGAACAAGAGCCAAATGGAAAAGGAATCAACAGACAACATGAAACACTGGTGCAAGACAAACACGTACTCTTACATATTTTGCCAATGTGCCTGTGAGAACCTTGTTTGAATCAAGTAACTCCACTGTGCAGCCACTTCAGAAACAGACTCTGCCCTCCAAAAGATCACACTTGATCCTGTTCAGTCTGTCTGATGAAACCACCATGAGATGCTACAGTGAGTTGCGGGGGGGGGGGGGGGCTAGACTGCAGAAGGCAAGATGCAATATGGAGGACACGGCAAATGGCAGAAATATGAGGGAACATTCTAGCACAAAAGAAACGGGCGACAAGAGCTAATTCTTTTATTGAATTTGTTCTCATCGTAGAGTCGGAACAGCTGCAAGCTCCACTTGGAATTCAGACTCTTATATCAGCACAGAAGTCCATTACAAAGGAGGATTGTTAATTAAGACACTGTCAATTTGCTCTGCTTTCCGAAACCGTAGGGTACAATTTTTGAATAGCTGGGCGACTGCTGGAGGCAAAACCATCAGCAGAATAAAATGTCCAAGAGGTCAGGCGTTTTCGCATAAAGCAGCTGCAGCAATATTACTGAAGTTCTTGTGTGTCTACAGCTGACCAAGAATAAGGTTGCACGAGAAGGCTAGCACCTCAAGAGAACAGCTGCAGGTCCTTCATCTCCGAAAGCGGGGGGCGGGGGGGGGCGGGGAGAGGAGAATACATTCATATTGCATGACTATTGAGCTTGATCTACTTTGTTCTTCTGCGACCAAACTAGATGCTACAAATAATGTTTCTTTCATCCTTCCTCTCCCTGGTCCTTTCACCTTCTCTTCTTCCTTCCACGGCAGCTTTCCTCTCCCCATCCCCTTCCTTTCCATTCCCAGTTTACGTACTGATAGATGAGGTGAGGGGAGAGACTCTATCAGGCAAGGCCTCCTTCCACCTCCCTTGCTCTACCCTCTGCTTCTCAATGTGTATTGTATTGTTTTATGTACTGTGGCTTGCCGTTTTATTGCTTATAGTTTAGATATTATTGTAGCTGTTGAGTGGATTTCTGTTTAACTTTTATATGTTGATATTATTATTTTATACTATTCTAATGATTGTTTAATGTTACTTTTTTGATGGAGGTTGCCTATTTTAAAGTTATATTTTATTATCACATTTTTGTATTGCATTAGATTGTTAGAAGATGTACATTTTTTGTTTCTTCAGCTTGTAAACCGCCTTGAGTACTGTAAGATAGAAAGGCGGTATACAAATTAAAAATGATGATGATGATGATAGATAACAATGACGATAAAAATTACTGTTTTAACTTGCTAATTTCCCTCAGCATCTCCTCCTCCTCTCATGAACTCCTCTGTCTCCTGGAGGCCACTCTTTACTCACCTTACTCAGTAAGTTGATGGTACTGGTCCAGCCCAATGGCTATGGCAGGGCAGGCAGGTGAGGAGGCACTGAGGCACCCAAGACCACTCTTTGGTCTTGGCCCCCAGTCTGAGAAAACACTGCTCTGCACGACAGCATCCAGTCCTGGCCCAGGTGTGGTTGGTGGATGCAAAAACACAGCTCTAAGTCACTGTATTCCCTAAGCAGGAACCACTCTCTGGGGTGGTTTCCATTCAATATTTCATGTTTTTTTCTTCACAGGCAGAACTAGCACAAACCCATGAATACTTCTCTCTCCTCATAGATCCAACAACCTGATGATAGCTACAAGGTTATTCCATGACCAGATAAATCACATTGTTTTATGTTGACGTTTGTATGTTTTCCTTGCAACAGAAAACCACCGTTAAGTGATCCAACCATTCTGGGCATGGAGTCCGATGTGCTATAAAAGGCAAGGTGAGGCATCAACGCTTGCCTCAGATTGTGGATTTGGGCATTTTCTTTTAAATGGAAAAGCAGGTTTAAAGCACCTGAAGGTTTATTTTATTTATTAAATCTGTGTACTGCCCTTCATCCGAAGATCCCAGAGCGGTTCCTTCATTTTCAAATTTCTTTGCAGATAATTGGATATTTGTTTTTAATATAAACTGCTTTGGGCGTTGTCATGTTGGAGAGGGATATAAACTTTTTACTTTTTAAAAAAGTGCATTTTTTTTTAAAAAATGCTAGGTTTAAATGAGATGTGTGTCAGTCAAAACATGAGTGATTGGGAGGCTGCAGCTGCCAGAGAGGCTCAATCAAAGGCTTCCATGTAGCATCTGCTTCACCTGACAGCACACACCTTGTATAAGAGCATTAAATGTTAAAGGCTTTCAAGGGCCTCATGTACAGTAGTTGTGATGCTAGAAAACACTGTGGTCTACGTAGAACAGTTGTCTGCCTTATGGTGAAGTTTAAAAATTACTGTGGTGATTTAAGGCATGCACCTGATGAAACATGCACATAAATTACAGCTAAAAAGTGACTGTGACACAGATTTGTTCTGCCAGGGATATGTCTCTTTTTGAACAGAACTTCTCCATTTCCCCTCTTCTGTCTGAACACGTAAGCGACTTCAAGTAAGTACACAATCTGAGCAATCCTTTGATATCCTGTCTGCCAGGAAAAGATCAAGGAATCTCCTTTAAAAAATATTGGTTTTAACAATGCAGGGATCTGCAACTGAAAAAGCGATGGCTGTAAAGAAACAACACCATCCACAACCGGCTTCTTGATCACCCACTAGATGCTCCCAGCAGTCTGCCCAAACTACCTGGCTGCAAAGACCATGGGTGAAATTCTGCTAACCATGGCTCAGAGTAGACCAACTGAAATTAATGGCCACGACTAACTTAGGCCCATTAATTTCAATGGGTCTACTCCTGAGTAAAGGTTAAGTGAATACAACCACATAAATATAAAACACGGTGCCTATCTATACCTTTGTCTCCTGTTTTTTTGCACCTTTGACCATCCAAGGACACTGTTTGCTCATTATTTCAGAGGCTGAAGCATACATTTGCCTCCTCATCTTCAAGGTGCAGAACGGGGTCTTCCACAGTACATTACCAGTGGAAACGTTAAAAGATGCAGAAACCTAAACTACAAACAATGGCTTTCTCATTGTCAAAATGCCAAATATATATATATTAAGCAGTGTTCCACACCAAACACATTCCACATGGGAACAGGAGGTTCTTAATCATTCCAAATTCCAAATGGTCAGTTCCAAACAGAAAACTTGCACTTAAACTAAAAAATGAAAATAAAACTTTTTTGCTTCTTTTGCCAGCTTGAAACTCTTTCCCCCCGCCCCTTACAGATGGACAGCGAAAGCATTTCACTGGCACAAGTTGGAAGAGGAGGAAAAGATGGTGTGGAGGAAGGGAAGCTATCCATGAAAACATGCATGTTCCTCTGCCATCTGCACTTTCCAGCTTTTGAATGCCATTGCACTTTGTACTTTTTAATTAAAATCTTTGTCACATCCTTAAACTCAAGCCTTTTGCCCACCTTAATTTAGATATTTCTTGTGCTAGATGTTTGTAGTGAACATGAAGGGTGGCGTTCAACAAAGCACTAAATCACTCCCTGTGTGAGGGGAATGACTTGCCCTTGTGCAATGGGACTTCTCCCTTTCCACCAGTCCCCCGAGATCTGTTCTAGCACTGTTACATGAATAAAACACTAGCAGTCAAGTCCTTCTTCCTCAGGAGATAGCACCTTCTTTACTGACCTTCCTAGTCATACTTTAACCCCCAAAGAACCCATAGTGTCTCATGCCATGCAAGTAGCTTCCCCAACCTTCTGGAGAAGATCTGGGGATGGTTCAAGCTATATGCAGGAAGAGAAGAGTCAAACGGATGTCTTTCCACTTGCGTAATTATTTGGTTGAACACTGCTTTAAGTCTCTAGGGCTGCTATTAAATAAATGAAAATGAGAAGTATTGTTATGTCCTATCTTCCTTGAAGGCATGCTTGGAAGCATCTATGGTCTGACAGTAAAAGCTGTTTGACAGTGGAAAGGACTCCCTAGGGCAGGGGTCAGCAAACTTTTTCAGCAGGGGGCCGGTCCACTGTCCCTCAAACCTTGTGGGGGGCTGGACTATATTTTGAAGGGGAAAAAATGAATGATTTTCGCCCATCCGCAAAGAGGCGTGAAGATACTTGTCCCAGTTGTCGTCCCAATAGCTGCAGTTGGGCTTCTCCAGCCAGCCAAGCGCCGTGGCAGGGTAGGAGGCTGCGTTGGCCGGTGAAGACAGAAGCAGCAGCCCTGGCAGAGGAGCCGCGGACGGAGGTAAGGGAACCAGGGTATCGCCGGAGCTTTTACCCACCACCTGCTAATGCTGCTTCTTGAGAGGCACCGCGGAGAAGAAGACAAAGCTGCCCACCAAGCCACAAGTGGCGGCTGCAGCTACTGCAACAAACTGCCTGAACACCATGGGAGGAATGAAGGAGGGAGGGAGGGAGGCGGCGAAGAAATCGCGTGAGGAAGCGGCGCAGAGAAGGGTGGACTGAGGGAGAGGGAGCAGGAGGAAAATGCAGCAGCAAGCCGGTGTCACATGTCCCCTTCACAGCGCCGCCCTGCTGAGGCGGGCAGGCAGGTGAGCCGACTGCCACCGTTGACGGCGCCCGGCGTGGGACAAGGTTGCTGCGTCCCTGAGGTGAAAAGCACCACCATGTGAGGGAGAGGGAAAGAACGTGCACGTTGGCGATCCATGTGGCGATTCCCAGGCTGGATCTAGAAGGCAATTGGGCCTGATCCAGCCCGTGGGCCTTAGTTTGCCGACCCATGCCCTAGGGCAGCCTTTCTCAACCTGTGAGTCCCCAGATGTTGTTGAACTACAACTCCCATCACCCCTATGGATGATGGGAGTTGTAGTCCAACATCATCTAGGGACCCACAGGTTGAGAACCACTGCCCTAGGGGTTGTAGACTCTCCTTCCTTGGAGATTTTTAAGCAGAGGTGGGATGGCCACCTGTCTTGGCTGCTATAGTTGAGATTCCTGCATTGCAGGGGACTGGACAGGACGGCCCTTAAGGTCCCTTCCAACTCCACAATTCTATGATAACGTACCTCACCTTTTCTTCCTTGCAACTACCCTGTAAAGGTTAGTGTGAGAGATGGTGAATAGTGCTCAAGGGCACCCTGTGAGCTTCACAACACTGAGTTAACTGAGTATTATTTTCCCCAGTATACAGACAGAAGAATTAAACTATAAGAAACTTTGACAGCAGCTGCAAAATTGAGAAAGCAAGGCACCCAAATTCGGAACTGCCACATCCAAGCTCAAATATTTATATTATTATTATTGTGTGTGTGTCCATGGACTCTGAAGGATATAGAGTCCACGGACACACACAATAATAATTTATAATAATAATAATTTATATGTATACCCATCTGGCTGGGCTTCCCCAGCTACTCTGGGCGGCTCCCAACAGAACACTAAAAACAGAAAAAAACATTAAAAACTTCCCTAAACAGGGCTGCCTTCAGATGTCTTCTAAAATTCTGACAGTTGTTTATTTCCTTGACATCTGATGGGAGGATGTTCCACAGGTTGGGCGCCACTACTGAGAAGGCCCTCTGCCTGGTTCCTGTAACCTCACTTCTCGCAGTGAGGGAACCGCCAGAAGGCCCTCAGAGCTGGACCTCAGTGTCCGGGCAGAACGAGGGGGGTGGAGACGCTCCTTCAGGTATACTAGGCCGAGGCCGTTTAGGGCTTTAAAGGTCAGCACCAACACTCTGAATTGTGCTCGGAAACATACTGGGAGCCAATGTAGGTCTTCCAGGACCAGTGTTATGTGGTCTTGGCCACTCCCAGTAGAATGTGAGGGAAGGCCTTTAAAGGGAACCTTCCAGAATATAAATAAAACCCAATGTCTGTTTGAAGGAGGATTTACTCTACCTTACCCATGACACCCGGACTCTGCCCAAATTCCTTTGTGCTTCGCCTCAAGCAGCTAAAGCAAAGATTAGGTTCATAACTATCCGCCTGCTAGGCAATGAACTAGAAAACTATGGGAACATGCACAACTTTCTGCAAGAAACATCCTACATACGCTGCTTTGAAGCAATACTCCACTACAAACTGGCACGTAGCCTGCGCATTCCAGAGCACCGTGTCATGCTTCTCTGACCTACAACATGCTGAAAATTACTGGCATTAGAAGTCCTCTGGCGCAGGATGTCTTTTGCAACGCTGAAAACAAAGTAGTTTTTTAAGATTGGTTAAAACTGGCTTATCTCTTCGGCGACTGCATTTGTTTCCTGAGCCATGCAACTCTACTGCTTTACACTTACACACTTACACACACACACACACACACAATATTTGTACTAGTCCATCGTCAAGCTGTCAACAGACTGCACAGGCTCCAGTGTGAGGAAACCATTGGAGACAGGCAGACAGCAGGGTGAGCAAGCAGGGCAGCAGGTGAGCGAGCTAGGCTGGCAGTGGCAGAGTCAACAAGAGGGGTGGTAGAGAGGCGCGAGAAAGAGGGGTGGGGGGCTAATGAGCTGGGGTTTGAAGCAGGCCAGTGAGCTTTCGGTTGAGCGAGAGGGGTGTGTCCTCTCCTCACATGGCCATTGCTCAGGCAGGGTACCACCTTCACAACTAGCAGCTTTAAGAATGTGGTTCTAGTTTGCTTTCCTTGCAAGAGAGGTGGTTGTCCAGTAAAACTGCCTCCCCACTGCAGCAGGCCCAGGGGACCCCCCATTAGTGGACCCTTTGCTGGGGAGGGGTGGACCTACCCTCGACGCTAGCCCTGGACAGAGATTCATGCAAAGGCTATCTCTCAAAGATTCTATTACGGCACTTTTCCATTCTTTGGTTTTATACATGAACAGCAACATGTGCCAAATATATGGGTGGGGGGTGGGAGAGAAGTCTCCTGAGAAACTTTTATAGAGGATAAAAGGTAAAGGTAAAAGGACCCCTGACCATTAGGTCCAGTCGTGGCCGACTCTGGGGTTGCGGCGCTCATCTCGCTTTATTGGCCGAGGGAGCCAGTGTACAGCTTCTGGGCCATGTGGCCAGCATGACTAAGCCGCTTCTGGCGAACCAGAGCAGCGCACGGAAACGCTGTTTACCTTCCCGCTGGAGCAGTACCTTTTTATCTACTTGCACTTTGATGTGCGTTTTAACTGCTAGGTTGGCAGGAGCAGGGACCGAGCAACGGGAGCTCATCCCATCATGGGGATTCGAACCGCCGACCTTCTGATCGGCAAGTCCTAGGATCTGTGGCCACCCACGGCCCTTTTATAGAGGGTAGTCTTTATTATAAAACGAGAGTTGTCATCCCTGGTGAAATTAATTCCATGTCAGTGAGATGATATGGGAAGAAAATGAGATCACAATCATCCCATGTTGGTTACAAATCTCAGCTCACATGGCCAGCAGTCAAACTGGGTGCACGCAAATTCTTAGTAAGTGAAGCAGGCATGGATCTAGTCAAGCCCCTTGGATGGGAGATCACTGGAAATTTATTACATACAGAAACTGGCTGTAATAAAGATATATTTTTAAAAGAAGTCTCAATCCACTGGGGCGAGGGGGACTTTTCTGCCCTAACCCGAGCCACCTGGGGGCCTGTCAAGTCTAAACTATCAAGAAGTGTGGTTTTGACTAAGCATAGAAACCTTCCAAGAGGAACTATTACACCCTGATTCTATTGTGATACCACTTCCTGCTGCATTAGTAGTTCTCTCAACCCTTTCGGACTCAGAAGTGACTTTGAGCGCAGGAATGAACAAACGATCAATGTTTTCAATGACCTGCTGAAGCAATCGTTTCCTCTTTTCCTAGCAAGACTCTGTTCCCACAATACTACACATTCCTTTGTGACTTTTTACTGCTCCCTTTATGAAGCCAAAATCAGATGACAAAAATCCGGTGTCCAGTGGGTGAAGGGTTTTTGTTGTTGTTTGTTCTGCACAGACACAAAAATCCCAATTCCATTCCAAGGAAACACAAGCTCTGTGCTCAGAATTAAGCCGTTATAATATATGAATTATTCTGATTAGAGCATTAAGAAAAACAAACAAAAGAAAACTGGGCTTGTTTGCATGTCACAGTAAGCCATAGTTTGCATTAGTCGTGGTTTCATTGTGAGCATGCCTTCCCTCGTGGCACAAGCAAGCCATAGTGTGGCTCACTATGTTTGGGAAAATACTGCAGCATAATTGTCTGGAGCTCTTTTTTAAAAAAGCAACTCATGGATGTGATCAGCCAGTTCATTTGGTTATAATGGAAGCAACTTTAAAATGGGCAGAAATATATTTTTGTTAAGGACAAGGGACTGCTGGAGAAATGTTGGATTTTTTTTTGGCTGGAGATTGGGGCGGAGTGGGGTGATGGATCTGTCAGTTTTGGTTCTCTCCATTTCTCAATCTTCCCCAGTTCTCCACGTTTTGCAGCAATTTGTCATTTTACCCCCTTGAAAACTCACCAGCATTTTAGTGCTGACTAACGTACACATATTTTAAGCAATTTCCCGTAATGCACATTTTTGTATGCTATTTTTGCTAATGCCTTTATTATGTACACTTTCCCCTAATAGATGCTTTTTTTGCAAACACTGGCTGTAGAGCTACATTTAAAATGAAGATAAGTATGAATTTCAAAGGGGAGCTGTGATTCAGTTCAAATAATGTTTTGGAAAAGCTGATTTGATAGATGCAACTTTAAATGCATGCTGAATCAAATTTGTCCTCCAACCCTACCTAGAGACAGACATGCTATAAAGAAGAGTACATGATGTATTTTTTCAGCTTTTCAGCAAACTCTTCACATCTGAAAGCTCAGATGAGTATACAGTGGTACCTCTGGATACGAACGGGATCTGTTCCGGGGTCCCGTTCGCATCCAGAAGCAAATGTAACTAGCGACGGCATGTCTGTGCACACACGCATCGCTTTTCGCCACTTCTGCGCATGACATCATTTTGAGCGTCTGTGCATGCGCGAGCAGCGAAACCCAGAAGTAACACACTCCATTACTTCCGGGTTGCCGCAGAGCGCAACTCGAATGCGCTCAACATGAAACATATTCAACCCGAGGTATGACTGTATTAGCAAACTAAACACCCATCTGTCTTCTCCTTCCTAACCATTCCATCCCACCTTAGGGTGAGAGCCCTATAAGGCTGTACAACCAATGCAACCTTCTCCCATTTCAGGCTCCCAGTTGGAGGACCTTTGCTAGCTTTCTCCAAGCTACAGGTGGCAATGACAGGCAAGCAAGAAAGCAAACAGAAGCATGGCTGGCAAGCTTTAACGACAAGGTGATTTGCTGGTATGTTCGCCTGATGCTTCAGATGTAAAAGCAGGCTTACAACCCATACACACACACATACATTATTTTATTTGTAAGCTGCCTTTCCACAGGTCAAACCACACTTATGGCTTATAATGGGGGGGGGGGAGCATAACTGCAACATAGCAAAAGCAGTCATGAACAATAAACAAAACAGTTTTAAAAATACAAAACCAAACTGAACCAATTCCACATGGATGACAACTAAATATAAAAAAAAGATACAAAAAACCAACAGCACCCCCCCAATAACCCCAAACAACACCCCAGCCCCTTAAAGTCTAAGGAATTTATTGTGGCACCATATTTTGTGGACTAGAGTTGAATTTGTCAGATGCCCTTGGCCCATGAAAGCTGAAGCCACAATACATTTGTTTATTCTTTAAGAGACCACAATACACTTTTTGTTGCATTTGCTCTTTTCATCTCACTATCGGTCTCTGGTTTCTCAATGTGTTTTCCACCCCAGCAAGATGAAAGGATGTTGGAATGCAATCAAGACATCAAGACTGCTGCCTGCACAGACAAGATTCCAAGCCTTTGACTTCAACACAGGGGACAGGTAGATGTTCTCCCGCACATTACAATATTCACAAATAACTCTTAACTTCCCAGGTCATGGAAAGGCATCATAAATAGTCTCAGGTATTAGCAGAGATGCTACTCCCCTTTGTTGGGCCTGAGCACAGAATCTAGCAGCACGTCCAGAATCCAGCAGTCTGACAACTGCAGCTGGTAAAGTCCTAGACGCTAGAGAAGGAGAATTTGTTTTAATTTGCACGTTGCCAAAAGAATTCGTTATGGTGTGGCTGATAAAAGCAAATAGTGAATATTGAAGGTGGAGGGAACTTGCCTTCCAGTGGGACCTTATCTGGGCTCAAGCTTCATGGAGAAAGATGGGACATGCATGAATTATAATCTCACCCTCCCCTTGAAAAAACGATCCCTAGGTGGGCTAGGTAGGGACAGCGTTGTGGGTTAAACCACAGAGCCTAGGACTTGTCGATCAGAAGGTCGGCGGTTCGAATCCCCGCGACGGGGTGAGCTCCTGTTGCTCGGTCCCTGCTCCTGCCAACTTAGCAGTTCGAAAGCACATCAAAGTGCAAGTAGATAAATAGGTAAAGCTCCGGTGGGAAGGTAAACGGCGTTTCCATGCGCTGCTCTGGTTCGCCAGAAGCAGCTTAGTCATGCTGGCCACATGACCCGGAAGCTGTACACCAGCTCCCTCGGCCATTAAAGCGAGATGAGCACCGCAACCCCAGAGTCGGTCACGACTGGACCTAATGGTCAGGGGTCCCTTTACCTTTAGGTGGGCTAGGTGTAAAATAGTGTAAGTTAAAACAGGTATTAAAACAAAAAACAACGCTCAGACTGACCATATCTCAGTTTATAAAACCTGACACACCACACCACTCAACCCCGTAATCCTCATAGGGCTGTCTACAAGAGATCTCTTAGCTTAGCTCAACTCACTAAGTCCTGTTACCTCTTCAGCTTCCGACACATCTTCCCAGTCATCTCCCTCTAACCACTCACTGTCTGAGCCTTCTTCCAGTGAAAGGTTCCCCAGCTGGTTCCTTCCACCATTCCTCTGCATCCAGACAGTCCTATGACACAACACTCCCCATGACTAGCCAAGTATATTTTGCCTAATTTGCATAACTTATGAAAATTCAGATTTTAAGCTCACACAGTTCCTGGTATTAGTATAAATGGCAATGTGTGTGCACGTGGTTCTTCTCCTCCCCACCCCCACCCCCCGAAATTTGGGAAGCCCCTGAGCTGAAAGACGTCAGATCACAAACATTTTGCCGCTTCACACCAAGCTTTGCTAAATGTATTAAGGCACAACCAGATCCATATTGCTGAAAAACAGTTTCCCGCACTGCAGCTGTTCCACAATTCACATCAGCATATCATTTTGTAGCAGAAGCAACAACCCTGTCAACATTTCCGCTCTGAGAAAGAATGAAAAAGAGAGAGCAAGCTGGAACCCAAAACTTCTCCAAGTTGATGAACAAATCCAATCATATGCTCAATTGCATCTATTCAGGGCAATTAAAATATTTAAAAAGCTACTATCTACAACTTCATGCAACATTCCACATCTAATTGCCTGGGGTGCTTCCAAGTGGATTAATGATCAGCGAGGAGGACAGCTACAGTCCTGCCACCAGTATTTCTCGAAGTCTGAAAGGTGCACTTTCAGGCCCTGCAAGTTTTGTTTACCAGCCGATGGGCAACTAGCAGCGATTCTGGCTTCATGTTTTCATACTGAGTAAGCCTGTGCCTTTTTGCTGTCTAGTTCTACAACTCCTGAAACTGTTGAACTTTTTTTTAAAAAATCATACTATCACATGCTATTTGGTTTAGTCATCTCTGAATGAATAAGAAGTTATACATTCAGCTGTTGGGGAAAGGTAAAGCCCATATTTTTGTTGCTGTTGTTCTTAAGGCCACCTCTAGACACCAATGATTTGCAATATTTGAGACCTCTAGAAGCCCTCAGCAGATGTAGATCAAAATCACCCACTTGTGCTTTTAAACCAAAAGTGGTGTGTCGTGTTAGTTGTTGATTTAAATGATAGCCAGTGAACAAGCCAGAATCATAAACTAAGGTTCGTTAAAGCCCTAACCATAGTTTAAACCAATCAGAGTTTCCCCCCCAGTTCAAACTCCCTCAAGAGGGAACTATGGTTAGGTTATGTGAAAACTTCCTCCTTACAGATTGCAGCACACAGCCATGTTAACAGTCCGTTACAAAACTACTAATATTATTACATTTCTTACTTGCCCTTCACCATTAGGTCCCAAGGGCAGATCACAACCATTAAAAAATACAATTATTAAAGCCAGTTAAAGCAAATTACAGTCACAAGAATATAGTGGAGCTTAAAATATATATCTCAAGTGTCAAAGGTCACAGTAAAGAGATGGGTCTTCAGCAAAAAGGACAAAGCTAAGAAGGTTTTATTTCATCTTTTTAAGCCAGAGAACATTTAGTTCTCTTTATAAACACATTTACAGTCATACCTCGGGATGAATACGCTTCGGGTTAGGCAAATTCGGGTTGCGCTCCGTGTCAACCCGGAAGTGACGTCACGCGCATGCGCAGAAGCGCTGAAACGTGACCCACGCACGCGCCGTCGCGTCTTGCGTTCCATTCGGGATGCGAACGGGGCTCCGGAACGGATCCCGTTCGCATCCCGAGGTACCACTGTATAGGCACATTTATGGGAAACCTGTGCCTGTCTGCAGCTTCTTTGGAGCATTTAAAGCAGAACCTAGACTCTCTTGGTGATAGACAGTGCCCCCTGCTGGTCTAGTACTTATGCCCCAAAGGACAAAGCCATGCCTCACTGCTCAATACTTCTTCAGTCGCCACAGCACTTGGCATTTATTTATTTTTATCCGTAAAACTATTTCCATACCAGCGTATCACAAAATAACAGGGCGGTGCACAACGTCAGAATATAAAACGCCATTTAAAAACCAAGCTGGTGATGTTTCATTTGATACAAACATTATTCTATTTTAAAGCTCATTTCGGGCCCCCATGGGTTTCTAGAAAAATGGTGAGTTCAATTTACACGACCACTGTGCAACGTCTTACAGCCTTTGGCTTTCTTGGACACAAGAGGCAGGAAATAGGGGAATGTCTAGAAATAGAATGAGCTGCCAGGGGCATCCACTCACAGGCCGCTCTGTAGTTTCTTCAGTCTTGATACTCAGTGGCACCATTTTTGCCTTACAGGCAGTGCAGCTCAGAACAGAAGTAAAACAGAGTAAGAAATTCCTTTTAACCGATGCTTAAATTCCGAAACCAGAGCTGTCAGGGCTTGGGAGTCTCTAGAACAGGGGTCAGCAACCTGAGGCCCGTGGGCCGGAAGCAGCCCACGGAGACCGTTTAACTGGCCCACAAGCCGCCCACGAACCGAGCTACCCGCTCAACGAGTCCCCCGCCCAGCGCAGGGACTCTCTTCTGCGGCTCTGGAAATCGCTTCTGCGCATGCCCAGACACCAAAAAACACGATTTTCGGCATCTGGGCATGTGCAAAAACGATTTCTGGCGCCGCACTGCACCAGCCCGCCCCACAGAGGATCTCTGTGGGAGTGATCCAGCCCATGCCCAGTAAGCCTTGCCGACTCCTGCTCTAGAAGTTATACCCCTGACACAGAAAGGACGCTTAGTACCAGCTGCATATGAGTTGGTTACCATTATTTAAGGAGAGAAAAAGAGAAAGGCACTCTATACTTTTTACTTTGTATGTTCCGGTGAGGAAACGTGCCATTAAATATGTCCAGGGGCTGCATCCTGGGGCTTGTCCACATTGGAGTATTGTTGAGCTGTCAATCCACTCCCCCCCATATTCAAATTAGACTGTAGCAGTCCACACCCACACGTAATTGGATGTGTATGAGGAGCTGCTTCGATCTTTCCCCATTCATCCCAGTAGGGGTTCCCTTTTGTGTTTGCCCCGCCTTCTAATTTGTTGATTCTGTGATGCCGATTAAGTACTAGCAGGGCATGTGGGCAGAGAGATGTGTGAGCACACCTTGTTTTTAAAAAGATTTCCCTGCCCAGGAAGTGTGCAAGAGTGCACAGTCAGGGAATTGTTTTAAATTCTCAGCACACACCTTGGCAGTTTTCTGGTTGGGTGCAAATCTACATTCCTCCTTTAAGGAGCGTGCTGTAAATTGTTATGAACATAACCGGAAATGAAAGCATAGAGGAAGCAGTGAGCGTGCAAAGGGAACAGCAGAAAGTGACAACTGATCCACTCCCAAAACAATGCAACAAATCGTCTGTGACCCCCAAGTGGAACAGTTTCATGCCTAATCTCCCTAAACATTCAGATTATACCTGTATCAGGTAAACCCAAATTTACAGCGGGAGATTGGTGTTGTTTGAAGGTAACATCATGTGGACTATGCAAATTAAACGTGAATGCAAACACACAGCAAACTCCAGTGTAGACAAGCCCCAGCGAGTCCTGGGACTCATCTACACAGATGCAAATAAAACGTTTTAAATGTGTTGTGAAGTGCAATATACAAATGTGGCACTAGATGGTGAAAGCGAGCTATGCAAAATTCAATGTATTTTTCAAAATGATTTTTTAAAAAAGCATTTTCACTGTGTGCTTTTAATGTGTGTGTAGATTCCACCCTGGTTTTGAATCTACAGTGGCAAACCCCACTGGAGATTCTTCTGTTACATTAAAAATAAACAAATAAATCACATCATCACTTAAGCATGTTGCATTTTTTTTAAGCAAAATTATGGGCAGCCTATGGAACAAGAATGCAAAGTACAGTGGTACCTGTGGATGCGAAAGGGATCCGTTCCGGAGTTCCGTTCGCATCCTGAAGTGAACGCAACCCGCGTTCGCATGTCGCAATTCGCCGCATGTGCGTGACGTCATTTTCACTGTATGTGCGAGCAGCGAAACCCAGAAGTAACGCGCTCCGTTACTTCCGGGTCGCCGCAGCATGCAACCCGAAAATACTCATCCCAAAGCTACTTCAACCCGAGGTATGACTGTATTTCAGCTCATTCTGTCAACCATTCTCTTTCAATCCCCAACTCAGCGTGGCAGAGTGAATGCTGTGGCAAAGCACATCAGCATGTGGTAAACAGAACCACAATGCTCAACCCCATGGACCATAATGAGGGGGAGTGTTTAACTTGGTTCTTGTATGCCTGTATTTCCACCAATATCACTATCCGATTAATACAGCTTGCTCTAATATAATGCTTACCTGATCACACCCTGCATTCACCAGTTCCTGGAGCATCTGCCTATTAACTTCAACCGTTGCAGAAGTGGTGCCCAACTCATTAGCAAAGGGCAGCAAAGAATATCTGATTTCTCGCAGTGCTTTCTGGTAAGGCCCAAACTTGGCAACTGGTCTCATTTGCTGCTGCCTGGCTGCATCTTTCCCTACTGCAATTTTAGGGTCCAGAGAAGTTTCGCCTCCTGGTCCAATGGGCAATCCCTGGCTGGAAGATTTGGTAGGTTGCTTCAAACCTTCCCGGATCTCCTGCAACCTTTGTCTGCTGTTCCCAGAGTAAGTGGTAGCAGGAAAAGTCTTTGGCCTCATGGTTAATCCAGGTTTGTTTCAGCATAAATTCCAACTTCTTTTGCATAAAACCAAAGGGACATTCAACGCGGTTCTTCCTGAAGGTATCAGTTTGCTGCAAAACATAATCCCTTGATAGTAGTTCCAACATAAATGGTAAAACTGGAGAGGAGACTGTGTCACACTTCCGTATTCTCCAAAGTCCCCTGGTATGTCTATGACACTACATAAGTCTCAAGGAGCAGGTGCCACTTTCAAGCTTCTTCAGTTCAGAGTTTTCAGAATTTCTGTACACAGAGGGGAACCCCGAAACTTCCATCTCGCTGCTATTTAGTATCTGGAAGAAAGCAGAACACAGATATAGTCATGCAGTTCTCTTCTTCTTTATCAAAAGAATTCTTCCCAAGAGTCAGTCTGGTATGTTATTATATTCCACATTGCTGCTTTGCTTGTGAAATCCAAAATGGTGAACAAAGATAAGATTAAGAGCATGCAGAATATGGAAATATGTCATAATTAAAACTGTCCAGGAAGTTTTATACTAAATCAATCCAACAATAAACAAAACGCTTTCCCCAGAAGCTCTTAAAACTTTTTCCTGAAGAGCACTGGGCGTCTGGGAGACTCAATGAGGAGAGAGTTCTAGAGATTTAGCTGTAAGTCACTTTGGGTTGCCCTGGGCAAGATAAAGCCACTAACAAATTTAATGCATAACGAAACAATAATAGAGGAAATGAGGTAAAAAAAACTGTACTCAGTGAACAGACTGCTAGTTCTGGATCAAGGAGTCAAAACACCCATGCAAGGCTGTGCCATGCAAGTTACTCTTATTAGAATTTAGCAGAGTGCATGGGAATATAAAACCTGGATTTATCTCATGTATGCTGCTCTGAGCTTTTTGGAGTAACAAATAATAATTGTCAGCATTTGGCAATGACAGGAGAACTTCCAGAATGGAATCACTGTGTTTACAAATGCGCACGCGCACACACACACAATTTACAAGTTTTACTGAGAAACTTTAGAGCCCATCTCTAAGGTCTGCAGAGCAACAAAAAAAGCAAGAGGACTGCTGCACAACTGCACTGGAAAAACTGTGCCTCCATGATGACACACATTTACATGTTGTCCGTAGTGTGTTATCAGAAACACATGTGCACTTGGTAATATTCAACTTATGACGCTCTGAACAACTTGGGCCCCCAATTACCTCACAGGTCCCCTGATTCCTTACACTCCACCCTCAACCACTGAGGCTGTGGAGACATTACCAGTTATTCCACAGCCTCAGTGTCCTCCCACGACCAGTTTCTGAAGCCAGATACAAGAGACCGTTAGCCACAATCCATAGAGATCTTGTCATTTCTGTTGTACAGTGCCTTGTTACATTTCTTAGGAAAGTGAGGTTTATAAATATCTAAATAACAAACAAATAAATCTAAGAATGATGACCTATGCCATTTATGAGGAGACTTGGAACAGTCTCTGTCCATTATGGCCAAGAATTTTTATTGGTAAATAGAAACTGATATATTTAACTGAAAAGGCGGCTTCATTTACTTTTGCAGGAATGTGTATGCATTACTGGTGTGTTTGTGTGGATCGTAAAGCATACCATGGATTGTTTTAATAACGAGCATTTTATTATTGTGCCGGGCTTAATGTTCACATCGGTTTGTTGGTACGGTATCGCAAGCCACTCTGGCAGAGTCTTAACTGGAAAAGGCAGCCTATATTATTTAAATTGTAATCTTGCCATTAGACGTGCTCAAGAATTCCAGTAAACATTCAGGAGATTTTTCATTGATGCAGTAATTCGGGGTGGCGCAACTATGCCAGCTAAACTGTACCAGCCAAACTCTTGCTGCTTGAGTCAAAAGCAGGTGAAGGGAGGCACAAGGGGGAAACGGCAGAAGAGATGTGCCTGGGGTAATGGCAACGCTAAATCAATTTCTAATAATCTGGGTGGCCACAGAGAGGCCAGGATGCTGAAATAGATGGGGCATTGGCTTGATCCAGAAGGCTCCTGCGTTCTTATGGGCTTTGTCCCTGACCCTTCTTACACATAACAGACTGGTGCACATCTCAACACAAATATATTAGCTCATTAAAAAGGCAGTTCTTAGCTCTGTGGGGGAATAAACTACAGTTCCCGGGATTAATTGGGTACGTGCATGTGCTTTAAATGTATGGTTTGTACCTAGCCCAAGTCTCTTTGCTCTTCTGGGGACAAATTAGCTACAAACAATATGTTTCTAGCTTAGTTGGTAGGTCTTAATCTCATGGTTGTGGGTTTGAACCCCACGCTGGGCAAAAGATTCCTGCAATGCAAAGGCTTTGGACCAGGTGGCCCTCATGGTCCCTTCCAACTCTGCAATTCTATGATTCTGCTGTTTCTGAGCTCTCGTACAATTCCCATTCATTTCAACAGCATGCACATATGAGAATTTTCTAAATATTGTGTGCATTATTTAAAGTGGGAGACCTTTTTGGAGGGTCTCATTCCCTCCTGAATACCCTTCCAAGGGCCATATGCCAGTGGTAAGTGGAGCCAGAGGATAAGTAAAAAAAAAAGAACGTGGTGTTGCCCAGCAGGCTCTGCAAGGTCCTGGGGAGAGTTCTGAGGACCAGACAGTGTGGGCTCATTTGATTCCTGAGGTTCCACTCCCCTAAATCCTAAACAAATGTATATAGAACTTTACTGCTTTCAAGCAATTGTGCTTAGGATTTAGATTTTGATCACATTCCCTACCACCGAACTACTTTCTTTATAAAACAGGAAAAAGCAATCTCCAGAAAAGGTGGGGGAGCAGGGAAGAGGGGGAGGAACAGAAGTATATACTGTACATGAAAACTTGTGCCGAGGACAAGCCTTCCATCAACACAGAGGCAAAACTGGCTCTAGCACACACAGCTGGTGCAAACAGTCCACATTCCTCTGGAGGAGAGCCCAAAACGGCATGATCAGCAGGGTAGGCGTGATAAAACTGTTCGTGGGTTTCTTCACTCTCCAGAGCCACATGCAAACAGACAGTCTTCAAGATGATGCCAACAGAGGCAGGGACATGCCCCTATACAGAAGGCGATTGTCTATCCCCCATGGCTTGGTATTTTGCATCAGTGTTTTTACTGGCAGCAATGTATTTTCATTTTGTTAGTATTTTAGCTCCAATGTATTTATTTATCCCCCCCCAAAAAAAATATTTCTCAAAATATTTGGACAGGATATGGAAAAGGAATCAAGGTGAAAGGGAAAAGAAGGTTGAAAAAGGGGATTGAATTAACCTGAAGAGAGTGAAATATTCGGTTTTACTGATGATTTGTTAATTATTTCATATGACTTATATGCTGCATTTGTGATGTTCTGTTACGTTTCACTATGTTGCCGTTGTTTATTACTTGTAAGTCGCTTTGGGATTCATCTGAATGGAAACTGGCACCGAAATAACATTAATCAAATACCTGCAGTGAATGAAAATAGCGCAGCAACTAGAAACTTAACCCACATTCAAAATCCAAACCAGATTCCACTGGGGCTTTACTACAGACCAAAAGCAAAGCTCACCACCAAAGAGCAAAGTGTCTCCCCATCAGTTTTTTACATTTACAAGAAGGTGCCAACTTCATCCATTCTTCCTTTGAAAAGTATCGCTGCTTACATTCAAGTGTGGGTTTTATTAACATGCAATTTTGATCCCCTTGGGGCTCCTCGAATATTTGATTTCTTATTTTTCAAACTGTTTCTCCTTTTTTTAATATATATTTCTTTTAAGGCTCATCTGCACAGGTTTTGGGGGGCCTTGTTGGGATATAGGCTGTTCCTTCTCCTTTCCCTGAATGGAATAACCAGGAACTGCAGGCTTTACAAAGGAATGCTGATGCAGCTACTGAAATAATGCCATATCACACTCCTGTTATCTTTTCCTGGCCCACAACATTACAGATAGGGGTGCAGTAACCTTCAAGGAACAGGCAAATTCTCCTGAATAGGTTCGTACTTGGGCTAGGATCCCAAAAGGTTGAGATGAGCAAGTGAGGGAACAGTAAACTGTGCAGATAATCTAAAGAAGAAACAGAAAGGAGAACCATGCATGTGGATGAAACTTTCATTTGCCACTGCAGCCATTGCTTTAGCTTCTGTTTAAAGAGCAGAACGGTTGCGTTTGACAGCGAGAAGAACCTGAAGTTGCAGAGAATGCACAACACATTCTACAACGCATACATATTCCTTGCATCCTAGCTTCAATGTATATATCTCCACAGGCTGTTTCCCACACTCATGCTTCAGACTGCAGCATTCAAACTGAACCATAAACTTGAGTTCTCACATAACTAGGAACGAGGGAACAAAGCAAAACCTAGATACCAACACTCCATCTGCATCTGTCGTGTGCCATGACCTCCTACATTTTCAGTGCAAACAGGCAACGAACAGGTATCAGTGAAACACTGCTAACTGCACTCATGCACTTTATGGCTAACAACGAAAGGGTCACATTCCTTAAAACAAGGCCTTTGTCCGGAATACAGATCACCTGCCCCTCACTTTTTTGAAAAGCATGTGCGGAGATGTTCAGAGTTGGCAAAACACTGGAACACTTCTCAGAACTGACACAAGCGGCAGCATGGTTGTTTCTCACTGAGTGGAGGCTGCTCCATGTTCTGTGTAAGAAGGCTCACCATGCAATTCTATAGACTTTTGCCATCCTACAGCAAAATGCCTGAAAGTGGGGTTGCAACAGCACGGCAAACGCATGTGCATTTCCAAAGAGATGCCACCCTGCTGCTTGCATAAATCAGGCCATAGCAGTTTCCAAAGTCAGATTTTCCTGCAGCCAAATTTCTCAGGCACCTCAGAAATACCATAACCCAAGTTTCTAAAAGGAGTGTGCAAAACAAGATTAAGTAATTTTTCTTCCATCCAAGACCTCTGAGAGTGGGAGTAAAATATGGCTCTGCATGGGAGAGGAGGCATATTTTGTCCAACTATGATTCCAGATTCCCGAGCAGTGAGATGAGACAAAGGGGAAAGTCCCCCTTCCTCTGCCAATAGCTGCAGGGATTTCAAGCACTGGAGAATATGAACAGATTATTCTGGTGCTCTATGCACTTTTACTCGAGCATAGATTAGCTATCTGTCAATCTTATTAGTCTAGACGTTAAGCTCTTCAGGGCAGTGACTCTCCCTCAAATTACACATCAAATTGCATGCACTGTCCTTGACACACAAATGAGCTCCAATATCATTTGGGTGTCTCCAAGCTTTAATAACTTATTTGCAGCAGATTAATATTGGGGAACAAAGAGGTAAATCCAGGCACATGACCTTCTCGCTTGGGGTGTGGAATTAAACACTGGATGTTTTACAATGGCCATAAAAAAGACTAGCACTCTTCTGCTTCTTACAACTCAGTGGACGTACTGTAAAGTTCTCGCTAGATTTCTGTGATGTGGAGTTATTGCATTTATCAAAGAATTCTGTCTATATGGTTCTATCACACACACGCACCAGCGATGGTCCTCTGGTGAACCATAGAAAAGTCCTACCACTTTTTTTTGTACTAGCATCTTCTGCTCAAGAACAGCAGAGGTGATAAAAGGGGCAAGAAAAGTACTGCCTGATGCTACAGTATTATTATTATTATTATTATTATTATTACACCATCAGCGTACAGCAAACAGAAAGCCAACCAAATAGTGCTATAGAGGAGATAGGCAGTGATAGGTGGGGAATTCAGTCTACCACGCTTGGGAATGAAGCATGGGTTGGTGAGCAATTGCAGCCCAAAAAAGATAAAGGGTTCAGTAAGGACTGTCTGCATGGGGAATTCTACAGTTTCCAGTCCAACGCAAAACTGAAACACGCTGTGTGTAAAGGGAGATTTGCTTGTCTGTGGTGAATGTACAGATGATGACTAGGACACAGCACAGACAGATCCCATTGTTCTGGTTATGCAGAATAGGAAGAGACTGCTGGTCTTTGTTACCTGTCTGATCCACTTCCCTGGTTTAAAAAGGTGAGGCACATACATACCCCGGTGACTTCATTTCCACGTAGTTGGTCTTTTTCAACACCCTCAATCCCCATCTCCATCAATATGCCGTTCAATTGTGCAACACAGCAATGTTTTGCCAGACGAGTTACCCATGACACCAATTGCTCCTACGCTATAGTCACTAGTATGCTAGACATGTGGAATAAGAAGAGGATTACACAATTCTCGTGAGAGCTCAGATGAAAAAGAGAAAAGCAAGAGCCCAGTTGTCCCAGCGTGACCTCAATATGTACAAACAAATGCAGAATCATGGGCTGAGAGCCATTCCCACATGTCCCTAAAGACATCCCATTTGGCCCAGGATAATCTGCCCACAGATGCAGCATATGCTCTTAACATGGAAACCCTGGAAATATCAGCTATATGCACCCCAAGCTATGCAACACAACATTGCAAACACAAATAAACCTGCAGTATAGAAATGCCTATACAAATTGCAGCTGTCAAAAGTTCCTTTATTACGGAACTTCACAGAGCATAATGAATCTCACTTTTTTAAAGAACAATTCAGCACTGCTTAATATCCCACATAATAACAATTGCTACAATTCTGCAAAACAACCAATTTTTTTTTGCTGAACAAACTGCTAATTGTGTAACTTTCAAGTTGCGCAGAACTCTGCATAAAGAACAACTGAAACTGCGGAAGAATTAGCTTTCTTTATGCATTCTGCCTAAGATAGTTATCATGGACTGAGCTTTCCTAGAGAGCCTTCACAAGAGATGAAAATATTATCAGCAGCATTTTGCTTGTCTGTTTCAAGTGAGAACTCCCAGAGTGCTCTATAAGAATGATAAGAGTCCTCTGAAACTACTAACATCCTCGTAACTTGGGAGAAAAAGTGGTGGTGAAAGATATAAGGAAAGAAAATGATTGTCTGAAAATGCATCTGCCAGAAAGAAATAGACCCAAGCCATCAACTGCTTCCTACCACCCATGTCTCCATAGCTAGTCACCTGACCTGATGAAGCTAGGTCCCCCTTCAACTTCTAGCACACAGTGATGTCTCGCTCTCAAAAATCTGCAAAGGAACCTCTTCTCTGGTCCTCTCTCCTGCTAACTAATGTGGAATGGAAAGTAAAAGACTGTCAATTTTAAAGCCAAATTTCTCACAGCAATATCGGATTTACATCTGTGGTAGAAACTGCAGCAATAAAATGTCATTTGTGAAAATGTTCTAAGAATGTAAGAAGAGCACCGCTGGCTCAGACCAAAGGCATATCTAGCCTTGCATTTTGCTCTCCCAATATCCAACCAGTTGCCCATAGGAACTCACAAGCAGGACATAAGCACAACAGCACTCTTGCTTGTGACCTCTAGCAATTGGTATTTGGAAGCATCCACAGTCACTATGACTAGTAGCCACCGAGAGCCTTATAGAATATGAATATGCCTCTTCCCCTTCTAAAGTCATCCGAATTGGTGGCCATCCATACATCTGGTTATAGCATTTTCTACGGCTCAGTTATATGCTGTGTGAGGAACGGCTTCCTTTGGAGCTATCCTGAATTTCCCTCCCACCCTTCAGCTTCACTGGATGACGGGGTGGGGAGTTCTAATATTATGAGGTAGAAAAAAGGAAGATATTTTGGCATCTGGCAGACCCCCAAAATGACAAAGGGCCCCCTCCCCACCCAGGAATGCGTGAGGGAAGATCTACATCAGCAAAAGGAGGAGATAGATGGACATTGCGATGTGCTTCCGCTGTAGACCATGCCACCTGAGGCGACTGCCTCACCTGGTGAGCCCGCCCCAAAGAAAAACATCTCTATCCACTTTTCCCCAAACCATGCACAAGATTCTCCTGTGAAGGCCCAGGAGCAATGCAAACATTGGAGATCTGCTTTGGCGCCCAGAGCAAGTCCCAACCTTTTCCCGCTTCAAACTTCAGCCCCAGTCGCGGCCCTCAAGCCCACACTGAGGAGAGGTTGCAGGGCCCTTCTCCAAGACAGAGGGGCCGGGGTTGGGAAAGCAAGGAAGGAAGGTCCTGCGGCTGGGCTCAGCTGTCACACGGTCACCAATATCTACTCCAAAGCGGGTGAGGAGAAGCCGGGAAGGCGAGGCCCGGGCATAAGGGATGGGCGACGGAGGCAACCGCTCCAAGATTTCCCCCGGCCCAGAACTGGGACTCGAGCAAGCGGCCAAGGCGCCACTCCCCTCCGCGCAGCGCCGTCCGACTTCCAAGGGCTGGGGGAAAAGTTTGCTCGTTTCTTCCGGCCGGGGAGCCGCGAGAGGCCTCGAGCAAAAGCAAAGGGAGCGCCGCGCTGTAGCAGAGGGCGAGCGCGACAGCGGCCGGGCGCGCACAGGCTCACGGCGACTCCCCCCCCCCCCGCGCCCGTGCAAAGGCCTCTCTGGAAAGGCTTTAAGTGGAAGCGCAATCCTCCCCCCTTTCCTCCCCGCTTCCACAGCCCACGGGAGGTGCGGCGCTGGGCAAGAGGAAGAGGCGAAGGTCGCTCGGCCGCTCCTGGAGCGCCAAGCCCCGCGGAACCTCCGAGGAATCGCGCACAGGACCGGGCAGGAAAGCCCCGTCTCCTGTCCCTTCCGCGCCACATCCTCAAAAAAATAATAAAATAACCACGCTCTTGCGCGCCGCACGGCTTAATTCGAAATAATAATTATAATGAAACCCGGGCTCGCGCGGCGAATTAGAAATTGCCCTGTTCTACACCGAAAGGAGACAACAAAATCCCACATTTGATTTTTTTTTTTTAAAGGAGCGGACGCGCACACGCCCCTCCCCTGCGTAAAGGCTGGGACCTTAAGACTTGCAACGGGTTAAAATATTGCCCATCTTGTTCCGCATCTCTTCCGACCGTCCCTTTACCGCGGAAGAAGCCCCATTCGCGTGTAGAAATTAACACGCCGCCGTCGGCTCAACTGCCCGAGCCACCTCTCCCTGGACGAGCTAACGCTACACACACGAACGGGCTTACCTGGGCGTGTAAACGCTCCCATAGGGGACCGTGTGGAAACGCCAGCGGTTGACACCACGGCCAGTTCAGCCCCTAAATCCAGATACAAGGGCACGTCAAGTAATCCAGACACGCTCGCTCTTCCTCTTCTGCATGCTGCGCAACACCCTCTAAAAACCTTAAGTTTTAGCCGACGAGGCCCCCTGGTCAGCAACTAGCGCTCCACTGAGCAAAGCAAAAGGGAAGCGGCGGGCCAGAATCCCAACCCTCCCTCGGCTTGCCTGCAAATCCTGTTGCCACAGATACCACTTTCTCCACCCCAGCCGCCTCTGGGGCTGCCGGCAGCCACCATCCAGCGCGGGGATTTGGTCCCGAGCAGCCTCGAAAACGGGAAGATGATGCTTTCGCGGGCCGCCTTCCTCCGTCGAGCCCCCGAGGTCTGGGCCCACAGGGCTCCCTCCTCACAACGGCATCTTCGCCCAGCCCTGGCTTTGCTGGCTTGCCAAGCCCTCCCCCCCCCCCGCACGGCCCGTGTCCTTAGCACACGCCGTCGAGTAGGCGGCCACTTTCCGCTTCTTGGCCAAAGCAGCTGCCCTCCGCTGCTCCCTCTGAGGAACTCCCCCGCTCTCCTTCCAAGAAGAGCCGCTCTCTTCCGCCGACTGCCCAGCTCCCTCCCGGCCTCTTTCCCTTCCCGGAATAATAAATCGCGTCGCGTGAATGCCTTTTTCTTTCTCTTTTAAAGAATAACTTCAGGATTCCCCCGGGAAAGCCGCCCCCTCTAAAATCCCTGCGCAACTTCTGCAAAAAATCCCCTTTAAAGAAAGAAGAGAAGGAGCCAGAAAGCTGCGAAGTAACGCCGAACGGGGCGGGAGGGGCAGGTGGAAGGGCTCAGCCTGCTCCACCAGAGGGAAGCCCCCTTACCGTCTTGGTCGAGCGGGGAAGGGGGTTCCCCGCACGCAGCCCCCTCCCTCTCTCGGTGCCCGCGGGAGAATCAGGGGGCCGCCGCCGTGACTCCTCTCCGCTGCCTCCTGCCGCTGCCTCGACTGCTGCCGCCGCCCCCAGCGCCCCGCTCCGTCTCCATTCTTCCCTTTCCCCCTTTCGGGCTCCGAATGCGGCGGCGGCCGGGCACAGTTGGGACATTCGCTACATTGTTAGCATTCCACTCGTGCCACGTGACCCGGGCTCCGGCGTCATTCCGCCTCCCTCCCCTTCAGCATTCCAGCGGGGGAAGAAAAGGGGCGGGGCGGGGCCCTGCTCGTCAAGCGCGGGATGGGCGGGGCCCCGCTGGACGTCCCGCGCCTCGGCTACCGCGCTCTTGTTCGCACGATCCCGGCTGCGCTGATAAATAGCGCGTTAAAGAAGCGGCTTGGGACCTGTTGCGGGTCTGCTTGGGTCGCGAATCGTTATTAAGCCATGTTGGTTACCGGGATAACAGTGGTAATAATAATTGTTGCTGTTTTGCAAAGTTTTTTTAAAATAAAAATTAACTCCATTTTATAATGATGGATATAGAATTGCAGAGTTGGAAGGGACCGCGATCCCGCTGCAATGCAGGACTCGTTTCCCCTGCGGAAAGAAACAGAGAGGATAGTTAAAACAACATGAAAAATAAAAGATGAAAAACAACACAATAGGCGCATAGAATCAGTAGTTGCACGTGAGTTAAACTATCAAAGTCCAAGTAAAGGCAAGCAACCTTATCAGATCATCAACTATTGTTCCAGATTTGCCAGGCTTGTGAGGAGAGTTGTCTTGAAAATGATGGTTCCACTGTATATATCCCCAAAGGAATGCCAAATCGTATAAAAAGTGGCTGTAGGTTCTGGTCCTTGCCGAAATCTCAAATTATTTTCTCCATAATAGCTATATTCCAGAGTGAGCAGTACTAAGCATCCAGTGTAAGATTTGGGACTGTTTTCCATTGAGTTGCAATGACTATTCATATTTAAGACCAATTCTTTTGACAATACAGTATATATTTACATTGGTATCATCAAAAATATTCAGAAACATTAATGTTGCTTACCAGTACAGTGGTACCTCGGGTTAAGTACTTAATTCATTCTGGAGGTCTGTTCTTAACCTGAAGCACCACTTTAGCTAATGGGGCCTCCCGCTGCTGCCATACCGCCGCCGCACAATTTCTGTTCTCATCCTGAAGCAAAGTTCTTAACCCGAGGTACTTTTTCTGGGTTAGCAGAGTCTGTAACCTGAAGTGTATGTAACCTGAAGCGTATGTAACCCGAGGTACCACTGTATAATTATTAAGGTTGCAATTCCAGGAAAGGGGGAAGCTGCCTTATTCTGGGTCAGATCAATGGTCATAGTACAGCTCAGTATCATTTTTTAGCAGTGGCTACAACCCCCATCATCCTTGATCATTGGCTTTGCTGGCTGGAGCTGATGGGAGTTGGGATCCAACAGCTGGAGGGAAACAGGTTCCCCATCACTGAACTAAGACATACATAGCATGGAGCTTACCCATAGACTGCCGGTTGTATTACAGTCCCTCACTGTGTGTAAATACAACAAAGTCATACCCAGAGTAAAGCTTAAGTCTGTTGATTTCAGTGGGCCTATTCTGGGTTTGACATTGTTGGATACAACCCTACAGCCCTAATACTTATAATATAGATATTCCAAACTGCCTAAATATTCCAAACTGCCATGTTCCATAAAAAAGTGACTCCACAAACAGAATATGTTTGGTATTTCAACTGTGCTGCCAGTTACATAAGTATTCATTTTAAACTTCAAGTGGTGTCAATGAAAATACCGTATTTTTCACTCTATAAGACGCACCAGACCACAAGACGCACCTAGTTTTTGGAGGAGGAAAACAAGAAAAAAAATATTCTGAATCTCAGAAGCCAGAACATCAAGAGGGATCGCTGCACAGTGAAAGCAGCAATCCCTCTTGCTTTCTGGCTTCTGGGATAGTTGCGCAGCCTGCATTCGTTCCATAAGATGCACACACATTTCCCCTTACTTTTTAGGAGGGAAAAGGTGAGTCTTATAGAGCAAAAAATACAGTAATTTATTAAGGAATTGAAAGGAAACCCCATCTTGGAAGAGAGCAAGAAAACCATTAGGTTCTCAGAAAATTCCAGGGCTGAAAGAATGTGGTGGGGTGAAGCAGTTCATTTTGTAATGATCAAATACCTGCAATTTAAGCAATGCTGCACATCTTCATTTTTCAAATTATTGCAGCAATTAACCCACAAAGCATGGCAATGTGCTTGCTTAAATATGAATATTGCTCAGTGGTGTTTTCTTTGGCTTACAAAGGGCACCTAAAAATAGTAGTACATACATGAACTGAAAATATCTCTGGTAACAAAATATATTTCTGATGTAAGCTTGTGTGCTATACTGTCCTGGACTAGGACCAGGGAGACTCTGGTTCAGATCTCCATCTGCCATGAAGAGTTCCTCCTCTTAGCCTACCGCACAGGATTCTTGTAAGAGTTAAATAGAACTCAGTGAGGCTTACTTTTGAGTAAACACTGTCAGGATGCACACAGTGCTTAACTTCTGAGTAGACATGCATGGGGCTGTGTAGTATCGTGTAGAATTTATTTTTAACACCACACAGTGATTAAATTTGTACTCCCGTTGATTTACACCAGTGTTTTTCAGACTCCAGACACTCCTCCCCCAAAATAAAACAGCAGACATGTTATAGTGCAAGAGTAATTCCTAGCTGTGGCTGTGCCATGGGACAAGCGCATTCATTAAGGCTGCAGTACTGTATATACAGTGGTGCCTCGCAAGACGAAATTAATTCGTTCTGCGAGTTTTGTCGTCTTGTGATTTTTTCGTCTTGCGAAGCACGGTGTCGAGAAAGTTTTGGAAAAGCTTCAAAAATCACCAAAGTCTTTAAAAACCTCAAAAAAGGCTACCACACCGCGTTCTATGAGTTGCTCCTCGAAGTCAAGTCGCAACTGTATTAACGGTGTTAAGAAAAGGAAACAAACTTGCAAGACGTTTCCGTCTTGCGAAGCAAGCCCATAGCGAAAATCGTCTTGCGAAGCAGCTCAAAAAACAAAAAACCCTTTCGTCTAGCGAGTTTTTTGTCTTGCGAGGCATTCGTCTTGCGAGGTACCACTGTACAAAGGGACGCGGGTGGCACTGTGGGTTAAACCACAGAGCCTAGGACTTGCCGATCAGAAGGTCGGCGGTTTGAATCCCCGCGACGGGGTGAGCTCCCGTTGCTCAGTCCCTGCTCCTGCCAACCTAGCAGTTCGAAAGCACGTCAAAGTGCAAGTAGATAAATAGGTACCGCTCCGGCGGGAAGGTAAACAGTGTTTCCGTGTGCTGCTCTGGTTCGCCAGAAGAGGCTTAGTCATGCTGGCCACATGACCCGGAAGCTGTATGCCGGCTCCCTCAGCCAATAAAGCGAGATGAGCGCCGCAACCCCAGAGTCGGTCACAACTGGACCCAATGGTCAGGGGTCCCTTTACCTTTACTGTATTTGTTGTTTAGTCATTTAGTCGTGTCTGACTCTTCGTGACCCCATGGACCAGAGCACGCCAGGCACTTCTGTCTTCCTTTACTGTATATACACACTTAACCTGAGAATAAGCTCCATTGAACTTATTGTGTCTTCTGGATAGGCATGGATAGGATTGCAATGCAAATAATGAAAGAGGCCAAAATACCCACCTGTGGAGGCTGTCCCCAGAGACCAGTGATGCCTTTACTTGCATATGCATCTCGGAGTTATCGCTGCTTCACTCCTCATCAGATTCACCAGCAGCACAGGACAGCACCTGTATACTACAACACTCTGAATATGTGCAGTTTTGAACACTAACTGGAACCATAGCTCCATCATGACCAGAGGGATTAAAATGGCATGTTTATTTCAGCCTAGGTGCTGATATCAAGCTTGTTTGCTGCTGCCTCCAACACCTGCCGCTCTCCAGGTGGTCATTTTGTGGGTGGGGGGAGGTCCCTTGGGCTGCAAAGTCCTGGACTTCAGCCCCGAGGTTCACTCATCATGAAAACCTTTGCACAAAACAAAAGCCTGAGACTGGGCTGTGTGTGAGAGAGACCAAAAATGCTAACTATAAACCAGTGAGAAGGTGCACAGGCACTCCTCCAGGCACAACAAGAATTCTGGGAATGCTAACTATAAATCAGCTCACAGGTATTTCACCATTGTTGTCTAATCCTGTTGTTCGGGGAAAGAATGTGAGATTTTCAGAATGACCTCTGAATAGATCGAGGATTGGCATTTGTTTACTAGCAAAGGCCGCTTCGGAAATGTACCGTGAGGAAGGCTGCAAAAATGTTACCTCGCTGTGCTCCCAGCGTTCTGGCATGCTCCAGACCAGGGTGGGGGAAACTATTTTCAACTTGCATTCCCTCAAAGGCAACCTTCCATGGGCCGTTTGCCAGAGGCAAAAATGGCTGGAGCAGTGGTTGTGGTCCTTTGTTGTTGTTTAGTCGTTTAGTCGTGTCCGACTCTTCGTGATCCCATGGACCAGAGTACGCCAGGCACTCCTGTCTTCCACTGCCTCCCGCAGTTTGGTCAAACTCATGCTGGTAGCTTCGAGAACACTGTCCAACCATCTTGTCCTCTGTTGACCCCTTCTCCTTGTGCCCTCAATCTTTCCCAACATCAGAGTCTTTTCCAGGGAGTCTTCTCTTCTCATGAGGTGGCCAAGGTATTGGAGCCTCAGCTTCACGTGATCCACCTGGAGCAGGAACTGGCAAGCCACTCCAGTATCCCTGCCAAGAAAACTCCATGGACAAAGAAAACAGTTGTGGCCCTTACCTTTGTACAATCCAGGCATGCAAGTGGGATGTTTCTGCAGCCCCACACTGATCTTCGCCCTCCATCCCGGCATGCAAAAGGCATTAGCCCAACACAAGGGCACATTTCAGCAAAGCAAAAGCGCTCAAGGCGTGGGGCAGGAGGACCAGTGAGGGTTGTGGCTTGCAGAGTTGACGTGGCCTGGGAGAGTGCAGAGGGGCAGGAAGAGAGGCCTGGAGGACTGCATGTGACCTGAGGTTCCCCACTCCTGCTCTGGACCCAGGGTGGTGCTATGCAGATAGGAGCTGATGGCTGTAACTGGATTCTGTGGGGCAAAGTAAGCAGGAGGATGCAAGTGGGATAGGCAGACTTTTCGCTC